AAGATGCTGCGGTGCATACTTGTATGTGCCCTCCCTCATCTGACCAAATGGCCATATGTATACTTGGTTAATATAGTGATTTCTGTGACTATAAATAAAGCGTAATATCCCTCCCAAGTTTAGATGATGCCTATACAAACTATTATTTCTCTGCTATTTATCATACAATTCTCAACTTGGATATGGAGACTACAACTTATAACGTCTACCGCATCACTTTCACGCAGCAGAATGCCCCAGAGCATGCCGCAATTGCTTTGGTACCTGCTCAAAATAACGACCAAGGTGCTGGCAGGTTCTACCACGTCACTGGTGATGTTGGCGTAGGGATGGAATATGATCCGCGTCCCGGCTATCACTTTTCAAAAACCAAATCTTTCAAAGATCAAGTTCTTCAGTTCCAGCTTCCCAAAAGCAAACTCAAACAATTTGAAGAAATCGCTGCCCGGCATCAACCTCCGCACGATCCAAGAGCTCTTTTGGAAAGGAACCCTGACCCACCTGTGAGAGACTGCTCGAACTGGGTAGAAGATGTCTTGTCAGATGTAAAAGCTACATTGGCAATCAATTGATGCAAAGGTATGTGGTGAACTACGTACCTAAATAATCATAGGATAACTGATGTGTGCTCTGGTATAAATTATAGCGGTACCTTGTCCTTTGGTAGCTACTTGCGAAGGCAAATGAAAAATGAACGTGGTCTGGAAATTTGATTGGGTCATATTATCAATTTGTTTTTATTTGTATCTTGCAATTACATGGCTCATGGTTGTAATCATGGGTGTGTAGCAGGTCTTGTCAAGAACGCTGATCGATGTTTGATATATTGTTAGTCCGTGTTCTTACGCATTCCCAACATTCAATTCATCTTTATGTGTCAAGGATCTTACCCATATTGCTCATATTGTTTTCAATAGCCGGTGTACCCTAATTACCACAATATACTTGATACAAACGAGTGGAAGGCATATTCAGGGTAATATGGACGCAATATCTGCATCAAATAATCACCCCAGTCATTCTGCCATCTCCAAATACATAATGACTTTGCAAATTCCCAATATTCTGGATACCAGCCACTGAGCTCCCAGTCAATCAGTCCAGTTACTTCGCCATCCTTGACCATGATGTTCTGGGGCCTGAAGTCACCGTGGGTAAACACAATACGGTGATTTTTCTGAGATACCATTCCAGCTAGGAAACCTTTGACATGCTGCTTGGGTGCTTTGTGCAGATAGGCGTTGATGATGGTATTGCTGAAATCCTCTTCGGAAGAGAACGGCCCTTGCTATCAATCAGTATATTGTAACGAATCTATGAATACGACTGACCTTGAAAACTGTAACTCGTGAGTATCGGGTCCAAGACTGGGCCATAATCAGAAGACCCAATATATGAAGCCTCGTTTATGCTGCGAAGGTCATCGAGGTATTTCTTCAATTGGGAAGAGACACGCGCTTTCGCTTCATTATCATAGGACTCCCAGGCAATGTCAAGTGTTTGGCCATCAACATAACTCATGAATATGTAAGTATCAAATAAACTGCCATAGTCATCAATATCCCTGCTTATCGGCCCGTACGTACAGTACGCGAACACTTCAGGGACTGGGATGTTTTGAGAATGTTGTAAGACAAATCGCATATTTTTGGCCTCTGCAACTGCGACGCGAGATCCGAACTTGACAACAAGAGTAGGTGAAAGTCGTACGATTTTCACTCCCGCCCATTCATGTATCTTTCCCCCTTCGTTGTACTTTTTGTTGATATCATCAAGAGTGGGAACTGTAAAGGCAGGAGCAGAAAAATGTATCTTTAGCTGAGCTTCGTGTCCATGGGGATAAATGTTGGATGCGTCATGGTTGTGAGCCATAGTAGGTTCATAGGGTGAGTGAGAATGAAAGAATGGAATTCAGTAACACTTGTTTCTTTCTCTGGGGCCGGAAGCATTTAAGTCAATTCAGTTCGATCCCAGGGCGGTCTAGATTTTGATGGTCCGCAATGCCAAGATGTTCAATCAACCACTACGATACTGTAAGTTTGTTGCCTCCGTAACATCGTCCGGATTAGCCGCAGCCGCCACTTCTCTTATAATACTTCCCTAGACCTTATTCGTTATGAGGACAGCCTGTGAATCTACGATAGAAGCCAACGAAAATTTATAAAAGAACTAGCGGCTGTTTTTAGCCGTCTAGCGAGAATAAATATCATCCGCCGTCACCTCACATATGTTGGAGACTACGGAGTTCGAAATATGTCACCCTGAATGGCGATAATATTGAAAGTGCTTGGTATTAAGTTATCATGTCTTGATTTTTAGACAGAAGCTCCAAGAAATCTATTAGCCAGATAACTTTGAGAGGGCGGTGGAGAGCAATCGACAGTTTCGAATGGAAATGGTTCGGCAAGCGGAAGTGGGCCAGCGAGATATATGTTGGCGAAACTGGCCGTATAAGGATGATGACGACGACTCGCATTTGGAGGCTTGATCAGCTTGATGGAGGTCTTCTTCGCCAAGATGAGCATTCACCAGCTGCGCTTCAAACTCGCCTAATGAGGATATCTACGGTCCTGATGCAGCAGAATTTCGACCAGAGCGGTGGCTACAGAGTGACAAAGAAAAGCTGTCCTTCTGATTATGTCGATAGATTAGTTTATCATTCAGTACGGCGGCTAGAACATTTCTGCTCGGCGAGACTCAGCGAACGCAAGGCAGCACAATAGAAATTATAACAGAAAATTATGCTAATGCTAAGAATCTTTCAGAGAGACTTTTCATGGATATTACAGTATGTATTTTTCAGTTGACAATAATTCATCTCCAATTGCGGAATTCACATTCTTACTTTTTCCACTTTTTAACTTTTGGCACTTTTGATTTGCGAATAGTGACTATCTATTTTTAGCATTTTAGCTATATATACTAGGGTGTGCCCGTCTAAGTCCGGGGCAAGTCCAAGATGTCTACCCCAGCAAACAGAAAGCGAGCTTCGGAGCGAGCCATGTGCCGTCAACAATTATCCGAACATCTAAGTATGTATACTATAATTATCTTCCCACTTCGCTAACGAATCAGAGAAGGGCCTCTCCATAGTCATCCCAGCGTCCGAAGTACGGTTGCACCCTATCCCAGGCGATCCCTATCGATGGCAGCACAATGAAAATTATGGTCACCTATTTGAGAAGAACCTCAGCGATCTCTCTACAAATAACTATATACAAATTTGCGAGGCTCTGCGAGATGGTAATGTCTGGGCAGTGAAAGAGATCGATTGTAGAGAGCAGGCCCACCTTGGTTCACACAAAACAGTATTATATGAAAGCCTCCGAGAAGATTTGGACAAACTGCGAGAAGAAATGGCTCATCTCCAAAGTGAAAACGAACAGCTGAGGAAGCTTCTTCGCCTTCACAATCAAAAGTCAAAGGTCCTCCACTTATCGCTTTCCAGAGCCGAGACGCAAACATATTCTGCGATACACATTATTAATCAACTCAAGAAGTTGTCGGAAAAGCAGTGCTATGAGTGAAAACTGGTGCCGTGGGGCTGCGAGAGACGGAATCTAGCTCTTCTCAAATATTGTTCCAAGCCAAATATTTAGTTTACTTGGAAGAGTCTCCCTCCCGCGTTGCTCGAGATACGTCGTTCTAATGTGGCGGCTAATCTTATAAATGTGATCCATTTTTAACCACCAATAATTATCAAGTGACAATGGCCACTGATAGCAACAGAATCACCACCAATACTTACAAAAACCCTCCAAGAACCCAAAGTTTAATATATTACGGAATACCTATATAATGGTTTCATTCTTACATTTAAACCTGTGTATAGATTACAGTAATCTAGCTTGCATAGACTTATTCCTATTACAATTAACGTAATCGGACAACGAACCGTCGGTCAACCCACCAAAACGCTTAACAATCGATTTAAATGAAGCAATTCAACCCATATAAATCAACTACACAGAATAAAATTAGGCGTCGTCTCTATCCGGAGATTTGAGGCCCTCTCCACCGCACGTACTGCAGCGAGATGGCCGGCATTGAGCGATTCCTTGCAGCTTCAGCATCCTTCTTTGAAGCGATCAGACGTGCAGTACGGCCATCCAGAGTGCCCGGGGCTAGGCGACCGTCGGTTGAGTGCGCAGCCTTGCGGGAACACGTAGCTGGTTACCCCTCTTTCCACAACCTGATAATCAGTGCTTTGCATTCTCCTGCCCATAATAATATGGTTTTCACGTTTTCAAACGTTATTATTGAGATACCTGGCCTTGACTTGTTTTATCGTGTTACTTGTTTTGATCCACCATGACCTCTTTAACGAATGATGACTACGCAATCACATGGATAGTTATGCGCCTTGCCGCTGGAGATGGCGGCAGCGAGGGTCATGCTGGATAGAATCCACAATCCTTTACCTAAACCGCCCACTGATTAACTAAAAGCGGGCGCCAGGTGGTACCGGCCGCCGTCAGGTGATCACCCACTGTAGTCTGTGTCGCATCCTCGCAATAACATAGCAACGACTCATCCACACTCGCAACGGGGCTTGGATAAGTTGCGTTACACCAAACCGTATCGCGCCGAGGGATTGAGCACCGTTCGCCCCAGTATCGCATACATAAAGCGCCAATCTAGCTTCTGCCAAGCGCAGAGGTATGCCGATATCAAACCAGGATAACAGTCTGCCGGGCCATTCTTTCCTGCCGCTCCCACAACACCCCCTTATCCGAATTGCCTATACAACTATGAACTATTGACCACGTTGTGTATCCGGAACGGAAAATCCATTTCCTATGCATTCCGGTCAGCTGAATCACGCGCCAGCCTCACCACCTACAAGTCGGGCGCAGATCCCCCGCCTTTCCTCAGCGGAACCGTCAGCTGCTTGCCGATGCCATCTCTCTCTATCTGGATACTTATTTCATCTCGCCTTAACAACGTTTGGCGCCGCCAATTCTATCTTCTGCCCCGATATACCCCCATCCTTGGCTTGAATGTCGGGCCTCGAAGTCATAAGCGGCATCTCAGCTGTGATCGGTATTCTCGACGCCGCAGCAAAGATCTACGACAGTGTCCGGGATGATCTGAACCTACCGGAAACATTTACGGTCGTCAGGCGCCGATTGCCGATAATCCTTGATACTCTCCAGATATGTAAGGATGACCTCCAACCAACGCAGGGCTCGATGTCCCCCGACGCGCGCGACAGCTTCACGCAGATCGTCGAGGTCTGCCAGGAGAATGCCGAAAAATTAAAGATGATCTTCGAAGCGACTATTCCGGGGGAGAATGATACTTGGGAGATACGATATAGAAAGGTGCTCCGGAGTCTTGGAAAGGGTAGCAGAGTAGAAGAGCTCATGATATTGATCACGCAAGACGTCGAGCTCATGGTCAACAACCACGCGGTGAGATCCGCGAAGCCGGATCAGATGATGGAGCTGGCAAATATTATTAAGGAGCTGGAGGATGCGAAGACATCAGTTATTGAAGATGAGAGGACGGCCTTTACTTTCCACAGTGGTGGGGGTGCACAAACAAACAGTCTGAACACCGGTACTGGACAGCAGATCAATAATCTCGGATATGTTGGGACTCAGAACTTTAACCAGAGTAAGTAATAACCGTGACTACGAGGTACGGAGTGGTAAAGCAGTACGAGGAGGTTATTGTTGGCGATCCAGGTTATTGGGGGCGATGCACTTCAGGGAGGGATTAGTTGGATCAAATTCCGCAAGAATGCTATTTCTGTATCCTCGCAACCATTGTCTAAGTGACTTGCCTGCTCTACACAAACTTATCCTGAGTAGGTGATCCAAACTGACATTTGGTGATAGTTTCCCATGAGCAAAAAGAAGATTTCAGCTTTCGGAAACCTGCTGGAGTCTGCCTCGGCCAGGCTCCTTGTCTCGACCCGAAGTTGCTCATCGTACGAACTCCAGAAGTAGAAGAGATGGGAAAACATCTCAAACCCGGCTTCAAGTCTGACGAGCAGCGACGGCTCGTCCTTGGGGGTGCTGGTGGTATCGGAAAGACGCAGCTTGCCATTGCTTACGCGAAGATGCACCATACCCACTACGACTCTGTCTTCTGGCTCGATGCACGTTCCGAGGCCTCGGTAAACGCAAGTCTGCGGTCAATCGCAGAATTGGCCTTTGAGCTACATGCGCCCGACAAGCTCAAGCACGAAGAAGCTTTGATCCGCACACGGCAGTGGTTGTCTGACTCGAAGAATACACAGTGGCTTCTGATTTTCGACAATTATGATGATCCAGAGCAATTCGTGGTTGAGACGTACTTTCCGCATGCTTCTCACGGGGCCATTATTATCACCACCAGGCGGCCCGACCTTACTGGTGGCACCTACCTCCGGGTGCAGCCCCTGAAAAGTATCAAGGAGGGCCTTTTCATCCTACAATCTCGATCTAACCGTCAAGGGGTTACAGATGGTAACGACTGACCTACTCAAAGTATGTTTGGCTAATGACTCTTGGTAGATCCCCATGCAAAGCGGTTAGCTGAGCGATTCGCCGGCCATCCGTTAGCCCTAGCAACGGCGGGTGCATTTCTTCACTACAGCACCCTGACCTTTGAGCGGTACCTTCAGGAATATGAGCGCCGCTGGGCCATAGATCCTCGGCGACAATATAGGCTTAAAGAGTATGGAGATCGTACTCTCTATACGACCTGGGATCTATCATATTCTCGGCTTGAAGAAGAAGACTCTGATGCTGCGCGACTGCTAACACTGCTAGCCTACTTTGACAACCAGAGCCTGGAGTATAAGCTATTTCATGCGGGGCTCACTGATACCGCACCAGAGGGGCTTCACAGAGTGATATCTGATGATTTGAACTTCAACAACGCTATGGCCACTCTGACCAGATATTGCTTCCTGGACATCCACCAAACACTGGGATATTGGAGCATGCAGAATTGCGTCCACGACTGGACCTTGGCCGTACTCAACCAGGATATCCGTCCAGAGTACTACAGCTATGCAACCAACTGTGTCGTTGTCACCATCACCGGGATCGATGAACATTCCCTACGAAATGCCGCTTATGCTCCTTTGGCTGGCCACGCTCAATGGCTGGTCCAACAGAGATTCCTCGAGAATGCCAGCATCCTCGCCCATGCGCCTCACAGCTTCCACCAGATATCCTGTCTTTCCGGATTACTCTACAAACAGGATCGGTTCATAGCTGCGGAGCGGGCTTACGTATGGGCATTGGCAAGGTACGGCCAGACGCTGCAGGTCCATGGGGTGTCCCTGCTGCAGACAATGCACAATTTGGCCTCAGTCTATCACAGCCAAGGCAAGCTACACGAGGCAGAGGATCTATATGGAAAGGTGCTGCTCATCAAGCTGGATGTGCTAGGCGAGGACAATGAATCTACCCTCCACACTTTACACAACCTCGGCGCCTTGAACCACCAAATGGGCAGGGCTCCCGTAGCAATGGAAATCCTACAGAGGGCTTTGACAGGCAGGGAGAAGGTCTTGGGCGAAAGCGCCATCTCGACGCTGGACACCGTCAATGCGATCGGCGACGTGAACCATGATCTTGGACGCCTGAAGGAGGCAGAGTCAATGTACCGACGGGCACTAGACGGGCAAATCCAGGTCCTCGGCGCGAAGCACCCGTCTACCCTCAGCACACTAAGAGACCTAGCAGGTCTCTCTACCGACATGGGCGCCTTTGACGATTCAGAGAAACTGCATAAAGTGGCCCTCATCGCCTACTCTGAGGTGGTTGGAGAGGAGCATCCGTCGATTCTCAACGTTTTCAACAGTCTGGGAAACCTATACAAAGCCCAGGGTAAATTTGGTGATGCGGAGAGGATGTATCACCTGGCACTCGCAGGACTCCGGGAAGCCCTGGGACCAAACCACATATCATGTCTGCACATCCTGGGCAATCTCGGGAATCTCTATGGCCAGCTGGCCAAGTTTGATGATGCAGAGCGCATGCACACCAAGGCACTCGTTGGGTTTCGACAAGCGGTTGGAGAACATTCTCTATCTACTATAAATACCTACTCAGCGCTTGGAGAGGTTTATCTTGGTCAACGCAATGCTGTAAAAGCGGAAGAAATGTACCTACGGGCGCTAGATGGCTACACAAGAACACGAGGCGCGGACAACCCATCAACACTATCTATCGCCCTCAAGCTTGGTGCTATATATGGTGAATTAGAAATGACCAGCCAGGCCGAGACGTTCTTACTGCAAGCAAGAGACGGCTTTGAAAGGACCTTGGGAGACGACCATTTCCTGACATTGAATGCTGTCTTTAACCTCGGCCATGTGTACACGGAGCAACACCGGTTGGACGAAGCTGAAACAATGTACACACGGGCATTTTACGGCTATGAACGAATGTTTGGGAAGAGTCATACGTATACGGCTGATACTGCGACGTATCTCCTTGAGCTATATACTCAGCAAGGCAGGCTCAATGATGCGAAGCGAATCAGTCTGCGCCAGAGTCGGGGGAAGGATGATGCAGAGCGTTCCGGGGACTCATCAGGCTCAATCACAGAACCAGCATTCGCACCACCTGGACTCAGAATGCTTTGAACTAGATGTCTCAAGATACTTGATACTTGCCTGGTATTTGTAGGATTTATGGTAGTTATGTCAATAATGCCTTTGCACTATATAAGCATGAGACTTGAATGGTCTCTAATTTCACGAGTATATAGATTTTGAGGCTATATTTATGGCATGCCATGATGAAAGTCGCTGCACAAGATACTAACAATGTCGAAATGAATGTCCTGGAATATATCATCCATCGCACATGGGCCTCAGCGGCGATGTCTCGTCCCCTGGACCTCCTCCGCCCATTTCCACACCCACACCAACACTACTCCCAATACCATTTATTGCAAGAGGCAACACTCCCACTGTCACCAGTACGTGGTCTCCCCCTTATTCTCGCCGCGAGCCCCTCGAAACCTCTTACGCCGCAGACTATCTCTAGCTTGTTAGTAGTTCGAGTGAGTTCTTATTAAGTATTAATTTAATACTTTGATAAAATCTCCCCTGAGCATATGGCATCGATATGAAATGCATCATCGCATTACTTCATGATCCTCTGCTGGTGCCTCGAGGCTTAATTGGAAGGGATGAGTGCGCCTGAGCGTGGAAAACAAAGCAAACGCCGTAAACATAGCAAACAGGGACAAGGGCCGAAACATTCCTTGAGCTTCCAGAGGCCACGTCAGCTTCTCGGGCTTGGCGGACGAATTTTAGAGGGCTTCAGGGCGTTCAGGTGAAGGGACTGAAGACAGGGCGGCACGGGCGCTAAACCCGACGAGTCAAAAAAAATGGGTGAACACCGACATACAACAGCCGGGATTCGCTGGTGGTCACCCACCCAACTACTAACCGGCCGGCGTGTGGCTTAAGTACGGCTGAGCGGACGGGAAGCCCTGTTCTCCACACCCTGTGGTCGTATGTGGTTGGAGATAATCAGAGATGACTTGTATAGGAAGGAATTGAAACAGTTTTCTTCCTTCTGAGACATTTGCAGAAGCAGCATTGAACTCGGGCCCGGGTAATACCGAGGGACATTGTTTGCATATTACCTGATAAGGTCTAGTTTCAGTACGCAGCAAACAAATGGGTATTGGGAAGAGAGGTCAAAATGACCCCGTTATATCATTTTAACATTAATGAAGTTTTGAAAGGCTGAGAAATCGCTACCATTTGCATCATGATAAACGTAAATAGTCCCATATGGTAGCTCTCTAGCGATTTCCTCATCATTCGTTATTCAAGAACATTGCCGATGGAGAGATCGGGTTTTAGTTGTCACTATCCTAAGATTACTGCATTGTAACACTACGGACAATGTACGCATGCTGTCTTACCGTGCACCGGGAAGAGGGATAAGCAGTGTCACGTCGGCAGACGGCAAGACCCTTGGTGATACAACCTACAATTTGTGGAAACGCGAGAAACCGGTGCAAGAAATAAAGGTTCTAGAAAAGGACCTTCTCTTATGTAGATTGAGAGTTCCTTACCTTTCGGCGGACCAATGTATTGGCCAAAGCGCCTTATGGTAGGAACAATGCTCGACATGAAACTAAATGATAGGCTATATCGAGGATATCGGCCACTTGCGTGGGCAAATAGACTATAGTGGGTGGTTGCAAAGCAATCAAAATAGTTTGCATGTGTCAACCACCATAAATAGCGGCAAAAGCAAAACAGCAGAACGAAATCAGAACGAAATAGATGGAACTAAAATAAACGTCTCGTAGACAGCTAGTAGTCATCTCCCCGACTGATTACCTCCTTGCTTGTCTCCCCCAGCAAGATAGTCTAGAGTATATTAGCTTGAGACCACGTTTTGAATAATGAGTAACAGCTCACATGTTCAAACTGTGCTGAGTATGATCCCGGAGTATCAATCAAGGGCTCATAGACGTCCACCACGCCCTTGTTGACAAGATCATTCATCTACACCGATAAGCTTTTTGTTCAATCAGGGAGAAAAGGATGAGTACGTACGCCTGCCAGATAGCGCTGAACGCCAAGTCGCTCCAGGTAGCGACGGCAAAACACAATGGTGCCGAAATTGTCATTGATAGTCTTGTAAAGGGATCTGGCCGAGGCGAGAGACGAGGTAATCTTGCTGGGTGCAGAATAGCTCTTTCCATAGCCATAGACACCAGGCTAAAAAGGTGTCAGTACTGAGACTTCGGAGCGGAAAGGGGAAACATACACCGTCATACAACACGCCTCGACCCGTTGTTCCAAAAGTTTCGATGGCAAAAACTTCCCCTTCTTCCATCTTGGTCTGATCCTTGGTTTTGATAAAAGGGACGGATTTCCCAGCATGGATCTGGTATGCCTTGATGTTGTGTCCGGTGATGTTTCGCACCGGCTTCACTGGGAATGTTTTACCACCGATCTCCACCTCGTAGCTTTCCATCACTTCCTGGATGGCAGCGCTGACATCGCTGATACGGACGTCAACCCCGGAATTCTAGTTATGTTAGCCATGCTGTTGAAATGTGACAGAATTGATCATAGTCTCACCTTAATACCGGTGTTGGTGGAATCCTTCACAGCGGCGAGGAGATTGTCATAAGTTGGATCAAATGACATGGTGAATGCACTATCCACAATCCAGCCATTGATGTGGACGCCAAAATCGACTTTCATCACGTCGCTCCTGTCCAGGATAACATCCTTCTGGCCAGGATTCGGGGTCCAGTGTGCAACGCAGTTGTTCAGCGAAAGTCCGGTTGGGAACCCCAGTCCCGATTTGAGACAACTTCCCGGCTCGAGGCCAGCATTGTCGAGCAGCGCTCGGACTCCATCGTCTATACCGACCGCAATATCCGTGAGGCTCTGCCCCGGACGAGCGGTTTCTTGGGTCCAGCGTCGGACCTGACGGTGGATTTCAGCCGCTTTTCGATAGTCGTTAAAGAACGTCTCGTCGTGAAGGTGGTGACGAGACAGATATCGGGTCTCGGCGGCCGTCGTGCGAGCGGTATTCTCGTCTGCGGGTCCGTATTTCTGAACCTCGCCGGTCGGATACTGACCGCCCGGGAACAATTTACTCACGGGAACCCGTGGCGGTGAGGACTGTTTGAAGGAAGTCTTCTTCTTGGACTTCTTGCGTTTCTTTTTCTTGGAGACGCTTTCCGCGGTGGACTGCGCCGTTGCTTTGTCGGTACCATCGCCCGCGTGGTTCTCTACGCCGGTGGTGGCGGCACCCTCATCGTCGTCGTCATCTCCATTTTCATCCCCCAGACTGACATCCCCATCGCGGGACAAATGGGCGCCGCGGGGTTCGCCGCCCGTGTTATTGTTGCTGATCGAGCAGGACGAGGCATCTAGGGAGAGTAAGCACAGCCCAGACAGGACTCGAGTAACTGCATACCGTTGCCAGGGTGGCCGTTATGTTCAGGTGACTTGGATCCCATGACGACATCAAGGAAGGGACAGTTCAATGCGGTGATCGATGATGGATAAAGGATGGAAGACGGAGATCGAGATGAAAAAGTGATTGTTGCTTTATTGGCGTCTCACGCTTTGGGGGCCAAAACATCCAGGCGCTATGCCTATTCGGGACGGGAGCTGTTGCCCGCTGTTGCCTGATCGTTGCCTTAACTATGCTGCGTGTTGACCTGCCTCTTTGGGACATTCAATACAATAACAATTCATCTTCGCTTCTCTATTCAATCGCTAACATTGTAGCTTCGCTTTTACAGACTTCTGTATATGTAGGTTTGGGGACGTGGCTCCTGTCATCTCGGTTCGCTCCCCCGAGATATATATAGTTCCACCAGATTCCAAAGAGAATTAGTCCAGTCCATGCTGCTTCAAATATGATCACATCAAGTACATAATCTTGCATTCTTCAACAACACTAACTGTAGGAATTTGGGGTGCCAGGGGTAGGCTACCGAAGTGGAAGAAAAATTGAATGAATTATTGAAGCTTGCTTGAATGCTAACTAGGGGATAGAAAGGCCCTTTATATCTTCAATATCACGTGGTCTTCATGGCCGATTTCATGGCAAATACCGCTTATTTTCATGGAACCTTCCACTTCATATAAAGGTTTTCGGAACTTGCCTTTAGCGAGGGTTTGGCGGATTGCTCGAAGCACCTGATTCTTCTACACTAACTAATGGGGGTTAAGAAATCTAATGAGATAAATTTTCTTAACACCTATAGCACAAATATTCAACCTCCTGTCTTCTGTATCGCAGAGTGTGCTCGAAGACAAGTGCCCAGGCTCAAATATCAGCTGTAAGTTGTTATTGCTGTGTGTTTCTCAACCGAGAACAATTGTGCTGGCAGTGCACACTGAGCACAGGGCGAGAATGATGGGGCGAATCAAGGTCGCATGCATGAATTGGGATTGTCTTGATTGCCGCTCTTTGGACTTGATGTCTTGCAAGAGGTTGTATGACCCTGATTCAACTATACTACTTTCTAAGACATGCAGTAATATTCCGGCAATTATTGGTGGGTTTTGAAACGCCCGACAAACAATGCGGAGTGGACGCTGTGACCCAAGCCATTAGCTTGTTTATAGTTGATTAGCTCGGGTAGATCACTGAAGAATCGGTTAAATTGATCTTGAATACATAAGGGAGCTCAAGTTCAGCTATTCTGAAGAAACAGCAAATCCGAAGTTCGCTGATCAACACACACCCGGATCCTGCCAGACGTCGAAATGATCGGCCTACTCCTCGGGCTGGTCCTGCACGTCCCAGGACTCGCTGCGCAAGTCGAGGGCTCCTCGCCCATCTCCTTCACGTCAAATGGCAATCCCATCTGGTCTAACAGTTCCTGGTACTCCGGAGACCCAGCACCCTTGGTCGCTAATGAAAAGCTCTACATCATCACAGGCCGCGACACTGCTCCGCCCAACCAAAACGCCTTCGACATGAACCAATGGGGCATGTTCGTCTCCTCGTCCCCAGACCCTAAGGGCAGCGAATGGACTCTCTACCCGGAGATCGCCACCCCTGAATCTGTCTTCTCCTGGGCCGAGTCGGGATCCGCATACGCCGCCCAAGTGGTACAAGGCGCCGACGAGAAATTCTATCTCTATGCGCCAGTCAAAGAGGCCGATTCCTCCAACGAAGATCCTTTCGCGATTGGCGTCGGCGTAGCGGACTCACCTACGGGCCCGTATAAAGATGCGCACCCGTCCGGACCGATCATTTCGCAGTCTGTTCCCTCGCCTGGAAACTCGATCCAGAATATTGACCCAACGGTGTTCGTCGACGACGATGGACAGGTATACATATACTTCGGCACATTCGGAGAACTGCTCGGATACAAACTCGACTCGGACATGGTGACGGTCAAAGGCGACGTGACCCGCGTGACAAGTCTAACAGGGTTCTTCGAAGCGCCGTGGCTCATGAAGCGCAAAGACACATACTACATGCTATTCGCGGCCAACAACGCTGGCGAGGACTCTCCCTGCACGCCGACCTCTTACCACGCTTGTCTTGCGTACGGGACGGCCTCGTCCCCGCTTGGCCCGTGGACGTTCCAAGACGTTATTCTTCCGGTCGTGTCTTCGACGACGTCGCATCCCGGCGCGGTCGAGCTCAACGGAGATTGGTACCTTGTGTATCACACCGCGGACGCCGAAGGAGGGGGTCATTTCCGTCGCAGTGTCGCGTTCGATAAACTCACCTGGGACTATAGTCAGAGTCCACCGAAGATCAACACCGTTCAGCAGACCTTTGCGCCGAAGAAGGCGGCCCCGGCGACGCATAATGCTGCACTGAAGGCGGTGGCGAGCTCCGAGAATGGCACGCCGATCCAGTACTGGATTAAAGCGTTGAATGATGGGATCGTGCGCGAGACTCCGCTGCCGCCGGACTATTGGAGCTCGTATGATGGTACGGACTCGCCAGAGACGAGTACCCTGACCTATGCCTGGAATGAGACGGTCACGTTGAATGGAACTTCGATGGTGTTTTTCGCGGACCAGCCGGCCGGTTCGGACATTGGAGTTGCGCCGCCAAGGGAGTGGTATGTTGAGTATAAGGATGGGGAGGGCAAGTGGCTGAAGGCTGTTAATAAGACGGCGTATCCGCTGGAGGTAACGGATACTCCTGATGTTGTGACGTTTGAAGAGCTGGAGACCAAGTCAATTCGTGCGATCCTAGCTGCTTCGGGGTCGCAGGGACAACATGCCGGGGTGGGCGTGAAGGAGTGGGAGGCGTTGTCGACTACTTTGCAAGACTCTTGATGTGATGATGCAATAGATGTACATAGTTCTAGGCCCTATACTCTTATCGATATCAAGATCAAATTCAATAGTCTATGGCTCTATGTGTGTATATCGCGAAGTCTAATCTATAAATAACCATCTAATCTAATCTAATCAACAAGCCTCAGGCAAACCCCGGCAGGGTCATCTTATGTACATACTCCTCTATCAGCTTCTCCTCCTGATGAATGAACGGCTGGACAACGTCCAATCCACGGTCAATTTCCTCCTTAAGTCTGCCCCACTCCCCATCCTTCGCTTCAGCGCCCTTGCGCTGGGTGACGTCGCCATTCGCGTCACCATTCTCCACCGCGGTCGCGTGTCCATTGCCATTGGCAGCCACGATATCCAACAAAGGCGTGTAACCAGCCGCCTGGAACGCATCCTTCGGCGGAACGGTATACCTTCCCTTCTTCAACACGTAGCGACTAATCGAGACAGCGTACAGCTTCTTCTTCAAGGCCTCGGCATCCAACACGCGACCCTTCTTCCCGGGCTTCAGGAAATACGTGATGATGTAGATCCACTTGTTATCGTAGCTCGCCACGTGCGACTTGACCTCGTATTTCATGTAGGCGGGGATTTCGCGCTTGAAGCTGGTGTAGACGCTGCCGAGGATGAAGCCGAGAGGTCCGCGTTTGCCGTTGGCGGCGAGCTGCTTTTCGAGGAGCGCGGCGCCCTTGACGACGATGCTGGACATGAGGGCCGTTCGCGAGACGTCCAGGTCGGAGAAGTAGGTCGAGTTGGACTTGTGCATGTTGAAGTCAAGTTCCATGATCGGGGCACGCGAGTAGATGCTGACAGGGTCGAGGAGCTCGGTGCTGGGTCGCGCGGGCTGCTCCACGGCGGGGGTGATCAAGTAACCATGTTTGAAGAAGTAGCGGTAGACGCGGATCTACATGCCCAGAGCGGGAATGTTAGTATAATGAGAGATAGCTAGTGCGAAAGGGAGGGAGAACGCACATGCCAGACCATGGGAAAGGTCTTCAGGTTCAGCAAAGCGAAGAAGATGGCCGCGGCTTTCCAGAAGCCAAGGGACCCCCAGATGGAGGAGACGAACGATAAGATGGACTCCATCGGTTTATTATTGTATGTGCAGTCTAAAAACAAGCGAAGGAACGAAGATACAAAAGAAAAAGAAGGTAGGAGCGACAGTCTATATTCATAGCATGCGCGATAAGAATGAGCAGCGGCTAGCATTTCCAAAACGCCCCAGAAAAAAAATGTTGAGACCCACCACCAGCCAGACCTCGGCACTTGCGACATCGCCGCCAATAACACTGCTTAAAGCACAATCCCTTTTTTCATTTTCTCATCAGCGAGCGACCGCCGACTAATCACCGCCTATGGCCTCTTGCTGCACGTTTGGCTCTGGGATATCCGTCAGCCACGATCTCGGACAATGCAGTTGTATGGGATTTTTCTTTTCTTTTTTTTTTTTTTATACAGCCTCTAATTTACGTTGATCGGAGCAGTGAATATAATATTTCCGGACTGCAAATTTCTAGGAGAGTGACATAGCAAGTCGCGATATGATCACATTGTAATCGACATCATTCCCTTTCCCTTAGGGCTTGTTGCCGCACGTGGGAGAGATGCCTGTCATCTCACGGAAAACCTTCAGGGTTCGAATTCCCTGACCAATGGGCAAGCATACCGTAGTCATTTCGAAGTACATGCTTCGTAGGGAATTGACGGCCTAGATTTATTCCCAGGAATTATATCTTCCTTACGTAGAGCAACCCGGAGAACATGGTGAAGTCCAACCCTCTGCACGATCATTGAATATCAACTATATCAGGGCGGGTTTTGTCAGCTTTCCTCTTCACAAATATTCCAGATTTCCAATTTTGGGAGCCATGCGATGAATGTGAACGGGTTTCGCCGGATCAAAAACAACATTCCAGCGGATAGATTGTGGAATGACAGGAGAATGCATCCTCCAACGCTGTGAATATAGCAGACGAATATCTTCACTGGCATTCCCAATCCTTGCCGTACAGTCATTCATCCAGTTTCCCTTCCCTATCTATTCACCTAGACCCCCAAAGATAGTGTAGTAGTAGACCTCTTCCCCCCATAAAATCTTCCATAAAATCTTCTTCTTTCCTACATCTCACCATTTCATGATTATTTCAGATCAGTCCAATAAAAGATGAGCTGACGGTATGAGCCAATCTGATTAAGGGCGTATGTAGCGTTCCCTTGGTAATTCTCGTTGCTTGTCTGACTCTAGTTGCGAAAGACGAGGAACAGAGACAGATGCACCTTTTGCTGGAAAAGAGGCCATCACCAACGCCACTGCGAGCTGTATTGGGGCATGCGGGCCGAGGTATGTACCATTCTGACTGACCATATCAATGACGCTTTCGTTGCTGACAGTATCTCAGGGCCGCCGCCGGATGGAAGTTGGATAGTCCAGCCACAAAGACAGGATAACTGACTAACCACGGCTATGGTGGCCATGGCTGGCTCCCCGTGAGTCTTTTTTCTACCTTCGGGTTGGGTTTGATCACTGGTCTGACTTGATACTGGAAGTACCAGCAGCAGCTACAACTGCAGCCACCACCACCACAACAACTGCAGCAGCAGATTGAACAGCTGTAGCAGAACCAGACCCAGACCAGAGCCTGGGCCCGAAGTAAGCACCGTTTAAATCCGTGGTCCGAAAAGGGATACTAACGAATGCCTGTGTTTAGCCTGAGAGTGCCGGCAATGTAAGCACCTACTTTGTCTTGGCTTTGCCTCTTCATTACTTTGGGTCACAAAGCTAACGGATGTCCAAAAAATAAAGCTTCCGCACCAACATGTCTATGTGTAAGCTTTTGCAGATATCCCGTCTGATTTCATGTTGTGCTGACGAAATCGGTTCCAGAGTGGGCGGTTTCTTTTGTTTTTTCTTTTTTTCTTTCTTTTTTCTTTTTTTTTTTAACCATGGGCTGGGCCCTCTCGTCTTTTGTGTTTCCATTAAAAAAAAAAACCGGAGGCAAAAAAGGAGTGGGATATGGGGTGACCGATCTTAGGAATGAAACTTGTTGTACGAGTAAGCTTGTGTCATGCTTTCGGATAGACCCAAGGATACGTTCAGATTGAGATCGAATGGCTGCTTTTCCTCAAACCGGGACCGGGTTCTTCATGACATCAATAGTCTATATAGGAAAGCTGGAAACCTGGCAATGATATACCATGAGCGCATTGTACAACATCGGCATTTGCTAAGAACCCTATGGTAGACTTTCAACGAAACCGGGCGCCACAACCGCGTAATAGGATCCATGGATCTCTTACCAAAAGCGGAGAGTCGGTGTCTGTCACTTGCAGAGCCCGGAATCCTCTTATTTAAGGGAGGAGGTAATGGACTAAGATTTCGAGTTTTCACCGAAGGCAATGCATTGTTCATTATGTCTCAAGTCCGAAAGTTTTGTTTACAAATAGCGCACGTTCTGAACGCCCTGGAACATCGAAGGTTGCCAAAATGTGGGATTATTTTGATGATAAATGCGTCTTAATCACCGGAGGATCTGGCTTCTGGGGACGGCCATTGTATATCGGCTAGTGACTCGCACGACCGCTTCTCCTATTTACTTACTGTGCAGGGGAGGACGAGGGTCAGTTTTCTGTTCAAGATACTTGCTTGATGCAGCAAGACTAACGGTTACATGTGTTAGAGCCCTCTATTCTAAATGGCGGAAATTGCTGCCAACGCCATTCGCAGACAGACTCTGCGAATCGGACCGTCTTATCGTTCTGGATGGCGACATAACCAAGCCACATGTCGGATTATCCGACTCCCAGGTCGATATTGTTCGACAAGATGTGCAGATCGTTATCCATGCGGCATCTTCAATCAACCTCACGTCCAACCTAACCACCCTAACACCGACGGTTATCAGAGCCACAGAAACAGTAGCCAAGTTTGCCCTCACATGTCGGGCCTTGACTCGCTTTGTCTACGTTTCGAGTGCATATGCAAACGCACACCTAGGTCCTCGCAGCGAAGCAATCGACGTCCCAATTTACGAGAAGGTCTACAATCCTTGCCAGCAAGACACCGCTCTGACCGAGTGGAAGGACGTGCAAAATATTGGCACCAGCTGGGTATACGAAGCAGAGGACTATCCATGGGCATACGCCTATGCAAAGCATCTCACCGAGAGACTATTGTCCCAATGGTTCGGTGACGCCAGCACAGCAGGAACGTTGCTCATCATCCGACCCTCGATCGTTGGCCCAGCACAAAAGGTTCCCTACCCCGGATACTGCGTTCCAAGCTCGACACCATCGACGTCAGCCGCAGCGGCAATTCTCTTGAGCACAGATCCAGAAATGAGGATCACGACCCGAAGCCCGAATCCCGATGCCGAGATCCATATGGACGAAGTCCCGGTCGACGTTGTTGCAGATCGCCTTCTCAGCCATCTAGCTGTCGGAACAACCGGTTGCGTCCATGCAGTAAGCGGAGAACGAGCGCGGATGAAATATCTCGAGTGGTGGGAGTCGATTATGCAGCTTCGTCAGATCCCGTGGAAGTTGAAGCGTACATGAAAATACGAAAACTGGAAAACACCCAATCAGCATCGGATTTCTCGACTCTGGGTGGCGTTTGGAAGTTCATTCTGCTTCTCCGAGGATCGAACTCTGGCGATTAGTGAGGAGTTAGTCCGGAACAGAGACTGCGCGGATCTACAGCTTTTCACGACAGTTCACATGGACAGACAGCTGTTAGGACGAACGGAGCATCTTCGAACTACCATGGATCAGATGGCAGCGAACAATCCTAAGATTGCCGAAACTGTTCGGACTTATTATCGCGATTTCGGACGAAAAGAGCCCGCGAGTATAGGCTTAAGTGCCCGGCTGTAACCCATCATGGTCAGTAACATACGTATAAGCTGTGAAACATCCCGCGGGCGCCGTGATTTCAAAGTTTTGAACAAGCCATGCAACGAGAGTCTGGTATTACGTTATCAACTTGGTCGTCAATCAGCTAGCTATGATCAATAATTAAATCGATGGCAGTTTAGAAAAAAATCATCACTCATTACAATGAAACAGTCTCTTCCACCCGCATACCGACCGTTGTCACACCACGGGTACCTTCTCCAGCAAGGGCATATTATCCGTAGCAGGAGAAAGTCCCTCGGGCGCGTCCCAAAAGCACCCATCAGAGCTAGAGCCACTATTGGGCTCTTTATATGACTCACTCAGGTCAGAATTAACACGCAAGGAGAGACACGGGATAAAGCCAGATTCCATTAGCCTCACTGAGCTCTCTCCCTCAGTTGGCATCTGGTTAATGATACTCAATAAGTCGTCAAATGCAAAGGCAAGGTCCTCTGTCAGGTCGGGTCGTTGACGTAAACGATTACCGAAATCTCCCAGTGTATACTGTTTGTCATATTTCATACGGAAATGATCAGTGGCCGCCAGAATGCGAATCGTTTCCAGATCTGCATAGAGTGCAGCGATCTGTAGTAGATGCGGTCCCTTCAGCCGCGGACAGACAGAATACTCGTGCCATCGATCCAGAATCAGCCGTAGAACATTGTGGCTGTTATATGTGATCGCGGTGGTTAGAGGACTCGATCCATCGGCGGAAAGAGCGTTAATGTTCGCACCGTATTCGAGTAATAGCATGGCGAAGCTAGCGTTGTCGGTCCGCGCCGCGTGGATGAGTGAGGTCTTGCCATCCGTTCCACTCGAGTCCACATCCGCGCCAAAGTCTAGCAGACTCTTGAGAAGTAAAACGTCAGTGGCATTGCGAGCCGCACAATTGAGAGGGCTACCCTTCTTTTCACACCCGGGTTTTTGAAAGTCCGTAAGTGCGCCGGCTTCTAGCAATAGGCGAACGGCGACGGTGTGGCCCTGTGATGCGGCATTCGACAGGGGACCAGATAATTGAACATCCATAATGTTTGGATCTGCACCGTGGCTCAGCAAGGTGACGATTGCACGAGTGTCCCCTTTGGCGGCTGCCCATGCTAACGGTGTGCGACCCATTGCATCTGGTATATTGATGTCGCCTGGGTTCTGAGCAATTTCATCCTCAAGATTGTGCATTGACAAACCCAGGACAATCTTATGAGTCTTTGTATATCCAGCGTCATCAATAAAGTCTTCATAATAGCCGCCCTTTGTAATAGTATGGAGTGCGTCGGAGGCAGCGTCCGAAAGTCCACCTTCCAGAAGAAAGTGACACGCCTTATTCCGTGGGCTATTGTCACTTGCTGCAATTGGTCGATAATCCGCATCGGCACCTGCATGTATTAGGAACTTGCAGGTTTCATATTGCTTTCCATAAAGAGCCCATCGCAGAACGGAGTACCCTCGAGTAGTGCTGACATCACGAGGAGAAGCCAGTCCCTTGTCGAAGAGATACTTTAGGCCATCAATATCGCCATTTAGTGCAAAGCTAACACACTGTGCCGTATCGGGGACTCGTCTCATGGTGTCCAATTGCAACAAAGTCCCAATATTGGGCTGATAACCAATCTGAAGACGCACAATCGCCGATGACAAAAAGCCCAACGGAAACCAATATTCCATATTCACTTGGCTGGCGCGTGACTTCCGGCACGTAGTAACGCTACACTTCGGGCTGAAAAGTGGCAGCCCAGCATAGCCCACGAACAGCCTTCCGAGGACACGATTTAACAGGGCTGGACTACTCGACTTTTGCTGCAAGTGACAAGCGCACGGGCATCCCGACCGGCATGTTACGACAAATGGCGTGACACGAACTCCCACAGCTTCTGGTTGAGTTGGTGTCGTGTAGACCTCCTTTGTATACGGTGATGGCCTTTCTTTCCGACCAGTAGACATGTCGTATGTCGAGCCCACTTGCTTTAGTTGGCTAGCTTGGACTTGACTTGCTTGTGATTGAAGCATCTCTTCGACTCGAGCGATACGCTCATCAACTGCGGCAAGACCCCTGAGAAAACAGTCCTTCAAGGCAACTTGCTGATGTGAAGATTCCAGTGCGACAGTAGAGATTGCCTCTATGTCTAGTCGTATCTTCATCATGTCTTGTCTGTCGCGAGTCAGCACGTGCTTCCGTTATGCCATTCCAGCTGCGGTGGTCTTCTGGCCATCACGTTGTAAACATACGAGTTTGAGGCACCAAGAATGATATTCAAGTTTGCCTTGACGGTCCTGATATCTTCCTGGAGTGCCTGCAATCTGCCTTGTTCTTTGCGCCACGCGTGCGCCCGGAAGATGGAGACTCGCGAGGCGCGACATGCCGCGTTTAGCTGATTGACGATATCCCTTATCTCAGCCAGCTTGTTATCAGCCTGTTTTAGAATATGCGGGATAGCGGAAAGCTTGCTTTCCGGTAAACAAGCCCGGTCGTTTACGAGTAAGGAAATCTGAAAAAGAACATAGTTCAGGTCGGCTACCTCATTGTTTACCGCATGAAGCCGACCGGGTAAATTTTGACAAAGGGACCGCAGGTCTGAAAAAGCGGAGCATGTTTGGGCAGCTAGAGTTGCGATCGCGAATACACTTGTACTGATGGACAGTGGATCCATGGTGTTTTTGGGGATGGACCGGAGTCGAAGAGGCTGTGGGGAGGCTGGCATACTTAACCGCTCTTATCTGCTGCCGCTTTATCTGATTTCTCGGCTCGGAGACGGCCCGGCGCTTCCCGGCGTGGGCGCTTCCGTGGAAATAACCAGGGCGGTTTAGTGTACTTATGAATCGTATCATCATGTGAAATCAAACGCTTCGAAAGCTCAATTTCCAGTGTCAGTATCTTCAAGCTTTGTTCTCGATATTGCTTGTTGATCACTTGAGTCCTTGCAACATTCTCTCTCTCTATTTTGGCTCCCTTTTCTTGCCTGTCATCTCCTGGCGTACAAACCACCTCACATGAGTGCCTCGTGTAACTCGGCTTATGCTGGCAAATTCAGATTTCATTTTAGCTGACTGCTCTAGAACTCCGAACAATGATAAGTAAAATCATGGTTTTCTGGGAGGTTCAATCCCATTGACTCGGGCTCTGGCGCAACATATATTATGGATGCTGTTGTGGTTTTCGATGCATTTTCTCGTTTTTCCAAACGCTCGGTCAACATAGCTCCTATTTTCTTTCTTTCTTTCTTTCTTTCTTTCTTTTTACCTTGATTTTTCAGAAGAATGAGTCCCAATTTTTCTGTCTACACTGTATTGTCTACTCCATAGGAAAAACCCGGAGGCGGAATGGCTCAATGATGCAGTGCAGCAGTATTGGATATCACAATTCATTGGCACAGGCTAAGCGCCGCTAAATGGTTACCCCACAAATATACGGCCACTGAGTGGTGAATGCATGTTACACTAGCTAAATCAGGCTATGCGCCTTCAGAGCACTCAATTGATTTGCCCCAGCGCCCACCTGGGGCTGTGTTGTGCCTCTCAGGATTATTGTTATTGCGGCTTACAAGTGGGGCTATTTACCTAGGCCGGCATTAGACCCATAATAGTTGAATACGGTGTTGTTGCATCGCAATTACCCCTCTCCTAATTTCAAAGGTCCATGTTGTTCGTTTTCATCTAGCTATCCGGAATACACAAACCTATCTCTAGGCTGTCACGTATCTTCGAATATGCGATTTGCTCACGAGTTTCATCGGCACCAGGTGCCGGAATGGGCCGATGCATACGCACCTTATCCCACGCTGAAACAACTCTATAGGAAAGCTTTGAGAGAGACAGATGCTAATCAAATAGACTTCAGTGGTTTGTTAAGCCTTCCTTCTCTTCCCATAGGCGCGATTCTCACGTTGAATTAGAACTGTATATTGCGCTGGAGCAAAGCATAACTTTGGTCGCAAACTTTTACGAGGAACGCCATGTAATGATGAGCCTACATGCGGCAGATCTTAGTGAACAGTCAAGACTATGTCATGCTATGAGCTCCGGCGCGCTTGATAGCTTTGTGAGACAATTGAAGGATCTCCAAGAAGGTTTCAATAAACTGCAGTGGTTTTTCAGGGTCAACCACGAAGCCCTAACTCGGACTTGTCGAAAGATTGAAAGGTCGCCTGTCAGAGATGCCTCAAAACATCGACGAATCCAATCGAATCTGGCCAGACTCACCGAGACCCGTGATAGCTTTGTTCCACCATTCACCCAAAAGCTCGACTCACTGATAAAAGATGTGTCCCAGGCTCGCGATAGCGCAGAGGCATCTGAGACATTGAAGCGTCCAACCTCGAAATCTTCTACCAATATTTTAGGATCTTCTATGTGTTTGTCTGAGAATTTCGAAACCATATCAAAGTGCCTCCTGGAAGATCGAGGAGTAGACCTGGGTAAGGAAGTGGAGAAGGGCCTCGAAAGCTCTAATTTGCTGGATGACTGCGCCTTGATAGATCTCTTAAATCATCTGGCGTATCTTTCAATCATATGCGGCTCCAGAAAGTGCAGTCTTTTTTTGTTGTTCGAAGCAATGCCTAAGTATGATATCCAACCAGACCATCGTCTCCTGAGCCACATCATCACCGCTTCAGCCCAAAGTCGGTGCTTGCCAGATCCCGACGACCTGACCTACAGCACTCGGGATGAAAACGATGACAATTCAAGTCGTGCCGGGCTTAGCTTGTTCCACAGAGTGGTGCAGTTACTTGGTAATTCTAGATTGGTAACCCTGTCAACGAGGGATACACTGGACCGTATCGCTCTTCATTACGCTGCGATCTACGGCCTCTCAGATACGTGTCGGGAGATCTTAGCCTCCTGCCAGGATTCGAAGAAAGACAGCCTCTCAAACATGATTTTGGCAAAAGACTTCCAGCAGTATACGCCCATGCATTATGCGGTGATGAACAATCACCCAGCGGTGGTCAAGACTCTCCTGGAGGGTCTCTACCTGATTCATGAAGCCAATGGAATCCCGATAGATCAGACATTACTCTTCACACTTGTCTCAATGGCGATGGGCTATGGGTTCGGGGAAATAGTCGAGCTGTTGGCAAAATGTTCTCTTGACCATAAGATAACGTCCCTACAAGGAGAAACTGCGCTTTATCTTGCAACCCGAACCGGACAGGAACGCTATGTCAAGACCTTGCTTAAGAACGGCGGAGCGGTGAGCATCAATGCCCCAGAAACTGTACACGGCTGGACTCCGCTATTTATTGCATGCGTCAATGGCTATGAATCTGTTGTGCGATGCCTTTTACAAGCGGGGGCTAGACAAGACATACAGGACCACAACGGCTGGATGCCCAAAGAGCATGCCGCTTTACGAGGCCATCTCGCATTGGCTGGGGAGCTAGATTCATTGAACGACATGAGCCATTCCGGCGGCCCTGCTGGAATACCGTTGAAGCCAATTTCTGAGGCTAATTCAATCAAAGAGGATGGGAAAAGCCATTTAATAGTCAATCTTGGGGTTTTACAACATGGCAAGAGTGCCAAAGCTGTGGATCTGAGGTCTTTCGCAGACAAGGCCGTCGACCGAAACATTGGGCTTTTACTAGAGATATCTGCCTCCGGGAAGCAGAGCGAAACCTACGTTACTGAACTGCCCTTCTTGGCAGACAAAGTAAACGAGCCGTTTATTTTCGCACTTACCCACCCCAAGGCAGCGTCCATAACTTTCAGAGTTTCTCAACAGGTACCTGGCTATCCTGCTTCGCACACTCTCATCGGCAGCGCGACGGCTCTCTTGCAAGCGCAGAACGATTGTTTTGGAGAGAACCGGGAGAGTCTTGTTAGAGAGCGTACTATACCCATCATCCAGAAGGAAACGATGGACGTCATCGGAACGATAACTTTCACTTTCCTCATCGCTAAGCCAATGGAAAACTTCATTCCGTCCTTCAGGCCTCGGCCTTCTGTCAAGACCAAAGGCTTGCAGCTAGTTGGGCATAGAGGTAACCCAACAGCCTTATCCTTGTCAACCTCACACTAACAATATATCTGTAGGACTGGGCCAGAACACAGCTAGCCGAAACTACCTTCAGCTGGGAGAGAATACAGTCGAAGTATAAAGAACGAACCTAGCCGTGATACTATTGCTGACCTAGACTATAGTCATTCCTTACGGCCGCAAAGCATGGCGCTACGCATGTTGAGGTAAGCAACCACCTTTCTCTGAGGAATTTTGCTAACCTTTACTTCAGTTCGGTAAGAAGACTTACCTCACTAGGAATGAATTAACGGACTAAATTACAAAAGATGCGCAGTTGACGAGGGATCTGGTGCCAATAATATTTCACGACTTCTCCCTTAGTGAATCAGGAACCGACATTCCTATCCATGATTTAACATTGGATCAGGTCAGTATTCCAATCCTAGTGCCCGGCTGTAGTCTCATATATACCAGTTCATGCACGCAAGCCACCTCCAATCTCCGCGGGGAAATCCCGTATCGATTCTTGGGGAGCGTCGCAATAAGCAAAGTCAAATAAAACCTCGATCGCGATCATTTTCGCGAGATTGTCAGCGCGGAACCGAATCCATCCATCACAGAATGAAATACACCGTGGACTTCATGAACAAAGGTTTCAAGCCCAACACCCGCGGCGACGTCATCCAAGACTCCTTTACGACTCTGGATGAGTTACTCACTGAACTACCCGAGTCGATCGGCTTCAACGTCGAGGTCAAATACCCACGACTCCACGAAGCCGCCGAGGCGGGCGTTGGTCCGATCGCCATTGAGATCAACACGTTCGTGGACAAGATACTAGAGCGTGTTTTCCGCTCCGAGACAAATACCCACCGCGATATCATCCTCTCTTCCTTCACACCTGAAGTGTGCATTCTACTTGCGCTGAAGCAGCGCAAGTACCCAGTTATGTTCATTACAAATGCCGGCAAGCCACCGATGACGGACATGGAGATGAGAGCCAGCAGTTTACAAGCTGCCGTACGCTTCGCAAAACAATGGAGCCTTGCTGGCATTGTCTTTGCGTCGGAGACACTCATAATGTGCCCGAGGCTGATTTCATACGTGAAGAGATCTGGGCTGGTCTGTGGCTCTTATGGGCTTTTGAACAATGTCCCGGAGAACGCAAAGGTGAGAGTTCGATTTCGTAGATGCACAAATGGTAATGAAGTAACTAACATCTCGCAGATACAAGCATCAGCTGGGATTGATATTATCATGGCCGATAGAGTTGGTCTCATTGCTAAGGCATTAAAGGATGTGATTCGGTGAAATATTTGGGCATGTTTGAGTCGTTACCGTTTCCGATATCACCTCCATGAAGATGTCACTTAATAGATACGTCAGAAAATCAGGTATACAAGTTTCATATCTTGGCGCCCCTGCTTGGAATTGAAGCATCTCCACCTGTGCAGTCGAGTAGCAACCCGTAAATCATACCCTACGATTCAACGCGCCTACGATATTAAAGGAACCATGGAAAAGAGAAAAATCTCTCAATTTATTGGGTCTGAAACAATTTGCACGCAACCCCCAACGAAAGAGTCATCCACCAGTCTACATTCGACCTGGTTTCCATCTCATAGGATGGTATTACTCGGTCAACTAGCGACCTGAGAAAGTATCAAATCAAAATCCGGTCTCCATACGACCCTGGAACAAGAAAGAGTACCCATGGAAAGAGAGAAAAAAACCAAATTAGTGGCGCAGGCTCCACTCAGGAAGTTGGGAGCGGTTGACTCAACAAGAGACGAGAGAAGAGATCAAACGGCGCACTTTCCAGCTTCCGGAAATCGTACAGCCGCGATTGTCTGATGACAAGCTGGTCCCCATTCATGCACGCATAGAAGACACGCCCATGTTGGGGTCCTAGGAAGGAAAGGAGCAGTATGGGGAATCTATCCTCATTCTTGAAGGCCTTTGGTTCAAATTCCGGCATAGCTTCCGGTTCAAAAAGAGCCTCTTCCTCCTCCTGGGACACATCGGGCTGCTGGGACCGAGCATACATCATTGTAATTACCGGGTCCAACTCGCCGTAAAGCATGGTGCCCTCGCGTCCATTGACGTGTTGTAAAACTCCCAGTGTAAGGTGTGGGTGAACGTGTTTTCCGTCGATTCTTTTCGGTTCAATAAATATTTTGGCGGACCACGCACCAGACGTAAGCGAGTACCTGCCGTAAAAGGTTGTGAAGAGCCCCAACGGGTTTGGGTATCTAAGTTAAAATACGATTTAGCAGTGCTATCTGGTATGATCAACGCAATACTGACCTCACGTGCTCGAGCCCGCGCAAGCCCACCAAGGTCAGGGCCTCAGGGCGGATATTCTTTCTCTTTCCGTACTCGCCAGAAGCATAATCCTCCAAGTAGTTCAGAATTTCATAGGCGCAATAAAATGGAGTCCACCAGTGTGCTTGATCCTGTATCGGGTGGTAGTCTCGGAATTTCGTAAAGCTATCAGGGCCCGAGGAATGGTCAATGGGATGACGAGCAAACTCCTCAGGGGTCATTGGTTGGAAGAGAATAGGTGGGTCCTGTGCCCGTATGTTAGGGGTTTTGGAGTCAAGCTCTTCTGGCTCAAATGAGATACGGCGAATGTTTAACTTCCCTAGTTCCTGATCGCTGACTTCCTGATCGTCAGACAGTTTGAAGGTAGGTTGATGTATTTCCTTTATGAGGACCTCGATCCTTTCGCGAACTATGTCGCTAAGCATCTTGAGAGAGAGACAGAAAAAGTAGTTGCCCTTTGGAGGGGCTGGACTTGAGAAATGGTACGATGGCCGAGCAGTCCCGTACGGTAGCTTGTTAGCTTCTTTTCTAATTTTTCCTGAATTTTGAATTGGATATTCCGTCATGGTGATTCAAGTCCCGCAAGTCGAAGAACGTGGGCAGTTGCATTGAGTGAATTAGGGCGGAGGCAAAAACAAATACCAAGATCGATGTACAATGAGATCGGTCTTCGTTCGACCTGAACAGGGTAAGAGCCGGTCTACATTGCGACCTAAAAGAACATGGAAATCGAGATGATGTTCAAAGGGATACTGCAAGAGCAATGGCTGCAAAATCTTCCACGTCTTCGCGGTTGTTAATATGCCAGGGGCCGAACCTGCTTCTGGTCATGAAGCTGGTCTTTGCAGTCAGGGTTTGGTTCTCCACGTAGTCTAGCCAGCTGTTATCGTAGTTGTGGAAGCTTATGTACAGTTCAGGGCCATCCTGGGGTACGTTCACGCGCCTAAGTCTGTCAGTTAAATTGTAGAAGAGGGCTGTTTGTTGTGGCACGATTGGGGATGCTCACTGATGCTGCTTCTTTGAACGATCGTCCGGGTATTACTTGATCAACGCGAGAGCCTCAGAAACCTCCTGCATATCACATGACGGCGAGTGGTGCTTTCGCTCTCTCAGCTTACATTCCACGATCGCCTCGATTTTGCCTGTCGTGATGGCTTGCAGCTGTCCGTCTGTTATTGCAGTATAGCGATGCTGGCGGGAGGCTGCTCCTCGCCTGGCTTGACTAGTGGCGTTGAAGTCCGCCGTTAGCCCTATCTTGGACAATCGCCCATTCTTTGTCATAGGGAGGGGACCGTCCAGAGAGTCTGTCATGAGTATTCTCTGCGACATGAGAATACAACAGGCGTTTACGACGTTCTAGTCGTGTTTCTTAAGCGGTTCATTCAGGTTATCGAGGCCATCGATCACCTCTCGTTGTTGATCAGGCACATCTTCATATCTGGTGGCATTGGCTGGCTGATTGGCGATGCCAACTACTGCGAGATAGTCCTGGAATTCGTTCGATGCGTCGAGTCGAGCACGGGCAGTGGCATGTTTTTGAGCCAAATTGAAGTTAGCACCATTGAAATCGTGTGGCTTTTTCATCTTTGGCCAGATTTTCCGGTAAAGAAGGAACTGCATTTGGGTGGTTTTAGATCCTGACCCGAGGCCCTGGTAGCTTCCTAGAGTTTCCTGCACAACATCGGCAGCTGCGGCTGCGAGTCGCCAGTTCTCCTCGGTCTCGGGCACCTTCTCAAAGTAGCTCTAGGTGGTCATCTTGGGAAATATCGGATGGATATTGAAAGTGAGCGATGTTGGAATCGTTAGATGGAGATGATGGAGTTTGTTGCTTGAGCTTCAAGTCCTGCTTGAAAGTCTTGGAGATGATGTGTCAGGAAAGAAGTTGAAAGTATGAGAGAAAGTCAGGAGCTATGGTAGTCTGCAGGGTGCCATAATTCACTAGCGAAGCTGTGTAGCACCCTTTCCCAACGATAGACTACGCTACGTGAATTGAATCCGGGTAAGGGAATGGGTACTGAACCATCCAATCATTTGGGTGAATGATCTGGAACTGCTCGCTATGCTAGAGGTACCTGCGCTTGTAGAGATCAATTGCCTGGCAGTCCCAGGGAAGAAATAAAAGTCCACTGATACTCGCTTTTATGGCCTTACTACAGTGGCCGCCAGCTTGCAACAAAAAAGGAAAATGTATAGGTATAGTCCTTTTACCGCCTCTCTTGCCGCCCACTATAGGTAGTATCGTACGGAGTAGTATTCCAGTATACTAAAAACTCGCAATCCCCTTATTATCTCTACCTACTTTACCAACTTTGTAAATGTATGCTCAGCGTGTTCCATAATTCACTAGGAACAGGCCGGGCTATAGTGGCCACTCGGCAAACACGATTTTCTATTTTGAATTCTACCGATAGTATTCTTACCCCTTAGCCATAGTAGTACAACCTCTACAAACTAAATACACGCAGTTTCTCCCCTTATTACCTCTACTCTACCTATCCTCCCTATCATGCCTACACTGCCTACCCTGCTTACTCTCTACTTTGTCTGTTTGAGATAGCTTAGATCAATAAGATACGGAGTATAAATAGCGTAGATCGTATAAACTACATAGGTAGAGTAAGTAGAGCAGGTAGCGTAGGTAGTGTAGGTAGAGTAGAGGTAATAAGGGGAGAAACTGCGTGTATTTCGTTTGCAGAGGTAGTGGTAATAAGGATTACTGCTATATCAGATTTAAATTCCTACCTGGGAGGACCCTGACAGGGTGAGATTAATTGAATAGTATTGTAAGCCCAGGTCCCAAAGTAGACCGGGTCTCAACAATGAGCCTGCACCTCACCGTGGTGCTGAGGTTTAGTAGCCAGAAATGGCGAAGCTAAGACAGGCTCTTATCCTTAGTACAGTCTCAATAATTGTTCTTCACTTGGATATAGTTGTCACTTTTCAAAGGTCCTTAGGTTCTAGGGGGGCGTGCACTATGGCTCGGTAACGTATTACGCTTTCTATACGTCACAGGCCAATGGATCTAGTAGTTTGTAGGTTTACACGGTGATGTTGAGATCGCGTATCATATGGTGAAATCCACCCCGTTACCTAGGCTTTTGATCTTGCCTGGGGACCACCATCATGTTAAAGTCTTTTTATTGAACCATGCAGAGTTACGGCATGATTTCCTTTGGGCGTGAGGTGATTATATTTGCTTCTTCCTTGTTGGAAAACAGAAATCAACTAAATTACTACGGCGGGTGTCCCAGCGATTGAACTCGGCTAGACGAGTAAATTCTCGATCGTGCCAAACCAGACCGGGCATGACATCGTTGATCTTACTAGAGCTCCAATTGGCGGAAGGAAAATGATGTATAACTTAGACTCCGCCGAGCCAAGGGAAGTCGGTTCTTGAAGTAACCCGTGCACGTCCCGTGTCGATTTGCTCTGGCATCAGAAATACAAGATCCAACTGCGTGTACATGCCCGGAGGGATAGGAATAAACATATACCGGGTCATAACTGGCTTTCTGTCTCGGGACTCGGTCATAGAAAAGCTGACGGTTCTCATCTCAAATCCTCCACGTGTGGGGGCGGAAGCCAAAGCGATCTCCTGCACGACCCCCCCCCCCCCCCCCCCCCCCACCCCCCGGAGCAACATTGTAGTGGGTATTTCTTTCCTTGTTTCTTTTGTTGTTCTTTGTCTTCAATCGATACCCGAGGATAATTATCATTGAGGCAAAGAGGATGTAGCGAGGCTCCGTGAAAAGGCTTAAAATGATGAGCCCTTTCATGAACTGGGGAAGGTTCCAAGGGGAGCTTCTATCATCAAAATGCCAAATCATCACCTGGGGAACTTGTACGTATTAAAGGAATACAGCCTGCCTGGCGACCTGATCAGCGGAGCCCCCCAGTCAGGTGAAGATCGCTGAATAATGGACCTGAGACTTGAAAGACCCAGTCTACCGAGTCAAGTCCAATGACTACAAACCATCGAAACGAGCGCGACCATTGGGGTTAGAATAGTACGGGTTTGAAGTAACTCCTCGATAGTCTACCCTATGTCGCCAATTGTGACCCCTATCATCTGGCCGATAATGCTGTACTCCTGCTCGTAGCATGAGATTGAACTCGCGTACACTGACCAAATACAGATCGCCGTAAACCCAGTCACGGAATAGCTGACGCATAGAGTCAAAACTCACCTGCGCAGTCGGGGTCTGTGCAAAATGGAGTATGATGTAAACTCCGCCGACCCAGGGGAAGTCTGTTCTCGAAGATATTAGTGTACGTCCCTGGTTTAATACGCGTGCCATGCTGTACAAAAGCTCCAATGGGGTATGCGTGCCTGGAGCAATAGGAAAAAACATAACTCGTGTTATTAGCTCCCATGTGGAGCGGATACGATCGTAATCCTCACGGTTCTCGCCCCAGACCTTGAACGTATCGGAGCGGATGGAAACAGAGGTAATTTGTTCGCGAAGGTGCATTTTCGTGGTTCGTTCTTTGTTCCCACTTGAGGAGTCCCCTCTCTTTCTTTTTCTCTTCTTCTTTTTCCGTTTCTCTTCCTTCTTCAACGAGCGTGAGACAATGAAGACGGGCAGTAATAGGGTCCCCAGTATTCTCACAACGTTAGCTTCTAAACCAAGATAAACAATCTCGCTTTGACAAGAATCCTTCAAGCGTGGTGCCGTTGAAAGTGATAGGCATGAGGGATGGAATGGAAGAAATAAAATTTCCTGTGCGTTGTATTTATGTGCGAGTACTGTAGTAATTAGGCCGTAAATGCCAAACGGGTCTATACGTTTCATATCATATCCTCAAGGGAAAACCCGATGTCCAGTGGTGATTATTATTCAAACGCGTGGCAGTATGGCGAGGCTCCTTGAAGTAGCTCTCAAGAACGGCAATCTCCCATAAATTGGCAAATGGTACAAGATTGGGTTGCGCGATCAGCGGTCAGCTCAGGGATACCATAAGCAAGGCCACTTGGTAAGTTACGCCTACCAACAATAGCATTCTAGTATGCTATAGGCAGAGATACGACCCACAATTACCGAGAAAATTTGAAAATAGTCGTAGGTATGCTTGGAAAGAGATTATGGACTCATTTAATGCATATCCACGCCTGATGGATAGCAATGTGTTTGGTTTAGCCAAAAAAAAAAAAAAAAAAAAGAAAAAAAAAAGAAAAAAAAAAGAAAAGAAAGAAAAAATAACGGCCACGGTATAGATAGTCAGACAAAGGATCCTTGCGGATCAACACTCATGGAATAGGGTAGTCTACATGTAAAAGGAAAAGCATATGTCACATTATCCTCGGGATCAGAGCGTATACGACCTACTCCCCATATCTAGAGACAATGAAGCGATACAATGTATAGATCTAGAGCCGCCTTGCTATAGTCGCCGCACAACTAAGAAACGCCGTCCTGCTCAGGATAATTCGAAGCCATTTCCTACCGAGTGAGGAGCTTCTTCATACATTGGAAGAACATCTGTAGCCTTGAGAGCTAGCTCATGGTGTGGGAACCAGCTCTATATATAAACATGCGAGTGCAGTGAGACGACAAGGAAGGAGGCGTGTTGACGTTCTACCATTGAACCCATGAAACTAACATTGTCTGTTCCATGTCTACTTATACAGCTTGCTCGGAGCACTTCCAATCATTTCACTGGACTCATCCTTCTCTCATGACGTTCTCGAACAGCCTGCGGCCTTTCTCTAGCAAGCCTTGTCGCCCAATGACCCTTTTCCTACTTTCACACAGCCCCGAGCTGCTAGAGGAACCCTCAATAGGGTGGTCAATTCAGTGGACTCTGTCTGGCCAGCGTTGAGCAAAACATCCTCTGAGGCGGGAAGGCTTTCGTTGTCGTCTACTTCGTTGGGGCTAGGTGTGACTTCATTGGCATCACTAGGTTCTGCGCTCTTCCCATGTCTACCTCTGTCCAAGAATGTGAACTGCCGAAATATAACAGCGCCTTTACTCCCGAGAGCAGAAATATTGACTGGTGATAAACTGGGTTGAAGAATGCCTTGGGATAACCACGTCGGTCTGAGCGTTTGCACCGGGATCCAGATGAGCAAAGTCGTCTTGCACTTTGGAAGTAAGGCACCCACATACTGTGAAGGGATCACACGGCGCAGTCCATGCTAGGCGTTTCCTCAGCTTGCCAGCATCTAGCTCTGGCTCGGACCTTTTGAGCCACTTTTCGTAAAACATTTGTAATATTGAAACGAGACAGTCAAATACTCCCTGCCTATCGGAACAGATCGCCACTGCTCACAGACGGCGTCAGGGTTATCCGGTTTGATGAGATAGTATTATTATATAATACTCGCACTTATGCGAAGCTCATCATGGGCAGAGATCGGCAGAGATCAGCGTGGTCAGAACAATGCCACAAGCCAAATCCTGACTCCTACACCGGTGTAGGCCTTCTTTGATAGATGCCCGATGCAGCATGCTCAGCATTTCGCTATTTGGATCTGTTGTATAAGCAACACAGGAGCCCACCACATTAGGAGCTGATCGGACGAAGAAGGAAGAGATTTACTCTTACTTCTTATGGAAACTTTATGCTTTGCCTGGGCGTATACTTTGCCAAATCCCCCGCAACCCTGTTTCCAAACACCCTATATCACGATTATGACGCATAAACCTAATTATGTAAGGAAGTTTATGGCTTTTACCAAACAATAAGAAGGCCGTATAGTTTTGAATTCATTGTCGAATCAGTCTATTAGGGCTATACTCACGGAGGGGAAATGGCCTACTTCGAACCATACCCGCTGACGGAGCTTGACCACCTAATGATGCCCGCATACATGCATTTATTTCTAACGTTTGAGACTACCAACATTGAAGAAAATATCGCCCTGCTGGAAAATGGAGTGTCGTGCCTCATCCAGGAACGGCCGTTTCTAGCGGGTACGATAGCCAAGCCCCTACCGGAACGCCCGAACCAGAAAGCATATCAAGTTCAACCTCCTGCGAGTTTAGATCTTCACGCCAGTCCCATGCTACACGTCAAAGCTCATGGCGTACCTATCTCGGTATTGGAACGGGCTGAGAAAACACCGCTGGACTTGATCGCGGTTAAGCCCCAGTCACCGACCCCCTACCCATCACCAGCGCTACGCTTTCAAGCCAACATCATGACAAACGGCATCATATTATCGGCTTCCTGGAATCATCGCTTCATGGATTCGCTTGGATGTCAGGTTGTGCTTGATGGTCTGTCGCAATTCTGCCGGCTGAAGGGGACTGCTGGGGCTACACCAAAGACCACTTCTCCGATACAGGACGCCACTCGTCGGCAAACTAGCAACATCGGTGGATCAACGAAGGATCATGCCTCGTTTTACGGTGCCTACAACTACGCGGGGAACCATTACCAAACTGATCAAATATCGCGCGGGTTTGTCTTTTGCTCTAGAAAGATCGAGACGCTCAGGGAGGCGTGCAATTCTCGACTGGCGGAGGTTGGGCAGTCGCTCAAACTCAGGGTCAGCTGTGATGATATAGTCACGGCAATCGTTTGGCTCTCTGCAGCCAAAGCACGCAACAGGGCCTTTTCGGCGCCTCACTCATCGCTTATCCGTTATGTCAGCGTACGCAAGCTTTTGCGATCATCTCTCTCGGCTGCCTTCTTTGGGAATACAGTCGCTATCGCCAAATCCCACTGCAACGTGCATAAGCTCTCATCGAAGGACCATGGCCCCTATGTGGCATGCGAAGCCGCCCCGGGCATGACTCGTGGGATGATAAACGACTTATCGCACCTGGTCTGGTTCATCCGATCAGCTGATACAAGCATAGATGAAAATCACGTTGGAGAGCTTCTCGCGACACTGCGAGCCTCATTAGACTGGGACTCGCTTACTGTCTCCCCTGCGGACGTATCAGTCTCCAGCCTCCGGAAGCTCACTCTTTATGGTCTTGATTTCGGGGACTCATTTGGTCCCGTAAGGGACGTGGAATTTGTAGATTCTAACCTCCATGGCCAGAGCATCATCAGACCTGCAAGAAACTGTGCTTCGGACGCACCGTGGGAAATTCGCATGGCGCAGCCAAAGAAGGTTGTTGACTTTTTGGAGACGGACCCTGTATTAACATGGGCTAGTATCAATGGACAGCCGAGGCTGTGAAGGGAGCTTCTAGGCATTTCACCATGGAAGAGCTCCAGAGCTATCGAGTCACAGAGAACTGCCTGTCTGCAATTGCAAATATAGGAAATTAATATTCCCTTATGGCAGGCGTCTGCGATGCTAGACAGTCTTTGCTATGACACAGTATTTGGGATAATCAGTCTGTGATACATCATGTTCCAATACTGCAATGGCTGCAGTAGATTCAGTCCCTCCCACTGCATTATTCTTGCACAGATTCATCTAAGATTGCCTCGCATGTATATCCTCATGAGCAAACGTAACATCCGTCGTCACCACAATGCCTCCCTCAAAACCGCGGCCAGTATCAGCATCACTTCCCTTCCCTTCAATTTCAAACTCCGGATCCACAATCCGTTCCTGACTCTCCCCAGAAGAGTCCCTCTTCTTCTTCCCCACCGACGTTCCCATCTCGTACGGGTGTCTTTCAGTCCCGAACGCACCACTCCGCCTCTTCCCACTGAACACCGTACTCCGTGCCCTCGACCTGTCACCATTCCCTTGACTCCGACAACGGCCCTGACTATTTCCATATCCATAACTGTATTCGTAACTTCCTGACGATCCATACGACCGGAACCATCCCCATTTCGTGAATAGCGGCTTGATTCCCGGCGCGCAGACGATAATCACCGAGACGAGGGCTTCGCGGGACGCCCATCCCAGAGCGGTGGATAGCGTTGTGATATCTTTAACGGAGTAATAGGCGCGCAGAAATGCGGCGACCATGACGAAGACACCGGAGGAGAATAGAATGCTGAGGAAGATTTTCTGGGGGGTGGGGATGCGCGCGGCCAGGACGAGTGGGATCGGGATACTCATGACGCCGAGGTCGGTTCTGCGTTGGGTCTTGGCTTAGCGAAAGGGGAACGGTGTGAGTTGGAGACGGGACATACACAATGCTCAGTGTTTCGATGACGATATAGTTGAGGGGGCGTATCGTGCAGTTGTCTATTGTATTTGTGTTATTGTCAGTCTATAGCTGATGTTGTGGGATTTTTGTGACCGATGATCATGGCATACCTCCTGCGTATGGCTTGATCTGCCATGTTTTCTGCACCGGATGGCAGATAAATAAATGGAAGAATAGCGATGCAAGAAAGGTGCAGATACACATGACGCCTACGGCTTGGGCAAGGCGGTGTTGCCAGAGTCCCATTCTTTTGTCTCGATGTTAGTACTCATGCTGGTATAGAATTTGCAAATAGAATGACTTACGTTAGTCGACCGTATAAGAACATGAGCACTCCTTTGAACGACCACACCATGAAGATGTAAGACAGCCAAGCCACAAAGGCATAGATGGAGCCTTTTCGAAGAATCGCCACTTCTTCATCTGGTACCTCCATCGCTGTCTTCTCGGTCAGACCAATGTTAGACCCATAAACATCTAAAATAGTTAGAAATTATGTTGCTGCCCAGGGCAAAGTGGAAGAAGATACCGGTGCAGTAATATAGAAATATTGTGTGGAGTGTCCAGAATATCTATATAGGATCAGTCAAGCAATACAACGGAGGGCCCTGTAATTGATGCTAGTTAAAGTAAACCAACTCACCGTTGCCAGACCGAGACAAGCATCATCCCAATAGAAACGGCTCTTACCTACAGACCATCGTGCGTAGACTCGGACAGCCACGACCACAAGTCCGATGGCCCATTCGGCGAACAGCTCTGCGGAACCATTATAACCCATGGTGAATCTATGACATCGCAATGATAAAGGCAAAGATATCTTTATCGAGCGTCCGCAGTGAGTGAAAGCTTCAATTCACAACTTGAGAAAGGGAGATAAAGGGAGGATTCCCTGCTATAGTCATATCGAAATCATTCCACGGCAGATCGACGAGAATGAGAAGTGAAATCGGAAGAGTGAGTGTCGCTAAACCCCCTAACCAGATTCTCAAATACCCCAATCTAGCAGGGACCACGACCCAGGCCCTGAACGCTGGGATCGACTAAAGGGCGATGTCGCCGATCGATTTTATTTCTTTCTTGTGTTCATTGCCAAGCCACTATAGGCTCCATGGTTCGGAGTCAGCCTACCAGGTTATAAATTATTTGTATCTTGGGCCTATTTAATCATACTGGGACAGTGGACCCTGAGCTGAAATCATAGAGATCCGCAAATCCCGCAATTGCTCCTTATGCAGCCATCCCAGAGTTGACAAGACCGCTCTTAGGGTATTGAGGTGCATTAACTAAAAGATCAATTTGCTCCTAAGAGACACTAGCCTTATATTTGAATATGGGAAAGCGAGGCTGTCACATTGTTATGCAGGGTATGGCTGGTCTTTACGGAGTACACAGAACTAAAGGGTATTTATGTACCTATCGCTCAGTAACTCAAATCCCTCATAACAGCCATCATACGAGATTGGAAATTTTGCGAGCAATTCCCTGTAGCCACGACATTACGTACACCGTACACCTTAGTGCTAACCCTTGTTCTGCGATTTATTCGCTACGCTAAAAGAATTCTATTCCCGATCTAATGCAGGCTTCAAGCCAACCACGATGCCATTCCCACCCCACCGAAACTTGAGCCGGATTATAGGCGAATTCAATTGCACTGTACTATCAAACGGATTTGAAAGTAGAATTCGAACAAGATGGCGACAAGATATGCAACCAATCCACACGGCCCCCATGGAGGAAGCTCGAGGGATACGAGCGAGTGCACATCCGTGGAGCGCAGAGAAACTCTATTAGCACTGTCAAAAGTACGGAGTACCTAGAATAGACACGAGCGTCGTACCCACGAGAGAATCTGAAACCAATCGAGTAAATAGCACGATACGATCCGGTGGGCCGGGAGTCGGGACTGGCCGCGGCGCTGTTTCCGCGTCTTGGCGTCCCGTCGGCTTGCCCTAAAGAGCTCGCCTTGGAGCATACGAGAGCATTTCGCCGCGGGACTTGATCCGGTCGTTAAATGGAATTTGAAGGACTATTTCTTTAATTTACATGAGTTAATGATACCCACTGGGGTTATATGAACCCTATCCATCTTAGTTCAGAGGCGACTTGTGTGGCGCCATTGCCCATTATGCTACCGTGGCTCTTGGAAAGGCGACACCGGCACTCGTGTACACCGCGTGTACGGAGTACGTATTGATCGATCGTCAATTCAGAAAATGTCATGCTAACAGAAAGAAACGGCATACGGCATTCGTTATATCTGTAAGATTAAATTTATGCTCTTATAAACCGTAGCTACTACTACCGGCCGGGAGATGGACTGTCCACGCCTTTTCCAATATTCATATCTCTCCTCGATTGCCTCAGACCACGTTTCGGAGCACAAGACCAAATACCCATTTTATACACCGATAATTTCTCCTGTGTGCGGCGTAGGATTCTCCTTACAAGGATCATAAATGAGCACATGCTACCATACCCCATAGTCCGTGCTACCGCCTGCCCGTCGTCGATAGACACCAAGTTAGCGGCTCCGCATGATGGAGACTGTGGACCGTTGTCCCACTCGCCCACCAAATGACAGAAACGCGTTATCTAACTGTTTTCTTCTTTACCCTGTAAAGCGTACAAAGCAGGGACTCCGTAGGATTCACATGCGCGAGGGACACTTGGAAAGATTAACCCCTGTCATCGCGGCTTGCGTTAGCCCGCTAGACTAGCGCTGCGGATCCTTGAAAGACAAAGGCCTCTCGGAGTAGTCCGGAGTGGCCGAATGATTTTATGGCTTCTCAAGCCGACGAATAATGTCCCAATGACCTGCATATCGTGTTTCTTAAGCCTTGTCTGGCGTTTCTTGGTGGGTAATTAGTGGAAACGGAACGGACGGCCGCGCCAGATGGAATTAACAGCTGCCTTCATGTAACTTAAATTAATTCTTATTGTTGGTTTTTTTTTCTTTCTGTTCTAAATTTTGCTCGTGAAGAGAGGGGGATTTGTCCTTCTGTTTCTCGGTTAGAATCCCTATATCCGACCTGATGCCTCCGGGACCGTAACACAATCATACATCATCATTCCGAAAATAATGTGGTATGATATATCAAAGGCGTGTCCCCTTTACACACCAGGAAGGAGAAAGATCCATCGTTCCCACTGTTGGGAACCGCTTTGTAGTGGGGTACTGCAACGAGTGCCAGCGAGGTGGATGCATCAGTAGTCTCTTTGTTGCCTCAATAGTTAGCTAGTTTACTTCGTAGGGAACAGTGCATCAATTGGCCCGTCCCCTGTCCGGGGTCTTAAAGTGGTCATAAGGTGGGATGACTCCTTACTAGGCTAGATAAGAATTTGCATACAGCGTGTCATCCCCGCCGCATTTATCCATCGATCAGGCTTTCTGTTCGAAGACCGTTCCTTCAAACAACGATCATGGATTTTGCACTCATAGACCATCTGCTGTCGCAGGCAAAGGCCTCCATTGATGAATTCCAGTCTAATGGCGTCGAAGACTCCCGTATCGAAGCCCACGAAAAGGTGCTGCAGCTGGCACGGGCACTGGAAAAGCCGAGGGATGCTATTCTGAAGCTTTCATTTTCTGTGAGTTTCTTGTGGCCAGTGTTCTACGGGGTTTTCTGACTGCTTGAGGGAGTAGCCTACGGTGCTCATGGCCGTTAAGGTGGCCCATGATATGAATATTTTCCCAGTACTCACAAAGTCAGCTACTCAAGTATCTGTGAAGGAGCTGGCGGCCGCGAAACCAGCGGATCCGTTGTTAGTCGGTCAGTCTTTCATGCTCAGGACTTAGTGCTTGTGATGACGTCCACCGACTGACATCGAACAGAACGTATCATGCGCCTCCTCGTCTCGAACGGCTTCGCTGAAGAGCCAGAACCCTGCAAATATCTTCCCACTCCGCTATCCGAAGAAATGACCCGACGAACATCAATTGGTGTCGTGGAATCTTTGTAAGTGGTCCCCTGATCACCGCCATTCGGGGCCGGTTTAACAGAGATATCCGACAGATTCCTCGAGTTCCTCCCCTCCATCCAGAAAACGCCCGAATACCTACAATCTACCGGATACCGCAACCCAGAAGACCCGCTGCACGCACCTCTCCAATACACCAACAACATCGAAGGAGATGGGTTTGCCTGGCTCTGCGAGAATCCCGCGGCATTGTCGCGCTTTAATAGCTTCATGGAAGGTCAGCGCGCCAATCGTGCATTCTGGGGCGACTGGTTCCCCGTTCGTGAGGTCATCCTCAATGAGCCGGGCTTAAGCGCCGATCGCCCCCTACTCGTTGATATTGGTGGTGGTCGCGGACATGATTTGCTGGAGTTCAAGGCCCGATTCCCAGACGCGCAGGGAAAGCTGGTTCTTGAAGATTTGCCGTCTGTGATCGATGAGGTTCGGCAGGCGAATGATCTTGAAGCTGTGGGGATTGAGACGGTGAATTATGACTTCTTTGCCGAAGCGCAGCCAGTTCTAGGTTTGTTTCCTCCCACTCTACTTTTTTTCTCAGTTGGACTTACAATGATGAATTGCAGGTGCCCGTGTCTACTACTTTAAATATGTCCTTCACGACTGGTCCGACGAGAAGGCCCATATTATATTCGACCATTTGAAAAAGGCCATGGTGCCTGGGTACTCGAAAGTGTTGATCGAGGAGTATATCCTTCCTGACAGGAACGCGCGCGCAGTCAATGGAATGACGGACATGGCTGTCATGGTGTTCTGTGCAGGGCTGGAGCGCACACGACAGCGATGGTTAAACTTGCTAGAGTCTGTAGGTCTACGAGTGAATAAGTTCTGGACGCGTGGTGGAGATGCGCTGGGGATCATCGAGGCAGAGATCCCGCTGGACCAGAATGGGACAGAGCACATTGATAGAAGGCTTGCATGAGACTCGGAAAGCTAAATGACTTGTTGTTTTAGTACAGTTACAGAGTACGGCCCTGACGGCTTTGACATTGGCAACCCATTGTCAACCAACTCTACCTATATGTTAACCTTTGATAGAAATAGAGTCGACGAACAGAGATCGAAGAATTTTGGTGAAAGCAAGTTCAATCAAATTGCAGTCGCTAGTATGCTAAGGATATCGTACGCTCCATAAAATCAAACTCATTCGCTCAAAGATTTCCCCCAAGATATACCGAGGCCGTACATGTTGACAGCTCATGTTGAAAGCGAAAGAGCAACCTTCTAGCTTAAAAGGCTTTGAAAAGCTCAATCTCCACCAACCAGGCAGGTTGAATTTCTTCGTTTATCCCCCCAACTGCCGCATTAACAAACAACGTCTGTTCTTCCCACTTCAGTGGTCTCCTATCTCCCGTACAATGACTTGTCCGATAAAACCTCCCCTGCACGCTCTCTTCCTCTCCTTGCAAGTTCAAACGTCTCTCGATCACAAACGTATTCTCATAATCCACATCCCCGAAATAGCAGGGCTTTCGCGTCGGACTACCCTTCTTCCAAGTCACCAGCTTCGCCCCCCACTGCTCATGGATATGCCCGAAGCAATGCATTCGGGGTTTCGCTCGCCTCACCGCGGCGAATAGTCTCGGACAGCCCGCTCGCTCTCGATTTAGGGTGTAATCCATGATCCCCTTTGGCGGACCATGCGTGATGGCAACATCAACGTGCTCGAACTCGAAATTATGACCGTGTAACCGCGAGTATTCGAATCCCCTCTTCCCGGGGAAAGAGCACGGGGTATATGGACTGGCGTAAACAGTCAACGAGGCGCCGTTCGCCAGAGCGAAATGATGTGTGCCCTGGTCAAGGAATATGATCCCGTTGTCTGTCTCATCCTCGAAGAGGCTTCTAGCGTACCCGAAGTCGCCATATTTCTCTCCGACTAGTGCTTTGTCGAGTGGCAGCCGTGCTTTGGCGAGCTTTCTTTGAAATGCTGGCGTATCGAGTGTGAAGTCATGATTTCCGGCGATGACGAGCTTCAGAGGCGCGTTTAGGCTGGAGAGCAGGGCGATGGAAGAGCGGAACTCTGCAAGCGTCGAGTCCGTCGTTAGGTCGCCGCAGTGGATGGCCACATCTGCGCGCTCGGTGCTCAGGTGCTGAAGGGAGGAGTCCCGTCCGTGAGTGTCTGAGATTATGAGGAACTTTGTTCGGATTGTGGGTGGTGAGTACATTTTGACGGATTTGCAAACCGTCACTCTTGTGTATAGTTTCGCGATGTAGCCAGTGTATGAGCTCTATAGTTGTAGAATATAAGTTAGGGCTATGAGTCAGATACGCCTGGTTGATGTCATGATGAGCATCGAGATGGTCCTCATGACTCCCACAGGACTATGAGAAGACACGCCGTTCCATGGAATCATTAGGCCTCGGGTTATCAATCAATAGGTTTTAATACGTCTCATGGGTTATTCCCTTATCTTCCGAGTCATGAGTCGTCTCTCATAAACACCGCCTTGCGAACAATATCTTGATTCAACCACTAGGACCTCTCGTTTATACCGGGAGACTCCAACATGGATCAAACAAGGAGATAGCTATTATCATGAAAGGGCATCCTACACCGTCACATTCAAATATAAAGCTCAACAGGAGTAATCCGCCGTATGTCAAGCCAACACATTTCATGCTACCTCTCAAGCATAAAACTGGATTTAGGCTAAACACTTCCGCGTATCTATCAGCGGCATGAGGATCCTGACGAATTGGAATAGCCGATTCTAAACTTAAATCTGACCTTATTTTGGTACAGGTTTCTGGAATAATTTACCATGTCACGGCGGGTTATATATATCAGCATGACAACTAATATTAGGTAGCCAATACGGAATTGGATCTAAGTCAACAGCCGACTTAAAGTAGCCCCCACAAATTCTATCACTATGTCAGAACTGAGATATCGATTACACTTGACTAGCATATGTAAGAGTGACGATCGGCCGGCCGGCAGCTGTTCCGACCTCACCGACCACAAAAGTCCTAAGTTGCGTGCATACAGCTTTGTCGAGAGTTATCATATTCCACCTACAAGGCTGAATAGCCTAATGTTGCGAATGGTAATCTAATATAGATCTTTCTCCAATGTTTTGTTAACCCGTCGCAACGGAACAACTAATTTCCGCCCTATACAAACACGCCAAGACCCGTCACCAAACACCTACCAGGTGGATGCCTCAGGACTGCCGCAAGAGACCTGAGCTTCCAATATGTTTCTGTGTTCACAAACAGAATTCACTCTCCTCGGGGACATGATGCCCCCCTCGCAAGACATCCGGTGTCTCACTCGTCGGCATTTGTCCGACTCGCGCCAGAACCTGCAGGTCTGCCAAAGACGCAATCATGGGTCCGATGTCGTGATCAGCCGAATGTCCAACCCGACGAACTCGCCTCTCAGAATGCTCAACATCCACCATACAGCGGGCGAATACAAAGCGTTGAACGTCGAGATGCTGCTCGGTTAAGCAGCGGGCCAAGCTTGCCAATGCGGAATGCCAAATAGGATGCGTGAGATTTCCGGCTTGGAAATCAACCCCCGGCTCCATCTTGTTCTTGTCCACCATTCATGCGCGGTATGGATGATGCGGCCATCCTCATGGCTGTGGGGTCGTAGCTCCCATCGTTCCATAATGCTCCACGCGGGATATAACTGACTCGTGGGGCTCGGGTTATGTCTCTGGTTATAAAAGCTAGGGTCTTCCACTGACTGAAGTTAAGATCGTCGTTGGGTTTCGTCTTCTGGTGAATCTTGCCTGGAGAACTTCTTGCGAGATGGCTTTGTCGCAGAAAGAAGCTGAGGCGACCACCTCATCGCCGTTGTCGTCAACAGCGTCATCGGATCGCGATGTAAATTATGACTTTTACAAACAGCACCAGGGGCTGGAGTATACCTCAGACGAGGCGAAAAAGGTGCTCCGAAAAGTCGATTCACGGTTGATCCCTCTGATGTTTGTGGTCTATATGCTGCAGGTATGGAATATATCTTGTCCGAAGAGAGTTTGAGTGATGCTGACTGCCCTAGTACCTGGACAAAAACAGTATCAATTTCGCGTCAGTGTACGGCCTGAAACAAGGGACGCATATCACAGGCTCTCAATATTCATGGCTTGGTATGTCTGTTCTCGGTCGACACGAGATCTTCACTGACACAACAAAGGCTCGATATTCTATTTCGGATACCTGATTGCGCAGTGGCCAGCTGGACTCGCTCTGCAGAAACTCCCTCTTGGGAAGGTCCTCAGTATTACTACTCTTAGTAAGTCTCCATCGCCTCGCTGTTCCGCTTGCAGCTTACTTACAAATTTAGTTTGGGGCGCGCTTCTGATGACCACACCGGCGTGTCATAATTTCGCCGGTATCGCGACCAATCGCTTCTTACTTGGCTTTGTCGAAGCCATCGTCAACCCCGGATTCGTCTTGATGATGAGCATGTGGTATACGGCGATCGAGCAGCCGCTGCGTCTGGAAGCCTACTACTGCACCAACGGCATTGCCACTATGTTTGGAGGGTGAGTCGAAAACCTAACTCCCCAAAATTCCGGGCTGACAAGAGGGTAGACTGATTGGTTACGCCGTCGGACACATCACGACTGGTCTGCCGAGATGGATGTATGTGTTCCTTATCTTCGGCGCATTCTCCGTCGCAACCGGTATAATCGCCCTGATTCTCTTCCCGGATCTCCCCTGGACCGCGAAATTCCTGAACGAGCGCGAACGAGCAATTGCTGTGGAGCGAGTCGCAATTAACCGCCAGGGCGTGAAGAACAACAAGTTCAAATGGTACCAGGTCTGGCAGGCCGCGCGGGACCCCAAGACATGGTTGTTATTCATCATGGCTGTGGGTGCGCAGGTTCCCAACTCAGCCCTCACAAGCGTAAGTCTCTTTTCCAATCCGAAAGTTTTGGTTAAACAGCTCACATGAGATAGTTCACATCAATCATTGTCAAATCCTTCGGCTTCGACACCCTCGGCACCCAATACCTACAGATCCCCGGTGGTGCGGTGCAATTCCTGGCTCTCCTGATCGGCGGCATCGTCGCCACAAAATACGGCGACAAGTTCCACTCCCGAAGCGCCTGCATGATCGTTGCCAACACAATCTGCATTATCGGATCTGGCTTGCTGGTCGGATTGCCCGATTCGAACAAATGGGGCCGCTTGGTGGCACTCTGGCTGTGTTACTTCCAGGGTCTCGGCTTCAGTATGAGCTTGACCTTTGTCAGTTCAAATATCGCTGGCTATACGAAGAAGCAGGTTACGGGAGCCTTGCTGTTCACCGGATACTGCGTGGGCAATATCATTGGCCCTCAGACCTTCCGGGATAATGAGGCCCCGGGATATCACAGTGCCTATATTGCGTGAGTTTTCTGAGCGTATTACCAAGCGAGAGGAGGTCAACTAACAAGATACAGGATGCTGGTCGGGTACTCTGTTAAGCTCGTGTCTATCACCGCGCTCTACCTGTATATGTATTTTGAGAATAAGCGGAGAGATCGAGCAGCGCTTGACGAGAATAGCGAGGAAGCAGAGGGTATTGAGAATGGAATGCTGGTAAGTACTGACCTGCCCCTTTCTTCAAATCTAGGAATGTCAGCTCATCGCTGTTGGTGGCTAGGATCAAACCGAGATTGATAACAAGGCATTCCGTTACGTGTTATAGACGTCTCATGTTGTTGAGCTGGGATAATTGTGTATATTGACCACTAGAATTTTATATGACGAGTTTGTACCAAACGATTCCCATCCTTGCGGTGTCGTAAAACAGCCGAGTAGATGGGCTTTTTTTCTACCAAACGAGACACTTGGTTCCAGGATTTAAAGAAGTAGACCCATGTTTATGGCATCGTACGACCTCACCCTTGCTTCCCAGTTGCCGCACCGACCAGATTCCCATATTTCAACGTGTTCATGGTCGCCGCAAATTGTTCAGCTGAAGGAGAAACAGTCAAGATCATCGCAGAGTAGCTATCCTTTGACAACTGAAAATGTTGCCGCAAGACCATGGTCAGCGGCGACGATCGAAACGGAATACGAGCTTGATTCAACGCTCGAGCACGAACGACTTCTTTCAAGGCCAGTAGATCGGTGTTTATCTGCCTTCCTTCCTGCTTCTCTTGTGACGTCTGCTTGGATCCGATTCCATTCTTATTGTCATAGTATTCCGATCCAGCCAAGTCCACAAACACAAGCTTACCCCCAATGCATGGATGGTGGTGTGCCGTTGTCTTAAACACTTCTTCCTCGTTTTCTTCTGCCTTCTTCACGCGGGCCTCGAACTCCAGTTTCTCTGCCTCTGCGGCATCGATGGCCTCCTGATTTAATGGGCGGTCGGGATTAGGAATGTACTTCCCGTCTGCGTCCTGCATTAGAGTTCGCATGTGTTCTTCGATATAGACGTCTGTGGCGCGCTTTCCCACCGGCACCAGCTCTGACTGTCTCTCGACGACGGCATCGCGTGCCCCAAGCAGCGCTTTTGTCACAATCTCCAGCTCTAGCACAGCATGAGTCCTGGAACTCTGATCATGAATACTCGACGTCCCTGTCGCACGTAACTTCAGTCCGACCTGCAGCTCACGACGCAGGTCCTCGAAGTTGCAGCACGCCTTCGTTACAATAGGCCGCACTCTGACTTTCCCGTCCTCTAGCATCTCTGTCTGGCCTCGGATATTTACGCGACCGTCGGCTCCCTCGCGGACAAAACACTCGCAACGGCCGTTGAGAAGGTCAAACGCGCTGTTCTTTCGTAGTTCGTACATGCGGATTCCAAGTCCAAGCTGTGTTCCGCTCGTATCAGCTGCATTCATCTTCTCAAGCGTCTCGTGTAAAGACCGTGCAGCGGCTAGACAGAGTCCGAACTCGTCAGGATGCTCATAGTCGTACCCGATAATGGTGTGAGATTTCCCACTGCCTGAATGTCCATAGGCGAAGAAGTTGCACGATTGACCTTCCAGAACTCGAGGGAGGATTGGTGCCACGACTGCATCAAAGACTGTCTTGTTGTTGTCGTCGGCTTCGAATATCTCTGTGAATGATGGCCCGCTTTGCCAGGAACGGTCTCGGCTGGGGATAGATTGTGATTGAAGAGGTGCTGCAATGGAGATTGAGGATGGGTGAGAGTCCTGGTGCGTGTACTCGCGCTGGATCTCCGCTTGTCCTGCTTCATCGGAGCTAAGAGGGCGCCATCTTGCTAGAACTCGAAAAGGTTGCATTCCAAAATGAGTTCGAGTGAGAGGAGAAAAGAGCGCGGGATATGGTAGCTTGATTCGCAGGAAAAGAAGAATTCACCTCAGTTTGGTACGCTCCTTTAGTTGGCTGGGGACAATGGGACATTTAATAGATGAGCCCAGTATGCAGAATGGGTCTTGGATGTGGATCCCACGGGTCGCGCTAGGCATCAAGGCATAAATCCGGATATTTCTTGGACTCCCGGATGTCCGGGCGACCAAATGGATGCTGCAGCATTGACCTGTATCAGTAAGGACCCAAATGAAACTGATGACAGACTTTAGTTAGTGCCTTTATTATAATTTTGATCGGGCCAAGTTCCATGCGATTTTCCGCTGCCTCGTCAACAAAATTACACATCCAATTTATCTGGGCGAGGTCATTTTCGGCGTCGCCACGCTGAGGAGACTCGATGACGGTTGAGCAGAGTATAAGGAATGGGATGACTTGATACATCAAGATGAGACTAACCGATTGACGTTCAGTGAGTATCAAATACGGTTTCTCGGAATGTTTCAAGTTGGCAACGGACTTACCTTGTCCCCCAGTACATTTTTGGGGCTGAATGGACAAGAGACTGCATCGTGGCCAGGGACGTTCTCGCAATATCCACAATTTCACGCGAGGTGCCCTGGTCTGATTTCTTTGATTGATACAGAATAATGAGAAGCTTGTATCCGCTGAACAATATGTCTACGCAGACCCATAAATCGATTTGATTCGTCGTGTCATTCAGTAGATCCTCCTTTGCCATGTCAGAAACGGTCTATATCGTTTTTAAACAGTGGGTGGCCAATAGCCATATAACTTACAACTCTCCAACCGGACATGATTGATTTGGCCTCAGCTGCAAGGTTTTCGAGAGCCTCGTTGTATTGAACTGTATCCTGCAGCGTTTCGGTGTTCATCAGATCGAGATATTTCAACAAGACAAAAGTAAGCCGCATCGAAGCAAGAAAATGGATCTGAATAAAGCGTGGAGTGTCATCGACCTTTCCTCTAATGCTCGGATCAGGAAAATTCACAACCCAGGACCCTTGGGTAATGAGGGCTGGCTTGCCGAAGTTCAAGCGAAAGATGCAATCCGTCCGTAAAAGGTGCCAGAATTCAAATCGTTTTCGATTTTTCTCCGTTTCATTCTCGGTCTCTTCTCTTTGGTCAAAGCCCATTTGCTGCTCGTTGGAATCTTGGGCCCCTGAGTCGACAGTGAAATAGCCTAGAGCTCGAGCAACGTTACATGATTTCCCAAAGATCTCCCACGCGAGATCACTGTTGAAGGCTTCGACAGACATCGAATACTATGGCACCATTAGTTTCGTTTCGACATCCCAAAACAGCCGAGTCTGAGGAATACCATGAGGAAGGTGGCGTAGAGATCTGTCGGCGTGTTTTCAACTTTATCCAACCACCCCTCGACCAAGTCTAGGCAGGTCTGGTAGAAATACTGCACATAGGAATTTCTGTCCGCAAGATTGTCGTGGTCCAACAACATGCCCTGAAAAACAACATTGTAATATATTATGAGAGATAAATTGTCCAGTTGAACATGGCGTATCTCCAACAGGTCAGGAATGGACATAATAAAATCTTTCGGTAAAGCGAGCTGAAATGCCCCAAACTGGTGGGTTTCGAAGAAGACTGGTGCAGCTATTTAGCTGAGGTACTTGGGGTATGCAAGGAAAACGTACGATTCAACCACTTCCTCGCCATTTCCTTGGTAACGAAAGGACGTGGATTTGGTATGTCTCCTTCGTTCGTAGTGTCAGAGCTTTCAAGATCTTCCAATGCAGCTTGAAGCGCATTGACGAATTGTTCATCTTCGAAGAGACCGAATCCTGTATATCGAAGCTGGAAGAGTATGCTGGAAAGCTGCGACTTGACTTTGCCCTCCCTTAATCGGTCTAATATTCCGAAGGACGATCTTGACGAGATCGGGGGACATGGGTCCACAGAGCGTGAAGCGGTGGACTCGATCATGACCGAGTTAGCCAATGACACTGTACTAGACGCATCGTCTCTCCTATCAGACTCCTTATCCAGGAGAACATGATTCTCTAGGCGCTCTAAACGCTTCAGGATATCAACGATAACATTCTTGTGTGACGCTGACCTGTGTCTATGTCAGATACCTGTTCAAGGGTGATCATGATTCTGAAAGAACAATCATACCGTTGTTGCTTGGCCCTTGTTTTCCTAGGTAAGTAAATACACTCGGTTTCGAGCGCTTCACACTGGTCGCAGGGAGGACCGACCCTGTTACATTTGATCTGCCCTCGTTAGTAGTATTCAGAGATGAGTTGTGAGGTTAATACCTTCTTTGCCTTGCAGCGATTACACTTATTATGATGTCAGCACCAGTCCTCCGGGCACAGCGACTAACATTACCGAAACAGGCTTCAAAGCCCCTTGGGGCTCCATTGTGTTGGTTGTTGTAGGGAGACGCGACGTCAGGCGTTGTCCGGAATTCAGAAAATCCCCGAAAATCCGGGCGCGTCGAAGAACGGCTGCCTCAGGCATGCAGGCACAAAGGCTGGTACAGCACGCCAAGATCCACGTGACTGTATGTGATTTCCATAAATAGAATCAGCTACTTCGTATAGTACGCAGTAACCATCCCAACCGTAATGTTATGTTAGGAGTCAGGAATCAATAACAAGCAATGGTGGTTGAGTTGCAGAGTTGGTTTCTCGACTAGCTGGTAACTTTTCTCCCCACTGAGCTCCTCACACTCTATCTATATTCCTCGAGAAAATGTTCGGGGTTTCCGGATATGCTGCCTTCCAACATATATTTTCGGAAGTTTAACGCATGACCGATGTAGCTCTAGGTTATGAATGCTACCCGATCGATGAAGGTCACATCTGTCGATTATAGGAGCTTTTGATTAAAATAAATGGGAAATCAAATTACCAAGGAAGAGAAGTTTTCTATGATCCAGTAAACATAAAAGAAAAACGGCGCAATGATGGGCAGGTTGCTACTTCAGTATCTAGTCGTAACGGTACGGAGTAGATGTAATCAGTTTAGACCATCTAGAGCTTGCCTAAAGGAAACAAAAAGAAAAAGAGAGAAGAGAGAGAGGGCGAGATTGAGCGCGAGAGAAGACGGAAGAGTCAAAATCAAGAATTCTAGAACTGATATATGCAAGGGGTGATATTATCGTGCGTAAATGGCCATTCTAAGTGAATTAAGCTCATCGCTGGACAGTTTAATGGGCGAAACAGAGTGATACATATATGCATAAGATCGCAAATAATTCATATTCCAACCTTAGTTCGTCTTGCACAAGGGTCCATAAACTGTTCCACCAGTTGACTCCTCCCAATCATCACTACCGACGCAATGATGACACCAAAACACTTGTTCTGCGTCATACTTCTTTTTGACGGAACTGAGCCAATCATACATGTCTCCGTACCAATCGTGCTTGTAATCGGGGTCATTCCGATCAGCTTCATTCAGGTAGGTGCCCATGCCCGGCGTGATATCCTTCATTGAATTCATTTTCTGGTGTGTTGCCGCGCTGAGGACAGATTCACTTAAGATATCGTTCTCATACCATATTTCGACAAGCTCCATCAGCAGGTAGGTCTTGCGCCATGCCGGGTTGACGGAGGTCAGCGGCGCCGGGTCGAGGACTTTGCCGCCGCCAACAAGGCAGAGCTCCAGGAGGGCATTTCGAGGCTTTGTTTCGGAGGCTCGGGTGGTGAAAAAGGTGCGTATCAGATTCTCCAATTTCTCCTGCTGCGAAACTAGAGATCGCTTGTCAAAGAACCGGGATGGCAGAACCGCGCTGGTTCCCGTGTCGCTTATATGACTTCCGCTGCCCTGGAAGAATGCATGCCAATTGGGGAAGTATTTGAACGTCGATAGAACATGAAGCTTCGTCCCATTCAGCGCGCTGAGGCGATTGATGATTTGCTTGTTCATAATGTTTTTGCCTGATTCCACGTCTGAGTGGGTGCTATTGTCGTTCAGTAGTTTCGAAAAAGTGTGCTGGTACACATCCTTTTGTAGGAACCCGTTCCCTGAAAATCCCCCGTCGGATAAATGTGGATAGCGAGATAGAATGTCCCCGATGGCGTTCTGGAAGGTTGATAACTTGTTCTCTACCGGCACAATGCTCAGAGTGTGCATTAGGACCGGACGTGTTGGATATACTTTGATAGTAGCTGATACGACAACGCCGTATGTGCCTCCACCGGCACCTCGTAGAGCCATGAAGAGATCTTGAAGGTGGCATTCACTGGCTGTGACTATTTCTCCGGATGCAAGGATAACCGTATACTCGAGAACTTGATCGGTCGCGAGGCCGAAATCGCGTGATACCATACCATGGCCACCACCTTGTAGGTAACCACCAATTACCCCAACACTCTTTATCACCGTTAGCTCATATTGTCCTGATGTTTGGAATAGTCATACTCTATCACTACCACCGACGGCAATGACACCGTTCTCGGCTGCCTTCGCATAAACGTCTTCCCAGACGTACCCACCGCCAACGGTAAGAGCGCTTCCAGTCCAATTGGATTTGCATTTAGTAGACGAGATATATTCCTTGTGGAAGTGAATACCATCTTTTACATGCTTGATCCAGATAGACAAACTACCGTAGCCTTGGGATCTGACCGTCTACTGTCAGCAATGGTGGTTGTTGTGTTGCGGAGAATAACCTACCTTCCGACAACATCATGACCTGTGTTCTTGATCACCAATCGCACATTGTTGTCTTTGGCAAACTTGATCCCAGCGGCTATGTCGTCCGCGCTCGTCGCATTGATTGTGTAAACCGGCGCCGGTCCCAAGTCACAGACCGAATCCAAAGAAAAGTTCGAGGGGGCACAGGTTTGTATTAATGGGTAGCTATACCCGATAGGAGAGCTCTCTAAGAACCAGGAATTGCTCCAGTTCGCAGCGATACTCTCGCAGCGCTTGGCGTCGTAGCCTACGCCGTGGAAACATGGCTTGGCGATCGGCTGGTTTGCTATAAGTTTTCCGTTCAAGGTATTGTTCAGCGAACGCCAGTCAGATTGCGAGGGCCAACAGTCATCGGCTGGGGTCTGCTTAGTGTAAATTAGATGAATGACAAAAAAGTTGGGTAGAGAAATAGGACAGAAAACATACGCATTTGCACTCCGCATAGGTTGATCGCACTGCAGCCAGGAAAAGAAAAGTTTTGAAAAGCATGGTGGCTGAAGAGGTTGGAAACTTTTGGTGAACAGATGGAGGTAAAGTCGAGTTGGACGCTTAAATACCCCGTTCTTGCATGCTCACTACCGACCGAGTCTCATCAAATAATCTCATCATGAACAGTCCTATTTAGGAAATCGTTATGCCAAGCATCAGCCAGACGTTTCCCAATCGGGTAAATTGTAATGCCAAGAGTCAAGGGGCGTAGATCCGGGGCCGAAAGAAAAGCTAAGCAATGATCTGCACAGAAACGAGGCTGACCTAGTTTTTTTACGTTGGAGGAAACTCTTGTGAGGCTGTGAGGCCAATGTAATTACCAGTGACCCAAGAATCCGTTAGCTACGTGGAAATAGTCATTGGCGACTATCCGAGCTCTCATTGAGTACCTAGACTCGCCAAGGCGATACGTGCATTGATGTTATTTCGAAGCATCTCTCAAAGACCTTCTGTGTGATTGCGCTATACGGAGGCTTGGGGATTCGAGTTTCCAGGGCGGAGGTGCAGCCTGGAAACTATCTGAAAGCTCTCTTCATCGAATCGGGGCAGCTGGAAGATATGTAGATCCGTGGCTTTAGCACCCACTAGCAAGATCTATTACCCGACCGCCTTGGGCCTGAAAGTCATGATGAACGCCCCAGATCCCAGCTCATTCGACATCTTCTACGAGATACCCTGGCTTCCTATTGCTCTCCAGCGGGCTTTCCCAATCATAAAATCGCAGTGCTTGGCGACAAATTTATGGAAAGAGTCCAGTTGGCCACGCAGGCCCAATCTTGGTACTACGGCATCATGTCCCTGGCGCATGGTATACAGCCATCTGATATGCTTAGCGGCACGGGGATCAACGAGTTTACCCGTTATCTGGAGGCATGGCAGAACTGGGTCGCCCCTGGTCAAGGTGCCAAAGCAACTGGTCCAACTATGATCATTCAAGGGCTAAATGACACCGCCGTGCTGCCTGATATTACCGTTGATGCCTACAAAGATACGTGTCGCAACGGGAACGAAGCCCAACTGAGACTTTACGAGGGCTTAGATCACACCGACGTGTTACCGGCTAGCGCTGTCGATCGGATTTCTTTCGTTGATGATCAATTTGCTCATCCCAATTGTACTTCCGGCAGGTGTAACAACTTAACGAGAACTGCGTTTGACCCTGTTCATATGGTGACCGACAAGGAAACGGACGAAATGACACAGTTTTCAGTTGAAATGTGCCATTGATTTGCAGTCTTCGAATTGGGAGTCCACTCCTGGATGTTGTTATATCCTCTCAGTTGTGGGCCATTGCGTGCGATATGTACACTTGACGACATGATCGCTCTATTCCTCGGGATCAAATGCCGTTCAGTATCGAAACAGTGCTGATCAAGCTCACATTACCTTACTTCAATAGTTTAGCGTAATGCACCATTTATATCCTCTTCTCGGGCAGGTCATCACACAGGTCAACGGACACGCATAGAGCCATAGATACATTCTTCAAATTGCCCAGTACCAGACTGGAGCAAATATGTAAGATTTAGATACATTCCATCATAGATCAACCACAGGGTTCTCTGTGGCGAGAATCGCCACCATATTCCCCGGGTTCGATATAACCCTCTTCTTTGAACCCGTCACACACCAGCAAGTGCCTGGTTTCTGTTGCCCTGTCCCTTCAAAGTTCCACGTAAGAGCGACATCTGCGCGCTTCTGGAAATTATTCATCGAGTCACAGAGCCCCAGGCAGTCCGCAAACTTTCCCTGCACCGTGGAAGATAAGTCTTTCTTGTTGGTGGCGTGGATGTCCGCGTCGCAGAAAACATAATAAGTCGATGCCGCGGACTTGCCGGTACCCATATGAATCTCCGTGTTGTTCGCGCCTGGACATGTGTACTTTTCGGCTGTGGGGGTGGGAGATGCGTTTTTGGTTTCTGAGGCAGTTGAAATTGTTGATGTCGGATCTGACGTGGATGTAGATGGTTCTGATGTGGACGATGACAATGATGCAGACGAGGTGAATTCGCCGCGCGGGGCCGGGGAAGCTGGCTCATCTGATGCCGATTTTGGGGTAGAATGTGATCCTTAACAGTCAGAAAAAGAGGATGTTAACCCCAATAGAGCGAAAGGACATACTGCTAAGGGCAACTCCCAAGCCGACAGCTAGGCCGATTACAACAATTGCGACCGCTGCCCCTATGCCAATGATCAATTTGCGCCGCGGATGTTGCTTTTTAGCTGGGAGGTCTTCACTAAGGACGGGCTTGAGTCCGTTAGGAACGGGCTCCAATCCCGACTGAACGACTTGTATCCCGTCATGCACCACCTGCTTCCCATCATCTGAGACTACCTCCTTGTACGAGTCGCTCATTTTGCGAGGTCAAAAATTGGAGTTGCGAGGTCAAGAGCATTAGAGAACAAAGTTAAGAAGACAGAAAACGGTGGGAAAGAATTTCCGAAGAGATGGCGTGGTTTCAGTATCCTTCAAGACCCTTAGGGTGGCTTTGCCTGTCTGGCGGTTAGAAGCTCGGGCTGATACGCCTTTGTCGGGATGTCCCTAGCAAGCTCGCCAGGGTCCGTCTATTTTAATCGAGGTGTAGTCCAATTGAATCGTCTAGGCACTGTGTGGCTAACTTGGTGCCGGCGAGCCGCCCAGCTACCATCCCTTTCTGCCAATGATCATGGGAATAGATGCATGGATAGCGTATTTAGTGGTGTTTTGAGACAATTCCAGCGGCTAAAGATGTGTCCCCGCCCCCATCAAATTTCCAGCATAGACTCCGCCCCATTTGCAGCATACAGGCGTCGGCATGGCTATAATGAATTTTGCATGGAAAATCAATGTCAGCAGGCTGAACCCTACTGCGTAGGATGATCAAAGTGTTAACCTATATTAGCCCGCACCGCAGGAATACGAATATATTCCACAGTTATTGTGTCTTGGTCGGGACTTATGCACACATAATGATCCGAGGATCTTGGAGAGAAGGTTTTGCGAAGCAAAGATTACAAGAAGGAAATCCCACTTTGCGGTGTCTCTCGGATTGTGACATACCCTCAGGGGCATGGGTAGAGCTGAATCAGGTGTCATCTTTCTAACCGCCGTCACAAGGCTTTTCTTAAACTGTCTGTAAAACGCCAGGGCGCTACTGATTCCTACATTATGGGAAGCTACGATCTATCTTGCTTACCCAATTCTAGTGGCTAATAATAATATTCAGGGCCGAGCATCATCTTCAAGCCAAGCACAGGCCACTTCAGTATCCTGCAGCGCAGTAACACGACATTTCCCTGGAGTTAATGTTTGGAATGTTGATCATAATAGCAGGGCTGTTAACCGGGTCACGTAGTGCAAGGAACAATTCCATCATGGGCGTCTAAACGGCTCACATAATGGTGTCGGTAACTATGAGGCGTCAGCCACGCTACTGTGTACATGCCATCCAAGTAGTCTTTGATTGGGTTAGTATTAGCGAACCCCAGAGCAGAGATTAGACACGAAGAAATGATACCTGCTTTTAAGGGCAGGTTTAAGCCTTCTATTTCCACTTATCATTCAAATCCAAGTAGTAATCGACACAGTTAGCCCCTCGTGCTATACTGCAAGGCGAGGCACCTTTTTCATATCATCTATGAGTTTCGGAGCGAATGCAATTCCATGTATTTATGTCTACGAAACAATTGGATCGTATCTGTGGTTTAAACTTCATGACCCTTCATAACGAGATAAAGTATTGTAGAGGATGAGATATCTGAATGATACACTTACGGGGAGAGTGAAGACCGGCGACTCTTTCCATCACCCAAGTCAACTCCCATACTATGAGAGGGCTGCCGGCAAAATGGCTTTTTGAAAAGATATAACGACTTAGCTTTCTCGTCAACTATTCTCTCTATGATCTGTGATGTGATTGGTTCATGTAGAAGAATTTACAGTTGCACTCTTATAGATAAAGCGACGTTATGTTAAACTGTATTGGCCGCTGAGTGATAGCTTCTTTCACAACTTTTCTCTTGCCTTGAGGCTCTTCCCATTATAAATTGGCCCAGTTCATAGACCTAATAACGGTCACGACCATGCCCACGCGGATACCTGCCCCCTGATCGAGGATCGTGGCGAAACATTTCGTCATGCTGATACGCTTGATACCCCCGACTTGGACGTTGTGCTTGATACACGCCCTGGTAGGGCTGAATGTAACCCTGTCCATGGTTTTGGTGCCGGCGCTGGGGCTGGAAGTGCCGGGGTGGGCCTGCATTGTAGCCGTAGCCTGTTGTCTGCCATGCCCTGTAGGTATCGTACATCTCCTCGCGAAACCTGGCATAGATTTCATTGATATTCCCATCACCGGTCTCTGGTGGTAGAATGCGCAGATCCAGTATATTTCGCCATACCATGGCCAGTCTGCCCGGTGGGTTATCATGGCGGTTCTTTGGTCAATGGCTCGAATCATTATGCGAAGAAGTTCCAGAGTATCGTAGTTTCCCGTTTGAATGCGCACAAACATGTACCGATAGACAATGTCGCGGCTCCTGGAGCGACCTGTCATATGCACATGCTCATTCCATACATACTGCGTGTTGGCGTGAAAGCTTCGAGGGGGCACTCGCTCACGACTCATTCTCACGGCTTTATTTATCCAAGGATATCACAGAGTATACTGGTGTTCCTCTGGTTGCTCGACAACAAGCTGGGAATATCTGCGTAACTTCGAGCCTCTGTGAGAGTGCACTGTCTCAAGTCCGAAGAACTTCGCTCTTGACCCAAGGATAGTGGCGTTCTTGGAGAGGCACAGATCATTTTCTCATCGAGTGGAGGTTGCTTTTATGGAGAGGCTGGATGTTGGATTATAGGAGTAAAGTTGACTTGCATAATCAAGGGAAGAGCCGATCTATGATAAGACCTTCCCGCTTCAAGACGAAATCCGTGGTATTTTCCAGATCAAAGGGTTTATCCGCAGTATTGATATCATTTAACAGGAAGTGGCCGGGAAAAGTCCTGGAGTTCACACGGGATTTCTGATTTCTATGGCAATCCTCGGGCCCAGCGCGAGAAGACGACAATATGAAGAGTTGATTGGTCTGATATCGGAGACCAGCTATCTGGTACCCAGGTGCTTCCGGTGATCCTTACGAAAGGTGCAAACCCATGATGACGGCAAGCCATGGTCAAGTGCCCCTAGAATTAGATCTTGGTCCGGGTCATCGAGGTTTGCATCAATAGACATAATAGGTGTTTGGATCGTGCTCACATATGGCCACTTTGTTGTAACTGTAGTTATAGAAATAATTTCTCGAGGCGATATGCCAAAGACACGAGGTATCAGTAAGAACGGCAAAACCAGCATTTAGAACAGCGCCGTTACTTGAATTAATTCGAGTCAAATCATTAGGTGAATTGTGGATACAATATAAGCTAGTCGGTAGAGAAGAACATTAGCGACTAGACAACGTTTCCTCTGCATGAAGGCTATGAAGAATCAAAGCTTGAAACCTGTGGCACGTTGAGGGCATGCAATCTACAGCAGTCGCCATAACTTCGCCCCGACGACTAGTAATCTATCGTTTCCAGCACTGAGGCTTCACGATTTGTTTTAACGGAGGGATTGTTGAATATTACTACTCCGCAACTCTGCGATTGAAACGACAGCTCTGAGGATATCCTCCTACGGAGACGGGTGCAGCTCGAGCCAATTCTTCAGGCATCATAATCCATCTAGGAGGGCGAATTTCGCTACTAACCCGGATGATCTCCTCTCCGAGCCGCGTTCCCTAATTGGTGAGGTGACATCCCCAATCCTCATTCCTGATTCAAAAGATGACAGAGTTATAATATCCTTTCTGTCGCTTTCGTATCTGTGTCTACTCACTCAATGCGATATTGTGTAGCGAAGCCACGGACTACCCAATTCGGTAAGCCGGAAGCCCCACAGCGGAGTGGCGCTCAGCCACACCTTAAGAGTTGAGTCAGCATGCGCCAAGCCCGAGGCGGTGAGCGGGAATGTTGTGATCTTATCTCCCACCTCCTGTCAACAATTGTACACACCCCCTTCGCACGCCTTTCTCTCGCCGGAACCGGGGAATTATGTCGTTTGTTCACAAATTTGGTCTCTCAAGGAGAGACTTGAAACCATACATTGCCGAGTTTCTCGGCACAGCCCTCCTGATCGTGATCGGAGATGGTGTGGTCGCCCAGTGTCTCCTGTCCGATTATCAATATGGCACCTGGCTATCGATCAACATCGCTTGGGCCGCAGCCGTCTGTATTTCCGGTTACCTTTCCGATCCCAGTCCGACCATCAATCCTGCTGTCACCATCTGTCTGGCCCTTGTTCGTCCCACGCCCGGTCAATGGAAAAAGCTGCCGGGTAAAATCTTCGCCCAGGTCCTAGGGGGCTTTGTCGGTGCCGCCTTGGTTTACATCAATTATCGTTCCGCCATTGAAGCTTGGGATCCTGAGTATACTATCCCTGGAGGATCGATCCTGAGTCCCACTGGTCACCACTCTGCCGGTATCTTCTCGACTTATCCGGCCGCCCATTATTCCTCGAACTGGGAGGCTGCATTCTCGGAATGGATCGGTGCTGCGGTCCTGATGTTCGGGTCCCTGAGTATCTCGGATCCCGCGAATGGCGTTCGGTTCCAGTCCCAGCAGGTTTCTGTGTTCTTGCTCATGACCGCCATCGGTGCCGCCTTGGGCTGGCAGACTGGCTACGTAAGTGATGCGCTTCAGATAACACTGATCGGAGATTCCGTGAAGCTGATTATATTCAGGCTATCAACCCCGCTAGGGATTTGGGTCCCAGACTTTTCTCTGCCATCGTGTATGGAAGAGAGGTTTTCAGCTCAGCCAACTACTACTTCGTGGTGCCGATCTTCGCCCCGATTGTTGGCTGCATCGTGGGAGCCACTGTTTACGACTCCGTTCTTTACGAGGGCGACGGTTCTCGCGTCACGGATGCTCTCGACAAGGCTGAGCACCGTGACGGAACCCTTCGCTTGGACTAAACCTACTCTATCGGTGCGAGTGATGAGCGACCGTCTGATTGACCGCCAGATCTGAACCCAATCGCATTGAAAGTCTCCATTACTAAATGCGTCCATTGGCATCCATTATTGACAGCCAAGAGATGCTTATAAATACGAAGAACAACTCTTGCGTCTTGCTAACACAGACATGATATATCTCCTCTGCTTTTTGACCATGTTTTGCACGGCAAGCGAGAATGAACTAAGCGATGTCCTATGTTGTGATTTTCCTCTGCTTCTTAACTATAGATAGTCTCATATATTCGATCTTTATTGTGGCAAATACCAATGAAGGTAACCTGATCTATCGCCTTACTGTTTGAGAAACGTTATCTTTCTCTTCTTCATTAACGGGTCACTGCTGCCCATCATTGGTGCCTTCGCCAAATGCTATGTTGTGACACTGCACTCACAAGTCTAAATGCAATGTTAGACGTTCAAGAATCCAAAAACATGCCTGGGGCTATTGGATATTTTTTCACATTATATGTGCTTCGTACTTATTATGACCGTCGTCTTAGCTCTAAAAAGATTTAGCAGACTTCAATGAACCCGAGATTTTGAACAAATATATATATGCCTATTTCTCACGATCGGACCCACAATAACCTTCCACAATTGGGATGCAATTGCCTACGGATTGATTCTTGTCCATTTCCCCAAGGTATAGCTGGCTCTATTAATATTTAGACCACGGTACCTGAAACGTGAATAACACATAGACGAGCCAAGCTAGTTGGGAACTTATGTCCAAATGCAGCAGCATTATAGATAGATGGAACTGTTTCTTTTCTTTGTTCTAGCATATTATGTTCCTCCTCTAGTTGACAATTCTGTCTCTGTTTTTATTGCCCCCAACCTCCTTATTGTTTTCGCAAAATATCGTGTCCCAGTTCAAATTTCCTTGCGATACCATTATGACCTGCGATTTCGCCAAGGATGACCCAAAAGAATAACCCAGAAAACCCAGTAGTCTGTCATCTTATATGACCTTCGCATATAACGACCCAAATGACATGTAAGTAGGAATCTGTGTGATCCACTCGTCCGGATCCAGTCTGGTAACAGCCAGCGGTTGAAGTCCGTACAACCACAAGCCGAAAGCCAGCAGCAGCACCAAAGCAGCAATGAGCATGATGAAGGCAGAGTCTCTTCCCTTTGGTTTCGTGGAGAACTATAACTTTGAGTTAGCAAACAGGTTTCGCTAGCACAATGCAGATGTGTAACCAAATCAATACCCGAGGGGAGACTGACCTCATAAGACCAGTCCTCTAATCCTGCTATTTGGGTTGTCCACCACATGTAGAATGAACTCCAGGGATAGACCACCCAGTTGCGACCCGTTTTGTTGTCAATGTACCACTTTGGGTTTGTTAGCATTATCCTCCGATAAAAGAGTGTTTATTGAGGGGCATGAGGATTGTCTCACACTATTGCAGGAATCCGTGAATACGGTTTTTGACAACGCACGGTGGAGCTTTTCGTTGTAGGATCTCTCGCTGTCCAGCTTTGGTTCTACACAGAGTGCTGACCCAGAGATGATGGGTTTGATTACCCGAGTGATGAGAACGGCGTAGCTTTGGTTGTTTGTTAGCTTGACTGGAATCTTTGTTATCTCTTATCTGAATGGGGAGGTTACCTCTCTATAGAGTGTACGGCAGAAGTATGCCCACGTCCAGAATTAGGGCCCAAGATATAGAAGAAGTTAGGGAAACCCGACATGCCGACGGTGTTGAATGCTTCTATGTAGCCCATATCGTTCCAATGTTCGGTCCGGCTGCGTCCGTGCCGACCTTGCAGCTGGGCGTCGTGATGCGTCAAGGAGAAACCGTTGGCTAGAACCTGTTTTATAAAATGTTAGATAACATGGTTTGGGTAGGGGAGTTTGGAATGTATGGGTGCTGGCTCATACTATGACATCGGCGGGGTATTTCGTGCCCGATTTTGTTGAAACAGAATCTTCTTCAAGGCGCTCAACAGGATCATTGGTCAGATGAACGTTGTCCCGCTGCAGACTGGGCACGTAGCCAGTATGGTCAAAGACTCTTCGCTGTGGTTATAACATTAGTATTGTTAGATCTATAATGGCCACTATCAGGAGCGTACCTTGCATCCGACTTCAGCCTTGGGCATCAATAAGTGCCAATACTTTGCTGTTGTTGTAACCCCAACGTTAGATGCGTTTGATGACTGACTGCGCCGATTCGAGTGTGCCTACCGGGTGCATTTTCTTTGATATAAGACGAGCTTATATCTGATGTTTGTTTTCTCATCTTTGCACCATTGTCCGTAAGGTTGAACTGTGGAGTCGATGTTTCCAAGTACAAAAAGGTCAAAAGCCTCAACATAAATAGGATACCTGGAATATATCGAAACGCCATCTGCCACAGCGGAGTAATATCGGTGTTATCACCACCGGGTAGAAAGTATTGTGGTGACTATCGACAATCTATCAGCCCTGAGCAGTCAGGCGTCCAGTGCCCGAGAACTTACCCGCATAATTTGAGTGATCGAGCGAGCTTCTTCTGCTACGGCAGGTATTACCTGTGTGGCCGAGGCTAGGGATGATGTTAGCTGATGATGTAATGGAAGGTGAAGATAAGACATACCGCCATTCCCAATGACAATAACATTCTTGTCGCGGAGGGAGACACTGTGGTCCCATCTTGCCGTGTGGATGATATCTCCGGCAAACTTGTCTTTCCCCGGTGCATTGAAAGGCATCGGATTTGTCAAGGCCCCAACAGCGGAGATCAATACGCTACAGGTCTGTGCATACACCTGGCCTGTATTGAGGTCTCTTAGTTTGACAGACCAGGTTTTGGTGCTTTCGTTCCAGTGGCCTCCAATCCAATCAGTATGTCCCACCATGTGTCGAGAGACCTTCAGCCGCGAGGCCACGCCATCGATATACTTCAGCACCTCGCTCTGCTTGGGGAAGAGGTTGGTGAAGCCAGGATTGGGCGCGAAGGAAAGGCTGTAGAACACGGCTGGGATATCAACACCACACCCAGGGTCTTTGTATTGTTTCGTTAGCCCCAGCTCGAAGAATACATGATAAGCAAAGCATTAAGTCATACAGGTGTTTGCACGCCAGGTTCCACCAAATCCTGACCCTCGATCGTACACAACAAAGTCGTTACATCGTAGGTTCTGCTTCAGCTGGCATGCCATGGCCAAGCCCGAGAAGCCGGCACCCACGATGATGACTTTCTTAGGAGGGAGGGTCTTCAAATCAGTCATGATTGATGGTTGCCCGTCTTTAATGGGTCATAACAGTTCACTCATTTGAAGGGAGATAGTCTCATGGTCTTTCGAGCCACTTGAGCCTGCATGGGGTTTATATCTCTCAGTTCACCTAATAAGATGCAAACACATGCATCGACCATATGAAGGACCATAAAATCCCTCGGTCTTTCCTTGCCTCAGCTCGCCACTATTCATATGCCGATTGAGCCAAAAATGCATTGAGTGTGGCAATCCTGAATCTTTGTCTTCTTCGAAGGGATGGAGTATGCGATTAATTCTATAGTGCCTAGTGTAAAGATAGGGTAGAAATCGCTGATTTGGTTGGACATCGGACAACCTTCTGACGTTCGTCTCCGACGTTGTGTCTAGACTATTACCTGAATAGGCCAAATGTGTATCACAAGTTCTCCACTGTCGGAATCTTAGAATGTGGCAGGGTAGAAATTCTATTCCAGTTGGACGCTGGAATGGAGAACAGGGTGGAGATGATTCCGATATGAAGTCAGGAGGAAAACAGAGTCTTGCACGCACATGTCTTTGGCGAGAAGGTAAAATGACCAGAGGTCCTCGAAAGGCGATTAGCTTAGGAATAGGCCACGAATAAGAGTTATGTTTGGACGGCAATAAACTATTGCTAGACTCTATTACTAGCTTAGGAGTGAAACTTAATCGATCGGAGAGAGCGAGATGGCTATTTTGCCCGTGCAACGTATCACAGACCCTACTGCCGCACATCATTCTGGTTGGCAGTCGCATCTATAATGAGTGTTCTTTGTTTGAATAGTTGGGATTCTGCACGATTGGCCGAAAGAAGAAACATATGCACATGAAGCCTAATTACGCGGTGACCATCGATGTATGTTAAACGAGAGGCATTTGTAGCTGCAAAGAAACGGAAGTTTGTTCAACCTATCAACTTTTATGATATGATAGAGTGTCAGAAGATGTATAGGGAAGGTATCGACAACAGATGTGCCTCGTGAAAGACTGGTAAATGTGAGGGTGTGGCGGCTGCCAGCGCTGAGTAATGAGATCCAAGAGAAACTGTGGATGTAGCAAGAAAGCCATAGATGTCATTTGTTGCCAGTGACAGCTGTCTAATGTCAGGATGACATTTCCTGCATGTGCCTTTCCTAGGAAACATCTACCGTGGTTCGAATTGAATAGTGTACATTCCCCACCAGGTCCACCTGTCACTGAGCGATCACGATATCGGATATCAGCGAGATACACCGTTCAAGAATATACCCACACGAACCGCTACTGGATTGCCAATCATCCAGGTTAACTCTGTCGTTCCCGAGGAGATACTCAAAGTTTCCAGAAAGACTCTTTTGCCTTTCCCTTACAGGCCTAGCATCTGTCGTCGGAGCTCGCGTCAGCTCGTGCTGATCCCTTCTACATTCTCTAAATGCTTCAATCTCGAACAGGCATACCAGCACCTCCATTTGTTGCTCGCAGGCCGCCCTTCAAATGAGACCCACTCATGGGGGGCTAGAGTGCTCTGTCTATTCGGGGTGCGCGAATATGGAGATCATCCCAGTGTGAAGCGCTCGTTGGTTGAGCACGCAAGGTGAGTTCTGGGCAGCAGGGCAAAGTCTTGAATGGAAGTTCGATCGAGCATGATCTAATGATTGCGATATGACCGAATGTCACTATATGAAGCCCTCCAGGCTCCTCCGTGTCTTCTAGAACACAACTTCCGGACTCGTTCCAATCATAGCTCTCAAGCCCGCGGTACAAGTGTCCATAATGCCTTGGAAGACAATCTCCTATCTCTTGTTTCTTTCAGCTACCTTGTTGTTGGCAAACCTCCAACTAGACTGGAAGCATTTTCTCCTCCTCTCTGGATTGAGTGTCATTGTTGGCATTGCGTGCCTTATTTTGAAACTGCTCGTCGCGGCCTATTTATGGCGCCGTTTGATTGTGCTTGACCCTAATGGAAAGAAAGAATTCCTAGGGCAGCCACTCCTCTTCCCTGCCCGACTATCCCATGCACGCAGATTTCCCGCAACTGAGAGATACAACTACTGGTACGATTACTTCATGGTTGGCGTACCTGTTGGTCTTCGGGGCCGCATAGGGAATCTTCTTTCTATAGACGCTGTCCCGGCTTCGGAAAGTCAGAGGGAAAAATGCTGGTTCACCATTGATCCGGGTTACTACCTCAACTGGGGGAGCGGTAATCTTTCCTTGGAGGAGAAGCTGCATATGTTCCTGGAATCCGAGGTGAGTGCGAGCCTCATCTCTTTGTGTGGTCCAATATCTAATTATCCGTCACACTCAGGGTGAAAACCCACAGGAGTTCCCATATGCATACCTCATTAGCGTCCCTCGATTCCTGTGCTTTCAGAAAAGCGCAATCTGCTACTGGTATCTCTACAACTCGGAACGGGAGCTCACTGCAATGATCATGGAGATCAATAACTCTTTCTTCGAAAAACGGAACTTTTTTTACCGCGTGACAGGTGATGATCTCACTGTCGACGACCCGGTGAACGCGCCCAAGGAAGCAAGAGCCTTGATAAAGAACCAGGAACAGCATGTTCCTATTCGGTTCCTTTCTCCTGCACCCAAAAGCAAGCACTACAAAGGGTCCTGGGAGAAACTTATATTCGGCTCCCCCTTTGAGAAGGTAGGAGGGGATTTGACTGCGAAATACATAGACCCTCTTGCAGGCCCTGCTCTGCAATCCAACCTGAGTTCAAATACTCCTGAAGGTCAAGTCAAGGTTACAAGTCGGCTTTCTTCCTGGGGTGACCCGGTCGATCCGATATCTGCTAGCGGACGTGAAATCGCCGGCTTTATTGCTCGGTGGACTCACGTCGGGGCACTATCTGCTCCTCGCATTATCAAAGAGGCCCTTAAGATCCGCTTCCGGGGAAAGCTGAAATATCTTCATAGACCCGAAGTCCGATCTGGCGGTAATCCGCGTAAACCAACCAAGGTCGAACGGTTAGTGGCTTTTCTTATCTCGCTGAATGTACCATGGGGCTAATAATCGACGTTGGCAGTACATTGGAGCAATTCTTCCGGGAGTACCTATCACAACTCGCAACTAACTGCACATTTCCTTTGTCAATCAAATATATGCCTCCAACCTCTCTTCACTTTGAACCGATCGTTTTCAATGCAGCAGTATCGGAAACCTCCGATCCTCCCCAAACCCTGACTATCCAGCCGTTATCTTTCCGCTTTTACACCTCGTTCTTTGAACAGCCAGACCCCAAAACTGCCTTCAGTGTGGAGTCCACAGCATCTCCGACAGATTCGGACCAAGAATCGCGCCGTCTATCGGTCTCCGACAATTCCCTCTTGGATAAAGTCCTTGCCACCGCCGGACAGACCGTAAATGCGGAGATTACTAAGATCGAGCCTCTCCAATCATCCCAAGGTTTAGAGAGAGCTGTACTGCAAAATACGATCTCTTTCCTGCGCCGTTCATCGCCTCGCACGTTCATGGACGGTTTTATGGAGCATAACTTCCCTGCGGACAAACAGCGAGAGTACAGAGTTAGCTTGCTCCACTATCTCTTATCGCGTCGCCTGCCAATCGAGTCCCAGGCAGTTGTTGCGCAACTATTTATTGCGGCGAGAGTGGCACTGGTGAGCGTTCTCTTGCATGCAACATACCAGACTTGGGCAAGGGAGCCGGTGATTCAGTGTTTGCGGAATATTCTCGTTACTCCTACCACTGGAACTTTGGCTTACGCTGGGTGGGACGTGGTACATAATTATATTGGAGAGTATTATCTGAATCCGTTTGCGTGGGGAGAGGGTCTGTGAGGAGTGCAGAAATTTTGATCGGTGGCGCCGATGGCAGGAAACGTGGGAAGAATACTTGTTTATTCACAAGTTAACATGGTAACTTTTTTGGGCGTTTTTAAGCTCCTGGCGATCAGGGATGCGTCGATTGAGCCGTGGGTCTTTAGCTTTGTGTCGGTTAAATTGATCTTTAGTAATAGAGTGCAAGACTGTATGATAATGCTACTTTTTTTGTGTAATACGGCGAATATTCTAGAGTAAAATTATGATGTCCAATCCCAGATGGACTCTGTCAGGCATTTCTCGTTTCCCCGGCCCCGGCCCCCCGTCTATACTGCAGCGACTGCAGCCTTTGGGAATTGTCCCTTGCTACGTGATATCATAATCCTAAAAGGCGTGAACTCAAATGTTACTAATATCATGTGCATTATAAGCTCAACCTAATATACTGTCGGTTGAACACGAACAACGTAGTCTCTCTCAATGATACACTGGAACCTCCTGATTCTCTCCGATACGAACCCCAATCGCAGTATACTCATCCAGATCCTCAACCGGTAATCCAAGGACCTTGTTGTGCAGCTCGTACTTCGATTCCAGATCTGCATCGCCATTGGGAAAGAACATCCGACTATACAACTGCTTCGCAAACCCGGCAAAGTTACCCTGCATCACCGCAGCATGAGCTTCCTTCCATCGCTCTTCAGATGACTCGTGCGTGATCTTCCAGTCGGCATCCGTGGTGCCAGTCACGCGCTTGACACTCTCGAACATGTCGCGCTGGCTGACTCGGAAGCTCGAGATGTAGACAGGGCCGTTGCGGAATTGGGACAAAGTAGGCGACTTATCCGTCTCGTCATCGGGGAGTTCCTTGAGACTCAACAAGCTAGCTAACGCCCGACCGCACTGGGGCCATGTGCTTGTATTAAGGAGAGTATTTCCACCATCAAACAGGATCAGCGAACGGTTCTGGAAATCGAATCCGTATCGATCGGGCCCGCCTCCCAGGCTGAACTCGTACCAGAAGTTGCAGTTCAGGAGCAGGTACGAGCTCACTCCAAGTCTCTCAATTTCGGCGCAGTTGTCATGATGGCTGAGAAGGCTCTCCTCTAGGAGTTTCGGGTTCTGCGAGTCGTGTCCAAACCAATTTGGCTGGACATAGGGCACCCCGGCCTTTGCGGCTGCGCGTACTAGCTTTTTGGTAGTGTCTCTGGGCGCCATGACAGCCATTGTGATTATCAGCACTTGCTGTCCGCGCAGGGCTTCCACCAGTGCAGAGTCATCATCGCCGCTATAATCGACCCGTGCAATCTGGACGCCCTCTGGGAGCTTGTTGGTGCTGTTGGGCCGAGTGATGGCAGTCACGATGTGCTTTCCTGTCTTGAGCAGGTGCTCTGTTACGTGTTTCCCGACTTGGCCGCCGGCCTGTTACTTTGTTAGAAAAGCTCCATTACTGCAGGTTAAGAATAGAACATACTCCGACGATCGCCACTTTTTCGATGCGGTTCGTAAAGCCCTGGGGCTGGTCTTTGGCGTATTCCTGGGTCATGGTGGCTGGAGAGATCAAGGATAGGAATGGACACTTTAGTCTTAAATGATATATTTCTTACTACTTCGACAAATCTTATGCAGCTATTTATATAGCGAAATGTACGATTACAAATAGGGATTCGGTGCAGGCTTATTTCCAGAGCCCTAACTGCGTCCCGACATGGACATATCGGCCTGTCGGAGATACCGGGCTTAAGCGCGCAGACCGACGGGGCGAAAGACCGACAGACTCCTCGAGTTAATGAGACTTCCAGGCCACCAATTCCATGGCAAGTGCGATTCCGAGTCGAAAGACATGTTAATTATGACGCGAAGCTTCTAGTCTACTGCAGTTAGCCCTGATAACGTGTCACCCAGGGCTTTTATCAGATCCCATGAATAGTTACAGATCTTGCTGACCGAGCAATGAACTTGAATGATTCGCTCGACTTCTCTAAGTTAAACGCTAGGCAAGCTCATTGGAATAATGCAACATGACTTCTTGAAAGGTATTTGGATGCTAGAAGCTACCTGTCAAGTACCGAGAGAATACCTGTTGGTCTACCAGCATATACATGGGAGAATGCCACAAATTTTGCATTTCTACGTCGATCCGTCACACTGACATGATCAAGAGGGGCATATTAGGGCTGTCGAGCTATTATCCAGGTATGATCAGCAGGGCTTTTTGGTCCTGGTCGGTGATTAGCCTAAGAGCGACCGATGCATTCGTCTTGAGATATTCTGGGAGTATCATCATCTTATCGCTCGGTTTCTTGTCACCTTTCTTTGCTGATATCCCTTGATCATGTATGCCATCTCTTTCGTGACCAATGCTAATAAAATTCGTAGGCTGACCATCGTCGAGTATCCCATCTGAGTGTGATCGGGGATATCGTTTTGTATTCTATCCACGGACAGGGTACTTCTATATGTCAATAGCTTTCATCGCCTGTTTGTGTTTGCTGAGAAAGCCACTATGCCAACTCCAACGTGGGTTCTGTCGCGCTCGACGATATGCAGTTGGAGATATATTAGGACCCACGATAGCGAGGTGCTCGGGATGCTACCTTGTGTTCATCAGCATCGTGTATAGCGGTCGCGTTTCTGTAGAAGTAGATCTCAGCCCAACCACATACAGTACCTAACGTGCACATTTTTGATCAGCTAAGATACCTCCAGCTAACGGACAAGACCTATCCCTTATGAAACGGGCCGAATATGCATGAGTGGCTACCTAATATCCCCCATCCTCGTGTCCACGGCGGCTACCGACGCCATCGCCACGTTATTCGTCGGAAGTCCAGGATCCAGGACTACCAAGATGCCCAATAGGTGCAACCTCCTCAGCCTTCGTGTTACATTTCATTGTCCAAAACAAAAGGCGGGGAAAGACCGGTTCTATTAATATCTTCATCTACCGTGCAAATAATCATCGCCATCACACTCCTCTCTCCACCCTCTCCAACCCATCTATCCAAACATCCATACACACAATGCATTCCAAGCCCTAATCAATCTCTCCCTCCAAAAGCATCTCAAATGTCCCTCCCTACGCCCCCCGAAGAAAAGCAAACAGAACTCGGCTTCTCCCCCTCCCAAGGCGCCAACTGGACCGACTACCTCGCCTACAGACCACTCTACCCACCTTCCTTCTACGCGCGCATCTATGCCTACCACGCCACGAAGCCTCTAGCTAGCTGGACCCACGCGCACGATATCGGCACAGGCTGCGGGATCGTGGCGTCGAGTCTCGCCTCACGGTTCGCGCACGTAACGGCCTCCGATCCGAACGATGGATACATCGATATTGCGCGGAGGATGTTGCTCAGATACCATCGACATCCCGGGGTATCAGAGACGGAGAATAAGTTCACATTTCTGCAAGAGCGAGGGGAGAGGAGTTGGCTCGGTTCCGGGACGGTGGATTTAGCGTCTGTCTGTGAGAGTGTGCATTGGATGGATACTCGCGCCGTTATTGGTGAGGCTGGCAGGGAGTTGAAGGTCGGGGGAACATTGGTTCTCTCGCATTATACGTTTCCGAGGATCATGGGGAATGACCGCGCACAGCGGGTCTGGGAAGAGATTCGAGCGGTGTGGGTAAGCAGGATGTGTGTCGGGGACCTGTTGGATCGGGCGGTTAGGGTTGTCAATATGGCGTATGAGGGGTTGGAGTTTCCCCCGGAGGAGTGGGAACGTGTGCAGAGGGTTTATGTTAATTCCGGGGGTAGTCTAGAGGCGTTCAAGATGGATGAGAGGGTGGGTGAGAGGAGGGTTGGTGAAGGAGAGGAGATCGTGTGGGTGGAGGATGATGAAGATTGGTGCGATTCGCAAGGCATTAACTGGTTTAAAGGGTACATGGCCACATGGGTGCCGTGTGTTCCTGAGTCCGACATGAAGGGGCTTTGGGATGAGATGGAGAGTGCGTTGGATGGTAAGGTGGGATTTCAAATTCCATTAGTGATGACTTTAGCGACGAAGAAATGATTAGACATTTTTAAGAGTCAAGTATGTAGACAATGACGCAGGACTAACACTGAAGATACTGAATGCGCGTTCCTCCAGCTGAGCCGTTACGAGTCAGTCCGAATCAAGGGTTGCCCACCGGGAAATTCATCGTGTCAAAAAGATCCATGACGTCGATCCCGAGCAGTTGGAACTCTTCCGAAGCGATTGCGCCCGTAAGGCTATCCATTGTCGCGGCTGAAGCTCCATATTGACTCCCCATAAAATCATTGCTTCCAAGCATCGGTTTCTCAGTATCCGGCGGGGCGCTCGCTTTTCTTGATGAATCCTTCGTCTGACTTTCATTTGGCGCTTGGCGGCTGTACTGTTGCATGGTGAAGCTAGGGGTATGATTGAATGGGCCCGTTGACGGTGCAAGGGGCTGAGAACCCAGAAAGGCACCGCTGATAGACGTTTGAAGTGAATCTGCATCAACCTGTAGCCCTGTTCTTGGCGCCACAGTCGTAACGCCAGGAACACTTGTCTGACCGAATTGACCGTGGCTATCGGAGAATACGTGTTGACTATCTCCTCTCTGCGCCTCTTCTATCTCCTGATGTCGGTCGCGTCCATGCGCTTTTATTTGTGACTCGCGTATATATTGACGCGCGATGTGAGCGAACTCGGCCAAAAGGGAGCTGGGGACGGTTCCCTGACTCGCATAATCCAGCCGACTGAAGTGCCCGATGCCAATGTCTAACAGAGATAGATAGGAGGTGGTCTGCGGAAGCAGTGGGTTGTGAACAGCTTCGTCAAAAAGAATGAACAGAGCTGAAAGTGGCATGATCGCCAGTACCCTAATCTTTTAGCATGCGGTAAGCAAAGGCGTGTCGAGATCAACTCACCACAACGACGTGTATGATGCGACCTCGATGTATTTGGTCAGTTCCAAAATGGAACAAGCCGTATCTATGAACAGCCTTTTCATGTGCAATTGCAACTCCATCTCTTTCGGGCCGTGGCCAATGTAGAGAGCCGTCCGTGATAAAGTCATCAAAGCATTATAGTAGTAATATTGTGTATGCAGAGCAACCGACACTGCCATCGGTCCGGGCATCAACCTGGCTTTGAGAGGCTCCCCGGGACGATAGGACTCAGGAATCGAGTTTTTCCACGATTCAAGCTCTTCGAGCAGATGCTGGATGCGATCTAAATAGTAACTTGAAGAATTCCCGGCCGCACTGAGAGAAAATATAGTGCTGTAAATCCGGGAAACAAGTCGGGCATAACGCGCATGCGTGAGAAACCAATCATAATCATCAAATACGGATTCCGGAACATAGGGAATTGGACATCCGATATCAGAATCCATGATGTTCTAGACAATATCAGTTTTAAGTCCATGCTGTTCATACTTGTACTCACGGATGTTCTTCCCGTCACAAAGCAAGACGTCTTATCGAGGCAATAGAGGACCCAAAACACCCGATGAGAAAGATTATCTTTGAGTCCCCTATTCCGATTATAACCCATATTCTGTGCCATCCGCGCGGCTTCCGATACCAGGAGGGCCTCGAATTGCCATGCTGACAGTTTAGTGGAAAACACTGCCTTCAGGGACTGTTAGCTCTCTGTTCACCCACGTCTAGGCGGTCTCGTACCATTGCCGTGAGAGCCTGGAAATGAAGGTCAGCACATAATCACTAATCACACAATATCAAGAGGAACAAACCTGAACAGCCATCAGAGATCCCTTAGTAAAGATGATATCTGGGAAGCAAGACATTGCTCCCTCAAAAAAAGACCATGCTTGTCCTTTTCCAGGGTCGAAACTACCTCCATCGTTATACTGACACCCGAGGGCCAAAACAGCATAGTATAACCCGGACCAAACTCTATCATTCTCGAGTGACGGGTACAGCAGGTGTCCGTAAAGCCGTTGCTCGAATGCAGCTCGGTCTAAGAATGGGTACACCGGATGCACATGAGTAAAGAAAGCTATCGATTACTGTCAACCCTCTGTAATAGTGATTTTAGCAAAGGCATTACCTTGTATACATGCTGTCGAGACATCTTCGGAGGGTTGCAAGGGTGGCAAGTTCTGCTGCCGCAGAAACGGCAGGTTGGCAGCCTTATTGGCTCCTCTGGTTCTCGAATTGGCAACCGATCCGATAGTTTCCAGAAGTTGATTCAACCGAGTATGCCCCAGTCGCGTACCTAGGGCGTCGACTCTAGCTTTGGAGAAAAAGGATATATTTGAGCTAGGGCCTAGAGCTTAAGTTAGTCAGAAAAGTATATGGTACGATAACTACCAACCAAATATCTCAGCTAGCTACAAGACCATTGACGTAAGCATGATTCAGTGTGTAATACAAAATGCAGGTTTTGCTCACTTTGTTGGTAACCTCTTCATCCCGACCACGAGCTGGTGTTTGACGGCTTGCTAAGAGATGATCCACATATAGACTCGCCGGTGTAGAACTCGATGGGGCTGGCAGGTGCGCGGTTTGATTCTAACCCAATGTTAAATTTGAATTGAAGATGAACCACAGGCAGAAAAGCAAACCTTATTGGGCACGGAATCTTCTGTGACAGCTGGGTCGGGGGAAGTCAAAGCTGGCCGTTTAACTGGCGAGCGACTTTCTGGAGCTCCCGACTGACATTCAAAATCGTCTGCCTGTTGTTTTCGTTTTCGGGGTGGCTTCATATAACTGTAGTGGCATCGAGCCTTGCGATTCTGTATTCCAATTTAGATGACCCGTATCAACCATCTTCTTTAGAACCAAAGCTTAACACCTACAATGCAATAGTCGCACGCAGCATGTTCATCTTCCCCGGACCCTATTGCCATTGCCCAAGTTAGAAGCAGCCTCTATAGTCATAAACATCTGTCGGAATGAAACGGAACCTCTCACTAATGCAGCGGACTTTTCGCGATTTGCACAGATCGCAGGTCTTGGACACTTTACTGGTCGGCATGTCAGCCATAACGTAATATTCCACAACGCTCAGTCTAGACAAGGATGTGATATCATATCCCTTCGGAACCGATACGAGTGGGCAAGACGGAGGAAAAGAGTAGTGAAGGGAACAAGTGAACGAGAAGCGGCGGCGGTCTCTCTGTTATTTCGGCGGCGACGACGGCACCGAAACCTTCGGGACCGAAGGTGGCCCACCTCGGCAAGTGATTGGCCGATCATCCGGATTTATCGAGCTGCACATTCCATTCACGCTCAAAGCTTGAAATAAAGTGGTTGCATGTGTAAATTAGGAAATCAGCTTGTCGACGTCAGCATGCTGAGTGTATACCAGTGCAGGACATAAAAGGGGCGCAGGACATGACCCGTATATTCTCCGATCCAGTAACGTTGGCAAGCGTTTAGTATCGTTCCGAGCGGGTGTCGAGTATAAATCGCCTTCTTTTCTCGTATACTTTGTTTTATCTTCAGTCTTCTCATTTTGACGCTTTTCTTCGCTTCTCTCTTTGATAACCTATAACCCAAATGGACGAAAATATTCCTCCCGAAAATGTCAGCGAGGACAGGAACGGCGAAAGCGGGAGAATTGAGGCGTCTCAATTGGAAAAGTCAGTCAATGAACACCCCGAGGAGCTGGATAAAGTGATGCAAGCACTATCACGACGCTCTACCGAGCACGGCGCACCCGAAAACCCATTTGACCCATCTGAGCCTGGGTGGAAACTCGAACAGGCCCTCAAAGCAGCGGTTGCACGGTCCAAGGACGAAGGCTCGTCCCCGAATCTGTTGAAGTCTTCCGTGCGCTGGAGCAATCTCAATGTGTTTGGGAAAGACATGCAGACACAAGCCCAGTCGACTGTTTCTTCCTTTTTCTCGGACTGCTTCCGTGCCGTCACCAGTGTCTTTCGTCGCAGCCCCGACAGAATTATCTTGAAGGATTTTGACGGACTACTAAAGGAAGGCGAGATGCTGCTGGTATTGGGTCTGCCTGGGAGTGGGTGCTCGACGTTGTTAAGAGCTCTTTCAGGCTATCACGAGGGCCTGTCTAAGTATCATGGTGATATCACTTATAGTGGTGTCCCGGTGGACGTCATCAAGAAGGACTTTCGCGGGAAGGTCGTGCTCAACGAGGAGAACGAGAGCCACTTTCCCCATCTCACAGTTGCCCAAACGCTCGACTTTGCCATCAAGACCAAGACCCCGCGAAAGCGAATTGGTGGTGTCTCTCGCCAGCAGTATATTGAAACCATGAGGAATATCCTTGGGGCGACATTCGGCCTGACACATACCTTCCAAACCCGCGTGGGAAATGATTATATTCGAGGTGTTTCCGGGGGCGAGAGAAGAAGGGTATCTCTTGCTGAAATGGTAATTCCTCTCTTAGTTCAGCCTTTTTGAGATTAATTGGTGGACTAACAACGTGAACAGCTTGCAACTTGTCCCTCGGTAACCTACTGGGATAATCCTACCCGAGGATTGGACTCCTCGACATCTTTCGAATTTGTCAGTGCTCTTCGTGCAGCTACGAATCTCACCCACACCGTGGCAGTGGCGGCTCTGTATCAACCAGGAGATTCATTAGTCGAACTCTTTGATAAGGTGGTCATCCTCTATGAGGGTGAGCAGATCTTCTTTGGAGACATAGCTGCTGCCAAAGAGCACTTCCAGGAACTGGGCTTTGTCTTTCATCCACGCCAAACAACAGCAGAGTTCCTACTTTCCATGACAGATCCGGAGTCTAGAAAGATTCGTGAAGGATATGAGGATACTGCTCCGAGTGCTGCCTCAGAGTTCGCCTTTCTCTGGAAAGCTAGCAAGTATCGTAAGCGACTTCTGCTTGAACAACATCGACATGGGAATGAGTATCCACACGGCTTCCCCGAGAGCTTTGAGTCCTTCAAAAAAACTCAAAATGCGGAGAAGGCGCCGCTGAACAGAAGCAAGTCTCCATACACGATCAATTGGGCCATGCAGTTCTGCGCCACATATCTTCGGTCCTGTCAAAGAGTCATCTCCGACAAAGCTTATACTCTCTCTGTCGTCGTCACGATGGGGATTGTCGCGCTCCTGATTGGGTCTATGTTCTATGATATCCCCGACGACACGAGTGGATTTTTTTCCAAGGGTGGCTGTGTCTTCTTCTCGGTCCTGTTCAACATTCTGGTGAACTTTGTCGAAATCAGCGCTCAGTTTTCTCAAAGACAGATCGTGGCAAAACACAAGTCTTACGCCATGTATCATCCGTCCATCGACGCGCTAGCCTCCATGATAGCTCAGTATCCGATCAAATTCATCAACGTTGCTGTCTTCAGTGTTGTGGTATATTTCATGGTTGGGTTCAAGCGAGAGCCGGGTGCCTTCTTTGTCTTTCTGTTGTTTACCTTTCTCGCCTCCGTCACCTTGAGTGCTTTGTTCCGGACCATTGCTGCCCTCGTCAACAGGGTGGAGATCGCCCTCGCAATCGCTGGAATCATCCTGCTGGTTCTGAGTATATACGCGGGCTACGTCATTCCACAACCCTCGATGCATCCCTGGTTTAAATGGCTCAGTTATATCAACCCCGTGTACTACGCTGTCGAGTCGCTCATGGTCATGGAGTTTCACAACCGCAAGTCACCCTGTGCGACCCTCGTACCATCAGGTCCTGGATATGAAAACGTCGGCATTTTGAACCAGGTTTGTGCTTCCGAGGGCGCCGTGCCCGGGGAGATGTATGTTTCAGGCGATGCCTATGTGGAAACCTCATTCGCCTATTCCTATTCTCACCTGTGGAGAAACCTAGGTATAAGCATCGGATTTTTTGTTTTCTTCTTTATCACTTACGCCGCCGCTGCTGAGTTTAAGAACCCGCCGGCACTGAAGGGCAGCCAGCTTCTGTTCCAAAACAAGCGAGACGCACGGCGTGTATATCGGCCTGACACTATCATAGACCCAGAGGAATCATCGGGAGACGGAGATATTGATCTACCTGTACCACACGATGATACATTGATGCACCACCTGAGACCTAGCGAGGGTGTCTTTACCTGGCAAGGAGTAACATATGATATCGAGGTCAAAGACGAAAGTCGCCGCCTTCTTGCCGACGTGCAGGGATATGTTAAACCGGGAGCAATGACCGCTCTCATGGGAGAGTCGGGCGCTGGAAAGACCACCTTGCTCAATATTCTGGCACAAAGAGTTTCCACCGGTGTAATATCAGGCGATATGCTGGTCAATGGCCGTCGTCTCGGACAGTCTTTCCAGCGAGGAACAGGGTACGTTCAACAGCAAGACGTCCACTTTGAAGAAGCCACTGTGAGGGAAGCATTCCGTTTCTCAGCATTGCTTCGCCAGCCCCGGGATGTTCCTCTAGAAGAGAAATATGCGTATGTCGAGAAAGTGATTGATGCCCTTGGGATGCACGAATTTGCAGGAGCTGTTATCGGTACTCCTGGACGGGGGTTAAGTGCCGAACAGCGCAAACGAACCACAATAGGGCTGGAGCTGGTGGCTAGGCCAAGCATTTTGCTCTTCCTTGATGAACCTACGTCTGGGTTAGATTCTAGATCTGCTATGTCAATCGTTAAGTTGCTTCGCAGCCTAGCCAATGCTGGTCAAGCGATTCTCTGCACGATACATCAGCCATCGTCAATGCTATTTGAGGAGTTTGACCGACTCCTCTTGCTCGTGAAAGGCGGGAAAACCGCTTACTTCGGCGAGGTTGGCCAGAATTCAAGCACCGTGATCAACTACTTTGCACGAAACGGCGGATATCCATGTCCCGAGAATGCGAACCCTGCAGAGTACATCCTTGATGTGGTTGGTGCAGGCGCAGCCGCGCGCTCATCGCAGGACTGGGCAGAGACGTGGAAGAGCAGCCCTGAAGCACTACGGAACATGAACGAAATCCAATCCCTTGTCAAAGCGAAGGGCCAAGTCACGATCGTGTCTGATGACGAACCCGATATCTCCCAAGCCATCTACGCCTTGCCATGGACTGGGCAGTATGTTGCTGTGCAGAAACGTCTGTTTACGCAGTACTGGAGAAGCCCAGTCTACGTTGTTAGCAAGGTGGCAATCAACACAATCGGCGGTCTATTCTTAGGGTTCACCTTCTTCAAACAAGACCCCTCGGTTGCAGGCCTAAAGAATTCACTTTTCTCAATCTTCATGCTTCTCCTTCTCTCGTTGGTGATTCTCGTTCAGCTTCAACCGCGACTTATACAATACCGAAACCTCTACGAGGTCCGAGAGAAGCATTCCAGGATGTACAGCTGGACTGCCTTCATCACCGCCAGCATCGTGACCGAAATCCCGTACAATCTAGTCATTGCCTCTGTGTGCTTTATCTGCTGGTATTTCCCTGTCGGCTGGTGGCGAACCATCACAGAGGGTAGAGGAGCATTCATGTGGTTGATATTCATGGTCTTCCAATTATACCACACAAGCTTCTCGCAGGCGGTCGCAATCGCCGCCCCGGATGCCGAGACAGCCTCAATGGTCACAATATTGTTTTACACATTCATCTTCGCCTTCACGGGTGTTGTACAACCGTTGTCTAATCTCGTCGGGTTCTGGCACTTTGCGTACTATGTCTCCCCGTTCACGTATACGGTCGCGTCGATGATGAGCAGCATGAGCCACGACATTCCCGTCCAATGCTCGGAGAAGGAACTCAACCTTTTCAATCCGCCCAGTGGCATGACCTGTGAAGAATATGCCGGATCGTTTGTGAAAGCGTCCATGGCGTCTTTATCCAATCCTAACGCCACCGAGAACTGCGAATTCTGTCAATACGCAGTATCGGATTTGTTCCTGGAGGGTTTCAACATTCGGTATTCGGAACGATGGCATCATTTCGGGTATTTGTGGGCTTTTATCGCGTTTAATGTCTGTTTGTTCTTTGGTATTTATTATCTTGTTTTCCAGGGTGGAGGCACCAAAATCGGTCGGGTGTTTTCCCGTCTTGTGTCCAGGAAGCCGAAAGCCAAGTCTGTGGATTAAAATGCGAGTCCTATTGCTGGTTCTGATATTGAATTAAGTGCAATGCAATAGTCTCAATATATATATATGCCCTCTGAATGCAGATGCATGATGGAAATCAACTGATTTGGTACATCGGCGATGGTAGTTAAAGATGGGAGGTTGGAGGAATGTGCAGAGTGAATCGAAGACGACGGGACCATCAAGTGAGCAACACTATCACATGATTTGACAGTGTCATGATTAGTTTTTCGACCACACTTAAGGTACTCCTTTTTCTCGTAGATGGATACAGGTTGGAAAACATATTCTAGTATACTATTCGGTCAACTATCTCAGAATATCATGCACAGAAATGATCTATAATATCCTCAGCATCAAACTTCAACACAGCTTCAACCCACTTCACTGTGCAGGTTTCGCCAACATCTCATGTTCAAGACTCGCCAGCACAAACGCCGCAGAGCCATGAACGCTGTTGTACAACAAAGGCTGATTGACGTAATACTAAATCCCAGGTTAGCCTCTCCCCAGAACGTCAAAAAGTCAGGAGCATACCTCATATGTCGCCGAAGAATTCAGACTGCAAACAGAGACAGTTCCATTATATCCAAGCGTACCATTACCCTCCTCTACTACGAATTCATTGGCCAAGTATCCGTAGCACTTGCTCGCTAACTCCACTATCTTCGATCCGGTAATACGTTCTGAGTCCAGGAATCCCAGCCGAGCGCCCTTCAACAAAGCATATGTGAACATCGCCGATCCACTCGACTCGATATAGTTCCCTTCCTGTCGCGCAGCAGTCATGACCTGCCACCAGCAGCCCGAGTTAGTGTCAGCGACCGCGATGACCGCATCCGCCAAGGCAGATAATCGACCTCGCAGATAACGGATATATCGCTGTTCCGCAACCCCGGGGGATCTTTTCAACGTCAGCAGCTCAAGCATATCGACCAGCATCATGAAATACCACGCCAACGAGCGGTCCCAGACGATCGGGCTCGCGCCGGTGAGAGAACTGGCCCACACGGCTGTCTTGGACCCGTCGTATCCGTGGACCAGAAGGCCGGTGCTGTTGTCGTAGCAGTGCTGCCAGAGAAGGTCAAGTTGGCGGATGCTTTGGTCGACAATAGAGCTGGTGCTGGCGGGGTCGTATCGCGTGGCGTACAGCCAGTTGAACGGGATGAGAGAGTACATGCCGTCGAGATAGCTCCAGTTGGGGTAGGTGAAGTACCAGAGTCCTCCTGTAGATGGAATGTTAGCGTTTTGGAACACTTGCATTTTGTCCGTGGGTTGGATACTCACCATATTCATTGATCGGTTGAAGGTCGATCGATCGTCTTAAGGAATGCAAGGCTTCCTTGTCGATCGTGTTGTTTGTCTTCTCATAGCTGGGTTCGTTAGCTCTATCGACCATAGCACAACATGATAGATAGGCATACTCACTCGTGCAAAAGCCCGCGAGCAGTCGAGAGCCTGTCAAGTGGGAACAGCTGCGTGTCTTGCGACGCATTCCTCAGAAGCGGTGCGATGCTCGCGGTGCTGTTCGTCAGATACTCCTCCCAGCGAGTGGTTTGACACGAAGGGACAGAGCTATCATGGTGATCCAATAACCGCAAGATCGCAGTCTGGAAGAACCCGATTTGCAAGGCAATCGACGATTCGGGTTTGCCCGGAGGCGCGATGGCCTGTCCGCGCGCGATGACGCTGTCGGCCATCCACGCCGAATACGGGCGATCAGCTGGTCGGCATCCCGAAGGATGAGGTGCCGACTGACAGGCCGGGATGAGAAGGCTGGTGAAAAGCCATGACAAGGAAGTTTTGGGAGATAGCATGGCGACAGGATAAAGCAGGACAGGCGAGATGGCATTCTTGTTTTGGTTGACATTGGAATTCAGGGAGAAGCGGCGCGGATCATTTCCACTCTGGATTTTATTCTCCGATCGCCAAGGATTGACGCAGTAGACCTGAGTATGAACAGATGTTGCACATTGATATAAACAGATACTATGATACAGAGAAAGTAACCTCGAACAAACGCTTAATCCATCACGAATCAATTCAAGTACAAGAATAAGCCCCAGGCTCTCCGAAATATTCAAATCAGATCAACGCAAATCACGCCTGCAAAAGACAACCAAAGCGACATCACACAGAACGCTTCAACAATAAAGAATGCGAAGATTCCATCCTCAATCCCAGTTCTCCTTCAGCAAATCCAGACAAATTCCACTCCGCCACTAGTCCTTCTTTTCACCCTCCTTCTCCCCCTCCTTCTCGTCCCCTTCAGACTGGATCTTCGAGAACCAGAACCGCGAAATAAGACCTCCCAGATAATGCTGATCGATCCACCGAATCAACCCGTAGAACAGCCATCCCCATCCCCACAGCGAGCAGCCCATAAAGCTCGCGACCAAGAGCACCGGTCCCAGAATCAACAGCGACAGCACCGCCCACAGCAAAATGGCCACGGCCGCAAAGATGAACACGCCCGCGAAGAAGATCAGCAACGGCACGCCGCAACAGATCAACTGGCAGACGATGAAGGTCGAACTGGCCGGTCGCTCGGCCGCTGCTTCGTACAGCTTCGCCTGGCGCGCGTCCGGCAGCACCCACGACAAGAGCCAGGTCAGCCAGGACTCCATGCGATCGAGCATCGGCGGGATGGACTGGCTGATCCACTGCCGGATGGGACCCAGGATCGGCCCGTTGTTCGGGTTCTCTTTCTTGGCTTGCTTGATGTCGTTCTCGTCGCCGGGGAACCCGCCGGGGAGGACGTTGTCGGTGGCCCCTTGCGTCGTTTTGCCGGCTGTGTCGGTGACGCCCTGCGTGGTCTTGCCGACGGTGTCGGTGCCTTCCTTGACGGTGTTTTTGACACCCCCGGTGGCAGAGGACAGTTTGGGAGGTCGGTTGGGGAGTTGGTTGGTGGCCATGTTGAGGGACATGCCTGTGGCGAATTCACGGGTTTGCGGTGGCAAAGGGAGAAACGAGCAGCAATGAGGAGAGAGTAGGAGAGGCTGGGAGGGGAAGAGGTTGTGAAAGAGAAAGGAAGATGGCAGGTTTGCGACCGCAATAAAAGAGTATAAACACCGACGAAACAAAATGATGTCAAACCGGTTGGCAGTTAATTTATGCGGGGGATCAAATGACGTAGCGGGCGTTACGACGATCGCATCGGACCATCTGGACATGTACACAGTGTACGTCAGAAGGGCTGACAGGTTGACAGATCTGACAGGTTATCCTGGACGTTGTCAAATTAATTGTGATGTTGACAGCGTCCTTGATGCCGATGCTCATTTCTCGGTCCAGGGTTCTTGGATCCACGGTTCTGCTCAAGTACATAACCACATGGAAGGGACTGAACACGCGTGGTCTCAAGTACGTAGGACTTTAATTTCTGTCTATTTCGGGTCTGCTTATTTTAGGTACCTTATCATCTGTCCACTATGAATTGTACATCACCAAGTCTTGGAGAATTCATGGTAAGTGACCTCCAGATTATATAGTTATGCTAGTTATGATAACTAACAGTCGCATAGAGAATGGAGGTCGAAGGAGCACCCACAACACACAACACATTTGTGTCCCAGTTCAATTCCACCTCTCATGTCCAGCAACTGGATATATTGTGCCAGCTTGCCAGTCCAGGATGTCTTCGAACTGATGCCTGAGGTGTCTGTTTGTTCCGAAGACATGGTGACGTCATAACCGGGTATAGATCTTATCTTTTTGCAATGCAGTGCAACTGAACAATTCCTCCCTTCCACCACAATCCACAGTTCTATACAATCTGCAGCCATTCAAAGACTCTAAATCTCCAAACGACGATCTTCCGCGAGCCACCTGCCTCGGGACCAGGCGAAACCTCGGGGATATTGGCAGGCCCAAAGCAGCAAAGATAAGTCGGGGCGGTGGGTCGCCAGGATGAGGTCTTTAGCTGCAAGGGGCAATTGTGATTTAATAGACTTTACATTAGTGCCGTTTCTTGACATTTTCACGACTGACTGCACAAGACTAAATAAATAAGGTCTCCCGGCCAGTGATAAAAAAAAAAAAGGAGAAACGACAAACACCCTGCGACCAGACTTCCAGCAACAATGGCCGGAACTATTTCCCACGCCGTCCAGGCTCACAATGCCTCCCAGCAACTTCCCGCGGCCTTCAAGGTCTATGACCCACGTTTCCTGGATATCACCGGTCCGACGCCCAAGCTCGAAGTCCTGCTGAAGAACGATGACTTCCCCTTCGCCCACGAAGCCAGCGTCTACATCCCGTCCAAGGACGAGCTCTTCCTGACCAGCAACATCTTCACCGACCCGGTCACCAACCAACCCACCATCAAGATCTCCAAGGTCGCTGTCAGCGCCCACCCCGTCACCTCGGAGATTGTGAACTCCACCATCCCCTTCGCCAACGGCGGCGTCAACCACGGCGACGGCATCCTCTTCTGCGGCCAGGGCACCCTGTCCCAGACCGGCGGTCTGTTTCAGATGTCCGTCGACCCGCCGTATACCTCCCACCTGCTCGTCGGCGACTTCTACGGCCGCCAGTTCAACTCCGTCAATGACGTCGTCGTTCACTCGGACGGCTCCTTCTGGTTCACGGATCCCACCTACGGCCATGTCCAGGGCATCAGACCCCAGCCGAAACTCCCCAGCCAGGTCTATCGCTTCGATCCGGCCACCGGGAACGTGCGTGTCGTCGCCGACGGCTTCGGGAAACCGAATGGGATCGCCTTCTCGCCGGACGAGAAAATCGTGTATATCACCGACACGGCGGCCGCGATCGGTAACGGTAGCACTGACGCTACTAAGCCGTCCACCATGTATGTGTATCCCTTCTCTGCCCTGCGCGAGGACCTATCGCCTCGTAGACCAGTTCACAGATCCTTGAACATGATGAAAAGAAACTAACAAACCAAAAAGCTACGCATACGACCTCACCACCTCCCACAACGAACCCTTCCTGACCAACCGTCGCGTTTTCGCCATGGCCGACACCGGCATCCCCGATGGCATCAAAGTCGACACGAACGGCAACGTGTACGCGGGCTGCGGCGACGGCATTAACGTCTGGTCGGCGGGTGGTGTTCTGCTAGGCAAGATCTTGATCAAGGACGGGGCGGCGAATTTCTCGTTCGGGCGCGACGGTCGCTTGTTTATTCTTAATGAGAAGATTCTCTGGGCGGCGCAGTTGGGGGAGGGGGTTAAGGGGGCTTTGTTGGGGATTTAAATCTCGCCGGGGGTAGTTGAGGAGGGAGGGGGTGGTGGCTGGAGAGTGTATGTTAATATACTAATTTAATATGGAAATATGATAATGTGTAAATAGACGAGATTTCAGTTCACATTTGAGAATGATGGCTGACGTTGGTTGTGTTTGCAGACCGGAAGGTGAGATCATCTGATTTTTTTTGTGCATGGGGTTAAAGAAAACTACAGCCTCTTTCCAAGATCTTCATCGCTTTAACTCAAGTATACTGGACTGATGACAGCAAAATGAATGGCTTTTCATATACAAAAAGACAAAAAGAAGAGGTCGTACCCGGGATCGAACCGGGATTACCGGAATCAGAATCCGATGTGCTAACCATTACACTATACAACCAATGGTTGATGCCGGAGTGGAGGTTTACAAACATATTCTTTCAGCCAGCAGACTGCCCTGTCCGTAGCGAGCTAAGTTCTGGGCAGCCTGCCTCCGTCTAAAGTTTTATAGTTAACGTCTAGCAAAGAATGATATGTCTTTCTTCCTTGATAGGGTGGAATATGACGAAGACGAAAAGATTAGTATTTATTGTTCGATCAATTCTTACAATCAATGCTTCATTCTTCCTAGTTACTGTGTACTCCGTCCGTACTCTATTCCGCCCTGATAATTAACAGAGAAATAATTCCGCCAAGCCCAGTGGCGCGCCATGTGGGTCGACCCAAACTCTAACATCCCCAAACCACACAAAGTTTTCACTCTCCAGCCAGGGTCAGGAACAACGAAAAACAGAGGCAACAGTTCAGTTGCACAAAAAGTGAAAAAAGAAAGGAAGTCAGCCCAACGCGGGGCTCGAACCCGCAGCCTTGTGATTAAGAGTCACACGCTCTACCGATTGAGCTAGCCAGGCTTCCTTGATGAAGATCGTTTTTGCAGATGGGTATATAAGTGGAGGGCAAAAAGTACGTTGGAGTGGTGGCTTGCTCAGGCCGTGACTCTGTACATATTCATGTCATGGTAGGGAATTTTGTTATGGATTCGATGAGAGTTCCATTAAGACATGTTCTCACGTATATTAGTTTCTGCAGTGAGTTTAATGGAGAAGGCGTGAAGAGTGTTTACTACCAAGATGGCCTGTCATTCGCAGGAATTCAGAATGTGAGGATATATATCCTGAGCCTCCCGCATCCTTGGGTACTCATGACCGGACTGTGTACAAAGTGGAAGAAAACACAACTAACTTGATTGAGATACTGAGGGGTCAGAGAACAGGGCGCTTTTAACCCCAATATCACGTAGTCTTGGACTTCATGGAGAATTCCACATTTTTCCAGGGCACCTACCGCTTCATATACAGGCCATCAGAACTTGCCTATAGCCGAGGTTTGGCGGATTTCTCGGAGCATCCAAAATGCTTACAGATTGTCACCTTCAATACCCATCTACTTGACCCAACTAAATGCACCCATTGCTCTAGAATGATTAAACACATCAAACTCTGTTGCCCCGAGCCAACAACGCATCAATAACTTGCTAGGTTGCTAACCAAGAACGAGCATGAGACAGCTATTATCACACAAAAAACAGTGCTGCCTTTAATGATTCAAAGGCCATCTGTGTGCTATATCACATGGAACAAATGATTTTAATCACAAAACATAAAAATATATCATGAATAATTCGAAGCACCAGCACTGGCCATCAATCAACAGACTCACCGTCGTTGATACATTTAATGAACCTACACATTCTGCCTCCCAAATCTCCCGGAATAGCCCAGATCAGTGAGCTTTTCTCAGGGGTGTAAGGACAGTAGAAATTAAAATAATCAATCTCCATGTCTCGCAGAAGTGTTCGGCCTGCCTCAGAGTACAGCCTCTTGCGATGAACTGGGTCAGAAATTTGTTTCTCCAGTGTGTGAAACGGTACACCCCATGGACATCTAGCCAGGCTCTGGGGAATATGAATATGCTCCTGAAACAGGCCATTGTTGCCGGCGGAGCCGGTCGAGTCAGAGCAGGTCAGCTGCTTGATTTGGAAAAACTTGTACACGTCGTCTTCTGTCTTGAACTTGTATTTCTTCTTGGCCTCTGGGTCTCGCGAGATCCAATGTAGATGGCGTTCATAGGCCCAGACGGTGAGATTGGCAAGATGTTGCTCATCGAGCGTGATCCGTTCGTCATCCTCGGAGCTGTAATCAGGCAAGTCGATGAGGGGCTTGGGAGCTGATGCTGGGTCGGAGGGTGAGCAAATCATGGGCTTGGCTTTGAGATCATCTATTAACTTTCCAATAGCGTGAACGGCCACCCGAAGATTTGCGAGGCGCTGGTTGATTACCTGCTTGATTGGAACGGAGCGCAACAAGTGTGCATGGGGGAAGACATTGTCATGGCCTAGACGCAGGATTCCACAGTACCAAGCGTCATATTGTCCCCCAGTTTCCTTTCGCTCTTCAACCTCAAGCCACTCGTCAAGCTCTTTGAGATCCTCGTTTGTGACTTCGTGTCGAAAAATGGCCATATTTCCAGCATTAATCTCATCATGGATTGTTTGCACCTCCCAACGACGTGTTCCAGACCGCCATTCACTCATTGCGGCGGTGTAATTGGTAAGGGCTGACTCGATGTCGTTTGCATTCTTCTGTAGAATAGCCCTGGCACTTTCTAGGCGTGCACGTTCCTCTTGAAACGGTCGATCCATTAGAATCCACTCTTCCTTTGTTTTTCGCCCCGCAGAAGTGAAGTATCGATAATAAGGTCTCGTGGCCTGAGGTGCCAGGAAAACAGGCATGTACGAATTTCTGACACTGTAGGGTTTCGGGTCAGAAAAAGGGTCCCCTGCCAGGACTGACATGCCACATCGAGCATGGTCTGTCGCTGGCATCTGCCAAGTGGGTATTTCTTGCGGGGAAATGGAAACCTTGAGTAGCTTGTCCGGCTGTTCCAGTTCGATCCAGTACTTTGTCGGCACGAAGAGGAAGGGACTTACCAGTCCCGGGAAGCTGTTCGAGCTACACAAGCTGCTCAAGCTGCTCAAGGTACTCTCGCGGGAGTTGCGCACTCCCGCTATCCCGTTACCTATAGCCTTGTCGACATTATATTTCAGAACCACACATTTTGATAAGCGGTCTGGAGTTGGGCCATGCCCAGATCTGGGCTTCTTAGCGGACCCTTGGATGGGAAGGGACTGGCAAGTCCGCTTGTTGTACCCCTCCATTTCTTGATTCTCTGCGGTCGAATGCAGACGCTGCTCCCAATTTTGCTAGAGTGGTTGTTTTCCTTTGAATCTATGCTGTCTTACTGGTAAGGTTTCTGTCTTTCTGATGGTCCCGAATGTTGGTGTAAACTCTTGACGAACAATCGAACTTGCGCTAAGAAGGTCGCAGGTGATATTGGACTTGGAAGTAAACAATTTCAAAAAGATATCAAGAGGGAAATGACCCTGTACAACATATCAACAAATCAACATATATTGGGAGATGAGCAGTAATAGTATGTCAGAAGACGAATTTGCCAATTATAGTGATAGAAACCATCAGCAAACCGATTGTCTAATGGTGAGTTGGCGGTCGTGGAAAACTTGAAAAGACGAGTCAAAACGTATGGGAAGTACACAAAAGCTCAAAAGGAGGTATGTATAAAAAATGGGTGGATATCCTGGGATGCTAGTAAAGGATACTGCGAGAGAAGGAGGGAGGAAGAGGAAGAAAGAGGGAAGAAGAGGGAAGAAAAGGGAGGAAGAGGGAAGAAGAGGGAACAGGAGGGGAGACAGAGGGAAATGGAAGGCGGCTGCTTTAAGCGGAACGTACCTGGCAGCTCCCCCACTTGATTGGGCTACGAGCGCACGTAAACGCGTTTGTCTGAACTCGCGACAAACCCTTCTATTGGTGAATCACTCTTTTTTCACATAAACACTCAGCTTATCCATCCCTCTCCCCTGCTCATATGACCTCTCTGGCTTCATATACAGCGTCCTCGTAAACAAGCCCCCTTCACTACCCTGTTCCACCTTCACATCATCCCCAACAATCCCATTTCCTCCTTCGGCAAGAAGATTCCAATGAACACCATTCAATCCCCACGGCGGACCAGGCAGCTTGGGGTCCTTCCAGAGGGGAAACTCGAGGCACACGAGGTGACCCTTGGGGGCTAGCAGGCCAGCCATCCGAGAGGCCCACTGGGCACGCATGCTTGGGTGAAGGGCACAGAGAAACTTTATCAGTTAGTATCAAGAATCCCATCAATACAATCTAGAGCTTACAGTATAGTCATATATCAAATCGAACTTCATCCCATCCTCCCAGTCCGACTTGAAAAAGTCCCCCTGCAGAATGGTCACCTCGCCTATTTAATCATTCTTCGTCACCGGAGATACAGAGCCGAAATTATAACCCTGCGGGTTTGCCAGCTCTCCTCTGGCATACTCTTTGGCCGTTGAAACGCCTGTCGCGGAGACATCCAGCCCGTACACGTCGAAGCCATGCAAGGCGAGCATCACCACGTCGTAGCCTTTGCCACATCCCTGTTGTCAGAAATCAGTTTAGGTTTCTATACACCCTCAACTGCCTCTTAATACTCCACAGAGTTGGTAAGTCTTACCGGAACCAGCGCCCTCTTCTTCCTCCCATCTTCCGCAACGGGTTGGAACACGTCCCGGCGCTCCTCGATAAGGTCGATCAGTGGTGGCGAGGGCTTCGATCGGTCCCAGAGGTCGCTGTCATCCGAGTCCCAGAGCTTCGACCATCCATCCGTGTAGTGTTCGACATCGCTGGCCATGGTAAGTTAATTGTGCCATACTCGGATGGAAGCAGGAAAAGAGAAGACATACTGCGCACCGAAGTGGCGGACGAGACGGGTTTGGTCGGTTGTGTTCTGCGTTGGGTCTGTCATTTTTGGTTGCTGAAAGGTGTTTGGTCGATGCGTTGTGTAAAACCTCTCAATTTCTTTTGCGGTGTGCTGAAGAGCAGGGTGGAATTGACTCTTATATGAAGATTGAGACCGAAAACCACCGGCGGGCGATAAGGAAAACCGATCGCCGAAAGTGGGCCTCTCGGTGACTGAAATGCAGAACGATTGATTGCATCGATCGAATCCTCCGAGGTCGATTAGGTAAGGTCGCAGCTCTGACGCCCTTGTCACTGCCGTTTCGGGGAAGAAGTGGGGCCCTTCTCGATCGAGTAATGGCAAGGGCGTCAACGGAGTCTTGTAGGTATACTACGTTGTACAGTTCTTAGCAGAGGATGTGGACTGTGACCGGTTCAGTGGCTATAAAAAGCCTACAAAGCCCTTCTATTCCATGCCATTGGCTTTGTTTCACTGCTTTTTCTTTTCTTTTCTTCATCCCTTGCCCAACCGAACCCAGCGATGACCGTCTGCTTGGGACAGCCGCTTAGCGAGTCCATCGCCGAGCATATCGGTGCTACCCCTTTGGTGACCCTCAACCGCTTGCCAGCTTCATTGGGGATAAAAGCAAAAGTATGTGCAAAGCTCGAGTACTTCAACGCGGGCGGGTCTGTTAAGGATCGAATTGCCAGACGTATGGTAGAACAGGCGGAGAAAGACGGGTTGATCAAACCGGGGGACACCTTGATTGAAGCGTCTAGCGGCAATACGTATGTTCACTTATCATGCCCATTTCTAAATTTTCAAAAATATTCACGTTGACACTGAACAGGGGCATCGCTATAGCCCTCATGGCGGCGATCAAAGGGTACAAATGCATCATCACATTGTCCGAAAAGATGTCGCAAGAAAAGGAACAGATCCTTCTCGCCCTAGGTGCCCAGGTGGTGCGAACGCCTGCTGGTGTCCCAATCGAGTCACCGGGTTCGATCCTTAGTGTCGCCCGACGCTTGCATCAAGAAATTCCTAATTCTTACATTCTAGATCAATACAACAACCCGGAGAACCCACTCGCCCACGAGATCGGAACAGCGCAGGAAATTTGGTATCAGATTCAAGGGAAGGTGGACGTTGTATTGGCGGGGGCTGGAACAGGAGGGACCGTGACCGGTTTAGCCAGAGGACTGAAGCAAAAGAACCCCGATGTGCATGTCGTTGGGGTGGACCCACTCGGCTCTATTCTTGCACAGACGCCCGCGCTCAACGAGAGAAAGAGTGAATACAAGGTGGAAGGGATCGGATACGACTTCGTCCCCGCCGTGCTGGATCAGGGGGCTCTGGATCTTTGGGTCAAGACGACCGATAAGAATTCGTTTCAGCTGGCAAGGAGACTGGTGCGCGAGGAGGGACTCATGTGCGGAGGATCATCCGGTGCAGCCTTTGCAGGCTTGGTTGAGTTTCTGCAGTTGCACCCAGAATTCAACTCGGAAGAAAAGGCCATCGTGTTGGTGTTCGCGGATAGTCTGAGGAATTATCTGACCAAGTTCGCCGATGACACGTGGATGGAAAGCAATGGGTATCTATCGTTGAATAACAAGTAGTAAGAACCTCACATTCGCAATAGAGATGGTGCCGCGGGCTCTATATATGGAGTAGCTCTCTGGTGAAATCAATCGATATGGGAAGCACTCTTCCAAGATGTCACACACTCGGGTTCGGCCCATAAATCCAAGCTGGAGTCAAATAGGGTTTCCTGGTCAATCGTGCTCTGCCCTTCGGCCGGCTGCGTGGTGCAGGAGGCTAAATTATGCTGCCTGAATTCGGCAAGGCATTCCGGACTTTGCCAGGACCACGGCATGCAAGAATCCATTGTCTGCGGGACTTAGCTGAACGGTGCCCATTCGTCGGCTGACCAGGGTAGACAGAAATTGTATTCGTCCTGGTTAGCCGGATCGGCAGAGTGAATTTGCAATGGGCCGGTCTCGGAATCCAATCCCAAACCATCCTTGAATAACTTTAACCACTGGGAATTATCGGCTGGCGTTTGATTCCACGGGTCGTCATCGCCGTACATGATGCAACGGGCTTCCTTTTGGAGCATTGCGTCTGTGACGAACGCAGATTTGGCGCGCATGCCATTCACGAACGAGGTAAGCCGCGACGTGAGGTGCTCAAAGGACGTCGGTTTGGCTTCCGCTTTCTCTGGCGGTCCACCCGCCACGCGAGAAGCACTGAAGGGCTCTATGCCTGCCGACTCCATGCCAATTAGATAGGGTGGCATAGCGTTTTCTACCGCCAAAGCTACAGGCGGGTCGAGGCCTCGGCATCCGTGCCAGTCTTTCATCACAGCACCTGCCCGAAAATGCTGTGCGAGGTGATCGTTTCGTTCAGACCAAGCGACGAATGTTTGACCGCAAAAGCCACATCTTGAATTAATTTGGATGACTTGCGATTTCCAGCCCTCCATAGATGGCGTCAGGCTGTTTATTCCGTGCACGATACGCAGGTGTTGAGTTAGATGGTCTTTGCGGTAGAACGTCCGAAATGCCACCGGCTTTTGTTGGCAGACATTGACCCGATGGGCTTCGATGTGGTCTCTGGAGGGGCATGGCTCGTCACAATACGCGCACCGTTCATCCCCATTGGGCTGGTCACGGTAAGTCGACCCGAAGGGGGAACAGGTGAATTTTTCTAATGACAGGTGTAAGGTTTTCTCGTGCCGCGTCCAGTCATGCTTCGTGAGAAACGTGTCCGTGCAAAAGGTACATTGAAAAGGCCTCTTGGTTTCCACAGAACGTTTTGGGGGTTTCCCTCCGGTGGAAGTGCTTTTAGCTGGTCGACGATGGCGCCGTCGCGGCGGCTCATTCAAATAAAAACGATTGAAGGACCCGTGGGAACGATTGGACCCGAAACTATGGGCAGATGATTCGGAACTGCTGGATAGGACGGACCCAGATGCCTGCGACGGTACAAGAGATCGGGCATCACTATTATCTTGGGAACAACTGTGTGGTAGTACTTCTGGACCAGGTGAGTCAAGAGTGAGGTTACGGTCTGACAATCCACTCGTGGTACTGCTAGCCACGGCGCTCACGATAGCCTCTAAGGAGGCGCCCTCGAGTTCCGGAGGAGAATTTCTCCATCGATCGAGCGGACACATGGCAGGATCTTGTACGTGGGTGGCCTTTCGGGATTCATCAAGGCCGTCAAGACTGGAAGAGACGAGAGGGCCATTTCCGGGTGACCCCCTTTTACGGCGTCTGCGGGCGTTTGAGAACCAGGTAGATACCTGATGGATTTGCAGTCCGGCTTCCTTAGCTAGGGAGGACTTCTCATTTTTATTGGGATACGGATATTCGGCATGATTTTCGAACCATTGTCGAAGAACTTTTGTTGTGGTATCGGGCAACCTCGACGATTTGCTCGGGGCCGCTTGGGACCCCGAGATCGATGTCCCATTAGGAGGAACAGGTTGTGCTAATTGTGACGAATCATAGTATAAGCTTGAATCTGCAGTAGGAAAATACCCATTCTCTTGCGGCAAGATGGAGTCGAGGTCAAAGGACATGGAATCAGACGGATCTATGCTGTTGTCCATCAGTCGCAAGATGTCGTTGAGTTCAATATCTGAAGCGACGTCAGGAAATAGTAACCGGTCAATGTGAGGATCATCGGGCGCTCTTTCAGATCCCATTGTGTATTCACACCAGAGGTGCTGTGAGAAGTGTGTTACATGGCTCTCACGAAATGAGTTCAGATGGGAGGAGGAAGAGAGAGAATCACGCCCTGATGGCTGCCAATTCGGGAATAGCGCCTGATCACAGCCAGACTGCGCTAGCCCTGATTAGGATATGGCCCGCTTCCCGGATCTTGGCATTACTGACCAATCACAGTTGTCGCAAGGTCTGAATTGACATGGATTGAAGTATAACAAAGTCAGGTTTGCATGACTGGAACTATTCATCTTAGGCTCCTACTCCGGAAATGCTAGTATACCAGCTTCTGCTAATGTCGGTGACAGGTATATTCAAGGAAAGGCTAACTAAGCACCTTACCTAGCCAGGGTTATCTTAGCGCCGGGGGCCGTTTTATCCGCGATTTTTGCCATTGCCTAGCACTACCTAGTCAGCACGCAAACAGAACCTCGTCATCATCTCTGTCCAACATGACAGATATCTCAGAGAACACTCCTCTTCTACGCTCAGCAGACCCAGACCCCATCGGCGAGCATGAATCCCACGATCCGTCCACCTCAAACCCAGAGGATCATTCCTTACGGTTTGTAACGACATTGACATGGGTATCGCTCGCCCTGTCGGTGTTGGTCGTTACGTTCGACCTCACCGTGATCATCCTAGACGAGAACAACCATAACGAAGGCTATTACATGCCGTGGGATCTGCGCGAAGTCATCAAGGTCATGGGTGTCGTGGTATGTGTTGTCGTCGCACTGTCGGGCCGGGCCCAAGACGCTGATATTGGATATGATAGGGCTTGTCCAGCGCCTTATTCTCATTCCTGAATCTGATCCGTATATATCTAAGCCACAGACCCCTCTGGCTCTGGCTGAATCTAGTCGCCGATTTTCTAATCGCCTTCTTCGCCATTCTGAGCGCCGGACCGGGTATTGTCCAAGACTGGTCTTATACGTGCTCACCTGACAGCTACGAGTGTCAACTTGCGCAGCCGACTAGGCTCTGCACATTTCTTACTTTGGGGTTCGCGTTCGTGCTAGGGTGAGTGTTCTTTCGGGTGCTCCGATCCCTCATTGTGATCTCACGTACTGATGCCTGTGTGCAGTATCAACCACTTGGTCCTGTTCTTTCTCCGTTGTGCCTTGGTGTTTCAGTCTAGATTCTGGCGGGGTTTGCAGAATTGGAGGCTTCCGGGTGGACAGTTGACTGTCGAGTTTACGATCAAGTTTCTGCGACAGGAGGGTCAAGGGACTGAGGGGGAGCAAAGCTAGTAATTAGCTGCGCTTGAATGCTTGGTTCTCTGCCTTACTTGTCGATACGCAGTCAGGCTACATGGGACTATCACTCTGGTTGTAGTTCACGTAGGGTTTCAGCCTGCCAAGTCGAGAACGACAAGTATGTACCTCAGAAAGTATGATACAGCTAGCGTGTGAATAAATAGTACTTTATCACCGTTACCTTATGATTGGCAACCCTAATACTTCGCGGCCTACATAAACAACGATAAAAATAGACTGCAACTCGAAATGTCATGGGAGGAGATATTTAACGGAGCGGAGCAACCACTGCTTACACGATTCACTCCGTCCAGAACCAGTCCAGTAGCAATCACTCTTTCTCAAGAACAAGAATCGCCCGATGCTGCGAAGAATCATAAACATGCAGATGAGTAACCCGGAGCCCTGCACTACCAGCCAGACTCCTCCACTGCCTCTCCGAACGCTCCTTTCCACCCGCCATGAGCATCATGTACAGATCGCCCATGGCCGCTTGCCAAGTAACGTTGGTATCGGGTAGGACCGTCTCGTCGACGAGAATCCGGGAATCGCTCGCCATCGCGGGGACTAGGTTCCGCAGGATCTGGACACATGAGTTGTCTGGGTAGTCATGCAGGACGCGACTGATGTAGTAGAATCGAGCGCCTGGGTTGCAGTACATATTAGCAATGATTCTATGAGATGGTTTGAAAACGGAAGGGGTGAATCTACCTTCAACGGCCTGAGGAGTGAAGATATCCTGAGCCATCGCCTTGATCCCGTCGAGTTTGGGAGCCTGCTCGACGACCTGCGGCAGGTCTTGAAGAATCAGACTACCGCTCAGGCCGGGGTGTCTGTCCCTAAGATGGACAGTCTGGTGTCCGTAGCTGCCGCCTACGTCGACGAAGAATGGCCTATCCGACGAGGGCTGTCGAGACTTTATGAAAGTAGTGGCCGCGTCGTCCATGAGGTCAAAGCCTTGCACCCATTCGCCCGACTGGGTCGATACCATTGCCTGCTGCCCGTTCTCCATATGCTTCGGGTGCTCGGCCAGCCATGCAAACGCAGGAAGATCGGTGTTGAAGGCCTTTTGAAACGGGGTTTTATTTTTGTCGGAAAGGTCTTGGTAGTTGGTTTCTGCAAGGTAGGTAGGGGTAACTTGTAACACCGGGCCTGCGACATGGAACCTAGTCGAGAGTGAGCCTTCTGCTAAGATGCTAGAGGTTCGATAGTTCGAGCGTACCCGTGGCTGATCACGGCATCGGTTCCCTTGTCGGCCAAGAACTTGGTCGTTGCATTCCCTGTGAATTCTTCGACTCCGGTCTCTTGGATCAGGTCTTGGGCCGCGAGATAGCGAAGGACCCGGCCTGTTGGTGTCATCATCGTCAGCCACCAATCACTCTTTGAATACTAATATCTCCTAGTCTACCGCATGGAAGGGTCCTGACCGAGCAAATCTGGACCAGCCTTGAGCTGCTCTGCAAGGCTGGTGATCGTGCGAGGAGATTCACTGTTTATAAGGGCCTCGAAGAGCTTGAGATCCATGCTCAGGCGGACAACGGTCAGCTCGACGTGCTAGAATCATGTTAGTGACTTTTGACTTGTGAATGTGGAGGACCAGTGAGTATGACCGAGTTCAGAAGCTGGTAGAATATATCTTTCGGATCTTGAATCTCCAGCAGAATTCTTCTTAGGGCACGTTGAATTGACCTGCGACCTGCCTGGTCGGCATTCTGAGACAAGGAGTGAATCTGGGGGAGCATGGCATCCATGGTGACTATGATAATATGAGGAGTGAACAAGAGGGTGAAGGCAGTGAGTGACGATAGAATGAAGACCACAGACAGCATGTAACAGACTTATTTATAAGAATTCAAATGGTTACAGTCGACCGTCGCATTCTTCTATAGAAAAGCCCGCGGAACATCCGCGGAGGATCCAAGCGACCTTACATCAGCCACGTCTGCCCTCCTCTTCGTCATCCCTGAATTCTCCCTCCACGGACTTTCCTTCCGCGGCCTCCCCTCCTCGGAAAGTTGGTCACATTCAATCACAATTTTGTCCTACCGTGGATCGCATCCCCAGGAAAGCAATGGTGCGTGCTCTGGCTCCGCGGAAGATCCAGAACGGCAGCTCCCGCCAGCGACCGGTGTCCTGTCAGTTCTGCCGCGCCCGAAAGCTGAAATGCAATCGCCAACTGCCCTGTGGAAACTGCACCAGCCGTGGAATATCCTGTCAGTTGTACTCGCAGCCTCCGACCGAAGAGTCGGTTACGGATCAGGATGTTCTGGAGCGTCTGCGGAGGCTGGAGGAGCTCGTTCTCCGGAGTCACGGACAAACGACAACGCCAACATCCCCCGTCACAGGTGTGGTTGCTCAAGCTCCACATTCGGTGCCTCGGTTCCACCAGGTTAATACGGAAGTCAAACGTCTTGAGCAAGAGTGTATGAGCCCGAACCTGTCGGTAAGTGGTTGTGGTTGTGCTACGGTGACGCAAGCAGGATGGACAGTTGATCTGTAGCGCAGGAAATGATCCAGCCCGATGGCGTGACTTTCAGGATATCTCCTATTGAGCAGAGCGGGTGTCTATCGGGTGGCTTGGGCCGTGACCCTTCATGGCCCAATGCAATGGGAAGCTACCAAGGGTCCTTTTGTCTGCCGCGTAGCGATGAAGCAAGACGACTGCTCGACAAGTACATCCGCGACGTCACCTTTATCCACCATGTCATTCACGTCCCTACCGTGCGTGCTCTAGTGGATGGTATCTATGAAGACGTCGACAGTCAGAAACAACCAAAGCCCCACCATGTGGTGCTGCTATACGGTATCATCGCCAGCTCGATTTACTCGTGGACCGAGCAAGACGCGGACCTCCCTTTTTGTCGCAATGGCGAAGAAGCGACCGAGAAATCCGCGCTGTGGGTGAAGTCCGCTTTGGACTTGTTGGACTATTTGCGTCGCGCATCTTCGCAGTCGCTGGAAGAGATCCAGGCTATCATCATCGCCTCCTTTGTGGTTTGTCATCTAGAAGGCCCGTCGGCTCGATACCGTGACCTGATCACGTCGGCCATTACGATGGCGCGCGAGCTAGGGCTTCACAAAATCGATATTCCGAATGACACCGACGTAACAGATGAACACTCGAGGGACCCTGTTGAGGCCGAAGCCAGCAGAAGAGCGTGGTGGTACCTCGTCTCGACGGACTGGTATGTTTCCCATCCCCATGAGCCATGTCCAAGGCTAGTCTGACGACAGGAGAACCATGCTAACAATCCAGGATGTTCTCTCAATACACCGGCCCCTTAAAGGGGACATACACCATCAACCCCCGACACATGGCCGTCAACAAACCTCGCAACATCGACGATGAGGACCTACTTCCCATCCTCACATCGACAACCATCACGCCGCGACCCATGAACCATCCCACTAACATCTCCTACAACCTCCAACGCATCCAACTGGCCGAAATCTGCCGCGAACTCACCGACAGCACACCGTTAACCTCCTCCGGCACCGTCGAATACAACCAAGTGCTCAAAGTCGACCGCAACATCATCGGCTTCATCGCCCAATGGCCACCCTTCTTCCGTCTTGACGAACAGACCCCGCTTCCCAGCCCCAGTGCCAACACCAACACCAGATCCAGATCCAGTACTAAAGAAACTAAAGACCCCGGAAAAGCCACCCAACGCTACATCCTCAACTCCATCGTCCCCGCGCAGCGTTGCCGTCTCCATCTCCCCTATCTCACACGCGCCTCGCAGGACCCGAACTACGCCTACTCGCGCACCGCGTGTCTCGAATCGGCGCGGCATATCCTTCGCACCGAGCGTCTTCTCGCCACGGAAGATTTGCCGTTCGTGTTGATGCGGAAACGCCACTCGGGCACCTTGCAGTGCATCTGTATGGCTATTATTGTGCTGTTGGCGGACATTTGCTTTTCGCGGGATACGGTGGGCGAGTCGGAAGATTATGAGAACCGGAGGGCCGAGTTGGCGGATGCGTGTCGGATTCTGGATCGTGCGAAGAGTGAATCGCCGATGGCCGGGAGGTTATTGGGGTATTTTGTTAGGGTTATGGGGGAGCATAATCTGAGGTTGCCCGGTGTGAGTCAGGGTGGTGAGGAGAGGATAGGGACAGGGGTAGGGCGAGAGACAAACACGAGGGAGAGCGTCGCTATAGGCTCGGTGGGGATGATGGACGAAGAGACCGACGCTCTGGACGTATCGGATCAGCTGGCTCGGTGGCAGGAGTTCTGGCCGTGGGATGGCATGGATACCGAGTTGGACTGGGATGCGATTCTATCCGGGTTGAACCCGTTGATTTGAGCTGCACTTGTTGATTCTGCTGCATAACACATAACGTCTATTGATCTAATTAAATTAACTATGGGTGCTTTTATCTTTTTATACAGACCTCGTATTATTTATGTATGAGCCCAACATGACCATCTAGTAGTGATCATCCGCCCTCCTCGGCTCCGTCTGCACCGTATACTCCACATCCTTCTTGATAATCATCCTCGTACTCCCATCACTCCCTACACTCCCCCGCTCATCGCGATCCTCCTGCGACGGCGCCCCGGAAGACCCCGGAAACGTCGTCACCAGCGTCTCGGCGCCTTCGCTGCCCGGCGCCCCGCGCGGCACGAACGCCCCCTGCTGCGTATGTGTATATCCATGCCTTGCGCCGGACGCACTGGCCGCGCCGAAACTCTGCAGCGCAAAGTCCCCTCCTCCTCCTCCGCCGGTTTGGCTCTGGTTATGGCTTTTCCCGTGTCGTCCTGATCCGTACATCGTGCCGGAGCCATAGGGTGTGCTGCGTGATCGGGAGCTCGCTTCGAGGTTCTCGTCGCCGGCTGTGCCGTAGGCGGTTGTGACGGCGTTCATGAAGGGGCGGAGGCAGAAGACAGTACAGGCGACGAGGGAGTAGTTCATTTCGACTTGCGTCCAGACGTAGTGCGCGATTGAGTCGAAGGTAGGGTTGTGCGAGTTGATGAATTTGTGGAAGGCGGCGAGGCGGAGGGATTCCAGGGGAATTAGTCTTTTGGAATGTTAGACTGGATGACTTCAAGCGATAAGAAGAGAAGGGGAGAAAGAGGTGGAAGACGTACGGTAATCTCGCCGCAAACGAAATCATAATCACGACCTTATGCCTCACGGGCATCTGAAGACCGTAGACCAGACCGACGGAGAACAAGAAGAGAAACACCTCAGTGATGATATCAATGGCCGTGATAAATTGCCATCGAGGGAACTATTCCTGTTAGTATTCCTGGTATACCTTTTTATATACACCAGATTTAGAGATAGAAGGGGGAAAAAAAACATACCAAGTTAACGCAGTGCTCGCCCGGCGTTACCCACGGCTTATTCACGGAGCAGTCCACCGTGACAATGAATATGGAGATGATGATACTGGCCGTGCTAATGGCAAAGGTCGTCCATAAGATATTCTTGTGGCTACGACGCGGCGTCAAGCGCGAGTAAATGGCCACGATGCAGCATCGTGAAAGAAAGAGCGTGACGAGGTAGAGGACGTCGGAGGCGGCGATGTGCTAGATGGGTCAATACTCTCACAATCCTTGAACAGAAGAAGTAGATCTATTAGGAGCAAAGGGGGGAAAATCATACATTTTGAATCCTCGACACCCTCCGATCATCCAGCAAAGTGATCGCCGTCCCGAACCCAATCGATGCGGAATAAAACACGATAATCGACTCCACTATCGCGGTGACCTGAATAGAAGGTGGGCTGTCAGTTAAGCACAGACGGGCATACACAAAGGACCCTCGAGAGAAAAAAAAATACTCCGAAGCCAAGACAAGGAATGGGAGATCAACTCACCGTCCCACCTAGCAGGATAATATCGTCAAACGCCAACGGCGGACTCAGCAGTAACCGCACATACATGCGAATCAACAAACACACCAAGGTAATGACCATGCAGATGGCCGTCGTGATGATGATGATTCCCGCATGGTGCTTACTGTCGATGGTCTCGAATGGCGCGGACTGTCCCTCCGGCACGGTGATGGCCATTGCTGGCGGAGGATGCTGTTACTGCTGCACACTCACTCTGGGTTCGGGATTCACATAGAGCGATGGATGCTGGAGCGAGATGCAGAATGCAAACCGCATGGGTTCATGCAGGGGGGCAAAAGGGGAAGGAAGAAACGAGTGACAGGGGGGAAAGAAGGTAATATAGTCTAGTATCAGGTTGCAATGAAATCTTCGATCAATCTATGGATCGAGTGATCATACCAGGATCATGGGGAAGGCAGTCCAAGACTCCAACGAAACGAAACGAAGGGAGCCGTCGAGCGCTAGGTAACACAGCACGGTGTTCCTACTCCGTAGCGCTTCTGTGGCGAGTGCGACGAGGTACAGATGGATCCTTCCACCATGTGTCTTTGGTTAGTGGGCTTGGGATGGATCTGAAGATCGAGAATGCATGGAAAGCGCGCGCAGGAAGAACATCCAGACCGGTAGACTGGAACTGGGAATAGATAGTATGGACTATGGACTATGGATATTGGATAGTTATGGGTAGACCAACGAGATCCCAGGAGCCCAAACTGGAGCAGGACCTAGATTGGTTCTGTCTCGGGGACGGTTGGGGCTGAAACTGGATAATAAGGTTGGTTCGAGAGCTGCGTTGATGCAATCAGAGGGATTGAATCAGCCTGCGAGACTGTCGCGTGGTATGTGTTGCTAATAGCCTCTGGCGACGGGGGGATAACCTAGGATGGATATCAAATTATCAATTAATCAATATCCCGTCCGTATCGAGGACCCCCTTGACGAATGAATCTCGCCTTTCGCATCCGAGCAGCGGAGAATGCGAATTCAACTCGCAGCAGGACAATTTACCACCAAGTGCTCGACTTACTCCGTAGTCCGTAGTCCCCTACACTGTGGCGTGAATTAACGGCCAAGAGATTTGAGATGGCGACTGGGGCCAAATGGAAACAGTAAAAAACCCTGACCATCAACCAACACCCAATAAGCGAGACTCCTAAGGGCAGTGGCCAGTCAGCCACCTTATCATCATTCATAATTCATCAATCATAATATCATAAGATGGTCGTTGTGGAACCTCACGGCGATGCTGTCCCACCCAACGCGCAGGAGGTGAGACTCCATCCGAGCAAACGGCAGCTGAGCGAGAATGAGAATCTCAATCAGGATTAATATAAAGTTTGCAAGATTAATACAAATTAATCTAGTCGGCGGACCGGGACTAAACTCGAGGGAGAATTGCACACGAGTAACGCTCCACTCTGGCCCGCAGACTTAGGGTTAGCCCGCCTGGCGGTGCTACACTACGCTCCCTAGCCCAGCTCGCCATATTAATCCGCGTCCGCGAGGGATGCGAGCGATGCACGGCGTAGGGATTAGGGAATTTTCGGAGATCCCTTGACCGGCAAATGTCCGTGGTTGTTGGAGGGTTGCATCCTGCAGGAGCCGAAAAACATGGCAGATGGGCTCGGTATATACATGGTCGAATGTCCGGGACTCTACGCAAGGCTGAACAGTGCTCAGTGCTCTCTCCCTTGCACTCGCACTCGCAGACACGGTAGAGCATCGGCGAAGCATCCAGCGAGCAGAGACGATCCGCCGCACGCACCACATACTATCCTCACGGGTGACATCCTCTTCCACGGTACGCAGCCACCTTATTTGTGCCACCCATTGGTTAAAGTCCGGATGTGCCGCGCGTTCCGTCCCTTCGTGCCACTTTAGCTGGTCTGCTGGGCTTTGGTGGACTGGAGGTGTAACGGAGGACCCCTTGGAACCGGCCAATCGACCAGGAAAACTCAATACGATCGGAGCTCCACTTGGTTCTCGCCCCGACGCCGACGATCTTTGCATCCCACTTGACGGGAACCTATGGCGTGGGTGTAGCATGCTGGGGCCTGGATGATACTCGGGGCTTCATCGTCGGACCTCGGCCGGGACGACGGGTCCTTTTGGCTTCCACTCCTTGACCTGTTCGTTTCGGTGGTCGGATGGAGTTTCGGACTTGTCCGTTGAGCTGCCTCCGAGGCCCTTCAGTCCTTTTGGCTTTTAGTACAGATCCCCATGGTCGTGGCTTGTGAGCGTTGACGCTGTAGTAGTCATGGTGCAATCCGGATGATTCGGATATGCACGTTTTTACGTCTGAATTTTCTACTTAACCTCGTGTCCTGTAAACTGAATTAACTTTTTTCCTTCATCCATGGTTCATGACCCTGGCTTGGGCAGGATTCGGAGGATTTTCTTTTCCCCTTTCTGGTCTGATTTCCGTTAGCGTGGGCTCTTAGTCTGTCGGAATTGTCGGTAGGGCGTAGTCTCGAATTGCCTACCATGGTTTACGGCCGTTTTAGCCTCTGTGTTGGTGCCAATTGTCAGGGGGGGTTGGACTTTGTTTTACTTTATTACCTCGTAGGTTACATTTTCCGTTTTTTCTTTTGTCACAGACTCTCGCAGTGCTCGGGTCTACTTCTCCGTAGTCCGTAGCACTAACTATTTGGGAGCAGAATGGGCATGGAAGAGTTTGACATTAACTATTATTAAACTATTGGATGGGACCTCCATACACAAACGTAATTGCAAGGAGCCAGATCCCCTAGCTAATTAGCTAGGTCGCTGACTGGCAAAGAAAACAAAACAAGATAACTTTTACACGTCACGCTTCACCAATGCCACCGGAGGAATGTAGTGGTGTCGGCCACGGAAGATGTAGTACAGCACGGCGATCATGATCACGCCGCAATACATGACGACACACCAGTTCATCGTCTCCTTGTCGACCGTTGAGGTCAGGGGGAAAAAGGCGAAGACGAAGACGGGCAGGAGGAAGGCCAAGGCGCCGATATTAACGGCCATACCGAATCGGCCGAGGGTCCAGCGATGGGGAGGCAAGGGGTGGCCCCGCAACCGCTTCAGAAGCAGACAGCCGATGGTGATCACGTACGACGACATAAGCGAACTGATGGTCAGGGTGACGATGGCCTGCAGAGCCACGGTGGAGCCGATGTTGATCAGCGAGAGCAGCGCCGTCACCACGAAGGAGACCATAACGGCGTTGAACGGGATGTTCCAGCCCGGCGTGACCTGCGCTTCGGTTAGAGGGGGATGTACGTAATAGGGTGGTATAGTGGGATCACAGAAAAATGGTACGATGGAGATGGGCAAACTTACGTAGGAGAAGAATCCAGAAAAGGGGAGCCCTCGGTCACGAGCAAAGGACCACAGTTGACGGGATGCCGTGGCAACCTCGGTGATGGAAGAGGCCGTAAGGGTGAGCACGAGAATAGCAGTCATGGTGTTGGTGCCGGGCAGACTCTCGGTGGCGTTGTAGAACACTTGAATGAAGGGAAACCCGGTCGGCGAGGCCAGGATCTCGTCGATGTCACCCAGCGTGAAACAGACGGTGACCAACATGAGGAATCCGGAAGCGGCGTTGACCAGGACAGAGGTGATCATGGCCTTGGGGAGCGTCTCGGAGGCGTCCTTGATCTCCTCGGCTGCAGCAGATTAGTCTTCAATCAGTTCTAGACCCGTGGAAAGACCAGACTTACACATGTGCACGGCGCAGTCATATCCGATCAGCGAAGTAATCGTCGTAGAGAATCCGACCAGCGTGGCAACTCCATTGCTGCCCCATTCACCACCGTCGTTGAACTCAGTAAAGACCTGCTTTGCGCTACGACGGGGTCCCAGAACCCAGAGGGGGATGATGATGGCGAACAATCCGCAGACATGCAGAATGAGAATAATCACCTCGACGAAGGGAAGCTTCTTCGCCAGGAACGTGTTGAACAGGATGGAGAACAGCGTAATAGCGATGACCAGCAGGGTTCCGTGCCAGCGCTCCAAGGCGTAGTTCTCGTTGTTGAGCACAATCAGACCCTGAATGATGGTTCCGGCCAAGAAGGTGATGGAGACAATGGCACATTGCCATCCCATTGCACAGAGCCAGCCTGAACGGTCAGCGTCAGTATCCCAGGCGGATGCAGTCAGGGCGACATACCGGTGATGTAGCTCAGGAATTTCTGGCAGCTGGCCGGCGCGAATTCAGAAACCCAGTGGTATTGACCACCGGAGGTCGGGGCCCTGACACGTTATAGTTAGAATAACTTGCTACATCCCAGCAAGCAAGGGCAGCAACATACATGGAGGCCATCTCGGCCAAACTCAAGAACACCAGCAGGAAACCGCAGGCGACGATGAGGAAACCCCAGATCAGACCGGCCGTACCGCCATCCGTCAAGCCCTGCTCCAGCAGTCTATATTATGCTGCATTAGTGACGGCTTCATGCGACCGAAAAGGGTTTAAACAGGAACAGAACAAAGAACATACGTCAGGACCACCTCCCACGTGGCAATTAACGTGCATCCAAAGCCGACGATAGAGATATACCGAAAGTTTCGCTGGACGGAGTTAGCGGGGCGATCCAGGAACGCAAGCTAACATTGCGACCTCAAGAATGAGTATCTCATAAGGGCTGTCGTACACGCAGGACCTGTTCTCTCCCCAGGGCACTCATGTCGGCCTGATCGGCCGCCGTGCCCTTGTATTTAGCGGGGACATGGCTCTTAGGCATGGGCTCGTCGCCGTAGGTGGACACCTGCGTGCCACCTTTGGTCATGGTATCGAAGTTGAACATGGCGACCGTTCAACCCAGGATGTCGATCAGACAAGGTAGAAGAGAGCAGGGGAGGGGCAATGATGAATGATAATCAGATCAATGCAAGGGGTCAGAAGGAAGGAAACGAGGAAGGATGATCTTAAATTAAGAAATTCAGATTGAAAACAGGGCGACCAGCAGTCCGAAGACCCGTTACAGAATGGAAATGAAAAAGCTCCTAAGTCCCTAACGCCACCGTCTAGTCGTTGGAGACTTCGGAGGAATAAGCGAGTTGCGAGAGTCAGTACTCGCAGCAGGTGGAGGTTACCTTTAGTGTACGGAGTCTAGAATTCCAGCTTGACCCTGGTTTACGAGGTAGGAAGTGATAAGGGGGTTCGCTCGAGTCCTGAAGAAAAGAAAACTAAAGCTGCAGGAGAGACCGTTGGGAAACGTGGGATTAATCAAAGCATCCATGATCATGGCAAGCCCTAATTTCTTGACGACATCCATCCTGCGTACATGTGGCAATCCGGCCAACACCCCTGTCGTCCATGTCCAGCGAGAGCCACGACTCGTCACGAATTCCTTTAGATTAAAGATGATTGGAATGAGAATGGAATCCATGCAACCAGCAGTGACTAACAGACTTCCAGCATCTCCACTGCGCTACGCCTTTAGTTCGCGTTGGTTTTTTCGGGGCGCTGAAACCTCTTGGCGGCCTCAGCGACGGTGGGTCGGGGTCATGCAATTTGCTGCTTTTAATTGCTTTATGTTCGGATTTACTGTTTTACTGGTTTGACTGCTGTGTGTTGTACGGAGTACTCCAATGCATCCCAATTCCCAATGCAGGCAATGTCTGGAGAAGTCCCTGGGTAATCCGCTCCTCGCTGATTTGCTCTACGGATCCGATCTTCCGTCTGCCGGTGACACAGAAATGATAGATAATCCATTTGAATGGACCGATGATCCCTATCGTCCTTCCTTCAGTAAATTCCCGTCGTGATGGCTTCTCCGACCGTCCTGGTGGCGGTCATTCTGCTCGCCCTGCTGCTCTATCACTATGTAATCCAGCCCTACTTCCTCTCGCCCTTGGCCAAGATCCCCAACGCCCATTTCACCGCGCCTCTCACTTCAGCCTGGATTGAACGCCGGCGCAACGCAGGAAAAGAGGTCCTTACAATCTACGACGCCCATCGCAAGCATGGCTCGGTGGTGCGACTCGGCCCCGACGAGCTGAGCGTCAACTCCCTGAGCGGATTGCGTACGATTTACACGGGCGCATACGAAAAGCATCAATGGTACAACGATCTGTTCGTCAATTTTCACACCGACAACATGGTGGGCATGGTGCACAACCAGCCTCATGCCCGCCAAAAACGCATGCTCAGCAAGATCTTCTCCAAGTCGTTTCTCCAGGATTCCGTCGATCTTCGCGACATCTCGCGCATCGTGCTGTCGCAGCGTCTCCTGCCTATCCTACACCGCGTGGCGACCGCCGGAGAAGCCATCAATGTCTTGCCCCTGTTCCAGGCTGTCGGTATGGACTTCACCTCGGCGTTTTTGTTCGGCACCCGCAACGCCACGACATATATCCTTCAGCTACCCGAATGGCAGCAGTGGTTGGACGAGTACGAGCAGTTCAAAGTGATGAGCCGTGACGATCGCCGCGATGGGTTCATCGAGTCGTGGTGCCTGTCGCTCTGTCGTCGCATGGAGAAGAACGACCGCCCGAATGACGTCCCCGTCGCCACGAGCCCTGTCGTATACGATCAGCTGCGCGACAGCCTCGAGAAAGACCCAGATGACCGACCGCGCGAACTAGCCATCGCATCCGAGCTGCTGGACCATCTTGTGGCCGGCCACGAAACCACCGGCATCTCCTTCACCTACATGATGTGGGAGCTGTCGCAGCATCCGGATCTCCAGACCGAGCTGCGTCGGGAATTGCTAACCCTGAGTCCGCAGTTTAGGTTCCCGGTCGCCTCTGAGAAGAAAGACACTCTTCCTGAGATCCCGACCCCGTCGGCCATCGACGCTCTTCCGCTGTTGGATGCCATCCTTCGCGAGACCCTCCGCGTGCATTCTCCCGCTCCGGCCCCCTTGCCGCGCGCGACGCCCTATACGAAGGACGGTGTGTCTTTGGATGGATATGATAACATCCCCGGCGGGATCCGGATCAGTTCCTCCTCGTACAGCCTGCACCGCATCGAGGAGGTATATCCGGACTCGGAGAAGTGGCAGCCTCGACGATGGTTGGAGCCTGGACAGGGAAAGATACACGACATGAGACGGTTGTTCTGGCCGTTTGGCAGCGGAGGACGCATGTGTCTGGGAAGTAACTTTGCTCTGCAGGGTAGGTGTTTCTCCTATTCTTGACCGGTCAATGCATCGGGGTGCTGACCAGAGTAATATAGAGATTAAAATGGTGATGGCCGCGGTGTATACGAACTATACGACGGAGATTGTCGACGACGAGGGCATTGAGCAGGACTTTGCTTTTATTTCTTTGCCTGTGGGACGCAAATTGATGTTGAAGTTCACGCCCGTGGAGGGTTGATTCCAAGTTGACCAGATGACTTACGACATGTGCAACGAAGCGACCTTGGCGCAAGTGTTTGCAGGATTGACGGAGATTGACGGGAATTCTAATTGGAGGTTCAGAATGTGCTCAGTTACTCCATCTATCAAAAACAGTTTCATTTGGAGGGGTTTTGTCCTACGCAACCCGGGCTGGTGTCGCACAGTTCCATTCATTACCAGACGTTCATGTTCAAATGATCTTTCGAATGCCTAGTGCGAAAGGTTCTGGGTACTCAAGGATTTCTTGGTCGGTGGCTGTGCTTCTGAATGCCAAGTCTGATTCGGTTTTTGTCCAAGACATCAAGCTATACTATGAGATTATATACGCAAGGAGACCCGGGCTTGGATGTCGGCCTAGTGAAATTAAGCTCAAGATTGTATCAAGGTGCCTTGGAAATCAGGTCTTGTTGAGTGAATTCCCAGTTGCCTGAAGCATGACATTGGACTGATGGTACACGTCAAATTGTTGCTCTTTTCCATCCCATGTATCGATCAAGAGTTATTATCGCGTACCTTCTGATCTCGCCACTTGTTAAACGTATCCTTCTTTTTCGTTTCCTTCTTTCTCATGAGAGCTATGCCTACTTAATCTTATGTTCACTGCAAATATCTACGACAGATGGCCGGGAGACTCCGCTTCGAGCAGACCCCAAAGCCAAAGGCCGGATGATCATGATTGGGACACCGTGTCTCACACCGTAAGCCTAAGCCGCATTCTACTCTGCAAAGGACCTGCAAAAGTTCTGCAGAACTCGTAATGAGAGGGGCCAGGTCGTCATCAGTCGACACAATCGCGACGAACAGGGTGCAGAAGGTCGGACGATAGACTTCGATAGAAAAGATGGCTTTTTCTTGCCACTCCAGATATGCGGTGTTCAACATTTACCAACACTAAATCTTCTTAAACGGACCAAGTGTCCCATGCTTTCTTTCTGAAGCATTCATTAGAAATATGAGTGCCGGTCGTGAGAGCCCAAACAGGAGGTTAACGGAGAGACGATGTTACCTACTTCAGTACATTTGACCAAGGCTGTACTGAGGCAGAAAATGGCACCTCCTACAATTCAGTCATTGCCAGGTCCACGTCCTTCAACCACCTACCTGCATTGAAATATGTATGTTTTGTGGCATTCAGCAGCCCCCAGCTTTCGAAGACAAATCGCAAGGCTTGTATGACCCTGAACTTCGACCATGATGGTCCTTTATAAATCTCTATCACTACAAGCAAAGCGATGTACATCACCAAATATTCCCTGGCAGAAACCTGCTACTAGCCCCACGGCGACTCAGCGTCCCTCAACTACGTGCGCTGCCCGGAGAAAAAGGTCCGCTGCGCAGAGGGTGAAGCCTGTTTGAGCAACAAGCTCTGCTACGGCACAAAATACAAGATCGCTTATAGAGGCAGGCACCTACGTCGAGAAGACTTGACCCGAGGCTGATAGTCCCAGGGCATGCTATGATGGTACATGATCGTATTCTCCTTCTGCTCGTAATTTCCAAGACATATGGAAGTTAAAAAACCTCTGACGATCCTGTTATCACAGAAACCCCTGACGGGTGGGTCAACCTCTACGCCTGCCCTAATAACACGAACCAGGTCTTTACGTGCGGCAAGCCAGGCTGGGCCGCAGACGTCTGCAAGGCGGACTCAGGCAAGTACGCATTGGTTGAGACCCATTTTCTCTCGCGAGAGTGTTCGAGTCGACAGCGACAGCGACATCGACACTGTCAACACCATCGAACACAGACTCTACAAGGACCGGTGAGTCTCATATCACGCCCCCTACGACTGCCGCCTCCTCCAGTCGATCGACTGTCGCTTTAGGAGCCGGGTTGGGCGTGGGTCTCGGAGTTTCGTTGCTGCTTGTTTCCGTGGGCATGTTAGCGTTCTGAATGCGGATGAAACGGCGCTCGTCGGAGGAGATGCATGCTGGTGAGGTGAGGGTGTATGGCTACGAGAGACCAAAATATAGTGGTGGTAGGCCTAGAGAATTAGACTCGGGGCCGGTTGCGAGGGAGTTGGAGGGTTAACCTGAATGGTATCATCTTAGATATTCTGTCGCGGTTGTATGAACATAAGAGCCTGATATTTGGATTATATATTTGGACACTCTTTCGGTTGTTGACGTAGAAAAAGTATACACTTGACCAATTCATGGCCAGACAATGACCTGAGAGTGTAGACACAAAGAAGAATACTTCAGAGAGACCCTCATCTTGAACATCTCAGTCCATACATCTCGGGGCTGAATGTGGTGCCTGATTTGTCGGGCCGGCTAGATCGCCTATAGATCAAAGGCAAGACAAGACCATGGTTACGCACAGAAATGCATGGCGCCCCGGTAGCACAGCTTTGGATACACGTGGAGATCCCGATATACTGGCAGCAGTTCAGATCACCTTAAAAAAAGATGTCCTCTCTACTTGAGGCAATACGAAGTTGTCACTGCTAAATATACTTCGTAAGGCTGAGATTGAACCCTGAATTGTCAGGTTTCAGATGCGGCCCCGTGATTGGCTGCCTGAGGCCACGCCCCGCCCCCGAAACGGCCCCTTCGAGAGAGACAATCTTTCCTTCACTCCGTCCTTTTCTCCTGTTCATCCCCCTTCTTCCCCTTCATTCCTCATATCCAGATTCCATTCTTTAGACCTCCCTCTATATCATATCATATATATCCATACAGACAATACCCCACCATGCCGTCCCTTACGCGATACCTCCTCCTCCCCCTCCTTTGCGTCTCTCCCATCCTCGCCGCTTACCAGCCCGACTACGCCATCTTCGGCGAAAAATGCGCCGGCCCCGTGCAAGCGACCCAAGACATTATCGCTCCCATCGCCAGCAACCTCGTCGAGAAGGTCTGCAGCCAGTGCGACCATGACAAGATCACCTACGAGATGCTGCAGCGTTCCGAATCCAACAACTTCAACTGGGCCATCCTACACCTGAAGGGCGTCGGCTTCGAACTCCGCGACTCCTACGTCCCCGAGAAACTGTTCAACCTGGTCTGGGATTTCTGCATCAAGAAGCAGTGGCCCACCAAGTCGCTCTGCGAGGATAACTTTGAGGAGTTCCATGACTGCGTGCTGCGCACCGGCATGAACGAGATGAAGGGTCCCTTTGTCTCCTACAACCAGCTCGTCGACGATCGCTGTCTCCGGATGCCCGCCGCCGCCGCGCGCATGGTGCCGCTGGTCAAGGAGGAGGTCGATAAGTTTCTCGGTCGCGTTTGTCCGAATGGCCAGCAGGGGAGGGCTCAGGGGTGAGTTGTCTTGTTCTCTTCAGACGGGTGACGGTGCTGACGAATTCTATCTCTTAGTGTCTTGGCTGCTTGAGTGATTGCGTCGTCTTGGTTTTATGTGGCATAACGGATAACGGTTTAGCGTTTACTCGTCTGTACAGTATAAGAGTAGACTTAGAATTGGATATATTTCTGGATATGACTTTTGACTATGTGTCCGGCTGAAGCCCGGTTTACGATGCTGACCGTTAATCAACTGACTTTATCATACTAACTGCGACCGAACTAATGACAGTAACAGCAGTCAAGCCCGACCTTTGCGAATCCGCGACTGACCGGTATTTTGACTCGAGTGATCTCGCCCAGATCTACCCCAGGACTGTGCTACATGTGAGCCAGACAAGCATTACGAACCCGCCCTAGAGAAACGCATACCATGTAACTTCCAAATCAGATCTCGCCTGCCCCATCCATCCAGCTGCTCGAAATCGTTACAACCGCTATCTCGCTCTACATATCCCGCAAGACCGCTATCCGACCGAGGTCCTTTTATCGGTTCGCTTCCTCTACAAGGTCCATGTGCCTGTGGCACCCTCAAAAGTCTACCTGCAACTCAAAACATACTTTCAGCGGGGCACGTCAAGTCCATAAGGCTGGGACAGTGACCGGTGAGCTGCGCCGAGAAAAATACTCGATATGCGATATCAATCACTCAAGCAGACTCATTTCGACCGGTCGCATCGCGCTCCCAAGCTGTCCTCGCATAGAACCCGGTCGCCAGACCTTCTGTGCGGGTGCCGAATATGGCCTTTTTTGGCCCATTTCCCGTGTTCGATATACTCCCACCTCTTCGGTATTTCTTCACGCCGTCGGCGCTCGGAGATGGGGAAGGAATCGAAGACGGAATGACATGCAGACCAAAGAAGAGGAGATCTTGATGTTGTTGATGGATATAGTGGCCCGCTGCAGATGACATTTGAACAAGAGGGCCTCTGTGCTACCATTCGTGCTCGTAGAGATCGACAAGACAGAGATGTCTGTATGGAGAGTATAGAAATTGAAGGTGAGAATAGCGCTGAAGAGCCATTCTTTCAGGTGAATCGATATGTCAATGCAGCTTTCACCAGCATGTCAAGCATCGTTCAGACATATCCCCTTCTGCATCATAATACAGGCTAAAAGAACGCAATTAAAGGAGAAGCTGCTCTGTAGGTGGAGTTGAACTTTTTGAATTTTCCTAGCTGACCGTGTATTCCCATAACAAAACAAACTGACTCACAAATAAGAGGTATCATGTATCATTTCATTCGGTTCCCAAACAATAACAAAACCCACACGAACATCCGAATCTCGCCCAAAGTCTAGCACCAATTCCTACAACTCCACTTCATCCTCAAACAAAATTCGACTTTCCAAAACTCCCTCCTCTTCCCCGGGTAGACAGGAATATCGAACACCCAATGACCGCCGCACATACCACAAAATCAATCAACATGAACGCCGCGTCCGCCTTGGCCGACGTGCACCGGCTCTTCAACTTGTCCTCGCCACCAAACGAGCACGTCTTATCACCGTCTACCTTGACACATCCGCCGCTGAGAATCTCGTTGTCCCAGGTCGTCGCGGGGTCGGAGCAGTTGGCGTCTTTGAGGAGGACGGCGTATGCCTGCAGTTCTCGTTAGTCTATGGTATTTGGCAGGTGGTGGAGGAACAGGAGCAGGGAGGAGAAACGTACAATTCCACCCGCCAGAAAAGCCAAACTCGCTAGCCCGTCAATGGCCCATGAGATGATCCCGTCGAGCGACGAGACGAAGAACGCGGCGCCTCCGACCAGCGAGGCCACGATGCCCAGTCCGCCCGTGAACGCGGCGTATCCGGTGATTGCAGGCGCAGACCCGATGGACTGGCCTTTTGCCAGGGTTACTGAGAGTCCGAGGACGATGATGGCAAAGAGGAGCTGTTTGCATTCATTTCTGTGAGTATGTATTTGTTTCGGCGATTGGTTGTCTGGTGGGATGTTTTACCTGGAAGACGCGCACGATTGCCGTAATGATCTGCATATTGAGTGAAGGGGTTTCTCTATCTAGAGAAGAACGATATAGACAGCTGGAAGTTTGGCCCAGACGCGAGTTTAGCAGAATAATACAATAGACTCAGGACCGAAGGCTTCAACAGAGATATGTATGGTTTTGTGAGACATTTCACGAGGCTGATCTGAATAGATTGATCGACTCTCTCAATTTCCCCTGTGGCAGCACAAGCCTTCACAACCAATCGACTCTGCTCCCAAGTGTTGGATCTATGCATTGCACGTGTTTCCTGTGTTTCATGTCGCATCCGGCCCCGAGATGCGCAGTCACAGCCTCGTTGCCATTGCAATGTGTCATCCGGGTGGGATGATATCAACAGGCTGTTCTGCCGGGGGAAATGATCTCATCCACTAACTACTCAACAATACTGATCCAAATTCTCTCTCGGAAATCTCAATTGCATTCGAGATTCATCAACACTTAGTTCGGCGGAATCCAGTCCTGATCCTGGATCGTTGGTATAGGAGATCCGCAATGGCCCCCACGTCCACAAGGCTGAGTTCGACGTTAGTGGGCTTGACCCGACCTTCTGTTTCAGGGTCTGTGTTTGAGCCTTAAAGGAGAGGCTAGTGGAGAATTCATGCCGTTTCAGAGGCAAGTGACAGGGTCAAGCACCGGTCTTGACCTTGGCCTTAGTGAAAGCCTTGCTGGGGATAATAGACGAGATGTGGGTCATTGGGTCGGTTCCAAGGCCAACTGAGCTTCCTCATTGATTCTTGACTTTATGCATTCTGAATATCTTTAGAAAGTGGTATCGACTAAGCCGGCAAAGCGCTATATCCTCTCGCTCTCGCCCACACATCTACCACCTTGGACCCGTCGTCCAGATCGGAGTCTACAATCAGATACCAGCCATACATGGCACCCGTCACGCACGAATGGTTCGGATAAACCCGCACAGCCTGGCCTACCTTTAGCGGGATCTGCGGAATCTGGTCCCCTTCCCTCTCCCACGACACGATCGAATGTTCTTGGCTAATGCGCGCCAGGATCAAACGAGACTGCGCAGCCTCCCGTCGCCACTGCCCGACCACTCCCCAGCCGGGATAGCTATGGCAGGGCTCTCTGCCTAACGCCAACGTCCCCGCCGCCAGGAGCGCCTCGGGCTGCGCTCGCTCGCCGCTATTATACAAACTACAGACCTCCGCAACCACCGACAGGGCCACCTCATTTTCCAGACTCCCTCTGCTCTCTGCGTTCGTTTCCACCTGCTGCATGTCCAGCACCGCGTAGTTGCCTGCATGCAGTTCAACCATCACCCGTGCGCCGGGCAAGGGATCGCGCAACAGCTTTCGCAGGGTCTGCGCCTCCGCCGATAACTCCCCCTGCCCTTGCAAGAGATTCTGCACTGAAGCCGCCTGGGGCGTCGCACCCACACTGATCACCAGCTCCCTCTCCGGCAGCAGCTCGAGATGCTGGCGAACCGCCTCCCGACACCCCTCAATCTCCGCCGTCAGATGCCCCATCGCCTCTTCGGGCGTACTCCCCGCGTAGCTAAGGCTGCTGTGCGAATACACGCCCAGAAAGCGCGCGTGGCCGTCGCGCTCCGCCTGCGCCAGTCCCTTCAACAGACCGTCCTTGTTCAGGCCCGTCGGCGGCAGCCCCGCGCGATGATACCCCGTGTCGACCTTGACGAAGACGCAGGCTGGGAAGCCCGTCCGCGCATGGAACTGACGCAGGAATTCGATCTGGTCCGGGTGATCAACCATCACCGTGATGGTGTCCTCGCCGAGCTCTTGCGCGAGACTCGCCAGACGCGGAACCTGCGAGGGTACCAGCGGAATGCCGTACAGAACGTTCACGCGGCGGCCGTGAGCGCGGAATTCCTTGAGGAGCGGCACGAGATGGTGGATCTCGTTGACGGTCGAGACGACGAGGTTCACATCGAATGTCTCCTCGGTCGAGCCCATTTGTAATTTGGTGATTTGTGTGGTCTAGGGAGGTTAGTATACTGTAACCTAGAGCCAGAAAAGCGGGGTATGCGCACTTTATGTGTCTTAACGTGCGCGCGGAACCCGACGTTCAGCGCCTTCACGGCGTGGATCATCTTCGCGCAGTTTCGCCGGATGATGGCGGCGTCGAGAACGGCGCATGGCTTGGCGACGTCGGCGATGTCTTTGCCGACGTAGATTTGCCGGAGATCGTCTTCGGAAGGGGTGTACGACATGTTGGTGTTGGTGTTGATGTTGATCGGAGGAGAGGAGAAAGTTGAGTCAGTCAAGTGGGATCCGATCTAAATAGTGCGGGGGACGGAGAAAGGTGGAGTGGCAACGGCAATCCACGATGAACCTCGTCGGTTTGGATTCTTCGCTTTCTTTTGTTTGTAGATCGGTTACTTGCATTTTTGTCAAGGAGCTACAACTGAATTTTGTTTCAACTCATCTAACTGAATTCTGACTTCGGTGAGAGATGCTAGAGTCATCATCGTCGTTGGGAGAAGGATCCGGCTAATCTTTTTACCGTCTTTTGTATTTTTTATTACAAGATATAAAGAATTCTGCGTGGTATAAGAAGATAAATAATGAGAATTTACTATATTAATTTTTTTAAAAAATATATTTATTATCAAGGACTGTTCTTCCGTAGAGATAAGAGTCTACGCTTAAAGATAATTCATTTTTTTAGGCATTTATAAAAATAGCCCTGACTAGATCTTCGAAACGAGGTTGCTCCAGCAGTCAGATTGTTATGAATGAATCTTCGATCTAATACTGGTGATCATTCTCTCAACTAGTTTCCCGGCTCTCCCAGTCACACCTCGAGATGAGACGAAAGAAGATGGCCTTATTCTTCTTGTCCCTACGAGTAATCATGGATTCAACCTGCCCGGCTTCAACTCGTTGTAGCAAAGATACTCTTACTGAGGATTCTCACTCGATTGGGCTTTCAAGTTCAGGGGGCCCATGAATTGAATGGCCGTAATCTGTCAGCCTGTTCTATTTGTTCTTGGTCAATACGGAGAAATATCCGTTAAGTGAAGAGCGATGGATATCTAACAAGAGCCGCGGGATCATTGAACTGCACGAATGGTCCTGTTAAAACAGGTCCGGCGTACTGGACAACCATTTTCACCACCCCTGCCCAGTTCTTCTGCTCAAAACGGTGCAGGTAATTGGCCAAATCTAACAGGGTGTCGTCTTTGGACACCAGTCTTACCATCCGGTGGAGTCAACTTCATAACTTGTTAGCAATGCTGTGATATAGTCATGTCCCTGAGTAATCCGATCATACCTGCTTGCCCATGACAATCGGATCCCGCCACAAAGGCTTCTTCGACATGTAGTTGCAGATCTTGCTCATAAACTCGCGAATATGGGCTGTGATGTCGGCAACTTGGTGTGCCTGGTCATGGCGTTTAAACACATAGCGCTCTAGCTCTGCCACCAAATCCCAGGTTTTGAGGTAGTTCGATGACGATTTGGGATATGAAAACGACTGATCGACCCAGTAGATGATGTGCTGCAATACCGTTTTTGCCGGTTGTGCAACTGTCCGATTTGTGAAGACGAACTCCTTCCTGTTATATTGTATTAGCTTGAACACAGACTCTCATTGAAGAGAGAAATACATGACATGAGGGGCAAGCGATGTCTGGGTTCTCTTTGACGTTTGTATAAACAAGACAATATTGGGTAGACGATAGATGCAGTAGGAAACCGGCCCGTTTTGTGATGACAATCGTTGTTTCGGTCAAGAACTCTCGACCTATGTCGGGTAACGCCAATTCGGTGAACCATTTCTCATTTAGAGCAAGCTTCCCTTTCAATGTCCCATCTTAATGGTCATCTTTGCAGGGAAAGAACAAGTGTTGTAGTAATTCTGGCCTACTACCCTTCTGAACAACCCACATAACCATCTCCCAGTTTATAGATATGATTATTGCGTCACCAAAGATCACACTTTGAAAGTGTAGGACTTTCTCGTTTCATCCTTTCAGAACTGGAGTATGGATCCGTTAGCTAAGTACAGATAAACAACAGAGGAGATCAGTTCATTCATACCGACTCCAGATTGGTGCTTGTGATTTCGTCTGCTACGGTAAAGTTGAAGTGCTTTGCCCCGTATGGCATTTTGACGTATTCGGCCCACAAAGATGAGCAGAAAGAAGACCTTATCAATGCAAGAATCCTCGCTGACTGAGGCCCCTTAATCCCGTAGTTGATTGTGTCGTAACTGCCTTCGCGGCAGAGCATGGCCGCCTTCCGGTTCCACGGTTCCTACTGACGAGGGCTGTTCCCAGAACATTCTCACATTCTCCCATCTCATCCAGGTCCCAACTCCCACCTCATCCCACTTCACGTTTATATCGGCTGTCTTCGTCACATTGACGTTTTTCGACTCGATATGCCTGCCAAGCGCAGAAGACTAGGGGACTCGTCCCTCTGCGATCCCCTCCCAGTGGATAAGTGCGACCTTGATGAATGCTTTGGCTTTCATCAGTTTGGAAAGAGATACGTCGCTAGTAAGATGATATCCGCTTTTCTTTACTTTGAACCAAAGTCACTGATGGACAGCAGAAACCTCATCGACCGAGTGGGGCCCCCCTAGTGTTGCAGTATTACGAGCCATCCACACAGTGAATATCACCCCTGAGAATGAGAAATTTGTCAGAACTTACCATCCCTCTTTGTGTGACTATGATGAAGTCTGCGTATCCGATGTCCAATACGGAGCAGAAGTCTGGCTCGTGCGAGGCGGCACGACAGACATAGAAGCAGGGGGCAGAGCAATCCATCTGCATCCTGAGGAATTTCTGAAGCTTCTATCTCTTCCACGGTCTATAACGATCCGACGTGCAATGCCTGAAGAGTGGTTGTTTTCAACAGGGATAAACCCTCGCAAGTTATTGTCATCTTCCCAGCTTGACTCATTCAGAGAACTCTTTCCAACTGCAGTCGGTGTCCGTATTCTTGTGTCGGGATTTATTGTGGTTTTGTTCAAGTCAAAACCTGACCTTCAAGCGGCTTATCGACACGACTGGATAAAAGAGATTGGTGGTCTTCGAGCTGTTTACGATACGTTGAGTGTTCATGTCACCGCCGAGCCCATAAGCAGTGGAGTGCAGGTTTCGCAATCCCCAGAAAGTATTGTCAATGTCTCGGGTTGCTTGGGACTGAGGTTGCGCTTGACAGACGGCACCCAGGCCATCACCACTGTGACGCACGGCTTTGTAAGGGACCCCTGGTGGTGTCCGTTTCCACTAAGGGTCGCGGAATGGGCTATGAAAGCCACAAGGGCCCTTAGGAGGCTTGTCCGCCCCCCAGCCCCGTCCGAGACCTCCGCCATCGCAATCATGGACCCTTCAGGCAACAACTCCCCCATCGGCAAGCAGGTTTGGCTCGCGACTGAAAGTGTCCGGGTTAGTCAGCCTATTCCAATCTGTTGCTTTTAAGGATGCTAACTCCGTACGCCTAGGCTGGCACTATCACTCATACGTTCGACAACCCCAGCGCGATCTTGCCATACCCCGCCGGATACACCCATGATCTGAGCCTCATCACCGATGAAAACTTACCCACATTGGTCAGTCCGCCCGGATACCCAGTAATATCGGAGTGGGCCACATACTCGAACGCCCTCAGTGGGTGTAGTGTCTATGCAGCCAGACAAAATGTTGTTGTTGGCCGGTGGGCAACACTGTACGAGACTATTGATCCCGATGCCTTTCGCGGCGCTACAGTTTGCGGAGCGGATTATCCTTGGGATAGAGAGGCTCGGTCGCAAACGGCTGCATTGTTGTGGAATACACTGGAGCCCTTTACTCCAGCGATTGGATGGTCCGGTTCTGTTCTTTGCGTGGGACAGCCAACAGACACGTTTTCGAGAGCAGTTGTGTTCCAGAACTATGAGGTGGAAGTCCGGGCTAACGAGAAAACTGTTATCCTGAAAGCTGGCTTCTTACTGCCGAAAGCCATCAGGGTGGCCACAATCGTGACCAACCCGGAGGATTAGAAAACCAAGGGAGAGCAATACATTCAACAGGGCCACTTTCCGCTTGATGGAAAGAAGCTGGATTGAGCTGCGACGTGAGCTGACCACTGCCAAACAGAACCCTCAAGCCGCGAACTCCGCCTCCGCAAGTGCCCGACTCTACCCTATTCCCGAATTAGCAATTGTTTATTCTATTAAAGCACATCAGTTATGGTCTGCACAAGGGGAAGTCTAGAAGAGTTGTTTTGTCTGTTCAGAAAGTGGTTTGCGTCTGAGTTCTCATGATTACTAGGAAGTTCAGATAGCCTGTTAAGAATTTTAGCTGTCGGTGAAATGTTATGCGAAATCTTCCTTGTAGAACAGAACTATTAGGGATTTTATTCTCCCCGGAGGTCCTCCATCGATAGTAAACCTCGGCAGCAGCACCAACTGTGGTAGTTAGTTGAAGGGCGCCACTCTAACTCAAGTTAGATTCGGCCTACGACTCCCCCACTCAGCAAGTCTGACTGGAGTTAGTGGTACTACAACTCCGCAAAACCCCAGATTGTTCAATCTCCGAAAACAGCCTATATTGAACTTACTGACCACTCAGAGGCTGCGGAGTAGACTACCTTACCTGTGGCAAAAATGGGCTCTTCCCTTTCTTTTCTGCTGTGGATTTGAATGTTCTACTTCTAGGCAGCTAAAACAGGAAGTTGTTTCAACTCACCCAACTGCATCCCGATTTCGGGGAGAGAGGCTGGAATCATCATCACCGCCGGAAGAAGAATCCGGCTAAATTTTCTACGCTCTTTTGTATCTTTTGCTATAAGATACGAACTCACGTTCACATTTATCCAATCATTAGAAATCTGTGTAATATAAGAAATTTGTAAATGATAAGTATTCTCTATGTTATCTTTTGAAAAAAAATCCGGTTATTATCAAGGATTGTTCTTCCGCAGAGACAGGAGTCCACGCTTGAAGAGAATCCTTTTTTTCAGGCATCTATGAACTTAGCCCTAGCTCGATCTTCGAGAGGAATTGCTTCAGCTGTAAGCATATTGTAAATGAATCCTAGGCACTGTGCTGTATTTCGTTTCTCTCAGGCAGACCCCGAGATGAGATGTGAAGAAATGGCCTTAATTCACCCTCTCTCTACGAGTAATCACGAGTCGAAGGTGTCCGGCCATGTCCGTCTATATCCTAATCCAAACTCACTTTGAATCTTGAATGCCAACACCCTGTGGTCTTACATGTCTCATGTTCTCGTTCATATCCCCTGTCAGCAAACCCCAGCAAACCATACTAATCCTAGCAAACATTGACCCGTCGGCAAAAATTCCCTTCTCTCCCCAGACCAGACCATCGATCACCATTAACCTAATTCACCCCCCGGCTTATGTCTCCAAGCTGCAAATGTTTATATTAAACCCCGCGTACCCTGCATGAGACTACGCCGGATTTAGGAATCAGCATAAGCATGGGGAGCTGGGGAATCTAGAGCGCCGGGGTTTGATTCGTTGGTGGTTAGTTTGAGTGGATTAGATACCATCGAATGTTTAGTCAACGGGTTTGTTTGCTTGATCTTGACTGTGAGAGCTCTCTCCAAACTGCAATGTGTCTCTTTGTATACTCCTCTATGGACGAGTATGTGTATGTACCCCTCCCTTGTCCTTTGCAGTGGCGAGACTCTGACGTCGGATATTAGGGACATCTGGGCCGACTGGAGGAGGGTATTGGTGGACTGATGATGCCGGTAAAGGCGATGGCTTCGTGTTCATTGATTCGCGTTGCCAACGATGAGTCTGAGATGAGGTGGCAGGATAATAGAAGAGTATGGAAGCGTTGGATCATGGTCTACTACGTTGAGTAGAGTGAGGACATGACTCAAGTATTGCTACGAGGCAGTATAGATACCTTTGCCAAATGTATAAATAGACAGCAAAATCCCATCAACTACATTCAGAATACTATCCATCCATCCATCCATATCTCCTCCATCCAATCCACCCAGTTCCTCCACTCTCATACCAAACAACCACCAACAGAATGCAACTCACCTCCCTCCTCACCCTGGCCCTCGCCAGCACGGCCGCCCTCGCTGCCCCAGCCGCTGCCCCCGAAGCCAAAGACACCCAAACCCTCTCCAAGCGCGGCGTCGAGACCATCTACCTCTCCAACTGCGTCACCTCCGGCTCCGCCTACAACCGCAGCGGCATGTTCTACTACCCTGACGGCGACCAGTCGCAGAACGGCGAGCGTCCGGCCAGCGGCAACTACGCGTCCGTCAACGGCGGCAACCTCGTCGGCTGGGAAGGTCGTTCCGTGTCGGGCACCTTTGGGTCTGGCGTGACGTTTACCTCGAGTATCACGCCTGGTTCGCATGCTGCGTTTAGTTGGTCGGGGAGCGGCACGAATGGGTATAGGAGTTTTAATTGTTATCGCGATAATGAGCGGTTTTTGTTTAATTCGGCGAGTTGGGGGAATTGTTATTCTGTGTATTATTGTATTTAGTTGAGAGTATTCTTTTTCTCTCTTCCCTTGGTTGGGACGGCGGTGGGTCAAGTGGCTTAGGGCTTAGGAATATGAGGATTATGAGACAGATCATTATTCATTTCAAGCACAGAATATATACACGCATACATCTGGTATCTTTACTTATAGATCAGTAAGATCAATCAAGCCCACGCATCCCAGCTCAACCCATCCCGGAACTCCAGTCCCACCTGCGCACCCTCATTGCCGACCAGATATCCGTCCAGACACGTCTCGTACGATACCTTCGGCTGCTTGCGGTAGAAGGCATCATATCGGGAGTCCAGCGCCTGGCGCAGACTCTGCACTTTCCCGTCCGGATGCAGAACCTCCCACGGCTTGATGCAGGTGGCGCCCTGGCAGGACTTGAGCACGAGCAGGAGAGCGTCGAGTCGGTTGATCAAGGCGGGGAGGGGGCGCGAGAGAAGCGTCGTGCCGTTCTTGGTCGTGTAGATGTTGTGCAATTGGTAGGGGTCGGTCTGTTTAGGTCAGTATATTAGGTCTTGATCATGCAAGAGGGGGTAAACGCACCGAGAGATCATAAAGTTCGTGCTCGTTGGTGCACCAGACCGAGTAGTAGAGGTTGTAATCCTCGCCGATGATGCGCGCCGACTTGTACGTGTTGTTGGGCGTGTTGGTTGAACCACCGGGACCTGTTTTCTTGTTAACCCCTGGTCTCCAGATATCCATCTCCTCATACCCATGAGAGAGACGGAACAACCATGAGAGCAAAAAAACATACCGATAGCAGCATATTCGCCCTCGATGACACTCCTCCCCCAATACTCCACCGTGACATGCTCATGCGCCACCGACTTCGACCCGGTCTTCTTCAAGGGCATCGGCGTGCCGTCAAAGTCCTTGCGCAGCGGAATCCCCGCCAATTCGAAGAAGGTCGGCACCAGATCGATATGCGTCGACACGCTGTCCTCCGTCTTACCCTCCGGGATGCCCGGTCCGCGAATGTAGAATGGCACGCGGATGTCCTCTTCGAATCCCGTCGTCTTGCCCGGCGGCAGACGGTGCTGGCCGATGTGGAACCCGTTGTCCGACGAGTAGATGATGTACGTGTTGTCGATCTCGCCGCTCTCTTCAAGTCGGTCAAGAAGCTGGTCCACGAGTTCGTCGACGCCTTGCAGCGCGCGCAGTCGCTGGCGGTAGTAGTGGTCCTCGTAGTCGATCACGGTCTGGTTCTTCAGAGGGAGGTTGCTCAGCCAGCTGGGCCCGGTGTACTGCATTCTCGTTAGTCATATGCGTTCTCAGACGGCGAAGGTATCTGAAGACACGGGACATACGTTAACAGGGTTAAAGCTCGGCGTCCGAGGCACCTTCGCATCAGCAAACAAATGCGCATGCCGCGGCGCCGGAATTGGCTCGCTCATGATCGTCGGACTGGACGCCCCCACCTTATCAATGTTCGAGTGCGGCGCGATGGGCGACACCGTCAGGAAGAATGGCCTATCGCCCTCCAGCGCGTCGTCCAGGAACCCCAGCGCCTTCTCGGTGATCACGTCCGTCGTGTACTGGCCCTCGTAACTGCGCGGCGGCTCGTGGTTCCGCTGGTAGGTTGAGTTGTAGTAGGAGTAGGTGAAGGGGTCGAGCAGGAAGTCGGAGCCGTTGAAGCCCTTGACGAAGGGGTCATTGTAGCTGGTGACGCTGTGTGCGTTGAACAGCTTGCCCGTGTAGAAGGTGTTGTAGCCGGCTTGTTGCAGCCACACGGGGAACCAGTTGTCGTTGAACCCTTGCGAGACAAATTTAGGATATCCTCCTGCGGAACTGTTAGCTCTGATTGCCGAGGTACTCTGTATGAGTTCTAGACAGTCAATGTTAGGAATACGTACCCCATGGCGGACTCACGTCCGTGACATTCGTGTTATGCGCCTGCCGCCCCGTCCAGAGACTCACGCGCGACGGACAGCACAGCGCCGTCGTGACGAAATGATTCGTAAAGTCCACGCCCTTCTCCTTGATGCGGTGCAGAATACTCGGCGTGTAGGCGGGCGAATTGAGCTGTAGATCCTGGTCGTCGGTCAAGACGAAGAGGAAGTTGGGCGGTTTGCCCTTCCCCAGGGTTTGCTGGGAGGTGGCCTGCGAGACGGCCAGGCCGGAGAGCGCAGCCAATGCGGTGATCTTCATGCTGTGCTTATCAGACAGGAATTGGCCTGGATCTGGGTGAGAGGGGTGTATAGCGAGCTGGACGAGGTGCCTCTATATATGCGGAGATATGTACAAGCTCCCACAATGTGTAGATTAACTGACAGATGGCGCGTGAAGTCGGCGGGATGATGCCATCGCGGCCGTTCCTGAGTCGGTTGGAAGAAGTCGGAGCTCTCTGAAGGACCTTCATCGCAGGGACATTTCCCTCCGGAATGCTCTCAGACGAATGCAAGGGGTGGCTCGGCTACGATGTGGCCCACCGGATGATGCTATTGCCGACGATCGCGCAGATTCGGTGGAGAAGTCGGAGCTTCTCTTTTTTAGTGGAATATTGCATCACGATCGTCCAATAAACGGGCCATTGGGTAGTGATCACCGGTGGAGTTTATTGATTCTTGGGGAAGCCGCTTAGGGTTATGTTCGGGGGTTCGTCGGGATGAAACTATTGACCTCTGGTTCCTGACCATCCGCCATATTATTTATTCCAAGTGTCACGGTTCCCAGCAATAGCTTTGTGATACTCTACAAGTCAATAATGCGACCTGTTCATTTAATCAATTGATGAAGAAACCGAAGAGAAAAAGCGAAGAAAAAGGCTCCACCGCGGCCCGATTACGTGCTAGACTCTAAGATGAGCTCATCTGCTAAGGAATCACTAAGTTAACCGAGATGCCTGAACTCGAATGAATGCGGAGGAACTTCATGCAAAGCAGTTATACTCCGTAGCCCGTAATGACAGGAAGCGATCACCGCCATGTATCCTTCTGCGTCTTCCCACTTACTCCGCAGCCACCTGCCACGCTAAGGCTGCGATTCGGATCGCTCTCCCAAGTCACCGCGCCATTCTGCACGCGAATATACTTGTACTCGAACGTCTTGTCCACCGGCACGTTGACTGTGCCGTACCATATCGGGTTGCTGCTCGTGTAGCGGTCCGCGCTTAATGCGATCGCACTGGACGGGCTCCAGGACCCCAGTTCCGCGATCGAGCCGACTACCTTGATGTCCTGGCCATAGACCGTCGTGGCCGTCACTTCGAACGTCACGGCGACCGCCGTGGGCGACGCGCAGGGGACCGACGTGCCCGGGGTATCTCCGATAGCCGGCCAGCTGGTGACGGCGACGCTGGAGTACGTCCCCGTTGCGGAGGTGGCGGTGCACTTGGTCGGCAGGGATGTCGCCGCCGTCTCGCCCCAAGACGGTGGCACCACGGCGTTGCGACGACGGTTCGCCGTTAGCAGAGCGGCGTATGACCAGGTGAGATCGCGTGCCGATGTCTGCTTGCCGTCTGCGCGGGTGATTTGTTCGGCCATTGACCCGTTGGAAGCGGCGTAGGTTTGCTGGTAGTGTGGTTAGACTGACCTGATACTATCTGGGCACTTTCACTGTAGTGAGGGTAAGGCAACATACCACGACACTCACGAATCCATCCGCATATGTCTTGACAGCATTAACCAAACTCGTATACTTTGCGCTCGACGACGCATAGCTTCCCACGCTGGCCGAACTGTCCAACGCTTGGAAGAAGGGCAACGACACGTCGGTGATGCTCAGCTGGCCCAGCTTATCCCACTGATACAGGGCATCATACAGCTGCTCCGCCGCGGCCAGCGTCGTCAGGAACCACGGGTTGCCCCCGTAGTAGACGTCCTCGGCGTAGCGACCCACGGCAACGGCCTCGTTGGCCTTGCGGCCCGCGTTAATGGCATAGATGGACCGGAACGAGTCTACCACGGCCTTGTGGTTTGCCAGGGCGCGCGGCGAGCACGGCTGGAAGGTCACGTCGTCGCACGCCGCGGCCGGGTCGAAGGTATGGATGCTGCCCAGCAGAGTGTTGGCGTCTTTGCCAGTTCGCCCGCCGCCGAAGTTCGCGAGAATGTACTTGCCGGATCCCGACCAGAAGGATTGCAGGTAGCATCGGATCTGGGGAGCCTGCGAGTCGCAGTAGGAGCATGACGCGCCGACGCTTTTGGCGAAGGCGCTGCCTTCGACCAGGGCGCGGTGCGACACGGCGATGGTGAAGAAGGACGATCCTTGTACTTCTTCCCAGAGGTCTGCTCTTCGTTAGCGCATTCATCTCGGACAAAAAGAAGGAAAAGGAGGAGCTCACCAAACCCGGTCTGGTTCCAGTACTGCGCCACATACGACAGATCATTTCTCACGACCGGCCAGATGATGTCCTTTGCTACGGCGGTGTAACCATTGTCCTGCAGAGCTAGTCAGTCATTCAGCCTGCATCGCTATCATTCCATTCCCCGGAAAGACACATCGCAAAGAGAGGTAAATAGAAAAACATACAACTAGCCACTCTCCAAAGCCCACCAACGCCGTAGCCCTCAGCGCCGGCCCGTCTCGCTGCGGCCGACCCCATCCGCCGGTGAACGCGCTCTCGTCGGCGTTGAATTTAGCCTCGCCGAGACCTGCCCCGCTGGCTAAATTACCGGAGGGGTTTGACACGCCCTGGATGCGGGCCTGCGAGGTGACGAACTGCTCGATGGTGGGCAGCAGGGCCTTGTCACCGTCGCGGAACAGGTCGATTAGGGTTTTGAGGACCAGTCCGGAGTCGCGAGTCCAGGTGTAGAAGTCTGTGAAATGTTAGGGGTGCCTCGGAATGAGAAGGTATCAGGGAAAATAAGAAATTTAGTCCTAGAGATGCTTGATGAAACGAAAGATGAGAGAGAACGTACAATCAGGGTCACTCCGACTCGGACTCGCAATCACGACGCCAGAGCGCGCACCTGGCACCCAGGCCCCGTCGGCGCCGATATTATTCAAGATCGCTGTGCGAGAGATGTCTTCTTCCTGTTCGAGCCATGTGTCGAGACCAGACTGGCGAGGGAAGAGGGATGGAACAGCAAAGGAAGGGGAAATGAATAACAGTAGGAAGTGTAGGGACCTCATGGTGAAGATGCACGAAAAGCACAGTTGAAAGAACAGATGAGGAATGAATCTTCTCAGGGTAAACCAAGAAATGTGCCCAATTTATAGACAAGGTCGAATCAGGCCACCGTCTCGCCTGAAGACACCCCCGTTGTATAGCAGGATATATAGACTCGACTAGACTAAGGTATGTACAAGTCCGACGCCAATCATCGCCTCTGCCTGCAGCCACTAATCTATAATATTCCCGGGGAATCGCCGTCCCCTGTCAATCATCCCCGCCTGACCTGCAGAACTTCGCTTGCATGATCTTTCTTTGTCTCTCCCTCCTAAGCGAGCCGATAAAACGGCTACTGAGACCGACACTAGGTGCTTATATGTGGAACGAATCCACATTGTCCAGAATAAACTGGTACGCCTCCGATCGGAAATCATCCTTCAGCAACCGTCCGGAATTTGCCCTGAAGTTCATCAGCTGCTGGTCCTCGCTCCACTGTGGCCACTCCATAAAGTTGCCTCGTCGCGCGTTCGGGTCCAAATCGTACACGAAACTAAAGTAGTACGTGTGAATGGACCGCGACGCGTAGTTGGGCAGAATGCCGTAGAAGACCTGCAGGATGTCGCTGCCATGGAACGTGCCCATGACGGGCGTGCCGTAGTCGTAGGACGACAGGTACGACCAGCTAGGCACGTCCGGGTGCGCGTCGTGCGCAAATTTGAGCAGCGCGCGCCGAGTCAGCGTGAAGGTCAGATCGCCCAGGATGGCGGCCAGGCGTTTGAACTGCGGATACCAATTATTGAATATCCCCGTGCGGAACGGTGAACCGTCCGTGCTTATGCTGGAGTAGGTGCTGACGAGCTCCTTCAGCTGTGCCTTCGACGCGCCGTGGAAGAAGTACTTCTCGAAGTAGCCGACCAGGTCGTCGGTTGTCGTGATGTTCGACTGGAACAGTGCGAACAGCGTGCCCTCGTCCTCCTGGTCGCCGATGATGAACGGCACCTTCGCATACTTCCCTTGCTTGCCCAGCACATCCGGACTGTCGGTCAGCACCTTGCCATCCGGTCGAGGCAGATAGGACAGCGCCACCGAGTGATAACTCAGCAGTCCCGGCACCGAGTTGGCCGCGTTGAGGAAGTCTGTGTAGTCCAGCCCGCGTAAACACTCCAGCGTGTCACTCGCTGAGTCGCATCCGGCGTAGTCCACCACCTTATCATATACCGCCTGTCCCTTGGCGCTGTCCACCGGGTCCGCCGGCACGGCGCCGCCCGAGTTCATGATGGCGCCGCGGAACAAGGGCTTGCCCTTGTAGTCGATGTCACCGCCGTATAACAGCATCTGGTCGAAGACCGAGATGGCGCCGGCGGACTCGCCCCAAATGGTTACCTTCTCTGGATCGCCACCAAACTCGCCGATGTTATTGGCCACCCATTCCAGAGCGGCGCGCTGGTCCAGCAGACCCAGGTTGGACGCGCCGTCGGCCAGGATCTCCTTGCCCGGCATGAAGCCGAAGCCGCCCACGCGGTAGCTGATGGCCACGAACACGATCGGCATATCCTTATCCATGGAGCTGCGCACCAGCGGCGCACCGTCATACATGAACGACGATCCTAGCTCAAACCCGCCGCCGTAGATCCACACCAGCACGGGCAGTTTGCTGTCTGCCGTCGTGCCGGCCGGCCGCCGAATGTTCACGGACAGGCAGTCCTCACCGGCGTTGGTGACCTTTTGGAAGATAGGAATATTGGCGAGCATGCCCACCACCGAGCCGGGAAATTCGGTGTTGTCCGTCGAGAAGAAGAATTGCGGACATGACATGGCGATGCCTGTCGCCTCAACGGTGCCCAGTGAGGACTCTATCGGCTTAGGCGGCTTCAATCGCAGCGACCCGGTCGGCGGCTGCGCGAACGGCACACCATTGAAGCTCTCAACCCGAGACCCCGAGCTCCCCACAATGGTAGCCTCGGGGTGTGCGATGGTCACGGTGGGTGCGGCGCGCTTGGCAGGCGCCGCGAGGGCCGGGGAGACGACCAGCAAAGACAGGAGAAAAGAAGAGATGAAGATCATGATGCCGGGTGGAGACCTGATCGCGGTGAAGAAAAGAAGAACTCCTCGTTTGGAGAGGGGGGACCAGGTCGATCTATATCTACATGGCGGGCTGACTAGTTCATTCACTGGCGTTCCTGCGCATGTTCATCCCTTGCTTGGCTGCTCTGATCCGTTCTCCTACTCTTTCTCGTTCATCAGGATCATCCATGTGGCTCCTCGGTTGGAGACCATTCTTCATCGTATCATTCTTAGCTTGTCGGCCAGAATAGACGAGGATGACCCTTGTTCTAGGCAGCCGGAGACATGTCAGTCACGGTCACTATGCAAGACCTTCCTCGTGGACAAGGATCCCAGGGTCAGCCGATAGCAAGACAGGGATCCCCGGAGAACCCAAGAATAGCAGAACCACTGCATGTAGAATGCGCAACACGTGAAGAGCCGAGGCTGGGAACAGACCAGCTCGGTGATTTTGCAGTTATTCAAGAGAGTTAGGGCATCTTCGCCCCATCCGAGTTGACCGACTGGGGAGGAGAATGCAACGGTTGGCCGTGATTCTGCAGGAGGGGAACAGCTAGAATCCTTCGCCCGTCAGCATTCACCTAAAAGATCCAGGAGGAGAAATCAAATCCACTTCCTTCATCCACTTCTCACTCTCCACCGGCCAATTCTGCGGGGTTAAACGCGGGGAAATTCCTCAGGCTTCGGATGTGATCGGCGGGTGTCCAACTCAATTCCCTCATCTCACAGGCGGTCCTCGTTTGCCCAGCCAAATAGCGTCAACTCTCGTCGTGGTCAGTTCGCAACCGATGCTGGCTGGTGCCTGGCACGCTTTCCTCTTTCCCCTTTCCGTCCCCTGAGTGAGGTGCGAATCCAAGAAAGTCTATCGTGATATTATGTCTATTATACAGAAAGTCGAGTCTAGGGTATAAGCCAAAAAAAGAAAGGAATCCGTCAGGCGCTGCTCGGTAATCATTTCTCCCACCCGTTCCATCGCTCGAAATCGCCCGTGTCCAAATCAAAAAGATCCAGCATGCGTCCGACGCTTTGATCTACCAGCTCATCCAACCCGCCGGCCTTGATGTAGAAGGCCGGTACAGGTGGAAAAATTATGGCACCGGCCCGAGTCACCTCCAACATGTTCCGAAGATGAATCTCACTCAACGGCGTCTCACGCGCTACCAGTACCAAACGTCGGCGCTCCTTGAGCATGACGTCGGCCGTACGCGAGATCAAATCGTCGCAGAACCCCGTGTAGATGGCTGCCAAACTCTTCATGCTGCAGGGTACCACAATCATTCCGTCGGTGCGATATGAGCCACTAGCAATCGGGGCCGCCATGTCGTTGATGTTGTGGACATGGTCTGCCAGCGCTTTCACGTTCGACGGATGGTAGTCCGTCTCGTATTTGATTGTTGCCTCGGCCCATTTGCTCAAAACCAGATGGGTTTCCACGTTCAGGCGCCGTAGCGCAATGAGAACCTTGATGCCGAGAACTGCCCCTGTCGCTCCGGTCATGGCAACCACGATGCGACGGCGTCTGGCCGGCGGGGGATTGGCGGGACGAGGCTGACTCACGTCCATTTCGGTCGGGCTAGGAGGGGTCCGAGTGGAGGAGGGCGTAGAGGAGCCCGAGAAGATGGAATCAAGCATGTGTTCGTGTTTGTTGGTGGTATGTAGAGTGAATCGCAGTCGGAATATGAAGGCTGACTGCTTCGTTGCTGAGAGGTGATGGTCAAAATGATGATGAACTGTTCGAAACCGGTCAGTCTAGAGCGAGGACATACTTATAAAACCGAGTGGCGCGAGGCTCACCCACTTTGGCCTGTCAATTTCTCATGTTTCAAACGTTTTCCAGAATTCTATCGTCGAGGTCCCGAGCCCCCGAGCCTCCGAGGGCGCCGACGGCGAACATCCCAACGGCTGTGGATACGGCCCCGTTTCAACTACAGAAAGCCGTTTTCCTGCGAAAAATCGAATAGGGGCACTTCCAGTCCCTCAGTTAACATTCTTTACGCGCTTTGTCATCCGGTTCTTACCGTTCATGATCGAGTCCAGGTACGAGATCGGTGATACTCCCGTCTGGTCCAAAGTTCCATAACCCTCGGGAAACACAGGGAAAAACCTACAGTTGTTGGCAAGACTTGTCAGCAGCAGAACGGCCCACACAGGAGTGGAGACTGACTGGTTTTCTGGAAATAACGCTTCCAAGTACGGAGGATTTTCACTGGGATGGCCTTGTTCCCTGCTCTGATCCAGAGCGTTCCCCACCGCGTTGCGCAGGGTAATTAAGGCCCGGATGTGCCGTTCCGACAGCCACTGACCGTTCTGCGAGGCCGCGTTGCCTACGCTGCCTACTGATCCGGCGGCAGAAAACACTTCGATGACCCGTTGCTGCAGGTCGCGGCATTCCGCGTCATTCCGAGTTTCTTCCCAGATGCACAGCAGCAATGTCGAGCTGAGCACCGTGTGCACCATCGACCAGCTCCGCAGAGGCACGATGCTCAGGGCCTGAAATTCGAGAAATGCCTTGGAAGCATCTATTAGACTGGTCTTCGCACGTGTTCGTAAAATGTCGTACCACGCCTCCTCCCGAACTTGAGAGCTTTTAAGGGCCGGGCGACTCAGGACCGAACCGGCAAGCGAGAGATGCATTTTCAAGGCCAGATGTTCCAGATTATGATGTAACGTTCTGCAGTCCCCGCGGTTGCGTAGGTGCGGCTGGGCACGTTGGAAGACTGCATCCAAGGAGTTCAGCATCTCGAGTGCGCGAGTGACTTCCTGCGCATCGCGAACTTCGCTGGTGGTAATACCCAGCGCTATTCGACACACGTAGTGCATGATCTCGGTAAAAGATAGGTCCAGTCGGTTGAAAATCGAGTTGTCCGGTGTCCAGCCAGCAATCGATACGACGGGAGGTCGATCGTAGCATAGACAGAGCAGACTGTCTTGCCAGACAATGGTGAACCTATACCAGTCAGCCGCTGATGCAGACGAGAAAATGATACCCTGATCATCGCTAATTACCACAACTTCCGTGCTTTCACTTGTATGTATCCAGGCAACCGTGCGGTACTCTTCTCCGTGTGCAGACCCAGCGTCTGGGCCAATCGAACCGTCGTCCCAAGCAGAGCCCATGCCGCTTCCGACTGACCATTATTTTGTAGAGTGTTTCCCACAATCAACATTGTCTGAATGATGTCCATCGATGGTCGGAAGAGAAAGTTGGCCAGACGAAGAGCCTGAAACGACCGACGGGCTAATCCGTCAAGGTCAGAGGCACATCCTTCCAGATAGAAAGCTACTTACCAAAGTCATGGCAGATTTCTGTTCGCTGCGGATGTTCTAAATCAGAATAATGAGCTCCCGCAGCCAACGTAGCAAGCAACAAGCTGATATGCCCGATTGATCGATCCGTGGCCCACTTGTCCGATATCTGGGAACTGTCCCTGAACTCCCCTGAGGCATATGCATTGAGATAGGTACAGAGATCGATTTCAAACCGTTCAATATCCACCAAGATTGGGTTGAACGGGTAAGCCGATAGACGGTAGAAATGAAAGAACCTGCCCAGGGTTAGCCACAGGCCCGACAGGGGGAAGTACCACGCACTTCAACACTTCTGTCCGCTGCGGAATGATCCGAACAAGCTCTTGCCACCGTTCCTCCGGCGTCTTGGGATCCATAAACGGGTAACTACCATAAGTGTTCTGCAAGCCAAGGACTGAGCCAACCTCGTGGGCGATCGACCCGCTGGCATCATGCGTGCGATTACGCACAATCGACACGATCGAGTTATCTCCCGAGTAGATATACTCATTCTCTGGCCCATCCATTGACGAGTTCCTATGCAAGGAGGCACTCGCGGCCTGATCCGGAGGCTGCAGTTGCGAACCCGACTGCCGGGGTGTCGGCGGTCCCGACAGCATGATCGACTGCGGTGTCACGGCATCCCCAGACGCCCATGTGTTCAGGTCCGGCGGAGAATTAAAGCGCCCCTGCGCGGGATGATTCGCTCGAGTGTTAGATTCTTCTACATCGTATGCGCAGATCTCCGGATGGCCGCGTCTGCGACAGGTCTTGCACGGCTGCGTACTGTCGCATTTCACCTTCCGTTGGCGACAGGGATAGCAGGCCTTTTGCTCGCGTTGCTGCTTGCGTTTCAATCCCAATACTCGGTCGATCTCCTGCCGGTTGGGGTGAGTATTATTATTATTGGCGGCCATTTTCCGACGGTGTGTCTTGGTGTCTCGGACTGGATGCTTGGTTGTGTCGCTCGGCCCTTCGGAGCGTCGCTGAGTCAGGACTGAGTCAGGCCTTCCTGTTTGGGGCATGCGGGGACAGGCCTGAATGCTCAGGAATCCTTTTCACTGCTTGATTTTACTGACCAGAATTTTGTTTGGACATGCAATATGTGGGCTTTTCTTGTGAATTGTGTGTTTTGCACAAGTATGATGACATCTTTATGCTATATAACTCTATTCATTCTAAACAGATACTCACAATATACCAATCTAAACCAACAAAAGAAACATTTACTCTAGCTTGCTAAATCCCATCTTCTCCCAGTTGCTCTGCACCTTTTTCTTGAGCTCATCCGGGTAGGAACTTCTAAAGTCGGCCGCCTCCCAGTCCCGGCCGGTGGTATACTCCGTAGGCATCAGAGCATCCGAAACCACCTTGCCTCCCTGGGCTTTAGGGCCATTTCCATGCGACATGTACGGCACGAGCGGGAAACCGCGGACGTCCTCGTACAAGGTCTCGTCCATTCCTGGGCGACACCGCGTGGAGAATGCCCACATCACGTCCTTGCCGTCGTAGACGTCAATGTCGTCGCCCACCAACACGAGTCGGTGGATGGTATATCCGGCTTTATGGTTGAAAACAAGGTCACCGACCTTCTTGCGGAATTCGAGGGAGGTGAGTTTCAGGCTGCGCAGCTTGGTTGTGTCGACTCGCAGCGCAACCCAGGTCACTTGGGATTCGAAGGGCGCGAAGGCATCGGTTATGGGAAGGTTGTTCTGCTGACAGATCTTGCGGATCTCAGCCGCGGCCAGGGATCCGATCATGGTGTGCTGGTGCAAGTTAGATATTATCCTGTAGCTCGGTTATAGTCTGGGAACATACCGTTTCGTCGGTCAATCGACCACAGGATGACATAGGGAGGATGGGGTTATTCCGATAAGTGATGCGGTTCACCTTGTACTTGGGACAGACATGCGCGTCGCCAGGGAACACATAGCCGTGCATTTCACCGAACGGGCCCTCGGGCACGCTTTCGGTGATAGACAAGGTACCCTCAAGAACGATCTCCGACGTGGCCGGAACGTACAGATCGTTCGTGTCACACTTAACCAGCTCCAGGGAAGATCCGGTCATGGCGCCCACGTAGCCCGCCTCCGTTACGCCGTCGGGAATGGGCATGCTAGAAGCCATGATGGCCGCGGGCGGGACACCAAAGGCCAGGGTCCAGGGGACGTCCCGTCCTTCCTTCTTCCACATTTCGTGGATCTGCCAGATGTGCTGAGGCGGAATCACAAGGCCGGTCAAATGTTTCTCATCGTGCACCATGGCGCGAGCGATCGACCAGTTGGTCCATTTTCCATCGGGCGACTGGACGATATGCATGCCGTAGGTCTGAATATATTTGCCGCCATCGGATTGGTGAATGAGCGGAGCAGGTAGCTTGGTCAGGTCAATCTGACTCTCCTCAAGGACGTTCTCCTTGCATGGCCCGGTAGACACGATCGTAGGCTGGATGGGAGGCATGCTGCTGGCAGACAGCATCTTGTCAAGGATCTCACGCATGGACGCGGTCGGAGGCAGGGCGAGGTGGCGAGCGAGACGGCCGTAACGATCGGCGGAGGACTTTCTCAGGGAACCAGGGGCACCCAGGATGCGGAAGAGGCCGTTCTGCGTGCCGATGACATTGTTGAACAAGGGTGCCTTGTCGTTGGTCTCGCAGACGAGTCGGGTGATGGCTGCGGCCTCGAGGTTTGGATCGACAGGGGTATCAATCTCGACAAGGTCATCGTCTGCCTTAAGGGCGTCGACGAAAGAGCGGAAGCAAAGATGAGGTTGTTGCTGTTCAGACATGACTGCGGTTTGATCTTCGTGATAACGATGAAGTTGAGTCCGTTGGCTGAGCTGACTGGGACATCCAGAGGCCCGACTTATATAAATAAGACATCTTTGCAAGTCGGATCAGTCGGAACCAGAATTAGGGACTGAAAAGGATGCATTTTTCTGGATCGTGCTATACAGTGATGATGTCTTGGGGCTCGGAGGCTCGGAGGCTCGGGGCATTGCAAGCCCACACCGGAGGTTTCTCGGGTTTCAGGTTCAGTTATTGGGGACGTTCTGAACTCACTCAGCACGGTCGGACTGACATTTCGTACGATGTAAGCAGTCCTGCTAGCTTTACCTTACTGTTGGAATGCTTGTCGTATGGCATCGCTTACTGACCGAACCGCAGGTGTAGGATGCCGGAATTGTATGAAGCTCTAGCTCTGCAGCGAGGCTATCAAGCTACGGCCGAAATGTGGGTCAGCTGATATGCAGGCTAACTACAATAGGCAGGTACAAATCCACAAGCGAGTATCAGTCGATATGGCTCAGTGTACAGTACATTCGATCCACAGTGGGCTTAAGGTAGCCAGGTCAGCGGTTTTCAATCAATTCAAAGATTCTCCACCTTTGAAGTACAGTCAATTGCTGGTCTCTATGAGCAGTTCCTCGACGACCTTCACGTTGGCTAGGAACACAAGCTTAGTCGTAGGTTAGCTTAATAGGCAGTGTTCTGGTAAATACTCCAGGGTGTTGTGTGTTGATTTTGGAAAATATATATCTATATATACATATATCTTACCCGTTTGGGGCCAATTCTGAGCGTTTTCTCGTTCTACTGAGCTGGTTGCCTTTTGTAGCGAGGCAACCTCTTCATCCGTCTTTTTAATCACTCTCTAACAAGATTTGGGTCAATTGATCGTTCGACTGATTACCTGCAAAGATCACAACTATCTGGCAGGATGGTATCACGTGACTCCGAACAAGGCTCCCTAATCCAAGGTCGTCCCCTATGTCTTTTGTCAGCCGAAGTATAAGTATTGGTCATGTTTCAGACATCGTTGCTAGCGGGATGATCTTGAATTGGAAACGCTGTTTTAATTGTGGAATGAAGAAAAGCACATCAAGAACACTGGAATATACCACGGCCTTTTCAAGAATAGATCATGTACAAACGGAGGATATGTCTCCTCAGGAATATTGATATGTATTGACAAGTGAAATACTGCTGAATTCTAGAGCCTTAATTGAAATATTCTTGTGCTCTTCTCGTTCTTTCAGGTCTGTTTGAGGGATTTTGCTTTAATAGCTATCATTTTGGACTTCGTTAATACGCAACAAACAGAGCAACACGGGTTTCTTCGCTTTGTTCAAACAAAAAGATGGAACTTGCCGTAAAGTAGCTATGTCAGTCTAGAGAAAGACCATGATTGATGATTTAAAGCCTCCCTTCCACCTGCTTAGTGCTTTCTTTTCTGACACCTATCCTTCATTTTCCAACATCACGACACGGTGATATCCACCGAGACCAAGAAATCAAGAAATACGTACCACCCATATCAGTCTCCTCCAAAGCGCTTCGCATCATTAGAAGATTGAAAATCCAACCCGGCAACGCCGCGCAGGCCTCTTTTCCAAAGTCAGGGATAGATTGGGCACGAGAAAAACCAAGACCACAAGCAAGATGAAGCACAATATATTCAACATTGAATCAGCCCTAGAGACAAAGCTCTCTCTTGAAGAGCACTTGGAGAGAGCAGTCCGCTCTCGACCATCGGGCACAAGGGACCCCAACACTCAGTTCTCCACATCAGAAGAGCTAGTGTACATGAAAGCCGCCGTGAGAGAGTCACAGATGTCGCTTTCCCTCCATAATCTTATGATCCGGCTTTGCGAAGAATTTAACACGGAACTAGTGGACATCCAGTTTGATCTGGTTGTGGATGCGCACTTGGGGTTCAATCCCCAAGTATGCATAACGACGCGCGAGGATGTTTCTGATTCGAATCGAAAGGATATGGAGGAGTTAGTCGGGCGGATCTTGAATACGATCAACCTCGCAGCCTGCGGGTATTTTACTGCAGGGAAGGTTTAGAGCGGCGGACATGTTTGGCTGTTTTGAGCCGGGTAAATTGCTCCAGACTGCCTTCCATGTTAATTTCGTTTATGTCTCTTCTGTAGAATGCTAGTTATACCGATCAATTGATGTATTACCTATGAACATGTCACAATGACAATGAAACCTGGAACCATTTGCAGAAGCGTATAGTTCGGAGAGTCGGGCGCTCGGTCCCCACGAGTGGGACTGGTGGGACTCGGAACGTTTTATCGGGAGTTGAACGGGAGTTGAACGGGAGTTGAAGAGGGGGCAACTTGGTGCTTGTCTCTTGTACAGTACAACGACCGAGTGTTTATTAAGTTGCGAATCCCCAAGAGAAGCGAGATCGTACAGAACCGATAATTGCAGTGTAACACACGAAGCATAAGCATCGCCACTCTAGCCCCGTCAGCTGCCACTATGTTTTACGAGCCCGGCGTGACCGAACACAACCTGCCGCGGGATCCTTTCAAGGTGAGTGACGGACAAAGAGCAGAGCATCGCATGGGACGGAGCGACAAGATAACTAATAATACCCACGTTCAAAGGCCTGTGTCATTCCGCGACCGATCGGGTGGATCTCGACGCAGAGCAAAGACGGCCAAGCCAACCTGGCGCCGTACTCGCAATTCAACAATCTCACGTTTGACCCGCCGTACGTGATATTCTCGTCCAACCAGACGGCCGAAGGCAGCCGCAAAGACACGGTGGTCAACGCCGAGGCGACGGGCGAATTCGTCTGGAACCTGGCCACCTGGGATCTGCGCGAGGCGGTCAACGTCTCGGCCCAGCAGTTCCCCTACGGAGTCGACGAGTTCGAGCGGGCGGGGGTGCACAAGGAGGCCGCCCGACTGGTCCAGGTGCCCATGGTGGAAGAGTCCCCGGTCAAGTTCGAGTGTCGCTACCACTCCACCGTGCGGCTGCCCGGCAATCCGCCCATGGGCACGGTGGACGTGATTATCGCGCGGGTGGTGGCGGTCCATATCAAGGACGAGGTGCTGACGGACGGTATCTTGGACGTGCGCAAGACGCAGCCGATCGCGCGATGCGGGTACTACCAGTACGCGGTGGTGCGCGACACGTTTGACATGCAGATTCCGGGCATGGGGGAGGTCATGTTCGGGCTGGAAGGCAACGCACGGAAGAACCGCGAGTTCGGCGATAAAACCGAATGAGCTGCAGGGTCTGCGATAGGGAGGGTGACTAGTCCCTGTTGGGGTGTAGATAGTCAATAGTCAATTGATATGAGAGTTAGACTGTCAGTCAGGCCAGGTAGTACGAGAGGTCACTGGGGCCAGAATGAATGGAATCGCTCGAAATATCTCCGACAGTGTCTGGATGCGGTCTAGCGCGGTGATTTAATTTAATCCCCGATCCTGGGACCCTGCGAGAAGCTATCAGAGCAGTTCCCGTTAGTAATAGCGCCCTCCTAATGCGCTCTCATCTCCTCCGTGTACGGGGTAACCTGGACAGCTCCCTGTCTCCCCCCCTCCTTCTCCAGGAACTCTATGGGAACGACCAGTCCTTATCAGGGTGGCAACTGCAAGGCCAACACGCCGTTGACCGGGATGGACCTGGCTGACACCGGATTGGATCCCGATAAGGCGCTATATCAAGGGACTATTTGACAGACATGGGCGGGTGGAGTCGGATATTTCTTATATTTTAATCGTATTATCTCTGTGTAGACAGACACTAGACAGTCAGAGCGGTGACACTGACTAGGTAGAGATAGTGATATGGCGGCGCGATGGCGCGATGGAGGCCCGCCGGTCGTCCAGCTCTGGGCCCGGTTTGGACGGGGGTCTATCCGGGGGAGGGACCTCAACCACATGGCCAAGCGGACGATAATTGGCCCCCCTCCTATCAGCCAAGCGGTAGGGTTGCATTCCAGCCTGCCAGCCAAGCCCCGTGCCAAGCCCCGTGCTTATTTCCGCCACTGTCCCCTCGGCCAATCCCTGCACTTGTCCGACGCCCCTCAAGCCCCCGCCAAGGCCCGCTATGCCGCCTTGGTGTCTTCCGCTTATCAGCCAGCGAGGGAGAGTCGCTGTCACTGGCTGCTCATGCGTCGGTTGGGCCCGAAACTTGGCCAGGTGCCTAGGTACTGTTAACTGTACACAGTGTACACACTACATTGTGTAGTGCCCAGACTACTCCGGAGTGCCACTCCTCGCCTGTCCTCGCCTGTCCAATGCGCCAAGATGAGATTAGCCCGCTTCTGGCCCTCCTTCCGAATGGTAAACGAACAAAAAAAAAATACAATAATAAAACAAGATAAATAATAGAACACAGAGAGAAAAAAAAGAAAAGAGGAACGGAAGAGGAGAAGGACAAGCACGGTTACCGACGGTTACATGGCCATCGTCTCAGGTCGCAGCGATAAAGCCCCAGGGAACTATGGAGGAAGATGAACTATGGTTGGTGGCCACGGTGGTGCAATCCGCTGCCAGACCAGGCCGCTAGTCAGTGTTTAGCGGAGGAGGCAACCCGATAGGAACCTGCCTGACTCTCCCTTGTCGCACTCTCTTGATAATTCCGATTGTTGATAATTTAATTTCCTCCGGCTGATTGGGCTTCCCCATTGGGTAGGTGTTGTGGCACGCGATAACCAGCCCGGATTGCTAGCTGCGGCGACTCTGTAGTCGGTTCCCTTTTTCCCTGGATGAGTCTGTCCCACCCACCTCGACAGGCTATTAAAGTCGCATCCCTTCCTCTTCTGTCGCCTTCCCTCTCGGCCTCCTCTCTTCTTCCCTTTCTTTTTCTCCAGACGACTCCACCCCCAACCTCCTGTCGATCCGATCGTTGTCTACTCCCGGATCTCTCGTCTGCTTGTCCCTGCGGCGCCATGAATGCCTCAGATCCCGCCGATGTAATGGAGGTCGCGCGCTCCCACGTGGCCTCCCATGAAGCTCACGAGAAGAAGTCGCTCGACAAGGAGCTTGCCATCTCCCCCAGCATCCAGGAAGTCCCCGCGTCCAAGGAGGTGGCCAACTCGTCCACCGGAGGCGACGATGCTCACCTGCACCACGAGCTGCCCACCGAGGCCGAGCTGGGAGAGCTGCGTCGCGTCGCGGGCCCCATTCCCTGGACCGCTTATACAGTGGCCTTTGTCGAACTCTGCGAGCGTTTCTCCTACTATGGAACCACTGCGGTTTGTACGTTTCCCATCCACCCTCTCTCCGGGTGTCACAGTTGCGCTAACCATGGGAATCGCCCCTACAGTCGTCAACTTTATCCAGCGTCCCCTGCCGGAAGGTTCTACCACCGGTGCCGGTTACGATCACAGCGTGCCCGGAGCTCTGGGTATGGGTCAACAGGCGTCGACTGGTCTGACTCTGTGTAAGTACCTCGCCTCTCTGGAGCGAGCGAAATGAAGACCCTCTTCTAACAGACGCAGTCAACTCCTTCTGGTCGTACGTCATGCCTCTGGTCGGTGCCTACGTCGCCGATCAGCACCTGGGACGTTTCAAAACTATCATGTGGTCGATCGCGGCCGCCTTGCTCGGTCACACCATTCTTATCATCTCCTCCATTCCCCAAGTCATCTCCAACCCCAACGGCGCCATTGGATGCTTTGCTGTTGGTCTCATCATCATGGGTGTGGGAACGGGTGGTTTCAAGTAAGGACCGGCGCTGAAGAGTGGATGGACCGACAGAACTAACTCGAGCTCACAGGTCCAACATCTCTACCCTGATTGCCGAGCAGTATCGCCAGGAACACCCCTACATCAAGACGTTGAAGTCGGGCGAACGCGTCATCGTGGACCCCGCCGCCACCGTGTCCCGAATCTACCTGTACTTCTACATGATGATCAACATCGGCTCTATCCTGGGTCAGGTCAGCATGGTGTACGCGGAGAAATACGTCGGATTCTGGTTGTCGTTCTTCCTGCCCACTGTTTTGTTCATGTGCTGCCCCACGGTGCTCTTCCTGTGCCGCAACAACTACAACCACGTCAAGCCGACCGGTTCCGTTTACCTTCAAGCCTTCCGAGTCTGGAAGATGGCCATGAAGGGTCGTTGGTCCCTGAACCCTGCCCGCCTGTGAGTTCATTTATTCTCCTGCCGCCAGAAGGAGGCAAAAGCTGATTTCGACCGTTACAGTTTCATCAAGAACCCTACGCCCTTCTGGGAGCCCGTCAAGCCCTCCGCCCTTGGCCCCAACAAGCCCGCATGGATGATCTTCGACGACGAGTGGGTTGACGAGGTGGCCCGTGGTCTCAAGGCCTGCACAGTGTTCTTGTGGTACCCTCTTTACTGTACGTTTTCTCTGCCCTTGCATCTTGCATGCTCGATGGAACGCTGACTGACGGCTGAACAGGGCTGGCATACAACCAGATGTTGAACAACCTGACCTCGCAGGCTGCCACGATGCGACTGGGCGGCGTCCCCAACGATATCATCAACAACCTTAACCCCCTGTCCCTGATCATCGCCATCCCCATCATGGACCAGGTCCTCTACCCGGGACTGCGCCGCATGGGCATCAAGTTCACTCCCCTGAAGCGTATCACCGCTGGATTCATGATGGCTACACTGTCCATGGTCGCTGCCGCCGTGACGCAGCACTACATCTACAAGCTGGGAGACTGTGGCAAGGAGGCCAACTACTGCCTGGACGAGCTGAACAAGCACTCGCCCATCTCCGTCTGGGTGCAGGCGCTGACCTACGTGCTGGGCGGTATCTCCGAGATCTTTGCCTCCGTCACTTCGCTCGAGTACGCCTTCACCAAGGCCCCGCGCAACATGCGTTCCCTGGTGCAGGCCGTCGCGCTGTTCATGAACGCCATCTCCTCGGCCATTGGACAGGCACTTGTCAGTCTGTCGGTGGATCCCCTGCTGGTGTGGAACTACACTGTCGTGGCCATCCTGGCCTTCGTTGGCGGCGTCGGTTTCTGGTTGACCAACTACAAGCTGGACGGCGAGGAGGATCGCCTGAACAACCTGAAGCAGAGTCGGTACGAAGGCTCGGGCGTCAAGGGCGACGAGGAGGCGCGATAATCTTTTTTCATTTTCTTTTCCTTTCATTCCCTTTTGTTCTAATTGCCATGTGACGAAGAATCCGATGTGAAAGGACCGAGACGGGTTACGCAAGTACGCTGGATAATATGTAATAAAAATGGTTGAATACCAATCAATGGACATACGGAGTCGGAACACACCACTCTATCTAATCTCTACTCGATTTTCTCGTATGTTGGTCTAGAAAACCCGTCGGGCCAATCTCATCCCATTATTTCGTAGAAATTCGAAATATCCATGAATATCCGCAGCCACACCCAAAGTCAAAAATGTAACCAGGTTCCAACCAATAATTCCTATTCCTAAGCCCAACCCGATATATTTAGTTTTTTGGAACCTTCTTTCCCCGCACGGATCCCTAGGTCGGGTCGGTCCCCTTTTTTCTTCCCCGGAAATCAAAAGCAAAACGAAAAGGAGAATAAATTAGAGTTCCGGGAAAAACCAATCCATGTGTAATGGAAACTCACCTCCGTCATTCTTAGCGCATCTCTAAATTATTTAATTTACTACTAGTAAGTAGGTTTCGTGGAAATGCGGGGAAGTGCGGAATGCGAAGGAATTGCGGAGTCAAGTGCCGAAGGACGGTTATACGGGGTTACATTGACCTATTTTCGGCGAGGAAGTGACGTGAGAAAGGATTCATATATTGTAATCATGTCATATCCGGTTAACGTAACACGTACTCCATTTCATGTCAATCGTCTCATGTAAAGAAAGGCAAAAATATCCACACCAGGAAAAAAGATAAAGAGAGGAGAAAGGAAAAAGAAGAAGCAACGCCAGATCTAATATCAACACCTCCAGGGTTCCTTACATCCTCATATTAGTACGTACAACCTACAACAGCTTCTTCGTCTCCCCCGTGAACTCCATACACTCGTCAATCCGCCCCTTCTGTGCGAACTTGATATCGTCCAGATAATTGTCCCGCGGCACCCAGGGGCCCCGATCCGCCGCCTTGGGCAGATCGCGCTCGGCACGGGTCAAGTACGTCGATTTGAGATTGAGCAGCGGGCGCGGCTGAATGGATTCGCGCTGCGCACCGTCGAGTCGCGGTACGGCGGCCTTCGCGCCGCGCGCGTCGAGTTCGCGTATCAGTCGTACCAGGAACTGCGCGGTGGCGTCGGCTCCCAGCGTCCATGAGGCGTTAGTGTAGCCGATGATGCACAAGGCGTTGGGCACGTCCTGCAACATCATGCCGCGCCAGAGGTATTTCTCCGGGATATGCTGCGGGATGCCGTCGACGGTCAGCGACGCCCCGCCGCAGATCTGCATCCGCAGGCCCGTCGCCGTGACGATGATGTCGGCGTCTAGCGTCTCACCCGAGTTCAGCTCAATGCCTGTGGACGTGACTTGCCGGATGGTGTCGGTCTTGACGCCGGCGCGCCCGGTGTGTAGGCTTTGGAAGAAGTCGCCATCCGGCGACACGCAGAGTCGCTGTTCCCAGGGGTTGTAGCGTGGGCGGAAGTGTGGATCGAAGGGGATGTGGGCGGGCAGCCGGCGGGAGACGTTCAGGCGGAGAAACCAGCGGGCCACGGCGGGGAGGGCTTGGCAGAAGAGGAAGAAGAAGCGCGAGGTGATCATCCAGTTGAGACGCTGCAGCCGGCGGAAGACTCCAGTGGGGAGGAAGTAGCTGAGCAGGGTACGGCGTTTGTTGGGCAGCGACAGGATGTACGTAGGACTGCGCTGTAGCATCGTGACGTGCTCGGCCTTCTCGGCCATTTTGGGGAGCAGCGTGATGGCGGTGGCGCCGCTGCCGATGATGACCACCTTCTTGTTGGCGTAGTCGAGGCCCTCGGGCCAGAACTGCGGGTGGATGGTTTGCCCCTGGAAGGCCTCTAGATTGGGGATGTCGGCCTCCAGCGGCCGGTGGTAGTCGTAGTAGCCGCTGCCGAAGACCAGGAAACGCGTCGTCAGCGAGTGCGTCTGCCCGTCGTGGTCGACGCTCAGCGACCAGTTCTGGTCGGCGGACGACCAGTCCGCTCCCAGCAGCTGGTGCTGAAAGCGGATTTTCTTGTCGATGCCGTGTTTCTCAGCGGCGTTGTGCAGGTATTGCACGATGAGCCGGCCGTCGGCGATGGGACAACCTTGGTCCCAAGGATGCCACTCGAACCCGAAGGTGAACAGGTCCGAGTCGGAGCGGATGCCTGGGTAGCGGAAGAGATCCCAGGTGCCACCGAGATTGCTGCGAGCTTCTAAGATGGCATATCGCAGGTTGGGATATTGAGACTGGAGCCGGTAGGCGGCGTTGATGCCGGAGATACCAGCACCGACGATGATAACGTCGAAGTCTTCCATGGTCCTTGTGATCAATTAAGTAAAGAACGATGAGTCATGTACAAAGCAATAACGATAATAAACCGTGATGTTGAGGAGATGAAGGCATTTTTATACAAGGATTGATAGACCACAGCAAAAACCCATGAAAATGGGTGAGGAAGCGAGACACATGCCTCGGCTACCCAAAACAGAAACGGTCGCGAGGCGGCGAGGAGAAGTCTGGGGAAAGACCGAGGAAAAAGGGGAGTTAATTATACCGACCGAAGATTGAGACGACCGAAGAGTCCGAGGCGACGATCGTCCAAGTTGTGAAGAGTGAAGGCAAATGGCAGATCCACCCGTCCATCCTTGCCTAATGCGGCAACCAGTGCGAACTCACATGTGGCGGCAACCCTAACTTCGTGCTCGTGCCTTGTGTACATCGTACATCACCTCGCTTTATACTCTATACTCTACACTCTGTACTATATACTATATATCTTCTGTCGCACATGTGTCACTCCCCCCACCGTCATCATATCTCCTTGTGTTCAACTTCAACATGTTGTCCCTCGTGGAAAAGCTAGACTTCGTGCCCGCCCTGCTTTCCATCATCCTCACCGTCGCCTGGGCCATCATCTCCGGCCTCTGGCGCTCGTCTGCTCATCCACCCACTCTCCTGCTTCATGTAGGTTACGCCGCCTTCCGCAAGGCGACTGCCCGTCTCTCGGTGGCACAGATGCAGGCGGTACTGCCGCCCTCCAACCGCATCTACGAGCGCTACGTGCGCCGCTCGCGCATCGCCCCGGAGACGGTGACTCTGCCGCACGATGCCCTGGGCCATTGGATCGGGTCACACCCTGCGTCCTCTCCTCCCTCCAGCGACGTCAAAGTCCTGGTGTGGTTCCACGGCGGCGGGTTCGCCCTGCCCGCCAATGTCGGCTACTTCCACTTCTTCGCGCGCCTGACCGCCGACGCCCGGCGCGCAGGGAAATCCGTGGCTGTCTTCAGCCTCACCTACTCATTGGCACCCGCGGCCACGTATCCCACCCAGCTGCGCCAGGCCGTCGAGGCCGTGCGCTACGTGCTGGACCAGGGCTACGCGCCCGCGCAAATCCTGCTAGGCGGGGACTCTGCCGGCGGGAACCTCGTCGGCGGCGTGCTTTCGCATCTGGCGCACACGCATTCCGCCATCACCCCGGTAACGCTCCCCGCCGAGGCCAAACTAGGCGGCGCCATCATGATCGCGCCCTGGGTCAGTATGAATACCGACTACGCGGGCGAGGAGATTGACTCGCGCGGCGATCTGATTACCCCGGCGGTGGCTGGGCCCTGGGCCAGTGCGTACCTGGGCACCGCGACGCGGGACTTCTATACGGATCTTTCCACCGCACCGACGGACTGGTATACCAAGTTCCCGGTGGAGAGGGTGCTGGTGTGTGCCGGCGGCAGCGAGATCCTGTTGCCGATCATCCGCGAGTTCGTGGATAAGTTTCGGCAGGGGTTTGAGCGGGTCGAATTTTGCGTAGGCGAGAGAGAAGGTCATGTGGCGCCTATCTATAATCTGTACCTGGGTGATCAGACAGAGACAGCGCAGGGGAAGAGGGTGAAGAGCTGGTTGAGGGAGGTTTTATAGGGTCATATATATACGTACATTTATCTATAGATTTCCGTTTTGTACGTTATTTGAGAATCCTTGTCAATGGGGGTTATACTGCGCATCTACTATATATTAATAATGGCTATGTGGAATCATGGGGACAGCACATATGGATCAATAATGTATTGGTATGATTAGGAGGGCGATCTTGAGTCACAAGCCTTTTGCAAGTGATTTATAATAATCATTATAAGGCTACTATATATTCTTAATATTCATAATCATATGGAAGCAAAAAGAAATTATAATCAATACAAGTAATCATCAAACTCGTGGCTTCTAGGCATATCCATTATTCTCAAGGTTTTAATCCCTGCGACGCCTGCCACTCGCGCAAATGCTTCAGATCCTTGGACCCGACATTCCGCACGAGGTCCTGCACCCACGAGGGGAAGGCGCGCACTAATGAGATTGGCATGAGATGATTGGGCAGAATGACCTGGCCACTGCTCTGCGTCAAGATCTGCTTGACCACTGCGGCTGACACCATCTCGGGGGTTATGATGGGCTGACGAAATTCCTTGCCAGCGTCGATCAACTGCTTAATCATGGGGGTGCGCACCCAGAAGGGATGGATGACGCTATTTCGTTCGTTAGTCTATTTCTTTTCTCTCTCGGCCTACATCATAGAGACCAGGTGGGAAGTAACTCACCTAGTGCGCACCTTCGGTGCTTTATAGCAGAACCGTAGCTCCTGGCCCAGTCCCTCGTGAAAGGCGAGTGCACTGGCCTTAGAGCAGCAGTAATCGACAATCTCACCCTGCGCGATGAAACTCGCTATACTGGCGATGGTGATGACGTGACCGTGGTCCTGCTTTACCATGCTGGGCAGGAACTCGCGCACAGTAAGGAAGTGCGAGATTGTATTGACCTCAAAGGTCTGGCGGATCTTGGCCTCGGACTGGTCGAGAATAGGGCCATCATTACCCACGCCGGCGTTGTTTACCAGCACTGTGGGATCGCCGTGCGCCGAACGAATTTTTTCGGCGACGGCAGCGATGCTGGCCGAGGAGGTGATGTCGGCCTTGTAGAAGGTGACATTGGAAGCTGAGTAGACCGGTTAGTTTGGGTTCCTTTCTGGTAAGTCATAAGTCACGACTTACGTAGTTTATGGGAAGGCTCCTGGATGTCCAGAATTACGATGCGCACGCCCGTCGGCGCCAGATCATCCACGACCTGCTTGCCGATGCCGCTACACCCACCGGTGATGAGCACCAACTCGCGCGCAGGCTGCCAGGGTCCAGCGCCCTGCCAGTTATTCGCTGCCCATCGTGTCAAAGTGCGATTGGTGTGGCGCACCACCCCGAGACCGACCAACACGGCCAGCGCCTTGGGAACGACGGGGTGCAGCAGAACATTTTGCGCCTCGGGGGGCAGATGCGACAGAGCGGTCTGACCCCACTGGCGTAGAAATTGAAGAGATTGATCGAGAGACATGGTGGATGAGCTTGCTTTGCCAGAAAAGAAAGTATGGATGGGTTTATCCGGATAGATATAAGGTCCAGTGAAGTTCATTCATGGCGGGTGGCCGAGGTTCTCACATGGTGGGACTGCAAGTATCCGAGCTTGCGAGACCAGACCCTGAAGAAGTTCATGATTGACACGGTGGAGCGTCTGACATTCCGGTAATTCTTGTCTACTTTGTATAATCCACAAAACGAGCCAAATAGCACGGGTGTTCTTCGCGACGGAGAAAAGTAGTGGCAGTCCACTTTACCCGGAATAGAAAGGGTTGCGAGTGTCGATCGGCACTAAGAGCGAAGGAACCGTTGGATCATTCGGCGGGGACGGTGGAGCGGGCTAAATTCGCGTCTTTGAACGATTGAACTTGGAAGAATGGAGGCAGAAAGAAATGATCAGTCTGGAGGTCTGAAGGAAATAGGGGTTGGCCAGGTCACATGGTTGCGGCCTGAATTCTCGCACTCGTTGCCTTTCTTGACATCCTCCCTCTCCTCCTCTTCTGTCTCTATTTCACCCCTTCTTGAATCATCCAACACGAGCCCCCGCATGTCGATCGATCGCCTTGCACATCCCTGCGTCATGCATTCCAGGCACATGTTCTCGAGTCCGTTCTGGCGGCTTGTCGGCGAATATTCTATTCTTCTGCCACAAGAATTCTGATTACATCTTCGCTCTCTCTCTCTCCACTTCATCCCCAGCCGAGGTCAATGCTGTCGATCCGCGGGGCCTGCCACTAATAAGAACATCAAATTATGATCCAGCTCATCGGGCCCGTTAATGGGGTCCGTCTCATAAATGAGACCGGAGGCTCATTCCTCTCCTCTTCTCCTTACCCCGGATATCCGTTCTCTCGGTTTAATTATCCGCCCTCAATTTGTCCATCATGGATTCGTTGCTGTTTCTCCTGGCCTTCTCTCTACTAGAGGGCTACCTTTTGCAGCGGTCGGTCTTTCTGGATGTTGCCTTTCGCAAGCTCTGCCTGGCCTCCTTCGGTCTGAACCTGGTCCTCTTGGGGATCTGGAATGTTCTCATCTACCCTTTCTTTGTGACGCCTTTGCGCCATCTGCCTACTTTGGGAGTAAGCCAAATTGTCATCTTGAGGCTCAAGACTCAATAGTCATTAATGCGAATCACAATAGGGGAATTTCAATCACGCCCGTATCATCTTTGACGACCCTCGCGGTCGCCTGCCGTTGCAATGGATGAAAACCATTCCCAACGAGGGTCTCATCCATTTTCGCGATGTCGTTAACAGAAGTCACCTGGTGGTCACCAGCCACCAGGCCCTGCTGGACATTATGAGCACGCACACTTACGACTTCGAGAAACCCTGGCGTGCCCGCGACTTCCTGGCCCGTATCATCGGTTTCGGTCTGATCTTATCCGAGGGCAGTGCCCATAAGAAGCAACGCAAGGCGCTGACGCCCTCATTCCACGTCAAGAATATTCGCGCCCTGTACTCGCTGATGTGGGAGAAGACGGGCATGCTGATGGACGAGCTGGAGAACGAGATGCGACTGAATCCCATGGAGGGGGCCAGTCCCGACAGTGGCGAGGGGAAGATCGAGATGAGTGTGTGGGCCAGGTACGTACATCTTTTTGATCTAGCACCCCTTGCGTCCGAATGAAGAGATCTGGAACCTCGGCTGATCTGGAACAGCCGTCTTACCCTCGATATTATCGGCCCCGCTGCTATGGGCCGTGATTTTGGCTCCCTGCAGAACCCCGAGAACAAGGTCGCTGACAGCTTCCTGGCCATCTTGGAGCCAACCCGGGAGAAAATGGCCTTTCTGGCCGTCAACTTTGTGCTGCCGCAGTGGTTCGCCCGCCGCATTCCTTGGCGCCTGAATCGTGTCGTCTCTGAGGAGACCGGGTTTCTGCGCGATCTATGCAAGGACATCGTGCATGAAAAGCGCGCCGCCATCACGGCTAGTGGTGCTACGGCGAAGGAGCTTGAGGCCGATATCTTAGGCTCGATGATGCTGGGTGGCGATTTCACGGATGATGAGCTGGTCGATCAGATGTTGACATTCTTGGCAGCCGGCGTATGTTCCTCTTCCTATCCTTCCGTAAGAAGCTTGACTGACTCGATCAACCATGCACAGCACGAAACCACAGCCAGCGCCTTCACCTGGGCTTGCTACCTGCTTACCCTGCATCCGGAAATTCAGGATCGCCTGCGCGAAGAAATTCGTCAAAAGATTCCGTCGGGGTCCCACCCAATCACCTGGTCAGACTTGGAGTCCATGTCCCTGCTCAACGGCGTTTGCCAGGAAGTTCTGCGCCTGTACCCGACGGTGCCGGTGACGCTGCGCGAATCCATCCGCGATACCACCTTGGCCGGTAAACACGTCCCCAAAGGCACTCGTATCATCCTCTGTCCCTACGCCATCAACCGGTCGCCGGAGTTCTGGGGCAACGACGGTGAGACCTTCCGGCCCGATCGCTGGATCGATACGGACAAGAACGGCCATGATATCGTCAATCATACGGGCGGCGCGTCGACCAACTTTGCCCAGATTACTTTCCTGCATGGTCAACGCGCGTGTATAGGCAAAGACTTTGCGCGCGCAGAGTTGCGCTGCGCAGTGGCCGGCGTTGTGGGCAGATTCCGTTTCGAGATGCAGGACCCCAAGCAGACGATTCGTATCGCCGGCGCGGTAACTACAAAGCCTGTCGAGGGCATGCATTTGAGGATGAAAAGAGTGGATGGCTGGTGAGGCTTTTTAATGATGTCATGATTTTTATGGCTTGCTATCAATTTGTAATAACTGTACGACTTTTCCGTTAGGTGATGTATTATTGGATCCAATTTGACTTATTCCGATATGAGCTTCTATGCTTTGATCATCTTAGGATGCGAGGGGCCGTGATGGTTATGGCTGTGGCCGTGGTGTCCATGTCCCAAATGCTCGCTGATGCGATGCTTGCCTCGCTGCCCCGTCTCCTTCTCTGACCTTTTCTCCTGTTCTGTTTCTTCCTCGTTGTCTTCCTCTTCTTCAAAAGCAGGCCATCCCTCCCATCCATCCTCCCAAATCTTCATCATCTTCTCCTGCCTCTCTTCATGTGACAGTTTTCCATTTGACATGACCTTCTCCCACTTTTTCATGTCTACGTCGTCTAGCAAACACTCATCCAACAATTTTGTGATCGCCTCCGTATCGATCCCTTCCCCGATGAACACAATCTCCTGGCGCCGATCTCCCCATCGACCCTGGAAATCCGCCTCTATGGATTTCCGCACGTCCTCGTCCTCCGGCCACTCTTCGTCCGCTACTTCGGCGAACCAAGGCCCGCCACACCCGACGGTCAACATGCCGCCTGCCTGGCTCCATTCGCCGAACTGGTCTGGGCGCGTGGCCAGCCAGAAGAAGCCTTTGGAGCGCAGGATGGACCCAAGGACGGGGTGTGCCCGTTTGTTGGATAGGATCAGTTGGGGGTCTTGTTCGTTGAAGTCGGCCATTTCTTCGTCGGAGGCTTCTGATGAGGCGTCACTCTCTGCTTCGTTTTCGTCCTCCTCTTCCTCTTCGTCGTCATCTTCTTCCTCTTCTTCCCCGGAGTTTTGCAAAAGAATGAACTTGTCGTGTAGAAGGGAGAAGAGTCGACGGGGATGGAAAGGTCGTCGCGCCGTGTAAACGAAGTTGTTAATCCCATACCTAATACGCGTTAGAGAGTGTCACCTTATACAGTGCAAAGGGGTGTTGGGGGAAGAGCATTAAAACGTACTCCACTGTCTCCGGCACCGGCGCCATCCTCTCCCCATTAGCCGTCTCCCTTCTCGTCATCTCGTGCAGACTGCGCAACCAGCCCGCTCCCGACGCGGCCTTGATGAAGTTAAACCGCCCGGTGTCCAGGATCTCTTTGACGTCGACACGCGAGTAGTTCGTCTCCAGCACCTTGGCGGCGGGGTTGAGCACCCGCAGCAAGGATCGGATACGCTCGCGCGTCTTCCGGTCCACCGTCTCGACCTTGTTGATGATGATCACGTCGGCGAACTCGATCTGGTCAACCATCAGGTCGGATATCGTGCGCTCGTCTTCCGGGATAATCTCTTCGCCGTATCGATCGGAGAGGAACTCTGCTGTGTCGAAGTTCGTGAGAAGGTTGAATGCGTCGATCACCGTGACTGTGGTGTCGAGTTTGGCAAGCGTGTGAAGACCGCCCATTTCGACTCTGTTTTTAGACCGTAGGTGTTACCATTATACTCTTGATGACCTGTATGGTTTTGATGGTGGATAGGAGGGACAGGGAAAAGTTACATTTGATTCAAGACCTTTCGGCCCTCTTCATCCGCCACATCGGCTTCCAGCATCGCAGAGCTGAACTCCGCTGTGAACGTCTCGGCCACTTGCATGGGCTCGCTGATACCCGTGCTCTCAATGACCACGTACTGTACGTCGTCCTGGCGCGTCAGCTGCGCCAGCTCCGAGAGGAGATCCCCGCGCAGCGTGCAGCAGATACATCCGTTCTGCAACTGGATGAGGTTTTCTTTTGTTTGGGAGACGTGGTGGTTCTTGATGAGCGTGGCATCGATGTTCAAACTATTTGCCAGATCCAGTCAGTTATGAGAAGGTCCACATAGATGGTGTTATGTGTCGGATGCCAAGCAGGACAATACAACATACCTGCTCATATCATTCACGATGACCGCGATCTTGAACCCATGGTCCGATTGCAGAATGTGTTCTAATAGCGTGGTCTTTCCGCTTCCCTGTTCAACATACATCAGTATCTCTGTCCAATCCAATCCACTCACCACCTACTAGGACAGTAGAGCAAAACACTTACCAAAAACCCCGACAACAGCGTCACGGGCAACTGCCTCGTCTTCTTACCAGCAGGGACCTCTCCCTGAACAGGGAAATCAATCTTCTCGGGGCCCGAATTGATGGTCATTGTGTGCGGGTAAAGTCCACAGAGAGTGTGTATGTGTGAGGGAGAAGGGAAATGAAGACAGGAAATAAAGAACGAAAACCTTGGGAGCAACTATCCATGCTCGATCTTATATACTTCTATACAAGGTCTCGTCCGCAAGGTTTCATCTCATGACGACTATTGATAATCCGGTCCATCATTGGTGCAGGCCCTGGCTTCCCCCAAGGTCCTTGCGATGTCTGCGCGCAGGAGAGCGCGCAAGGTACGCGCCCCCGGGTCCTCAGGATGTACGGATGAGGAGAGGAGTGGTGTCATCAGTTATTTGAAGGGGAATTATTGGTCCTTGGAGAATGTTGTTTAATGGTGGCAATGTGATTGGGTTGGTCGGGCTGGATATCCTATCGTGCTACGGGTCAAACTGCGAGACGACGGAGTAAAGGTGGAGAAGGATTCCTCTGGTGTACATTCTTTGCTCGATAACCTCTTAACTAAGAGCTGCTCGACTGGCACTCCACTCCAATGTCACCCTGGATTCCGTCGCAAATAATCACTGGCGGACTGGCCGCCGGACTAGTGATGTTGATGTCATTCAGCCGGATGCCCGAGCAAACGGAATTCGGCGAGCAGATTAGATCGGCCACTATGGCACCCTCCTTGCCCGACGAAGTCCCGTAGATGTTGTCGAAGACAATGTTGGTCACGTTGACCCGGGACGGATGGGCGGCACACTCCTCCGCTTCAATGTTGAAATAGCATTGATCAAGCACCAGCGGGCTATCGGTGTTCTCGATGCGGATGTTCTTGTATGTGATGTTGTTGATGCGACCGTAGCCAACGTTTTCGCCGGCCCAGGCCTTGAGACGGGCGCCGTTCTGTTATTGTCAGTATGAGGCTTTGAGATGCAGCGCATGCGCGGTAAGGAAGACTAACCTGTCCGTTCAGCAAGGTAACGTTCTCGATGTACGCATGCTCGATGATGTCCATCACTCCCGGATATTGTCCGATACTGCCCATGCTAACTCCGTGCGTGCCGTTACACCACAGGTTCTGAACGAAGACGTTGGTGGTGTTGGGCTTCGGCGAGAAGCAGTCGTCGCCGACGTTCACCCGGGTGTTAGTAACGCGCAAGCCGTCCACGTTGAACGAGTCAAACCCGTCGCTATTCTTAGGTAAAGCCTAATTGCATATCGTTAGAAAGCACAGCTCGAGGATAGAGGAGTGCACAGTCATACCGAAGCATTCGTGGAGAAAGCGTTGATATACACGTTGTCGAACGAGACGTCCTTGCTCTGCACGAAGAAGTTGGTCCAGCACGGCGAGTTGAGCTGCGTAATGCCTTCTACGGACACCCGGGTCGCATTCTCGGTGACAAAGAGAATTGGTCGGTAGTACTCGTTGTCGGGATCCTGGATGCATTAGACTCATCTAAATCCGTTGAAGCACCTCCAGAGTACTTACCAGGATCTCCTGACCGGCAAATTCATTATACCATCGCTGTCCATTGCCGTTCAGCACTCCCTTTCCAAAGATCTTGATATCCTGACCTCCCCAGCGCCAGAAGGTGATGGATTTCTGGAAATCGTAGTAGAAGTTGTTCGCTTGCCAGTAGGGCACGTCGTCGGTGAACTACAGACTTCTGTCAGATTCCAATCATTGTATATATAAGTCATGACAATCAATACATACCTTGACCTCTCCATCCAATTGGACCTCAACATTATCCAAGAAGTTCAAGTCCAGTCTCTTTCCGATCACATACTTCTCTCCCTTCTTCAGGAGCAGCCGTCCACCACGATTCGCGCGCTTGATTCCCCACAGGAAATCCGAAGAGACATCATCCGTATCGTTGCGCGACGACCGAATAGTCACCGTACGACGGTCCCGATGCTTGTGATGGTGCGCCCCGACGCGTCTCAGCTCGGCCTGGTCGCCGACCGGAATGATTCGAGCGCCTGGGATGAGGCCATTGACCGCGACACTGCTGACGGCGCTGGCAAACAGCGCGGCCAGAAAGAACTTCATGGTGCAATTAATCCTTTCGCTCGATGCGCAGGTACTCTCTCAATTGCTGTGCTCAGGGGAGGCTGGTTGGGATTCTTTCGCTTGAGCGTAGGGGCACAGTTTTATATTGCGCTGCTCCGGCGGGCCTTGTTCACCTTGCTCCTGTCCGGCCGGCATTTCTTTCATGACTATCGAACGACGCGACGCGGCCTGCGAAATCTACTTCAGACAAGTTTCTCCGCCTGTAGAATCCAAGAAAGCTGCTGTCAAGGGCGCGGCATTCGTGGCAGGGCTCCACTTGGGCTTGAATCGCATCATCCTTGCTATCTCCACGATGCGGAGATGGGGAAGACCTGGGGTACCTGATCAAGCTCTCTGGAGGAAATTTCACCGCAGCTGCAGGTTGTAAATACTTCCACCAATCAAAGGATTTGTAGGGAGAGAGTAGATTGGAGAAGATGATCGAAAGCCTCGATGGATAATTGATTTCCCACATTGATATTTGTGGGGAAAATATAAATATCAAAGATCCCGTAACATTGATTCGGACGTGGATGATGGATGTGAAGGAAAAAGGCCTGACGTCTGACAGTTCTAGTTACGGGAGCGGAAAGCCATCAACACGAGAACCTCAGGCATCCAACGAACCTCGGCAATTTCTCGCGCGATCGACATGCCCCTCGCACTCCTTTCTCCTTCCAGACAACCCCAAAATTCCATCGAACTGCTTCAACTCCCTCCCTGGAACCTATCAACCTCGGTCCGATACAATGTAATCCGTCCCCCGGCTCAGAGCTTCTTCCCCGCCAGCACCAGCGCCGTGATGCAGCTGATATTCCCCGACCACCAGGCCACCGATCGTAGGAAACTCAACGTCTCCGACTCGATCCACACATAACTGATGGCATACACCACGCGCGAGAGCGTGTACCACGCTCCGATCCCGTTGATGGTTTCGGCCGGGAGGTTAGCGTGAACGGCGAGGAGGACTGTACCATTGTATACCTGTTAGCATCAAGCCCAAAAGACAAAACGGTATCTGTGGATATAACAGAGAGTAGTCGGAAAGAAAAGATAGGACGTACTGCCCGCAACAAGCAACGGGAACCCCTCGACAGAATTGGCATGCGCTGCTTCCTGGCGCTTGAGACGGTTCAGCGTCGAGCGACTGATCTTCCCCGATTGCACCGCTGCCTCGCCGTACTTGGCCAGGTCCTCGCGTGGCGCCGTGTTGTGGTCAATTCGATGAATCCGCTTGGCTGGCCGAGTGCTGAGCACGCCGTATGCAAAGAGGAAGTTCGCGATCAAGTAGGCGGCCGCATGGTTGGGCACTTGCTGCTGGCCAGGAGCGGCGCGGAGACCCAGCGTGCTAAGAATAGACAGGGACCTGGTCTGCGGTTAGTTGGCGTAGCTTGGGGATTCCAGGGAGGAACGCACGACATGGTGAGTGTTATGAGTTGTTTATGGAGTGATGAAAAAAACGAAAAAGGGGGAAGAGAAGAGGATAAGAAGAGAATGTTCTTTAAATTGGGTTCAAGGGATCGACATCCTGTGATATCATCATCAACCACCTTGCTGGTAGCACATGCGCCTGGCTTTGAATAGTCACTGATAATACAGGGATCCTATCCCTATGATAAACCATATGAAGATCGATTCTATTGTCATATCCCCGTCCGCCCTTCACAATTATCAACAACAATAGTACAACAAAAAGAGTACACCGAGAAGCAGAGATGGTATATGAGTCAACGCTATAATGCCCCCAATATAAACCAAACGCCAGGCTATTCAACATATCATTTCTAGAAAGAGGTGAGATAATCGTGATCCAAGAAGTCTGGTAACCCATAATCCACCCCGTCGAACATATTCGCAAAATCAAGAGGCTAAACTTCCGTTAGCCAAGAAGTATTTGAAGATCCAGAGCTCTCTTACCGAAAGATCTGCTAGTCCAGCAGTGCCGAGGGATGACGAATCGAACGGGATATCGGACGAGGTGGAATCCAGCCCGGGAGTCAGCGAAGGCACCTTAGGTCGCATTAGCAGGCATATTCACCACTACAGAAGGAAATAACACTTACCCCGGCGGAACCATCATGCCGAGCCCGAAGATCAGCCCAGGAAGTTCCCCGAATGATTTGCTCGCAGTCTCGGATGGCCCGCATGGCCACCTGCTCAGCTCTGAACTGAGGATCTTCTCCGTTCATTCTGGCTTTGACGGAGGCGAGTACCATGCTCAGGAAGAAGAAGGCCTTACAGCCTTTCCCTCTCATATTAATCCGGTTGCCGAAAGTGTCGAGGGTGTTTTCCACGGCTTGCAGCAAAACACCCTGCTGGGACCGTACCAGCTCATTCAGAGAGCTTAGCGAGCTGGACTGGCCCGACTGCGCATGAGTAGGCGAGTTTTCCTCTGTCTGCCAACAGAGTTCCACGCTAACGGTGAGAGCAGCGTGGAAGAACTCGTCGCGGAACATGCCACCCCCGAGCTGGCCCAGATGAGGACATGCCTGTGCCTCCGGGAGACTGACCGGCGGCGGATCAAGCTGGGAGAGCATCTCCAGGGACGACTCCAGGCAGATCTTGCGCGAGAAGGAGAACTTGGGGGAAAGCGAAACGCTGAGAGCAAAAGGTCGATGGAGGATGAGCACGAATCTACGCATGAGGAAAATCAAGAACGACCGGGCGAATGGAAGGTTGCCCGAAGGGCTGAGTGCCGTCGATCCGCCGTCCGGGTACAGCGCCAGCGCCTCGTTCATATACATGACCAGTTGCTCGCCCAGGCGCAACGCCTCGTCATACGACAATCCGAATTTCAGACTGTTGATCTGCTTCGCTATCCGCACGCGAAGCGCCAGCGATCGGGACAGCAGGACCTGAAAGCTGCTACGCGTGAGCACTCCCAGGTCTTTGGGAGCAACGTCCTCAGTCATCTCTTCCGTCAAATCAACATCGTCGTAGTTCGAGGGCGGTTCGCAGTCAAATTCGTCGAGGTCAATTGAAGGGGCCATTCCTCCATCTAAAGACGACTCCAGATCGAATTCGAGGATCGTGGCCCACAACCGCCGGCGCATTTCTGCCCAAAATGGAGTCATCTTCCCGAAATATGACGGGCTTCTGTGCAAGCCCATGGTCATCGCCGATCGCATTAAGGATCCGGATGAGATCCACACGAGATCGCCGTCGGTTGCATCTGCTTGACGCGCGATCATCAAGAGACACTGGATCTGCAGCATGTCGAGATTGATAGTGGAACTCACGAAGGAGGATGCAATCCACGACTGAACAGATATAATCCAGGCCGAGGCTGAGCTATGCAGCGTATCGGTCTCGTTTAATCTCGTCGTTGGCCCGAAGAAACAGCTACTGGCAGCCATCAGCGCCAGCAACTTGGCCAGAAAAACCATGTCTGCCTGTTCCGTACCGGCCCAGTAAGCATCGTACTGCTTGAGGAATGTCGGGACATGCAGGATGCGGTACGTGGTCTCGAAGGTCGACAGATACAAGCTCAGCAGCTCGTCCGCTACTCTTCTGTGGGGAACCATCTCTTCCATCGAGAAGGCTTTCTCGCGGTAGACACGCTGATGATCCTGTTGTTCGCGAGAACACACCTCCCCTCGCAGCTTCTTCAGCCGCGAGTAGTCTGAATCCTTGGATTTGAATTTGTCTCGTCGACCCCTCAATACGGTGCCAATATCTTTGAACTGCAGTTCCAAGTTAATCGCCGATGCTCAATTATGCATATCCACCATTGGTCACTTACATAGGAAAGAGTCACGCCCCAATGGCAGCGCCCGCAGAATCTTGACTTCCCATTCTTGCCACGAAAGCAGGCTCCCCGTGGCAGGTGCTTGACATCCTCGCTTATGTATTGCGCATCATATGACGTCCGCAGAGTCGGTTCCCCAAAACCATCCAGACCCGAGCCCTCTGGCGTGTGAACCGACCCTGTTCTCGATAAAGCATGTTCCAGCATCTGCACACGATGGCGCAATTCGTATATCTCGTCGGGCCGTCCCTTCGGCTTGGCGACACGATTCGCTGACGATCGGTGTTTCGAGTCAAAAACGTAGAGTCCGCCGTGAACCGAACTGGCGCGACTCCCCGGCATCTGCGCGCGGTCGGGGGGTGTGTTCCCCACGGGTCGCGACTCCGACTGCACAGTCGCCTGAGGGCCCGAATACACGCATTGGTCCGGAGTCTTGGATTTGACACACTGCCCGCATGGCATGGACCGGTCGCATTTCAACTTGCGGCGTCGGCATATGGTGCAGGACAGAGCCGGCCGTCGTCGCTTCGGAGGAGATTTCGGTGACGTTGTGCCCATTACATGGGAATGAAAATCGTGTTCTTCGTCCATGGATAACCGGTCGTTTGAAGGTCCCGCTCACGCATTGGAGATGATCGCGTCGGAATGAGGATGCCTTGGCGACGATTTAAGCTTCAATGCATAAGAGAATTGGGAAAATTGCGATTTTCCGAACATTCCAGAGGCCCGCCCCGTCAAGCTTATCTGATCGGGGAGGGAAGGGAAGTGGGAATTGGTGACTGCCTGGCGCGAGTTGGTGTTTACGCCTAAGGATGCGTCAGGGTGCCTCAGGATCCGTGAGGTCATCCTGCCCGGACTTGCTCCATCCGGCTAGCCTCGGACCTCTCGGGGATACTCCATCAGGTAGTCTAAGCCGACCCTGAGTCTCTCGGTCTCTCGGTCTCTCTATTATTCTCTACGGACTCAACACCCGTCAGAACAACCCAGGTATTATCCGCCATCGCACCTGACTGCAGTAGCTCTCCCAGGAGGCTCCGTATTTGGCCAAGCACCGCTTCTCATCTCGCAGGCATCGATGGGCAAGGATAATGGTCATGAAGATAGCATACGTCCAAGGGAGTAGGTGAGTTATCCCGCAGGGCGCACACATTGCGTACGACAGAATGAGGTCTCCCAGATAGTTAGCATGGCGGACGTATCCCCACCACCCTACGCCGATGACATTAGATCAATCTATCCGCCGAAATAACAGAGGATGCGTACCGGAGCAGAGAAGAAGAGACTCGTGTTTCACCCCGTTGGCAGTCTGGTAGAAGCACTTCATAACTTTGGGCCTTTCCCCGGCAATCATACAATTACCTCGTGTCTTGCGGGTCAGGTGTTTTTGCTCGTTAGCACAGCAATAGATCAAATATCCGCCAACCCCGGCGGCAAGAATCGCAGCAGCCATGGTGGGATGTAGATGCACGGGTTTCCGCGCCAGAAATTGCGCCTGCAATGTATATACTGCTGGCAAGAATGCCGACGAGCCCCAAGCAAAGTAGAAGCCGAAATGATCATGTTCTATGTCAATGGTGCGCAGGTACCTTCCTGGTATCAGCTGTTGGTAGATGCTGCAAGCGAGAGAAGAATTTACCTGTCCTCGCGAAAGAAGAAGTCTGCCACGTAAAGCAAATGAAGAATATCAACCACGATAATAGAAGACGTGATGTATCCGTGCAGTCGGTACTGATATACTGTGAAGGAAAGATCACTGCATGCCGTTAGCACAGTCAGTTCTGATATAAACCCAAGCATGCACACTCACATCACAATCCACGAGATCATCCCAGTGCGGCCGATGTGGAAAAGCTTCATGTCCCACAGTTTTCCAAACCGGGGATTCAGTTCCACCCCCATGTACAAGTCGTAAAAGACCGACCCTACTCTCGTCAATATTGAACTGGAATTTATGGATCAACTCCAGTACCTGTGAATTTCCTATCCTCTGGATGGGATGGCCATAAGCTAGCCTTGGCATAAAACAGAATACATAAGGCGAACCCATATATATTGCCCACCAATAGAAGGGATCCCCAGTTGGAGGCAATAATCGCCGGATCCACGACGCTGCCGACAGACAGCGCCACGACCACAAGAATCGAGATGGCAAAGGCAAACAGTCCATTGGATCGATAGCTGAGAAGATACCCCGCGGGGGTTGTATGTCCCTTGCATATGCGCCCCGGGAGCCCAGTGTAGAGCAGACACTGGAAGAGTATCCACCCAAGATAGCCAGCAAAAGCCATGCCATTGAGCCCTTGACAGAGTTGGAAAATGAAGATGGACGGCCCTTCTGCCAGCAGAAACCTCAGCATCTGCACAGTAGACGCGTCGAATAGTTCCATGGATGCCCAGGGAAATAACGATAGCATGGGACACAGTAGACCCATGAACCCTGCCGCCAGCACGCCGACCTTCCAGGATGCTTTGCAGCGCCGGCCCCAGCTCAACAACCTCGATGCTTCTGCATCGGAACTGGACAAAATGCTCATCGACGAGCTTCTTATGCTTTCCGTCAGGGTGAGAGCCTTCATGTTGGTCTCTGGACTGGGGACCTTCGAGGATCAAACAGGGCGACGGTAGATATAGAAAAGCACATCCGGAAGTCTCGGCGAAGAGGCCCGTTTTAAAGGCCCTGGATCCATGCTAGGCCAAGGATCAGGAGTCCAGATCGAATCCAGAGGACGATCACTGAACGACCGGTCGGCAGCGCATGTCAGCTGTGCATTATATGTGGATCAAGGCGATGCGACGGCCGTCCGCATCTTACCTGTCGTCGAGATGAGATGACGGGCAGACGTGGCCGACGCAAGGAGTGATGAACAGTTGCAACAGTCACCATCGATGCGAATCAAAACACACACATCACATGAAGTGGATCGGGGGCTCGGCGCTCTCATTCTTCCCTCCGCTTTGTTTCCTTTCCTTCCTTTTTCCCGCCTTTTCATTCCTCGCGTTCCTCCCCAACGATGCTCTAGATATATATAGAACATGTTGACAGTGCTGTTGCTGGCCACCGCGTTGTTCTTTCGGGAAAAAACCCTGGCCGCTCCTTATGTCAGATGCATTTTCTCCCTTGCCATTCTATGCAGTGCAACCCACGCCGTCGTCTCCCCGCCTCCCTTCTTCTCGGCCTTTTTCAAATACACCAATGCCTTCCTGTCGGGGGCCTATGTTATTCGCGCTATCGAGCTGCTGCTGGTCTATGACCTGCCTCACTTGAAGCGTCTTGGCAGAGTCACCGCGTCGGCCTCTCCGCCCAAGTATGTCTGGAAACCCTTTCCGACCGCGTTGGGCGCGAAACGTTTCCTGTGGATCTGTGATCTTCTCGTCAATCCGCGAGCCATCGGTTGGAGTTATGGTCCCGTGCGATATCTGCCACCCCTGCGCGATCACCGTCAGAGCAAGAGGGCCTTAGATGACGTCAATGCGGTAGACCAAGACGCCGAGGAACCTCCGGCGACTTTCGCCAAAAGGCAATTTCGACGCATTCTCTTTGGTTATCTCATCTTGGACGCGTACCAGTCGACGTTCGGGAGGAATTATCCTCGACTTTGTGAGACTCTCGCGACCGCAGCAACTGCCGGCTTGGGAACTCATCTATCCACGGAAACCACTGAAACCCTGGTCCGAACATACCTCTTTGGTCCGGTCTGCTGGCTCACCTCCTACGCCTTTGTTGACGGGGTTCATGCTTTGTTTGGTCTGGTTGGCGTTAACGTCTTTGGGAACGTTTCTCCCAAGCTTTCCGCGGAACCATGGATGTATCCGTCGTTATTTGGACCGGTGCAGTCTCTGTTCACGTTCAGGTTGCGAGGTACGTACCATACATCCTTCCCTTTACTAGTCACTCACACGCTAACCCTGTGATGACCAGATATCTGGGGCAAATTCTGGCATGACCTCTGCCGGCGTCCCTTCCTCGCTCTGTCTGTCTCACTCATCCCCAAATCCGCCCCTCCGTATCTGAAACAGCTCGTGGTGCTATACACCTCGTTTACCCTCTCCGGCATCATCCACGCCCTCGGTTCCTATGCCGTCTCTCGCAACGCGCAGGCAGCCGGTATGATGATGTACTTTTTCTTCGTCCTGTCTACCTGCATCGCCTTTCAGCAGATCTTCTCGGGCGAGTTGCTACCTCGTTTGTTGCCCCAGAACCGCGTCTCCCGGGTCGTCATCTGGGTCTTAGACGCGTCGTTCGTGTGGGCTTGGGCGAATCTGACCTGTCCCTGGTTCATTGAATATAGCATGTTACCGCAGTCGATGGCGTCGATTCCGATGCCGTTTAGTTTCTGGGGGTGGGTCAGTCGCAGTCAAAGCCTTGTTTTGGCAGGGTCGGGGTAAGCATCCGAATTTATGGAGTGATCTCTTGCATTCTTCTTTATCTTGGTTGCAGCGGTACAATTTACGGATAGATCACCGCGCATTATTCGGTAGCGAGATACGTCAGCCTTCATTACCTGCTTTTAGCGAAAGGAAAGAAAACGCATTCATAGAGAAGAGCCTCTTGGTCTGGTCAAAGCTCTGTTGAATAACATACGTGGTATCATATTCTAACCTTCTTCGGCGGCAAAGCGATGAACATTATCATATCACCACGACGATCTAGTCAACAAATTCGCCGGAAATTCCGAAATATTTACCCTGCAATGAATATATACAGATCAACGCTAACGCTATGCTTTTTCTATCCTCGACGCCAGAAAGGCTTCATCACCGACTTGACGTAAACAAGCAAATACACCATAAGATAGTTGGAAATCACAAATGCCGTGAAAATACCGAAAAATGGCCAAATCTTGGACGAATCCAACCCGATTCCTGAAAGATACTAAATGTCCTGTTAGTGAGATCTTCTTGCTTTGCACACCTGCGAAAGGAATACTTACGTCGTCTCCGTAGCTGTACTCGCAATAGCCACATTTCCCGGACTCGTCGGGGTTGTGTAGATAGCCCACGCCTTTCTCCTCGAGCCATGCCCCGGCATATTCGCCACATGTCAGATGAGACGGACTCTCAAAGATGGTGAGTTCGCTTTCGTCGCAGATAACAGGCATTCCGCGGAGAACAGATGTCAGTACGCCACCGATCCAGTATGTGAACGGTGTCGCGTAGTACATCGTGTATGCCCAGAATGCGGGCATATTCTCATGCGGCTGCAAGATGCCGTTGAATAGCTCGCACATGATGATAAAGAATGGCATCAAGGTTGCTGCCACCAACGAATCGGCACTGCATTCGTTGTCAGCTAGGATGTCATGGGAACCTTCTTTTCAGAGACTGCGAAACTCACCTCATTGCTGCAATCCACTGGCCCCAAGACGTGGCGAATAGGAAGAACAGAAAGAACATCAAGAAACTATAGCCTGCCGCAAATCCAAGGGGAAGCCCGACAATAAAGTAATACAGAACATAGAAGATCACGGCACTAAGGACGGCGTAAGGGATTTCGCAGATAATTTGGGAGGTGCAAAATGCAACCCATCCATAGATGCCGCTGGGGCCCTCACGCGCTATCCAGATGTCACGGTTCATGATGAACCGCATCGAGATGGCGTTGATGAATTCGGGTACAAGCATCAGCACGAGAAAGCACGAGAAAGCCTTGGACTGCAGATCGGTGGAGCTGTTGCCAATCTGCAGATACGTGAGGCCGTTGATAAGAGCATGGAGGAATGAGGCGTATAAGCGAGAGTAGGGATATTCTGGGCTTCGCCAATATTGTCGCAGTGTCCGTTGCGTCAAGAGGGACGTCTGCTGGAACACCGACGGACTAGACAGCTTGCTCTGCGTGGCCTGCGACGCGTTGCCGCATTTGTGACGGATTGCATGTATCTCGTTCTGGACATTCTCTGCTTCAGCAGACCTATTCCACACGTCAGGCCAATTGACGCTGTGTGCAGCGTCTTTCATGCCGCCAACGACAACTTCAATGAGAAAATCCGCCGCGTTAGTGACATTCTCTGGTCGGTGGCCATGCTCGGCGAAATATTTGAAGATGGAACGTCCGGATTCCCCGACTTCTCCAAAATAGTAAGTGCTTCCACCAGGACTGAGTGCCAAAACTCGATCAAATTGCTCAAATTGCTCCTGGTTTGCCTGATGGATAGTGCAAAGAATAGCCAGACCCTGATCGGCTAACCGCCGCAACAAGGCCACGATACTCGAAGCACCCTGGCTGTCAAGACCGCTGGTCGGCTCATCCAAGAAGAGCAGAAGCTCGGGTTTCGCGCATAGCTCCACGCCAATAGTGACGCGCTTTTTCTTCTCAATGTCCAAGGAGCCTATAATAGCATCTTGCAGGTCCACAAGGTCAAGCGTTTCGATGACCGTGTTCACATATGACAGCTTTTCTTGCTCGGGCACAGCAGTGCTCTGGCGGAGAAGAGCAGAGAACTCGAACGCCTCCCGGATAGTGCTCGTTTCGTCATGGATATCCATCTGTTGACAATATCCAATGCGACGATTGAATGTTTGATCGATGGGCTGTCCGTCGACATACAATGTGCCAGTCAATTCGCCGGAGCTTGGTCTCTGGGTGAGAGCCGTCAACACTGTGTTAAAAACAAGCGGTTAGTTTCTCGCACGAAATGATGAGGTATTATTGGACATACATGTGGACTTTCCCGCCCCGGAAGCTCCTACGAGAGCGGTCAGTGTCCCTGGTTTGCAGTAGCCACGAACACCATTCAGCAGCTTCCTGGTCTCCTTTCCGATCTTGACATGCAACTCCAGGTTATCCCAAGTGAAAGTTGATTGGGTTCCTGCGAGGGTTTGGCCCGATTTCTCCATCATGGTACGAGGCGCAGCGGCCTGCGGACCTGTCGGGAGGCCATTGCTTTCCTCGTCTGCGGCGCGCTTCCTGTTCGACTTGGACTGTCCCCAAGACTTTTTGTGCTGAATCGGCCCAGCGCTATCTGGCTCCCACTCCATGACCTCGCTCAGCCAGCAAGTACCGGCAATGTAGACCACGGTGAAGAGGCATAGGATCCCAAAGTTGCGCCAAACGTGGCTGAAGGAAAACCCATACTTGGCAGCTAAATAATCATCGCCATTCACCACGGTAGTGCCCACTTGACTTCCTGCATAGCCGCAGGTTTGGTAGGCGATATCCGTATAGTTCGGGCCAGAAGGCACAACTGATCCTGGCGCACAGCTGAACTCGGTGTTGTGAAACTCTGCAGCCATCATGGACTCGTAAGTATAGAGTGCCGGGGTTGTGTACTGATAGATGGTGTTAGCACTTCATGGATTGTGTAAGACAGGGATGACACTCACAGCTATCCACCCAACCCAAGGAACGTCTTCTATCAATTTGTCGACTGAAAGAACGTATCCACCGAAGACAATACAGAACAGAACAGACACACCGCAGTAGCGCAGCGCAACCTCGAAGTTAGACGACGCGGCAGCAAATAGTCGGAACTGGGCAGTCAGGCAGATGGTGCAAAGATAAATGAAGAGGAAGTCGATCCAGAAGGAGCCGGCCTGGTGATCAAATTATTAGCTAAGCCAAAGACTAGAATCCGTGATGACTCGGTATTGGAACTCACATCCACCTTGAGACCCGACAGAAAATACACAACAATGAGATATAGGAACGTTATAGCAGCCCCGACCATGAAGTCGGCGATGACTCTGGCCAAGCATACCGCGCTGGGTCGGACGAAAGCAAATTTCTTCTGGCGACTGAGAATGTCTCGACCTTGCATAGCGTCTTCCAGCTCGGACATTTGCAGCCACGCCAGAAGGATGGCGGAGTAGAAGATCACACCACCCCGAGAGTACATTCCGTCGGTGGTTTGAGGTTGGTTATAGAACATGGACCCGACCAGCAGACCATAAACGACCGCCGAAATCAGCTTGATATACAAAGGCGACATGTGGCCTCTGATCTGCCAGATCTGACGTTTCGCGCACAACATGACTTGCCGAAACAACGAAATGGTGTACGGGGACTTGGGTGACACGAAACGAGACTTGTCGGTCTGCACAGCCTTTTTGAATTCTTCCACGCTTCCACAATCTGAAGCAGACTGGGATGCTCTGGTACTCTTGGCCCCGAAACGTTGGTCCTCGTAGTTTTCGACGTCGTATTCGATCTTCTTGTACGCCGAACTTTTCCTGAACGCCTCTTCCAGTTCGACGGGTCCTTTCGGGGTGCGCTGCTCCCACCCCGGTTTGAAACGCCGCCTCTCAGGAACAGTGATGCTAGTTAAGAAGTCCGAGACCGTCTGCATTTCGGCGCATTCATATCCCAAACCTTCAAAGTAACCCTTCGCATCGCGAGCCGGACCTTGGTAAATCATCCGACCCTCGTCCAGCAAGAGTACCTTGTCAACCAGTTCATAGATGGCATCCGATGCCTGGTAGAGCGTCATCAGCGTTGCCTTGCCACACGTATCAGTCATGATTCGCAGGCTACGTGCATAGTCCAGAGCTGACGAGGCATCCAAGCCTCTGGTGGAGTTATCCCAACACATAACGGATGAGTCGGTGGCCAGAGACTCGATAATGGAAATGCGTTTACGCTCGCCACCGGACACGCCTCGAATGTACTCGTTCCCAACGAGCGTGTTCATGGTATGGGACATGCCAAATACTCGTCCGTAGATCTCAAGATATCTCGAGATTCGTTCTTGATATCTTTTGGGCGACTTGCTCTGGAGCGCAAACTCCAGGGTCTGCCGCACCGTGAGGGTGGGGAAATGCACATCATCCTCGGGCACGTAGGCCACCTGGCCACGATAATGCGTCTTGACCTCCTCGAGGCTTAGGCCCGAGTAGTCGATGGAGCCCGTCACGCCGAGGAAAGATGAATGATGACCGGCGATGGTGCGCAGAAAAGTTGAGCAACCAGCTCCCGGTCTCCCCAGAACACTACGGAACATTTCAGTCAAACTCTCCACGCGCATCTCCTTGAATTTTCAAGAACTTACAGCATAATCTCGCCACTTCTCACGACGCCAGAGAAATCGCGAATCAATTCACGCCCCTCGTGGGGCTTTTTGGCGGACAGCCAGGGCTTGACGGTCCATTCATACACGTCCTGGAAGGTCAACGTGCGCCAGAGGGCCGTTCCTAAGGTCTTAACACTGGCATGGTCGTCGCCATCTCCCCAGGTGGAGACGGACTGGAAGCAGACGCCCAGGTTGGATTTCTTGCGACCCGCTTGGAGTTCGGCTTCGAGGAATTTGTCGAACGAGGAATGTGGCTCGGGATACTCTTGGGGTGGGGTATGATTGCTTATATTCGTCAGAGTGCGATGGATGTCTGCGATCGCATCTTCGTCTTCGTGAGAGAGATGTACTCGAGGTGAAGAGATAGCATCGGCCTGGCTCTCCACTTCCGGGTTGGAAGTCACGGAGGGAGCACCGTGCAGGTGGGCATGAAGATGGGCCGGCATTTCACACGACCTTTCCAAACGTCCCTTCACCCGGTGGGCAAGACAAGGGAATCAAAATTCGACTGCTGAAGCTGGTAGGAATCCATTCTACGATAGCCCGGGGAGGGAGGGGCAATCCCAGCACCTTTATACATGGATGCGTGCCGTGGCGGAACTACAGATCTAACAGCCATAGATCCAAAAAGGAAGCCAAGCTTCATGTGGTGAGCCAAAGGCAACAATGGACCAGCGAAAGAACGACATGGAAACGGGACTAGTGATCGTGCTGGTGGAGGTGATCCGCCACTCTAACAGAAAAAAACGGGACGAGCCAAAAAAAAACCCAATGGGCGGGCGATATAACTTCCGTGTCTGGCAGCTCGCTAGAGAATGAATCATCCAGCCAGAATCAATCAGAAATCGGAAATCCTCGACGACCGAATTACTCAGAGAACTAATCCGCACTCGGCAGCCAAGGCGGATCGACTCCACTTTTCCTCCGGCACGTTCTCTTTGGCCTGTCTTTGCCCTGCACGAGTATCTCGGATGTAGAAGAGAGATGGAATCTATCATCTCATAAGCACGACAGCAGGCCGTCAGCTGATGATTTCCGGTGGGCGCTGTGCATGCTGAATTTTCCTTCCGTGTACTCCGTACCTACATGAAAAGAAGTTGGAAGATCAGTCTCGAATTGGGGTCTATGACGCACGAAGGCATGAAACTTGCTCTTCATATCCGACGGCTGGGCTATTGCAAACTCGGTCACGTCCATCCTCAGGAGGAGGGAAGACCATCTCCAATAACCAACGGTAAAATGATGAACGTACTCCGTAGATGTAGGTAAGACGTAAGTGCTGACTACGGGGTAGAATTACCCGGGTTAACGCCGCAGGCGCCACGGAGGGCTAAGCCCGATGCGGAAAAGGTATCGCCGGGGACCCACGAGGCCTGAGGCCAACGCGGTTTCCGCGGACCCCGTTTTATTTCTCACTTGCACAGTACAAGCAGGTCAACTGCTTCTGCTCATCTCGGGGTGCAGCTTCTTTTTTATGTGCTCGTGACACCTCCCTCCGATGCGGTCTTTGTTGTCATCAAAGTGCACTGCATCTAATCCACCTTCAACCCCTCTCTCCATGCACGCTTTCAGGTGATGTCAGACAGTCAGATCGGTCACACCTGCACTTTCTTTCCTTCCCATCTCGATCGTTCCTTGCCGCACGACTCGGTGAATTCCAAGGAAAGGAAATGAATCATTCCCCCCTTTCATACCTACTCCACAGCCTCGTTGTCCCAGGCTAAGGTATCTGGCGAATAAGGAACCGGCATACATAATCCGGCTCAACGGCCCTGCATCGGAAGCTATGCTGCGTGGTGATGAGTATTCGGGACGCAAGCACTATAGGAACAATTCTTCTATTCATCGGACAATTGCACCGGTTATTCCGCGTCATCACTTACTTACCGGCGCTTCTCCGCAAAATCAGTGAATCCTACTCGGACAATATTCATTATGCTCTCTCTCTCCATCTTTCATGAGGTTACTACCGAAAAATGGGGGCAATACCAAAAAAATGAATTTCATGTCCTCAAAAGAGATCCAGACGTCTTGGTGCCTGAGGACTAGCTCAAAGTTGGCTTGCTTGCAGAAAATTACCGAGCTCAGGCACTTGGGTGTCGAGTGAAATCTCTATTCGGGTCTTAGAGAGCTTCCCAGTTCAACCAAGAGCTTCAATTTTCACCCCCGAGTCCCCGGTACTCGAGGTGCTTGTCGAGCTGGTGGCCGAAAGCCAACGACATCTGCGATCGGTGCGCACGATCACCTTTCAGACATCAACCGCAAACATTGCCGAGGTGCGAGGACTCTTGGGATCATCCGAGACAGATGACCCCTTTATCGACTCGCCATATCGTGCGCTTTTCATCGAGGCCTGTGGTAGGTTGCAGCGAAGCATGGAATATGTGCATCTATAACTAGACGCTCATCATTGTCTCGTGTTCACGCAAGGCGAAGGGGAGAAATAACATTCATACGGTCTAAGTACGAGAGATTTGGACATCTTTCCACGGTGCTCTCTATTTCACAGAAAGGTACCAATTCGACCGCATTGGGTCAGGATAATATGATGCGTTCGAGAGATTATAAATGACTGTTATGTGTCTCGCTGAAATGAACATTCCTGGACGGCGAGGGCGGCCGACGCAAGGGATGTGTCCCGCAAGGGGTGCATTTATTGGCATGCGAACGCCGGATGAGCGACCACATCCAAACTAGTTGTTACACCGCCGATAACTATTGTTCCTTGACGGTGTTGGGTGAGTAGGGGATCCGTGGATTCAGTTCTCCCGGTGAGCCTTTACTGGACGGCGCCTCGTAAGATCGATCGCTTTCCTTGGGCTGGCTGAAAAGCCCGAAAGTGTATTGCTGGCTTGGCTGTCAAGATACCGTGCGTTGACAAGTATTCAATATATACGTAAGCCTGTCGGTCAGCCAAGTCGACTGACTTCAGGTACTGTATGTGCCATGTATCAATATGATAAAGTGGCTGCCAATCCTCCCTTGGCAAGAATGGCTATAAGGACAAAGGGCGCCCCTCGCCTTTGGTGCTTACTGGCTTTGACAACTGATTGATTCCGTCTCCACGCACAAGTGACACGGCAGTCCAGCTTTCACGTTCTATCAACATGAGGTTCCGAAGCATCGTCGCGAGAGCCGTGACACTAGGGCTAGGTATGTAGTCTATTGCTCCTCGTTCCGTCCCCATTCTCCGGACCTCGTTCTACTTACTCGAAGAGTGCCAACCTTCTCTCTCCTCCTACGGAAGGCCAAAAATTCATCCGTTGACCTGAATGTACAGTTCCGCTGGCCTTGGCCGAGATTGTCACATTTTCTCCCGACGGCCAAAATGAAACGTACTTCAGTATCACTGCGTCCTCTCCCACGGGCCCTATTTCCTTCCAGATACAAGCGCCCGACTCCCTTCAATGGGTTGGCCTCGGTCAGGGCACTAGGATGGCTGGCGCGAATATGTTTGTTCTCTATTCATCATCGGAGAGAAATGTCACTATCTCGCCTCGGTCGGGAAAAGGCCATTCAATGCCAGAATCCAACCCGGAGGCTCAAATCACGCTGCTTGAAGGCACTGGGATCGAAAACGGCACCATGACGGCCCGCGTGCGTTGCGACAGCTGCATGAAGTTTGAAGATGACCTGAGCGCGAGCCGCTGGATCTGGGCCTACAAAGCGGGAGAGCCCCTAAACTCGCCCAATGCGTCCGAAAGAATACGGATCCATGACAACTTCGGCGGAACCGAGATTGACCTGGCTCATGCTGTGTCCAAATCCGACAATCCGTTCATGGGATATGATCCGTCTAGTAACGCCAAGGGCTTGGGAGGGTCGGGTGGTGGAAGCGCCATGGTGATCGCCCATGGATTCCTCATGGCCTTTGCCTTCGTTCTTCTCTTTCCGGCCTTCGCCATCCTCGTCCCCCTCCCCATCCCTATCTCCGTTGCGAAAGTCCATGCACCTATCCAGGCATTCACGCTGGCCGTGGCCATCGCCGGTATGGGACTTGGACTTCGTCTCTGGGTGCGCGGGGGTGTCTCTCATGTGGACGTGCATCATATTCTCGGCATCATCGTCATGGCCTTTCTTGTCCTCTTTCAGCCCGCCATGGGCTGGCTTCAGCATATGCACTTCCGCAAAACGGGCGGGAAAAGTAGCTTTGCGTACGCACACCGATGGCTAGGTCGCATATTGATCATTCTAGGGATCATCAATGGCGGTCTGGGCTTTCGCTTGGCCGGCATCGGTAGCCCAAGCACTCCGCGCAGCGCCATGATCGCCTATTCTGTCATCGCAGGCGTGATGGGATTGGCATACATTTCGGCACACCTGGTGATGGGTTTTCAAGGGAGAAGAAAGGGCCCCCCTGCGCAACAAGAGGTAAAAACTCATGCCGGCAGCGAGAACGCGGAGATAGAGCCAAAAGCGTGATTTACAGCGAATGCGGGCACCTTTGAATCTTCAACCCTAATCGGCATTACTGGCCGATCCACTCTACAATAATATTCCCTTACGTTGAAATGCTGTCTCGGACACTTGGTTTGAATTCGGGTTTCTATTTTTATCGATCCAGTCCTTTTTCTTTCTGGCTCTGTTTATGACATGTATGTTGCATCCATGGATGTAGCAAGGTTAGATGACACATTACTTAATCTCGACCATAGAAAAAAAGATCATTAGTTCTGACAATAACATTTCTACATACTTTAAAAGGTTTAGCTTGGAGGAGGTCTCTTTCCCATGACAACGAATTGCGAAGCCCACTCCGTATGTACTGTTTACATGCCTACAATGACGTCAAATGCAAACCAAGCAAACAGCCCAAGCTCCAACGCCGACCGCAAGTCCACCGCCAAAACCAACAACAGTCAGTCAACGCATCCTCAAGCAGAGCAATTGTCCCGGGCTCGCTGCATCTCGGCCCCAGGCGGAGCATCATGCATCACTATTATCCCCTGGCATTACAGTATCTAAGACCCCACCGGAACTAGGAACAATGTTACACAACGCCCTGATACGCACCCATCACATCACCTCCCGCAAAAAGGTCTCTGCCTTGAAACGAGCCGCGGATACCTACAACTGCTTCGTGCTCCTGCGGTCGGGCGGCTGTCCCGGGATTATGTACGTTGAAGCCAGAGAGAAAGATGCCGTCGAGTCGTGGGTCAATACGGTGCGGAATCTGCGGTATAAAGACTTTCAGCTGGTGGTGCGACCCGATGTCATCCAGCATGAGAATCGCAGTGAAGAGGACAACAGCTCTAGACAACAGAACCGACGTCGGGATGGCGATTCCCATGAGGGAAAGAGAGCGTCGGGTATAGGCTTGTCGGAGGTTGACAGCGTCAAGGAATTTGGGAATGCTATGCAGCAGCGTGGTGTTTGGCATTGGTGGAGGAAAGGTATGGGGTACACTTGAGCCGGTCTTATTGATCGATTGGTCTACCTCTCGTCATGCCGTGTTGAAATATAAGCCAGCCTGACGCTCTCGGTTGGAAAGGGCCTTGTTGGCAGTTCGACAATCGTCAAGTCATTCCTCGAAACGCCGAGACGCAAAGGAGGATTTTGTCCGTCGATCAGTCCAAGACACCATGTACCCAACATGCAAGGTATCTACCACACATTCTTTCGTCGCCGTCGATCTATAGCTCCTTACTCGGCACATCTCGCGGCTGGAGCTATCATTCAACACCCCGAAAGCACCGGGTAATTATATTCGGTATCGCAAAAACTATATACAAGAATATCCTATCTACCCTTTCGGTTCCATCAAACCCATGTACTGTTAGGAGCGCCAGTCACTGGATTGTGGCCAGGCAATTTGGGAAGAGGACCATGTTGTCCCAGCTCGTCCTTGGGTTCTGGCACTTCCAGAACTTGCTCCAGCGGCGTTAAAGCTCGTTTCTGTGCCTTGGTGATCGAACAACCCGGATCACTGAGGCCCCGCGCGCTCGTACATGTTGATACGGCTTTCTGTAGGGCGTCTTGGTCGGTCCAGCCGTTGACGAAGTCTCCGTGAAGCCCGTACCCCGTCAGGTCACCCATCGCGTATACCCAGTTTTCGAAATCGGGGAACGGCTCTGTGTTGAAGAAGAATTCCAGGAAGATGGAATATATCGCCACTGGGTGAGATCTTGGACAGATACCCTTGTTATATTCTCCAATCGCGGGATAAGCCATCTTGACGCATTCATGTCAGTTCCAATCATTTGCTTCATGGGGTCATGCTTAACTTACATGGCTCTTGTGGTCGTGGCTGTCCAGGTTCTTACCGTCCCAACACGATGGCAGGAACACCTGAGATCTTAACGTGGCGCATGGTTGACGCGGGAGATGTTTGGTCTCATTTGAACCTCCCTCATCAGTCATACACATGTGGGAAACTGCGCGCTGCGCAAAGTCAGAATCGTTGTAGGTTCTGCAGTGCTTGTTAGCGTCCTAGACTTCGCATACGCCCAACCTGCTTCGACTAACCGGAGCATTGGGTTACCGGCCGTCATACGGAGTCCTGCAGGCGGAGCCAATGAGGATTGCTGGCTGTCGCACGACGTTGCATTCGCAGAATAATTGCATACTCGGTTGAAGTAATAGATGGTCTGAGGCGTTGTTAGCCCTCTCGAAGGGATATGAACGTCTGCCGCCAGACAAAACCGATCCAACAAACATACGTTTCCCTCGAATTCAATCAACTCAAACGATCCGTTCCTCATGCGATGGTAAAGTTGTGGGATCCAGTAATTGCTTTTGTCAATCTCCACTCCGCAAGTGGTTTCGTTGGCATTCTTTGCGGTATCGATCGTCATGTTTCTCTGGAATGCGGTCCCCCCCGCGACGACGTGTGTATGAGCCGACGGCACCCCGGGCGAAACTATGGGATCCGATAACTGCATCGTTAAAGGAACACAGCTGAACGTGAATTCGTCCGTCACTGAGTTAGCACCCATTGCCGAGGCGTAGATTGAGAGCAGCGCTGCTGTGATGAGACCATATCCTCGGTCCGGCCTCATGATGCCTGCTGGGACAAAAAGGTCGGAGAACAGGCTGTCAATGATGATAAACAAGACGAAGGAAATTACTTCCGGCTAGCTCATTTCATGAGCGTAGTAACTTCTTATATGTGCCCCTCGATTGTATGTTTACCTAGTTGACCTGCATGCCCAAGTCCCAAGTATGCATTGCCCTCCCGTGGACATTGCAACATTTTTTGTTTACTTCAGCTATAGACCCCGGTGGCAAAGTCGAACTCTATCTCCCTTTAACCACACAAAAAGGACGATCTTCGACGCATTGGAATCTCCTCATTTTGCGGACCGTCGACAAGGCCTCCATTGGCTAAGCATCCTCTAGACATAAGGAATTCGCCGCCCAGTGGGAGCCGATGCTCATCTCCGGCGTCTTTTCCTACATTCCCATTGCCTTTCTTCTCGGGTGGCCTGATGATCTTAACGCCATACATTCCTCGGCCTGGTAGAATTTGATCGGAGCCTTCTTGCTCATGTGTCACCCTGCTAAGTGCTTAGCATGTATAGTCTTCATCAACCCTATTGTGCTCGTTCGCATCATGGTTATGGTAAGGCACGTCCCGGCTATACCGAATTGAGGCTATCGTTCGTCTGTCTTTGAAGTTCAACTTCGCAGTCATCATATTTATAAATCCATTTAATCGTTTCCAAATGTCTAAAACGAACCCGAAAGTGATCTAGATACAATTTAATATATATGGGCGTGTATTGACCCACAATGCCTTATGATACAGTATGAATGCAGTCACTATGAAACGATCCCCCCAAACACCACCTTAAACGCCATAAAGCAAACGAAGTCTGGATCATTGCGGGACAGGATCCTCCTGATCGGGCTGGGAATCCGAATCGGAAGTAGTTTCTTCTACATCAGGAGCCGGGTAGCTGAGAAGCCTGCAGATATCCTGATAGACTGTTAGTGAAGATTACGCGGACATAAGGTCATCCAGTTACATACCCTTCTCCTCCGACGGAAGTCGTCGTAGAACTTCCTCCACACTTCTCGATTGCGACATCCACTTTCCTTAGGCGTGCCGGGGTTGTGCAGGCACTTGGGCAGCGTTTCCGCGAGCACTTTCTGCGGCCACATCACCCAGGGTTTCGGCAATGGCCAGTCGGAAAAGTGCACCAGCTTGGCTTCGGCGAGCACCTTGTCCGGATCCCAGGTCTCGTAGTCATTCCCCAAGAAGTTCTTGTGGTCCTCCGCGCGGAACTCGCCGGTGATCAAGCCGTACTGCCGGTGCGGGAGTACCAAGGCCGAATCGCCGTATCGCTCATTCAGGAGTTCCATATCATATCGGTCCGGCCCGGAGAAGTTCGTCAATACCTGTCCGTGAATGGCGGGCTGGGCCGCGTCCATCAGCGCTGAGAATTCCCGGTAGGAGGGCTCGATCACGATCAGCAGGGATGATAGCTGCTTTGTGCCCGGGAGTGTCCAATACGCGCGCGGCATCGCCACCTTGGTCGGAGGGAGGAAAAACAACTCGTCCATGGACTGGAGAAGGTTCACGTCGGAGTCGAGGTGGATCACGCGGTCGAATTCCGTCTCGCCAAAGGCGAGCAGTTTGGAGATGCTTTTATCCCATGGCTCGTCGGGTCCTATTGTCAAATACAAGATGGAAAGTCAGCAAACCGCCACATATTCCCTCTAAATCTGCGCTAGAACAGGGAACTCTTGTTCAGCGGGTCGTCCGATGCACATACCTGCCCCGGCCTTGATCATTTGCACATCGATCGGTACCAATTGTACATTGTAGGTGTCCCGAGCCAAGTTCAGCAGTTGGCTGTCCCGATCGCGATCGCTTTCGACAAGCACGTCCCAGTCTTCGGGGTAGAATAAGACCCTTTGGGCCCGGCTGCCATATCGGTGCAAGGCCTCGAAGACCATCAGGGCGTTGCAGAGATAGGCGCTGGAAGTCGCATACTGGCTGTAGGCGTAGCGGGTCCAGTCAACCCGGTCGAAATCGACATGCGGCAGCGGCGGCGGCGGCGGTCTTTCACGTCGAAGGTACAGGATGAAAAGCAAGAGCAGCGCAAAAAAGACCCAGGTGCGAAAGTGTCTCAATTGCCGCTTGACGATGGCGAAGCATGGTTCGTCGGGGATGTCGAAGAAATCATCTTCGGATTGGTTGGAGCCTCGGCGGCGAGGGAAAGGGGGAGGGTTCTTGGTTCCCATCATGAATTGTCGGTTCATGCTGAAGCGGCATCCATTTCTGGATGGGAGATATGTAGGAGCCACATGCGAACACGCGTTCGGAGGGGGGATGCGTCGACAACCCTGCGGATCTCCTGCGAGGTGAGATCCCGCCACGTGATCGGGGGCTGTGAACACTTCAACTACTTCGCTCCAAGAGTATCTGCACCCTATTGCAATGGGGCGGTGTTTGACCCGCTGATTCATTTCGATTGGTATATACATGTGTGTACTAGATACTACTAGATCCATATCTGTATCTATTCATTATACCACACTGCCCTCACTCATTAACGAACGCCATCGAGACGTGCTTGTATCGTCTTCTCATCAAAGCGCCCATTTTCACCAACGTAATTGCGAAGAGCCTCGGACGTCATAAGACGGCGTGGTGCTTTCCGTCCGGTTAACAGTTCAAATTGCGCGATTGCTTGCTCCGAGACATTGTCAAGTCCATCAACTAGAACCCACGGGCGACCGGTCTCGCTCCGAATGCGACGCATCTGCCGCAGCAATGGTGTGTCGAGCGGTTTGTATGCAAACTATAATCCAAGGTTAGCTATCGTACATTGCCATCCTCGTCGGGGATCACTCACCTCCAACACAACACCTCCGGTCGGGCTTCCCAACCACTGCATCGGCATTTCAAAGTCGGCCGGAGGCTCATCCGTATCCGGGTCCGCAGGCACGCAGGAGGCAATCAAACACGGAGGACATTCACCTGGAGGCCAGTCATCCTGAACTGACTTCAACACATGGACCACCTCCGTCGAGCCTACTTGTGATGCAGCCCACGAATTGAAGTGACGGGCCACGCTTTCTGCGCGCGACAAAGTTCGATTGTAGATGAAGATTTTACGGCATCCGAGCCGGAGCATGGCGTAGATGGCGGCGCGACCCATACCGCCCGCCCCTATCACCAGGCCCGTCGTCTTAAGCGGACTGATAGCATTGCGTGGGGACAGATTCCGATTGATGCATGTCATAATGCCGACCCAATCCGTATTCTCTCCGTACCAACCCAAGACGGGTCCAGCCTGGTTGCGACGACTCGCTTGCTCCTGAAGTGGAAACATCGTTCCATCGGCCCGCGCCCGCAAAGGCATGATCGTATTGATCGCTCCGATTGCCTCGGCATGTCGACTTTTCGCGGCCAGCTTTTGGGAAACCTGCACCCTCCACGGCTGGACGACACTAGCTCCTCCAAAATGGGGATCTCGACCCAGACGGTCCAATGCGGCAAGAGTGGCCGACTCGGGGATACTGTACATATGATTCATCCCACAATGACGGAAAGCCGCGTTGTACATGACAGGGGAAAGACTGTAGGATACGCTGGCCCCAAGAATATAGAACTGGAGAGGATCCAGCACATAGCTTTGGAACAAGGCCTGAACCGCATCTCTTGACGTGATCAACGGGTCTGTCCCGTAGTCTACAGACCGCTTGATTGCTGGATGGGTAACCGAGGTGAGGATTGAATTGAACACCTGGGAAGTTCGTCCTAGACTGCCGATATTATATGCAATGATAGGAGGATGGTCACCAGTCAAGGACTGAACCTTAGTTGTGAACTTCGCAACGGCTGCGTTGTCTTCGCGCTCTGTAGCCACACGCAAAAATCGCACAAGTTGACAGCCTAGTTTTTCGGCCTCGAGGTAATGAGAAAGGTTGTACTCATGTTCCCACGTCACATGAGCTGAAGGCTTGAAGATGGTTTGTCCTATTATTTTGGTCGTTCCTCGACTGCTGATTGCATCTGCGAGTAAGGCACGGTCAGATCCTAGATCCACGACCAAGTATTCCACGCCGAGTCGTAACCCGTGTTCCACAACCTCAAAATACGTGTTACGCTGCTGCGCCACTGACGGATCACTTGCACCGACCCCAGATGACGCAATGTCGATGGAAAGAACGATGGGAACTCGAGCACTTCTCCGAAGCAACGAGACTTGTTTGCTGACGGTGCTCGCCATCCCCGAATTCCATCGATCAACGCAGAGTTCAATTGCATCTCCTCCTGACTCGAGCCCACACAAATCAACAGCACCATCTATGAGCTCGGAGGATCGGACGAAGATGGCGTGTGTGAAAGACCGACGTTCCGGGGGTGTTTCCAGAAGCACAAAAGGCGAATCATATCCAGAGTGGCCCAAATCTGTCCCCGTGATAAATCGAACAAACCGGGTGAAATCTTCCTTGGCCTCCTTGAGTTTGAACGAGTAATCGACGGATCGCCGGTCCGGAGTTTCTTCTTCGGCCTGGGAAGATACGCTGGACCGATCTTCAATGTTGTAGAACTCGAAATTGGAGCAGGTTCGATGTAGAGGGTCTGACTCGCACAGCAACTTCGCAGACTGGTCCTCCAGACCGAGCAGGCGTTGTATGCGGTCCATGTCGCGGACAAGGTAAACTACCGGGTTGGTGGCGGAGAATTGACGGAGGTACTCCTGAACGGGGCGTGTGAGGCTTGCCAACCCACACTCAATAACACAATGCGAGCGGTGATTATCCAGCATCATCTTCAGGACTTCGATATCCCGATGTTGGAACTCCTGGCTTCCATACCGCTTGAGGTACTCATGTCGCGTGAGCCCGGTAACCTGCTTAAAATAATGGTCTTCGGTGATGAAGCGTCGTTTCAAGGCCGTGGCAGCGACAAACCCCATTGAGCGCTTGCCACAGCCCCGAATGCCAACAAGTACCAGAGATGCATCCGGGTCGATTTTTCGGCGGGGCCCGGGTTGTTGCATGGTGCAGACGAAGCAGTTTCCGAAGGTATACAACCCGTGATCCGGAGAAGGTCGCGACGGGATCGAATGGACTGATCAGAGTCAAGTTACGGGCAACAAGACCATAATAGCGAGACCCATAGCTCGATTTGAAAAAGGGGGGTTAAGTTGAGGTCTTCTAGTGCCGTGAAGCCGCTCTAGAGGTAGTCGGGTAGCGCGCGTCGCTCACAGTGCATGGAGACGAGACACTCCGCAGCGAGTATACACCGTACTGCAATGGCAGGCGACTAACAGGAAGGGAGAGTCCCAAGAGGTTCCGCAGATCCATGGCCGGCGAGACCATGACCAACTTCCATCGGCTTGTCGCAACGGGTCTGCTGCTTTGCCGCGTCGATGCGCTGGTCCGCTTGCAGCTTCTGCCCCGCTCCACCGCCTGCTGCCCGTGGACGCGCGGTAAAGACCTTAGCCGGCTGGCTGGTCCCGATGATTCACTCTTAATTTCATTCCATCGGAATATTAACTAAGAATAGACCATCGGAAAGATCACCTCGCTTCAGTCCTGGACTCGGGCACTCCCAGACCAGTTCCCCGATTATCGGCTGTGGTGGAAATATCGTGTCAACGCGGACTACAAAAGATAGAATGATGAATCCCGCACGGAAAGGAAATCGTGGGGTGTTGTGTGGGGAACGGGAAGTTCGGAGCACTCCGTGGGTGACTAATGCCACTCACCTCCGACGACTACGGGACACGCCCGTCATCCACTTCCCGACTTTCGCCCCGACGGCCTCCCTCGAAGCCGTCCGTCATTGCCTCGGAATGGGTCTAGCCAGTTTGGTTCTTGATCTGGCTCCCTCCCCCATGAAAAGAAATGTTCTTGATCCCTGGATGATTCTGTGACGGCAGCTATCGTCGGTCGCGCCGTCCTCGAGTGTTTGAACTTCTGTCTCTCTCGCCTGCTCGGTTGCATGCTTTCTTTTCTTCTTCCCACACACTCTCCCTAACGAATCGTTAACGGCCTTGCGCTTCGCCCTCAGGCTCTTTCCTTACCCCATACATGACATGCCAGTTCCGTTGTAATTGACCCTCAATGGACGAGGGTTCTGATCCGAAGGCCCCTCGACGCAAGAGGGTCTCCAGAGCTTGTGACAGGTGCCGAAGCAAAAAGGTATGTCGGCTCCAGCTCCTAATCTGCCTAGCAATCCACCGATTATCGGAACCCAACGCTCACAATGGTTTTCAGGACAAATGTGATGGCATACGCCCCTCTTGCTCCGCCTGCCAGGCCTCAGGCCAGACTTGTTCGTACGACCCGCATGCGAAGAAACGTGGATTACCGGAAGGATACGTGCGAGGGCTAGAGAAGCTCTGGGCGTTGTCGATCTGCAATATCGATGGGTTTGAAGACACCATGCTGGCTCTTTTGGGCACCACGGCCGAGTCGGCTGGTCGCCGAGATAAAATCAGGAGTCTATGGGCCAATGATGGAGCATCTGAAACGATGCATGAATCCTGGAAAACCAGCCGGCTCTATGGCGCCCTAGAAAAAATGCTGTCAAACCCTGATGCTTCGCCGTCGCGTGGTTCTGAAAAGCGCTCTCGTGAGGAAATTGACGACGCCTCGACCAGTAGGGAGACCGCATGGGGGTTTCGCATAGAGCGCAGCTCGTCCTCTTTATCAACGGGCGCTCCGCGCGTAGTAGAACCCTCCGCCTCATTCTCTCCTGCTAAGAAAGCTCGCCTCTCTTACCCGTCGAGTAGTCAGTCTACCTCGCTGGCTCCGGGCGCTAAAAATTCGCTCGAGTTACCGACTCAGACCTCGCAGCTTTTAGACGTTTACTTTGCCGTCACACATTCATGGTTTCCTATCGTCGCTAAACATAACATTCTCCGAGCGTCATATCTTTACGTTAACGGCCCTCTATCGCTTACCAACACTACTCCCGGATCCGGTAATCATGCTGCACTCTGGGCTGTACTTAGCTACACCCTCTCTCAGTCTCAAACGAACTTGCAGGATGGGTCGCTGGAGAGATTGAATCGGACGAAGGAATATTATGCCGTCTCTCGCGCCTTGATTCCATCCGAGACAGACCAATATGAAATAGGCCACGTGCAAGCGCTACTGCTACTAACTATGGTCAACATCGGTCTCGAAGAGTGGACTGCGGCCTGGTTGCTAAGCGGCCAGGCAGTGCGGATGGCTATTTCAATGGGCTTGGGCGCTTTCGCCGATGTTCGACGATCTGACGATCTGAGGCAAGGAAAAGCGGTATTTCTTGGATGCTTTGTCCTTGATTCGCTGCTTTCTTTCCGTCTATCTCGAAGGCCCTGTATGCATCCCCGCGACATATCCTCGGTGGGGCTCTTAGAAGAGGATGGCTTAGAAGAGTGGAATTCCTGGGCAGACGTCTTACCCGCTGCCGGCGGGAAACATGGATCCAATTCTCCCCGACGAGGCCCCCTACTCGCCCTGAGCTGCTTCAATCGGCTAGTGGAATTGGCTAGCGTGTTGAATAAGATTGCCCGTGATGCTGCGACCGGAGCCAACGCACACATGTTTGCACAGCAGCTGGTTATGGAGCTTAAGCAATGGGATGATCGCTTACCGTTGGGGTGTCGACTGATCGGTCCCGAGAGTATCTATCCTGAGCGGCACTCTGCATTACTTCCACACCAAACCTACTTAGGGCTAACTTATGTGGCTACTCTACTCTGGCTATACCTACGGATCGCACCCCAGGAACTCGGGCTGCCCCGTTCCCAACGTCCCGCCGTCGAGGGCGCAAAGAAAATCCTCTATAGAGCTCTGCCAATGTTGTCTCAACATATGGAAAACTTTCAGGCGTGTGGTCTTCCGCCAGTGTTCGAGTTTACCATAAGGACGATGGCAGAACAGGCATTTACCCTGCGCAACAGGATCGAGTCCGACATGTTCCCCTTCGGACGGTGGGCCGAAGCTCTCTTCCAACGAACAAAGGAACTCAGGCCATCCTGGCCCGTTTACGGCACATTGGCTTCGACCATCGAGCGTTGGTATCGCTCCAAAAGTCTACCAGAATCCGCGTCACCTTCCTTTCACGTCCCAGATTTGGAAAGCACGCCTTTCAGGGGTGGCAGTCTTTCTGGCCACAATACCTTCGACGACCCCATGACCGTGACTGCCACGCACCAACAAAACCCGAACGGGGAGGCGTCTGTGACTCCAGGGACCCTTTTGGCAACAGCGGAGCCCAATTACACGTCATCCATATTGGGGATCACCATCCCCGTGGATGCACAATATCTAACGCCAAAAGACACGGTCATGGAAAATGCCGATCTATCCATGCTAGATGCGACTTTCCGAGATCAACCTCAGACCCAACCACCTCGTCCGGCGAATACCACACCGACGCTCATAGACAAGCCCGACACAGCGGCCGATCTGGACGCACTATTACCGCCCGTCCCACCCCATCCGCCCACTCCCGACTCATCCGTTTCGAATCCCATGCTGCCTGCGAAACCCATGAGCAACGACCCGCCTCGATCCTCCGGGAACAATCTCAGTCTTGGCCACGACAATTCCGACATGTCGGAACCCTCCGTTTCTAGTAGAGACATTGATTCCATTTTCAAAGATCTGGCGTATCTTGACACCACTGAGTGGGCCACCAGTCGCGAGGCAGGCTTGAAGGACTTTGGATTTATAGATGACAGTACTTTCCACGCATTCTGCCATGACCCAGACCGACTCGCCGGGTCCCAGCCCTTAGTCCACCCCCCGTCGATCGCAGACATCTGGCCGCCTCCGGGGTTCTTTCCGGAAACGTTCCAAGATTCCTCGGAAGATACGATGGAGGGGTGATGTCTCGAAATCATTGGCTAAAAACGCGTCATCCTAGACTTCTACTAGTATATATCCCGTTCTCCCAGCATGTCTCAATATGCTATAGCATAGTGAGGATTGCTCACATGGGAACCTCCCACTCATATTTATGATACCCGGGGTTACTAGGAAGCATGCCCCATCTTGCTTCCTAACCTCACACAACGTTGATTTAAGTCATGTACACTTCTCAGTTGATTGACATGCTTTTTCTTTCCATTTTGAAGCTCATTTCTAGGCAGTTTGAGCTTGATTGAGCAATATACAAAGAACTTTTCAGAATCATCAGTACTCTAAAGATCATGGAAACGCTCGGCCTCATTGAATTATAGATATACTCAATCCGACTCGATCATTCCCAAGCTGTTTCACGGGTCCCTGGACTAGAAAAGGAAAATCAAAAGAGGCCCCTACCTGAAAGAATGGCCCGCTAAACCAACGGCCCATCTCTACGGCATTGTCACTTTTATATAAGCCCAATCCGCAACTCCGGTTTCTTATCAAGCTGACGTGCTCAAGAACCTGTTTTCTTTTTAGTTTTAGAGATGGAGACATGCTCGGCAAGTTCACTCAACAATATACTTTGCTTAGGAACCAGGGTCGAATACTGTTCCAAGAAACCCTTAGATGCGCGAGCCCATCCCTCCTATGTAGTAAGTCCGGCCATATCGTGCCCCAGATGACCGTGCGGGCGAGTGATACAGGTGACGTCTCCGGGCACACTGCTGCGCACAATCTTCATCAGCCGTGATCGCGTTGTCGCCATCCTAGTCATCGGCGTTTGATCGATCGGTAAACTGTCCCAATCCGCCTGCCTAGTCGATTCATGCACGGTTGTAGATTGGACTCGTGGGGGGAAAAGGCCGTCTCTGTGTCACGTACGCAGGCTCGATACCTTGTTGTACTGTACTACTTTCCTTCTTGCACGCTTGTCGGACAGGTTCAGCCACAGATAGTTATTATATGCGAGTGGGACAAGGCAACAAACTGCCTTCGCAGAACACAACAGCAATACCATTTGGAAGTGCCGCGTACCGGTGTGGCTTGCTCAAAGGCCACATGGCCTGGAAACCCTCCTAGGACATGTGATGACATTAGGGCTTTCGGCCACATCTTTCGATAAGATGGTCGACTTCGCGGCTGCGATGAATGGGACGTTCAGACTTTGCCAGATGATGTACAATTCGGGCTCTGGGAACAAATTTCCCCGTGTCGAGGTTCCGGATCAGAAGGCCGCTGTCCGCTTCATACGCAGGGTAGCACCCGACCATAAGACGGGTCCCCATCTTCTTCCTGCCGTTTGGACACACTTCGCATGGAAAAGGGTTTCTGTGCAGGTTCTACTCAAACAGCGACTAGAGGTATTAAACAATACTATCATCGGCATTAATATAGTCAGTACCTAGTAGAGTCCGTTATGGTTACTAGAATTATGATACGAGGAACAAACACGCCAAAGAAAACAGACCCAACTCCCATAGAACGTGTAACTCCGACCCTTTTAGAACCAGATAAAAGTCATGGACTCGTATATGCTGCGAGAAGAACACAAAAATGTCATAAGCGCTGTATAGCAAGAAAAAAGCCCGCCGCCAAAAAACGTGTATAGATTTACTCATTCAAGATCCATGTGTATGCATTAGCCCCTTTTCAAAGTAAAGAAGAGGAAGGAAGAAGAGGGAGGAGGAAGGGAGGGAGGGGTTGAAAAAGAGAAGAAGGAAAAGAGGGAAAGTGTTGATTGAGGAATCCGGTCGAGTCAGAATCATCGGCGCCATCCGACATTCCATATGACATGAGCAATATCACGGGCCGTGTTGACAGTATCTACAATCCTGTAGATGAGGCCCGTATTGGTCTGCTCGCTGTCGTCGGCTGACAAGGGTGGCCGACCATGCCTGCCCAGCTCTTCTTCGTCTTCAACGTTCACAAACCAAGGACGACTTTGTTTTTCCGGGTCGAGCGGATACTGGCTCGACTCCCAGGTAGGATACAAGTCAGTGCCGTTGTCACCACAGTCATCGTCGTCGAGGAAGAAGTCTGCCGACGGATCCGAGTATTGAAGGGCTCTGGTGGAGCTGGACTGCGATGACGACGTCGAGAGGTAATCAGTCCACCGATCGATTAGGGAGCCCGCCGGGGGCTCGGGAGTATCGCCACGGTATTTGAGCGTAGTAGAAGGAAGAGGGGCAATGGTTTTGTTGTCTCCAGTTGAGCTAGTCCGCGCGGAGGTCTTCTCGACGTCCGAGGCTTGCGGAAATATTTGCTTCATCATAACCACCCCTTCGTCCGCAACCGAGTCATCTCCACCGGGAGTCGGCCATTCACCGTCATCTTCGTCGCCTTTAGCCTCGACGGCGATGCACTGCACGACTTCGTCGTTGAAGTGAATATGGCGCCTCTCGCTGGGTGACCCGATGCCAGACGACGCGTTCGTCAGGGTGTCCGCAGGTGAGTCCACGGACAAGTCATCGGTGGCGTAATGGTAGACAGGAGGGCGGTTGCGGCTTAGGGCCGCCTCCTGTGCCTTCAGGATCGCACCGGCATGCTGTAAAAGCGTGTGCTGTGACAAAGAGCGTTGTAAGATGGTCTCAGAGGCTGTCCTCTTTTTCAAAATGGGCTTCTTGTCTACATAGAACGTGGGCGTCTCAAAGCAGCTTGGCGGTGGCGAAGTGGTTGGCTTCTTACCGCCCGAGAATGTCTTCAACGGACCATAGAGCCAGGTCACATCGCAGTCCTTCAGCCTGCAACGACGGGTTAGGACGACAGCTGGTCGAGTATAGGGCGCAGAAACTCATCCGGGGTGATCAAGGTAAGGGGACTAACCAATTGAGGGTTTCAGGGGACACAGTCCCCAGCTCCAGTCTCATCTTCGCCCAAGTCCTCCAAGAAGCATTCTCCAACCTCACGCCGTTCTCATATACGCTTCTGCGGCCGGTCACATAACGCCAGGAGGCCCAGATGTCCTCCTCCTTCCATTCGTGGGACAGGTAATCCACGTGCCTCGAAGGCTCTTCCTCGATCGAATGGTCGTCTGCCGCCGGGGTCTGTAGCCTCCAACGGTGTATATCCACCAAGGAGCGTGTCGAGCTCACCGAGGAGCATTCGTCTTTGGAAGCACAATCAATTGCGTTGTACGAAGGAAGCACGACATCGTCATCTTGTTCATCGTTGACGTTGAGTGATAGACTACTGAGCGTTGTAGGCGAGGAAGCGAAGGGACGAGCGGTTGATTGGGTGAAATCAGGCGAGGATAAAATGGACGACGGGGCTGACGAGAGGATGGGACTTGGACAGTCCCTGGGGGGAAATGCTTGCATGGGAGATTTGACGGAAGGAACATTAGGACCATCTAGGAAGTATCGTTGGGCGACGGGGCAACGCAGAGGATCGGGCGAAAAGCGCGCATGCTCCTCTGGCGAGGTGGAAAGCACGGCAGCCATGATAACGAGGGCTGCAATATCATCGGAGGGAGAAGGCCTTGGTCCAAAAGGGGTTCAGCGGCCTCAGACTGGGTCGGGTTAGAAGAAAAGGGCAATATCAGGCCGAAAGGGAGGGTAGAAGATGGAGACAAAGGCTGAACATGACGATGTTCCCCGTGGGTAGAGACCAGAGAAGTAGGCGGGGAAGAAGGGGCTAGGTATATAGCAGATAAGATGCGAAGAGACTAACGGGAAATAATCGAGATAGAGTTCTCCGGAAGGCTCCTCTCTCGGTAGTAGGGAAATCCTCTCCGTAGTCCGAGCGTGAGACTAAGGGAATATTTCTTTTTCTAGTTTCTCTTTTTGCTTTGGCTTTCTCAGGCCGACGCAGGCGTAAGATAGAGGGATCCACCGTGCAAGTCGCGGATGCGACGCGATGATGAATCGGGGGAAGGCAAGCGGCGTAAAAGCAGGGATGAGGCCAATGGATGTCACGATAAAGATATGCCTCTAGCCGGTAAGGCGGGTCACCTTGGTGGCATTCCCCGTCACGGCGTTGGCGAGTTGTGATAGGAAGGCAGGAAGCCGGGGAAGAGGATGGACATCTGGAGGTAGGAGATAAAGAGACGATATGAACTGATGGTGCAACTAGTAGTAAGTGTAGGAGTGAGGGCAGATGGAATGAATTAGTTCGGGCCCTTAAAGGCGGTCGCCACCAGGAGGGATCCGTGGGGGGTGCAGATGGTGGAACTCTACCGTTTCATTATTTTCCTCGTTGATAAAATCATACTTCCTCGACTCCTTCCCGGAACGGCGACCGTGGTGGCTGCCTCGTCCGTGGACACTTACACTCGCCCCGCTCTAGATTCTCTTATTATGATGATTATTCCCTCGATTTCCCCTCTCCGCGACCGACATTTCTTTGTAGGGGAATTCCCCACTCGGAAAGTCTAGATTCTCGGGGATCCAAACCTTAAGCCCTGGTCGGATGCGGTAACAGTTGGGAACGAATAATGCCCCGGCCTCTTATCTCGAGGGAGTACACCGTACACTACACTTACTACTGCATATGCACGGACGTTGCGCTGCACAACAGGTTTTTAGTGCCGTTGGATTGGCCAGACCCGACTTGGACCTTCCTCCCTCCTCGCTCACTCACTCACTTACCTGGAATCTCCTCATCTGCCAGAAAGGTATGCATATAGAAATAAACATAAAATCAACAAAGAGGTACGTACTACGCAGCACCCACCAAGGGCCTGAGCGTCTAGAAGTTCGATGATCAGACTTCCAAGCGGCTAGAAGGCCTACGGGGAAGTCTTGGTATAATCCAATAAATCACTGGCATTTCGATATCAGTAATTACAATCGAGGGGAGGTGGCTTCCTGTTTCAGGCCTGCAGCGACTCAATCTTCGCATCCAAGGCATTTATCTTGTCGGCCTACTGCAAAGACGCCGGGGCCTCGACGGGGCCTCGACGGGGCCTCGACGGGGCCTCGGACAAGATAGCAAAAAGACGTGGCAAGTGGCAATTCAGGTTGAAAGAGCATGCTGCTAGAAGTCACAATCAAGACGCCGGCGGTAGTAACATCCATGCAATAGTTACGTTCACTGCTTGTAAACAACTCAATAATCATGCTGTTTGTATGTCCTTGCCCATGGGGGAGAAAGGGGGGTTCGTTGACAGCTCAGCAAGGAGATGCAGGAGCGGAACGGATCCCCTTCATTCTTTGCTGTTGGGTTAGAGAGGTCCGGTCACTCTCTTCCAGGATGGCTTGCAGATCCCGTCAACGTTCTGCATTACGATATATTCTTGAGGTGGGGGAGGGGCTTTGTTGCTGCCACTTACCTAGCATCAAACTGTTAAATTAGAAAGGGATTATTTCGTAATGCGATCGCAACCCCTGTTCAGCTCTCCCGGAATGTTCCGGAGGCGCAAAGGTCCTTTTGACTTCGCCCCCATAGATATGCCCATTTGTCTCATCTCACCTTGTCCGATCCGTCTGAGCCGCGAGAGTGGTGCGGCAACGTCCAGGGCTCCGCAGGGCCGCTCGATGGGTACAGTACGCGCACAGCATGCGTATGTCAAAGGGCATGGCATATGCAGAGCCCGTGCTCGGGGCGACTGTCGCCTCAAGGATTGGAAAATCCCAAGCGCACGACAACGGCGGAATTGTTTGTTACCGATGCCCGTGCTCCTGCACCGACCCGCAGCCACTGATACCGGCGTGGGCTCCTTCATTGGCTACCATCAACTGTCAGTGGTACTACACCACGATGATGATGATGTGATTAGTAGTTTGAATGGAGCGAATGGACTCAAAGAACGCAACTCGGAAGCTCGCCTCGTCGAATCCCGGCTTGTATCCTTGCCTAGCAAGCAATCGTGAAATGCCTGGCAGATAATCTAATGCAAAGAAACGTTCACCCATTCCTTTGACACAAGGCCAATGGCGAGGGTCTAGAACAGGTTGGCGTCGAGGTTGTTACCTGATCGTATTCAATCAGTAGGGGCTTGGCCGGCGCGTCGGCATCTCCCAGGTATCCCAATAATAGAGTCCTACCAATCCGCTCACTTGCCCCTCTGATTCATGCCCTCGAGATAAGTTCCCGATACCATTGGCTATCAATCACCGCATGGTGAGTAGGTACGATCGGCCTAGAGAATGCGTGTCAAGTGTAAAACTTACACGGTGGTCAACGTAGGGGTACGGGCTGGATCCGTGGGAGGAATTGCTACAAAATCCAGCCCGCTCTCACCTCTTCTACCTAGACCAGACGGCCAGGTGCTGCGTCACGTGATGGGCATCCGTTATCGCGACTCGGCAATACTGCACTTCCGGCCCCGCAGCGTATCGTTATCGGGTGACCCAACCTGCCTCTGTTGCGCCCACCAGAGCTTTTTCGTCCGTCATTTGCGCATCCCCTAGAAGAGCTTGCAAGCCGAAAAGAGGAGCTCACAATGGCTGAGGTACTACAGCCAACCCCTGCCGAATCCCAGGCAAAGCATGTTGTTTACTGCGGTGGTGAGTCTCGTTAGCCTACGTAACACGGCGAACGATACCCCTCGTCTGGAACCTCGAAGCCTTACTAAATCTTTCGAGAACAGTTTGCACATTGCCTGCAGAGGTATGAGTCCTACATTCAGAGGCCATCGTCTCATTCGACCTTCTTCGACGCATAACGAATCCCACAAGCGGAGGCTGGCGGGGGAGCATGTTCGGCTGACTGGCAAATCATAGTATTGTGAATTTGGTGGCACCGCAAAGAAATGCGAGGAATGGCTGAAAGATAACCACCCGGATATGTACCAGCAACTATATTCCGAGGGTATGTTGAGGGCCGAGGCGGGGGTGAGTGAAGAGCAGACAAAGGGAACTAACAAATTGTGCAGAAGCCCTTAGTTCGAATCTGTCCAACCTTTCGGTATCTGTCCGTGAGCGTGCAGCCAAAGATGCTGCCAAGAAGGAGGCAAAGGCTGCTTTAGCAGAAGCCCGGGACGCCGAGCGAAAGGCGGCTTCTAAAGTTCTTATCAAACGAGTTGAGCGCAACAAACGCAAGCATGTCAGTGTGATCACCGGGCTAGAGGTATACGGTCTAGAAAACAAGAAGATCGCCAAGGAACTCGGCAAGAAGTTTGCGACTGGCTCTTCAGTGACAAAATCCGCCGCCGGAACCGAGGAGATCACGGTGCAGGGTGATGTGAGCGACGACGTCAAAGACTGGTTGTTGGAGGTGTACGGGAAAGAAATTCCAGAAGCGAATATTGAGCTTATCGAGGACAAAAAGAAGAAGGGGGGAAGCTAATCAAAACATAATAAATTAGGAATGACTGTCCGTGCATAAGCAAGCAAGGAACAGTCCAATATTTTTTTGACGCGGGGGTATCATGACGCTATATGTTACAGATAAAATTGATAGAAACTCGGTGATTTCCGACTTGAAGTTGATGGGTCCCAAGGGAGCACACGGTACAGCCGTGTACGATGCCAATCAGAGCTCTTCCAGGAATTTCAGGGGATCTCGATCGGTCGGCTGCACACCCCCGGCTGCGACATTAGAAGTGGCCGTATTGGCTGACCGAGATGATTGGCGATTTTGGACATCTGAATATCGATCATTCAGTCCGGGCGGATACAAGGACCATGAAGGACCGCCCTCATTCCCATGATGTAGAGGGCGCGACGAGTTGAGGGCTGGTATCGCCGTCGTACCTGGGCCTCCAGACGCCGATGACTCCACGCTCCAGCTTTGGGCAACCAAAGCAACAAGCACGGCGACGCACGCGGTTGTCACCACGATCCAGAAAATTCGAAGACCTCGGTTGATTCGTCTTTGGCATTCCACCTCCCTCTTCTCCCAGCAATCAATCCTGGTTCTCATCACTTCAAGCCTTTCATTCAGGGCGTCGGCCCTCGTCCTTCCCGCCTTCATACGTTGTTCCAAAGCCTCGACTTTTTGTACCTGAGGTCGGAACTCTTTGAACTCCAATATCTGCTTCTGGATTTCCTGGCCCAAGTTCTTGGTCTCCTTCTCAAAGTCATCGAAGAGTGCTGAAGTAGATTCGAATAGTTCTTGAAATGAAGCGATCGTGGAGGTGAGGGCCGCGATCTTCTCCAGTAGATTGTAGTACGTATAGTCTAGTCGACGAGTGATGTCTGTCGCAAGGGTTCCGATCAATGACAGGGCGGAGCGTAAGAATCTATCAATAGCCGGATCAGAATGGCTCAGGTGCACACATAAGAATTGACGGGACTTACTTTTCACCAAGGGTCCTTCTCTCGGTTAACATTTCCAAATCCTCCATCGAACGAATCTCCCGTCCTCTCACCGGGCCAAGTTTGCTATTCTGGTCGATATTATCAAATAAGCTTCCTTTCCTAGCACCAACGCCGAAGCCCGCAGGGTATTCAGATCCGTAGCCTGATCGCGTCGATTCCCGCGTGATAGGCCGAAGCAGGGCGTCATCCATGTCGCTCTCTTTCTCTCTACCGCTTGGCCATGCCGGCAGCAGGCCTCTTGCAGCAGATGAAGCACTCATCGGGTTCATAATTCGAGGTAGACGGCCATCCCGCGACTTGCTGTGCTTGTGCTTGTGGCGTGTCCTCAGTCTGGTACGCTCTAAACTGCTGGGATCAAAGACCAAATGACGAAATGGGGACTTGTCCCCCGCCGCGTCATGGTGGTCGGCACGAGTACGGTGCTCCTCCAAGCCTTCGCGGTCATGATTGGGGGGCAAAGCTGGGTGCTCCAGTCTGTGGGCATGATCACCCCCGCTATTTACTGCAAACGGTTCGCCGGCGACGGTGGGTTTTTGGCTCCCAGCAGTGGCAGAACCGTGGCTGGGAGGGCAAGGGGCCGTTGATTGCTTGGCTGGGGAAAAGACCGCAGGCAACGACGACCGGGTTGAATGCTCCATTTTAGGGCATACCGCATAATCAGTCGGGAGTTGTATTATTGTAAATTCTTGATTCCCAGGGCTAAGAGGTAAGGGGAATCCCGATGTTGTCCAGGACGGGGGGCCGAGGCTGAGAGGTTGAGGAATGACGCCAAGACTGGCCATGGCACCTGAGCTAATTTAGTCTGCCTACCCACGCGGTGATCTTGACAATTATATATATTTACATGCTCCGTGTGTCTAATGTATCCCCTTACACGCGCACGCAAGAAGACACCTACTTGTATCGCATGGGCGTCCCTACAGGTCTATGGACACCCACAATGCTCCCTGCAGGCGACATAAATGTCCAATAGTACGTCAGAACTGTGAGAGAAAGATGGAGAAATAATGCATCGTAAATGGCAAGAAATGTAGAGAAAGAGAGACCATAGCCAACCAACTCCTGTAATCGCCTATGAAGAAACTGTACTGCATGCCTCGATAATCGAGTCCCCCGCTCCAAGATCGCATTTGTTGAACCGAAGGGGACAAATAAAGGTTTGAGTGTAGAAGCCGGAAGGGGTATGTTTTTCTCTCGTCGGGAGAGAGTCATCTGAAAAAATCATGACAACGGGCCAACGGTAAGTTGGAGTATGAAAGAAAACCAAGAACGCATAAGGACACAGGTCTTGCGCATCTAAGAGTTGAGAAGCTTGTTGCGCTTTTCTCTCCGCTTCAGTCGCTCGACTCTCTTGTGGTGCATCTTCTGTGCCATCTTTTCGTAGCGCTCCTTCTCCTCCTTTGCAGCCCGACGATCTCTGATCCGTTGGATATGTGCCTACGGAGCATGGTTAGCGAAACCGGCCAGATCGAACAATTTGCTGATAATGAGAGCCGTCTCATTACCTTTCTCTCCGCCTCTTTTTCTTCCCTCAGTTCTTTTTCATGTTCCTTGACAGCCTCCTGATGCTTGCGTGCCTCCAGCCTCTTCGCGTACGAGGTCATGCCGCTAGTAGGGCGAAACGGCTTCTTGGTGTCATGCCAGTTTTTTCCTGCGGGTCCGAAACAGGTGAAAAATTAGCTAAAATAGGACAATCGTACGGAGTAATGAATCAAGACAGCAGGGAACGTTGTCAAATAAAGTGGGGGGGAAAGGGAAAATTTTTCTTTTAATTTCTCACCATTTTTCCGCATGCCTTTCACGGGTTCGGAGGACGACATGTCGGCGTAATAAATGCGAAAGAGGGGGGGGGAGGTTGAAGGATGAGACTGGGGGAAGAGAAGATTAAAAAGCTTTCTCTCTGTCTCTGTCTTTTTTTTTTTTTTCCCACCTCAAGTCACTCACTCTTTTCCTCTTTTTCTCCGGAAAAAGTTATCTTAGACCGATCAGATAACCGGATCTCGGCAGAAGTGGTGACCCGGCGCCCCCGTTCCGGGCATCAGCGCATGAGGGATTTGCCAGCGTTGATTCTGACGGGTCCCTTTCTTCTGCTAAATTGTCGCAAACCCACCCGCTAACTATTCTCCCTTATCCCGGGCCTCGACCACTGGGAATCTTACAAGCGATGCGCACTTAAATTATTATTTCTTGATTATTGAGTTCACCCTGCGTGGATCGGGCACAACCAGACAAACCCCTCATCGGCACACCGCCCCTCCACAAGGGGAAACCGACCATAAAAGACTTCCTTTCCTCCGCCAGCAGACAGGATCGATACGATGTTCTACCGATAGACTCCTAAATTTCCTTCTCCCCCTTCTTCTCTTCGCTTCGCTTCCCTCATCTTGGTACGATTGTCTACATACCTGTTACTTCCTCCTAGACCAATCCAAGAGTCCGGACACTCTCGGCCTCGATGGCGACCACTGAACATGCGATAGCAATCAGTAATGACATGTCGATGGAACTCCCTACCCTTCCCCCTAACCAGGGCCTTGAAGCTCTGAAGGATGTGGTGTTTGGTTCGGTAAGCTCAACGAATCTTTGCTTTGAGGAGCTTTTGGACCTCCCAGGTGATCCCGAACTAACAACCAATCTCCAGGCCGCTGGCATGGCAGGCAAGGTCATAGAGTACCCCTTCGACACCGTCAAAGTACGACTACAATCACAACCGGATCATCTCCCCCTGCGATACAACGGCCCTCTGGATTGTTTCCGTCAATCGATTCAAGCCGATGGATTCCGTGGACTATACCGGGGCATAAGTGCCCCCATGGCGGGTGCCGCTATAGAAAACAGCTGCCTCTTCTGGAGCTATCGCATGATTCAAGACATACTCAGGGCAACTTGCTACAGCTCGACGGACCCGCTGCCTTTCTCCGCTTTGCTGTTTAGTGGAGCTGCGTCGGGCTCCATCACCTCGCTTGCGTTGACACCCGTCGAACTCATCAAATGTAAGATGCAGGTTCCTGTGGAGGGCACAGGCGGTCAAGCGCCTAGACCGCTCACTCTTATTGCGTCTATATTCCGCCAAGACGGTATCATGGGGTTCTGGCGCGGTCAGATGGGAACCCTCATTCGCGAAACAGGCGGAGGCGCTGCCTGGTTTGGCGGCTACGAGGGGGTATCTGCCATGTTCCGCGCATACTCAGTGCCGCCTTCAAAAGGTGAACTGTCCGAAACGGACGAGGCGCGTCTTCCACTGTATCAACAAATGATCGCGGGCGCAGCGGCAGGGATCAGCTACAACTTTCTGTTCTATCCTGCCGATACAATCAAGTCTCGGATGCAAACGGAAGACATCACCCGTTCCACGATCAACGGGAAGCGACAAACCTTTTGGGGCGCTGCCAGGTCTCTCTGGAACCAGCAAGGAATCCGAGCCTTGTATCGAGGCTGCGGGATAACATGCGCACGATCGGCACCAAGCTCAGCATTCATCTTCACCGTATATGAAGGCTTGCGGAATTACTTCGGATGACCTTTTCCTTTTGCACAAATTTGTTTTACCCTGTCTCCATCTTCCATGTTCCTCTCTTTTTGGTTTTTTGTTATGAGATACCTATTGTTTTTGCGTTAGATATAGATTTCGCTTTTGTTTCATTTCTTCATTGAATCTCCTACTTTGGTTTAAGACTTATTTGGGAAAGAATTCATGTTCTCGGCATTTTTTCGTTTGCGTAGAGGTCTTGTCCGTCGGAACTTGAGATAGGAGGAGTGCGATGCGGGGAAAAAGTTTTGGGCTAGCGAATTATCGCTGTACATAAATAGATAAGGAATCTTCCTTGGGACTTTACCTACCCCTCCTTCCAACTCCATTCCCACGCTTTCGAATCTTCCGTTTTGTCTTCTATCCTCACGCCAACCAGTTATCCAGTAGTAAGAATGGCTTCTGGTGCTCCGATCCTTTCTGCAGAGGAGCTGCAGACTCTATCGTCGAAAGCTATTGCGGCCAAAGCCACCGCGTACTGTGAGTTACCATGGGCTGCATAAAGCAACGGCACAGTCGCTAATCCTCCCCGCAGGCCCTTATTCCCAATTTCGCGTGGGAGCATGCATCCTGACCCAGTCAGGCGAGTACATTTCGGGTGCTAATGTCGAAAATGCCGCATATCCCGTGGGCACATGTGCCGAACGAGTAGCGTTTGGAACGGCCGTTGTAAGCAGCAAGCGCGATTCCAGGCTTATGATTTTTGTCTCCTTATCCCGGATACTAACTTGTGTGTACAGGTTGCCGGTCATCGGGCTTTCAAAGCCATTGCCGTTGCGACGGATACAAAGACTGCAGCATCCCCGTGCGGCATGTGCAGACAATTGTATGTAATATTGTCGGCCTTGTTCCCGAATGTTCTTCCCCTCTCCTCTAGTGTTTCTCTTTTTTCAATTGAGGGCTTGGTCCTTGGCGTGGCTAATCTATTTGGGATCCTATGATCAGCATGAGCGAGTTCACTGGCCCTTCTTTCCCGATCTATATGTACGATGGAAAGGGCAACCATGATGTTACGACAATGAACGAGGTAGGAAGCTTTCTTCATCATTTAGACCACCTCTTTCAGACAGGACTTGGGGCGCTAACTGGAGTTGATGTTTCTTTGCAGCTCCTTCCCAGATCCTTTGGACCCGGCGACTTTCCCGGTAAAGAAACGCAATAGCCAACCTCATTGTGAGGAAGCTCTCTCTCCCGGGATAACCACTCTAGAGGAAAGCCGCTCCAGGCTATGTTACCTAACAGATAGGTTGTAAAGGGGAGCGGATGTTTGAGTGTCCCAGCACAAGCTCGTTTTGTACAGCATCTGCGGCAATGATTGATATAAGGAACAGAGCCCCTCACATCCGAACAAGCCAGGCGCACTCGTTTTCCTCCAATGACTCCCAGATTTACAAGGTGTTAGCTCGAGAATTTTTTGGGCCTAATAATCCACTGTTGTTACATTCAAACCAAACAGAATATGGTTATCAAGCTATCTCATTTTCTACCTGTCTAACAAATTGTGCCTCCGCTGCCCAAAACACGAAAAAGGGAAAAAAAAGAAAAGCAAAGGAGAGACTAGCTGGTAACTAACCCGACAGTGATTGCAAGCGGCGTGCAACAGTATACAAAATGTGATTATCCTCGTAAAATCCTCAACATGTTAAATCGTAGACTTAATGGGAATGCGTAAAAGAAAGGAGCCGTGGGGAGTACAACGTGATCAGTGCACGGACTCATCATCCTCATCGGCATCTTCGACACCGAGAAGCTCATCTTCATCATCGACAACACTGGTGTAGTCGCCTCGACGAGCGGCGAACGAACCACGGGATGCATATGGCCTGGAATAGCCTCTGGCTCTGCCAAGTCCTATGCGTCCACTCACGCTCCGCCACAAGCTCACGGCAAGCAGCGGAAGAGCTCTTGCGACGGCAACCACCCCTGCAATAACCGCGATTGGCACGGTGACCAGGAGAGAGTCTCGCGATAATAGACTTTGGGCAGTGCCGCCAGTTTCCCCGAGGCGAATCTGACCGAACTTGCCATCCCACCTGGTATACACGTAATATCCAACTGCACCCGCGACTGCGATGGGGGTAATTATCGCAAAGAATAAACCAACTCCGCTGATGCCATGCTTTTTCTCGTACTCTTCCTCCTTGTTGGGACAGGGTTTCGAAACGACATGATCTAGATTCCTGCCACCCTCACAGGTCGTTTGGGGGATACGCCGATACCCAGTAGGCTCCCAGTATTCAATCATATCAGGGTCATTCTTACAGACAGCCATCGCGTCCGGTTTCGAGAGTCCAGGGACAAGGGCACATGTGCCATCGGTCTGGGGTTCATAATTATAGTCACTGCGCCCTGTCAGCTTTCCTCTGAGAGGCAATTATATACGGGCAACACTCACCATTCGTAATCAGATTCTCTAGTGCACGGACAGTTCATGCCGATCCGGTGAACGTGAGGCTCGCGCCAGTTATTCCAGCATTGAGCCGAGTGTTTCTTGCGATGGTACTGCTCAACATGGCCGAATATGCAATTTTTCTCCTGGAAAGGGTGCTTGGGCTCCCAGATAGAGTAGTCTTCACTCTCATCCTGATTCTCGTCCAATTTGCATGCTCTGGAGCGCAGGGCACTGAAATCGATGTTGATCGTGAGCAGCTTGCTATGTGACTGGTCCTGCAAGGTTCTACCCCAAAGAAGGAAATTCTTTGACGTGTCCGAAGGCACAGTTGAGATATCGTCAATCTGCACGTCCACGTCCGCAAAAACGAATTCCTCCCAATTATCACCTTCATCGACGCTGTAGAAAAGTGACTTGGTTGGTCTGGACTCCGGGACAATTACAATCACTGAGCCAGAGTCACCATATTCCCACATATACCTCCCTTTCTTCACGGACCTCCAGGAAATCCCCCCATCACTTGTCATGAAAGTATCGACTTCGTCACCGCCAGTCAAATGATCACCCACGTTACCTACCCCCATCATAAGGCCTATTGCAGAACCGGACGAGAATGTGTCACGTTCATCTCTTCGCTCAGTATAGCCATGAAGGTGGAGTGAACAGTCATTGGTGCCTTTTCCAGTCGAAACAGCACAGCCAAAGTTCTTGCCGTCTGCATCTTTGGATGGAGGAGGAAGCAGCATCCATTGTGCTCCATCGTTATGGGTTATCATCGTCTTCAGCTTCTTCTTTTCGGCATTCTTGGATACCGCATCGACGTTGCTAACCACGTTCACGACTGCCACCCCTTCCAAGCCTTGCATCTTTTCGAAGTCCGCAAAGCCTTCGTGGTTCCGGTTCACTCCACTTAAGCTCAGTACATAGAAGGTGCCATTGCTATTGCTCTTGATCATGGGCCCGTACTCTGCCCCTTCTATGTTGCTGGCCGTGACGTGCAGGAAGACCGCGTGCGTGGAGCTCTCAAGGACAGTATAGGCAGTCTGAACCGGCACTTGGACGTTGGGAGGGAACTGTGCTTTCGCAAAGGTTTTCCCGTCCACACTAACGCTTGCCACTAGAGACTCTGCGTTCTCCGAGTTCCGCGATGCTACCACGATAAATTCAGACATGGTGGCGTAGTTGATGACATCCTCGACTTGGACGGTATAGTCGGAAAATTGGTTGGTTGTGGATAAGAGCCGAAGTCGGTTCTTCTTGTTCTCATTTTCGTACTGTTCACAGAAGATGAGGTTTTCGCTTTCTGGGCGGCCTTCTCTGTTTTCAAATTCGCACTTCTGAACATAACGGAGAAGAAGTTTCCATTCACCACCCCGATTTTCGCTGAACCAAGCATCAGAATGGCAATCACCAGAGCCGCAATCCACTGCACCTGTCCAAATCAACCAATCTTTGTATCGAGGATGAAATGAAAGTGGGGAGATGAAGCGCTCTTGAGTCGGCGGAGCTGCTGCTTTGAAAGGCTTGAAGGAGTGCCCGCGATCTACGGTCCAAAAGCCATCCGCACCCTCGCTGAGAAAGAAGGCCGCATCGCTGTTGTAAGGATGAAGAATGACTCTCGTGATCTTCTTTCCCTCTAGGGCTCGCTCCCAGTTCTTGCCATGGTCATGCGAAACGTAAAGTTCGTGATCACTGGTAAGTACGAGGACAGTCTCATCATCTCCAGAGCTGCTTGACTGACGTTCCATATAATAATATGCAAATTGTCCTGTGTCAAATTCCTTCTTGGTTGCCAGGATGCCGCCCGTCGGAGCGCTATGCGTTTCATTACAAGGCCGTTCAATATCCTTGTCCAAGTTCTCGCCGCCATCTCGAACACAAGCATTTCCAGGGATAAGTCTCCAGCCGGATGGCCCCAGAAACGTATCGCCTGGCTCCTGACATTTGCCTTCCGGAACCTTTGATGACTTGGGGAGGAAACAGCCCTGGCCATTCTTGCTGGGCTTGATTTCACATTCGAAGTCACTGGCGGTGCACTTGCATGGCTTGAATATAGGCTCGGGGTCTTTGAACTTTTCATCCACAAAGCAGTCTGCATTGGCCTTGCGTCGCCTGAAAAACTGCTTCTGACCCATGAGACAATCGGGCTCCCCGTTCTCATCCAATCTAGCCGTCCATTCTTCAAAATCATCTTTGTCGCATTTCCTTTCATGCAATCCGCTGAAATCGATCGAGTAGATGACATGTTTCCTTTTCTTGTGCTCCTTCTCGTTTGAGGTGCCGACAAGAATGAATTTGAGGCTTGTCGAATCTGGGGTTGTCGTGACCATTTCAGGGTAGATTTCATGTTCGAGTTCAACCGACTCCCACTCCTTTCCATGGTCGATCGAGAACCGGATTTTCTTGGCTGATTTGTCTTCACCAACGGCCATTACAACAGCACCCTGATCTCCAAATTCGTACTTATGTGGGCCTTCCAGTGCAAACCGCCACGTCACACCAGCATCATCCGAAACGTAAAGGTCCCCTTTAGTATACTCGCCGAGGTGAGAACCAGTATTGCCAATACCCATAACCAGGCCAGGGGCTGGGCTGGAAAAAACACGGCCAATGTTCGCATAGGCGGTCACAGAATGGAGATGCAGGTCTTTGTCTTCAACTTTAAGAGGGCCAAACGTCCTTCCGTCATCGAAACTAATCTTACTAGCAAGTTTCTTGTCGGAAGCAGATTCGACCTCTTCCGGGTTCTTCACGACGTTCACTAGCACGATACCTTGAATATTGGCAATTTTCTCAAAGTCAACCGTACCTCCCGAGTCACGGTTCGTATGCTCGATATTGCGGGTAAAATAGGTTCCTTCCGAATTGGAGGTAAAAAGTACGCCCATGCCCTGCATGGGGTTGGTCAAAACATCCACCTGAAGGCTATAATTAGTGCTTTCTAACATCGTGTAGGCATCTTCTTCGATGCGATGACCGTTGAACTCTGCACGATGCCAAACTTTACTATCGATAGTTGTGTACAAGGCGAGTTCCTCGGTTCCCTTAGATTTGACGGCCGCGACAATGAACTTTTTCACCGCTGCGGTGCTGATGACGCCCAGGACAGGTCGTCCTTCCTGCAGCTTAACCTCAGTGCCTTCGATATCGCTGCCGAAGTAATCGTCCGAGTATATAAGTCTGTTGGCGTGTGAGAAGGGCACTTTCAACCCCGGCACGACACAAAGCGATCGGTTCTCGATCTCATGTGCTATATCCAAGTTTTCGGCGAACTGGGGATGTCCTATCGCCCAGGCACACCCGCCGATACTTTCCCGCAGAGGCTTAACTGAGGCGAAGTCGTCCGTGGTATAATAGGACTTCACTATGCAGTATCGTCCGGCGCACTCTTCAGTTTGGAATATTACTTTGCTTGTGTCTCGGCCATGGAATACAAGGGGATAATGGTTCACGGCGGCGATCCCTTCGGCTTCGAATGAGGTCCAACTTTTAGCCTGATCGGTTGTGACCCAATGGCGTTTACTCGCACTTATCGCGTAGGCCTTGTTCTTATCGAATGGGTGTTGTCGAATGAGAACAACGCTGCGTTCCATTTCGCCATTGTCCCCCTTTACTATTTCCCATTTCTCGCCACCATCGACAGTCTGGAGCAAATTGCCATCTAGCGTATTCAATAGGGCCGTCTCGGTGTCTTCGAAATAGAACAAGGACGCAGGCTGATGGTCAAGCTCGGTCGCGGTGATCTTGGGTTTGTTTGACTTTTTCGTAGCGGCAGGCTGCGTTAGGATTGCAAGTCCAAGGCAGCTCAGCCATAGCCATCGTAAGATCATGGTCGCGAGTTATGCCACATTTGAAGCGATGGGCGGAAGGAGCTCTGAACGGTCGGGCCAAGGGGAGCAATTACGATCGAGACAGGTTGCAGATGATTCCGGAGAAGACCAGGTTGCCAGGCGAACTTATCGATGGTGAAGCTTGTGTGAAAGATGTGGGAGAACTGCGGTTAGAAAGCTTGTGGGTGACTATGCAGAAGCCTAACTACTTCCCAGGGTCGACAGCTGCGTGGCCTCATAGGTAGCTCACGGTCACGTGCTACCGTGGCTGCTTATCGGAAGACGAACATCTGTCAAGCTATGTACATAACTACGCCGTTCGCAGCGCAAACCGAGTCTCAGTGCTCAACAAAGAGGCCACCGGGTTCGTTCTACTGGTACAAGGTACACAACAAGTAGGTATTCATCATCTTTTTTGTTTGACTTGGTTTGGTCGTTATCATTTCATTTATTACTCATGTTCAAAATTCCATGGCACGTGAATGAAGGGAGGATCAGAAGGAAGAAAAGCATAGACATGGTATCTAAATTATCTATCTAGTAATTTCGTCGCCGCAGTGTTCGCCAGACTTTCCTCACTAAACCTCGTTCATTCATACCAGATTCCCATATCGGAGGGTCAAAATTGTCTGGCGACAGTCGATTTAATTCCGGAGTAGCTGAGTCCGTACGCAGATCAGGTCGTGTCAGTGTCATTTTCAAGGTCATCTCGCGATTACCCGGCCTTCTCCGATGGCTGTTATCTGACCTTAGCAGCCATTGCCGTCGGTTGTTGTTAAATGGCAGGGTTGTTTGTTGGCTTTGAGCATACCGTGTACTCGTAGATGCTCGAGGACTGTTTTGTTCTTTCCTGGACTCCACACCCGAGAATGCCGTGCCTTCTTCGAAGAATGTCCCATCGTCTGGGTTTTGGATTCTCGGTTGCGCGAACTCTCTCACGGGATTCAGCCCTTCTCTTTTCCATGTCGGAAACCCAAACTCAACGGCTTCGTCGAACTTTTGCGGAGATGCCAGGTAGACTCTCAACTTGAGACGGGCCTCTGGGTCCTGGTAATATTGCGCCGATGGGTCAATGCTTGAGGTAGAAGAGTGAGAGTTATGATGAAATTGGCTTCGGGGGGAATGGGGCTCCGAATCAAGGGTCGGGGTCGTCATATTTGCCTCGGATGCTGCAGAGGACTGGCTGGGATTGGGAGAGCTGTGCACGGTCGACAATGGCCTGAAACCTGACTTGGATGAATATTCTGTTAAAGTTCGGCGGAACGACAAGCTTCTTCTAGTGGGAGATCTCGATGGCGAATCCATAACGTGAGCATGGTACTCTATGGCCAAATCAAGATCTTCATCCTCATCAAGCCTCCCAGTAGGGGCAGAGCGAGTGTGGCCCATGTGGTCCATTTCGTTATACAAGTCAACATCAGACGTATCGGTACGAAGGGTAGATGATTGTGAAATCGCAGATGTTTCGGTCAACTCCGACATTCGCCGTGTCTTTCCCAATCTGAAAAGTGCTTCGTCGGCGGCGTCAAAGACCTCGTCCGTGCAACAAATCTGGTGAAGGCGATCCCGCTCTTCATTCGAGAAGCAGCTTTGTTGGATCTTAGGGGGAAGTGAGTGAAAACATTGCCAGTCTGGACAAGCCGCGAGAAAGGCCGCTTGGGACATCGACGTGTGATGGGGGTTTCTTGAGGTACCCGGGTAGAGTACCCTTTTCAAGGATACCTTCTTATGGATAGACTGGTCGCAAGCTGGCAAGCAGGGCCGATCCCAAAGAAACTGGAATTCCCGGTAAGGCAGCTTGGCGAGGTTTGACTGGTGATCCAAGCCATGGCAGCAATCACCCTGAGCAAGGCGCAACAATTCTGCGTTCGAGAAAAGCTAACCAGAACCAAAGATAGGGGACAAAGTTAGCAATCATCATAAAGTTTGATGAACTCATGGGATGAGGGGGAGTCATTTCCTAAAAACAAAGCAAGCCTGCGCCATGAGTTGATAGTTGATGGACCGGCTCCAGTAGTGCCGGCAATAGCGGGTTCCACTACTCCGTACACGGTGTAGTAGTCTTCCGCTGCTAAAATGTTTAGTGGCTCCCACTTGCAGTCTAAGCAGTGAAAATTGCACAAAGAACTTTCCAACCCACACGGGTACGTACTCAAATGGTATCGACATGAAGTATATGTCTTGCCGATAGCCAAGAAAATGAGCTCGATTCCGCGTTACCACAGCCCAATACGACTCATGGCCCTCAACTTCAGGCAGGACAAAGGAACAGTGGCGCAGGAAGCCAAAATCGGCGGGTACACTCACTTTGCGACGTACTGCTGGGGGCAAGGAGTTGATTACAACTCGCTCCCTTGGAGTGCAAAAGCCCATGGTTGACGTCCTTTCGCCTTGTAAATTTGATTTATCGACGAGGTCCAAGCAAGCAAACGCTTGTTGTGGCACCTTGAGCAGGGTCGCTAAGACCAAAAAAGAAAGAGGGGAAGAACGAAAAGAACGAAGCAAAGGAAAAAGAATGGATGGCCTATTCCTAAAAACCATCAGGAGAGCAAAGGGTCTTAATATGGCCTCTGCGGGCGCAGCGTGCAGCCCCGGACTCGCTCCCAGCTCGCTAACCCCCCAAGGCAATGAATGCCTAAGGAGCCATTATTCGCTGGTCAATGGGTTGAGGGGAGATGTGGCGCTTTCCATCTCGGGCCTTCCTTGTGTGATCTTGGATGCAGGAACAAATAATTGGGTTGCTCGTCACGTCAGTGGGATATATAGAAACGCAGGGCCTCGGCACTAGCCTCATACTTGGCCAATGGGTGGTGGCCAACGACGCTGACAGCTCATCACTTAGCCGCCAGCCCAAGCCAAGCGGCTACTAGCTAGTTCCCCGAGTCTTGGGGGAAAGATAGCGGGCACGTTCCCTTGCCCCTTCTTGGTGGTTCTCACGAGGGATTTGGTATCAAATTAATTGGCACACACCGATGCCTCGTAGAGGGCGTTGATTGGGGCTCGAATAGTGCCGCCACCCCCTTACTCAGTACCTAAGCAGAACGTCAATAGTTCCCCAGTCCATTGATATTCGCCTTGGCAGACTTGGATTGTACTGCCTGCCTGTCCCAGGTTAGGAGGTATAACGTCGTCAACGAACAACAGGCCTAAGGTGGCCCGTACGCAGGATACCCCTATCCATATTATAGAGAAAAGAGAGAAAGAGAGATGCTAGAGATATCTACCTAGGCAAAGTAGGCAGTTTCAGGGGGTAACTAGTGACTACCCATCTGGCATTATCATGTATGTAGTCGTGATGAGAGTGAAAGACTGCTTTCTACAGCGTGTTGAGCACGTTCTGCATGGCGGGCGTGTTGGAATCCTCCCGGCGCGAGACGTATGCTCGGACCTCGTGCACGCCGAGACCCTCGGGACTTCCGCCGGCGCTTCGACCGGCGTTGCTGCTTCCAGTCACTCCAGACCTGCCGCCGGTCCCGCTCGTAGCACTACCGCGGACTTTCTCGCGTAGGGCCTCAGATCCGACGACGAAAAGACTGCCCACCTCTAGCAATACATCCAGTGCCCCACTGGGAGCTTTGAGCTGCTCGTCTATGTCCCAAGACTTCAGTAGGTCGTTGTACTGTGTCATATCCTTGGTCACCAGAAGACCTCCCGGCCCGTTGACGGAAAATCGTTTGAAATGCTCAAGTAGCAAGCTGCGAACTCCCAGGGCTATCTCTGTGAGCAATTGGCGGAGGTTAGTGCCACTAGACGGCAGTGACTGCACGATGACACTATGCACTCGAGCTAAGAAGCTACAGATCGAGGCGCAGGTCTAGAGTTCCATTAATCTTGTTTTCTACCGTTCTGGTCAGGCCGTAGGGAACTTACCGGAGTTTGCAGCTTTTCTAACCATGCAGCATTATCTCCTTCCTTTGGTCGAAAGTCGTTTTTCTTTTGGCCGGACAAGAGTTTGTTTATCCAGGTCAATGTTGCATCGATGGTCTTCTGCTCGATTGTATTGACTTTGTCCTCAATGCGCACTGTTATCAGGTTTGTCTTTTTCTCCATTTCTCTACGCACGGTGATGCTTCCGGCCGCGAGAGGAATAAGTAATGTGTTGACACACATGATCATCAGATTCGCAATTCCGATGGCGTTCCTAACCGCAGAAAGATAGACGAAATCGGGCTCCGCTTTCCCTGATTCTTGGGACGTCGCAGTTTCCAAGGCAGCGTCGAGACAAACTTCGATGTACCCTTCCCCCATCATGGAAAGAAGAAGACTAAGCAACGCAAGCATATCCTTGGGCGTTTCACTTGTAACACTTAACTCCAACCCTCGGCCAACTCCTTCAGCAAGCCATTTGAGCATGCGTTTAGCGTAGGCTATGCTAGGAAGACCGTCATCCTCAACAAGTTTGACATCAGTGGGCTTCGTGGCATCGCCGGACTCTCTTAGTCCTGCCACCTGAAGGAGCATTTTCCTATGCGTTGGCGAGAATTCAGAGGTTTCAAGGCGGTTAATATAAGTGTCTCGAGCGGAAGACAGAAGTTCTGTTCCGGACTTAGAGAGGGAAGCCATGAACGTTGTCGCTGCCTTTTTCCTACGGGCGTGGAAAGTGGTAAATCTGAAGAGTAGAGATGTATATAGCTCTTCCAGCGTCTTTTTCTCCCTTTCGATGTAGGAGGACCCAACAAAATACGGCACGAACAGGTCTTCTAGTTGTTGGTCAAGAACCAGCGCCGTCTGAGCGGAGATAGGATCCGGGTTTTCTGTTAAACCATGGGATTTTAAATCGTCGACAAGGGCACTGATATAGCTGCGAGAGCTTTGAAGGGACCTCAAGAAGGCAAGAGGCGAAATGTCGTTTGCCCGCTCCAAAACCATCTCGAGCCTCTGCTGTATAGACTGTTGGAAAACCCGTTGTAGGAACTTGCCGAGAACCTGCTCGTAGTAAGGGAAAGCGCGCTTGATAATGGCAGACTCTTCCTGTACTACGACTTTGACCTCATCCACTAATGACTGGAGGCTGGGTTCCACTTTGAGAGGTTCGGCGTCAGGGTCTGCCAATTTTTCCCAGGATTCGGGATCACCTGCCACTTCTTCAGTAACAAGCTGGCTGCGGTCAATAAAAAACTGATGCTGGTTGACGAATAATGCGATGACGCTGGCACCGCCACTGAAATCTTGCAGCACAGTCGCACAATCCCGCATGCCTTCGAAATTTGCCTTGCGATAGAAGTCATCGAACTGTTTCAGAAGGTCTTTTTCCAAGGTCTCCGAGAATTTTTCAATGACTTCTCTCGTGTTTCGTCTAACGCTGTCAATTCCTTCTGTTGGACTCTGTTCCCCGCTTCCTTTCCCATGCGACTTGGTGTTTTTCCCTCCAGATTCATTCCAGCTGTGGGGATCAAGTCGTTGGCTTATTCTCAGCAATTGACGTGCAATCTGTGCTGAGCGCACCTTGGCCTCGCCGGTCCCAGATCTTCTTAGGTTCTCCAGTAGTGTTATTTCTCCCCTGTTGCTGACGCCTTCCCAGCACTGGAGTAAAAAGTATGCATCCAGTGCTCGTCGTCGTTGCCTATCAAGCTCTTCTAGTCGTCGTCCCGTTTCCACGGCCATGTTCCCGGTAGCCTCAGCATGGTCGGCGCCCGCGATCTGTGCCCCTGCACCGTTGAGCGAGGTGTCCAACTGCTGGAAAGACCCAATCGTCTGTTTTAGCTTCCTTCCCAGTGTATTAAGGTTTTGCGAGTGCTGCGCCTCCGCCCTGCGTACTGCAGCAGATAGCTCATTCTCTCTTATCTCGAGGTCGCCAGATAATTCGCCCAGCCGTTGCTGGGCGTGCTCGAAGGTACGGATAAGTGGCTTGGGGTCAAATAATTGGTTTGCGCTGCTAGGCCCACCGATGGATCGGCGATTCGATGCCGCGGTGTCAGAAAGCGTCTCGATAAATTCTTTGACAATGAAGTCGCGATTCGAGAAGTCCTCCAACGTGAAGCTGGGGCCTTTGGGAAAGACGGATCGAGATGCGGGAGTCGCTTGAGAAGTCATGGACACTGTGTCCGGCATCCTTGCAATAGCTGGTGGCGGCCTTCCACCTTCATTGAGATGAGAAGTAGATAGCGAGTTTATGGCAACTCCGCGATGGGGAGCTCACATGCGTTGCAGTTACGGAGTACTCGAATGGGCGGAAGGGAAGCCAGTTATGCATAGTCCGTGGTTCGGAGTACTTAAGTGGGCCAGAACTCCAAGGGAATCCGGCCGACGACTTTGGGTTGCTGATGAACTCACCAGTCAACCATAGATCAACTCTCTGCTACTACCTAGGCTCTGATTGAATTATGAAGGCCTATAGATTCTCTAGTGTTTACCAGGGAAGTCTGGATGGGAGTAGGTATGCACATAATTTCATGGTGGTTAATCATATACTGTACGGTGTCGGTTGATGTACAGTACATACAGTACGTACAAAAATAACCAGATAATTACTGTACAATTACATCCATGGATACGTAGGTACATACAGTACCTACACCGTAGAATCAATGTTCCGGTTCCAGTACATACCGGAGTATCATAGGTACCTTGTTTTACCTTTACAGGTCATACCTACCTAGGTGCCTACGTATTATAACCAACCATCACCTGCCCACCCATTCAAGCTTCCTACAAACCATTGTTTTCTTGTCGCGATTAAGCAACCATGATTTCCCAACGCGATAAGCAAATTTTCAGAGATGATAGTCGTGCAAGCGGGACAAGGCTCAGTGCTGCTGAGCGTGAGAGCCTACTCAAGCCCTATTTACCTGAGCCGTCGGATCTACTACGTCGACCTCAACGGCGAAAGAAGGCAACAATCCGAAAAACCCCTATCCGCACATTCCTCAAGTCGCAATTACACCATCTAATTTACTCCGTCATCCATATCATCTTTGGAATCGCTGTGCGTCTGATTCAGGTTTATCATGCGGTTTCGGATCGCATTCTTGCGGTGGTATATCACCATCACCGCACGCCTGAGTTGATCCGAAAAGACGTAAAAAACCTGGATCGCCTGCCAGAGCATCTGAGTGTGATATTGTCGCTTCGGGCTGGGGATGATGCTCTTGCCATTTTGATGAATGAAGTAGCAGAACTGGCCGCCTGGAGTGTTAGTGCTGGCATTCCCGTACTCAGTGTCTATGAGAAAAATGGTGCGTTGAATCTAGATCTTCTCAACGAATGCAACATGAACATACCAAGATCAAAAGCTTTTTGAAGACAACCAATATCTAACAACTGCTTCTTCAGGAATTCTGAAATCATGCATTCCCAGCTTGAACCAGGTCATTTTGGCCAAGCTATCCTCATACTATGGCTCCCCTGCTCAACAACCGACATTGCGGCTCTTTGCTCCACACCACCCCATCCATCAAGATAACTCGTCTACTCCCAAGTACAATCCGGATACACTCACAATACTCCTTCTTTCTGCTACCGACGGCCGAGAGACCTTTGTGGATCTCACCAAAACTCTGGCTGAAATGTCCCAGAACGGCAAACTATCGCCTGAAGACATCACCATAGACCTGGTGGACGCAGAGATTAGTGAGATTACGACGCAACCTTCCCAGGTTACAACATCGGGTCTGGGCGGGAGCAAAGTAATTTCCAATCCTGTTTCTGTGAAGCCTGAGCCAGACCTGCTTCTAGTATTCGGCCCTTACCTGAAACTTGACGGCTATCCACCCTGGCATATTCGCCTCACAGAAATGTTTTGTACCGGAGATAAGAGTAGCGCCATTACCGGCTCTGGCGAGGCCGTCGAGTATCAAAGTTTCTGCCGGGGTCTATGGCATTTTGCAGGAGCTCAAATGAGATTTGGGCGATGATAGTTTATGGATATTCAAGAGACATTTATCACAAAATCAATATCATGAGATTAACCCCTCATCCTGACTACCAGTACTTGAGTCAAGGTAAAACAGCGCCATCAGACAAGGTTGCAAGGGGAAGTACCAAGCGTATAGGAAGTAGTTATCGACCATTGTCTTTGCTTATGTTGTTCCATGTCGATGGACGGGTTTGAAGAAAGAGTACAATTGCTCATTCGGTTTGATGTATTGCCACTTGACGGTGTATTGTACTAGTCTCTCCATTGACGTGAACAAATTCAATCGAAAAGATGTGTTTGTTGACTGTTTCCCCTCTACCATTCGTCAGGGCACGACTGCTAAATTTCAGAGGCAACAGATTTGATTCCAGATGTTGCTGGAGACAGCGTAACGCAATCCACCAAAGGAGAGAGGAAAGGGGATAAATTGTCCGTAACTATATACATTTGGATACTAAAGCTCCAGGCCCCCATTCGCTACAATCCACTGTCAACAACTGCAATCATCTATCCGTCGAATGTATGTATTAAATCCGACTCAATGTCCAACCAAGCTGACATGAACACTCCTATGCAAGACCTGTAACTCCGACCTCCGAAAACAAACAGTCTAGTGAGATGAATAACCTCTTGCACAACCGAGGCATTTCACTACCTCTATTCCTGTTTCAGTCACATTCTCGACAGCACAGCGAGAGCAGATCTTCCTGGGTCGGGTGGAGCATGGTTTATTGCCATAACTGCCGTCATGAATCATGATAGAGGAATCACGACATGAATATGTTTCCCAAAATAAGTGACCCATACCAATGCAATCGACCGCCTCACATTAGCAAAAGCAAATATAGCAATTTTGCTAATCGCATATACTATAATTTGTATATACTTCAATTAATTTCTGGGTTGTAGATTTTCTATAGCAGATATAGTATAAACGTAATAATGATGTAGGTGTGTATAGACTTTGCTAGTATAAGCTAGAATTTGCAACAGTATTTTTTGAAAAAATAGAGGGGATTTTTGAGATTGCCAAAAAGACAAATTTATAATATCAAAGTAGCTATTTGTGTCATTTGTGCTAATGATTAATTTCATATATTTGACAATAACTAGTTTTATTGTGGGCAACAGTAGAGCTATTAGAAAAGTCGTCATTTTCATTAAAAATATCATGAATAATAGATTGAGAGTCCCGTCAACGATTTTAAATGACGATCTAAACTATGCATCGGAAGTTGAATGGATTGATCACTGTTGAGATTTCAAAAGCAAGTGGATTAGTGGTACGGGTTATTGTCTAGATAACGGTGTCCTGTAAATCATATTAAAGGTGGGAAAACGCGACGAAAAATAAGAAGAAAAACGTGTCAAGGAACCAGCACAAGAAAATCGACAATGCAGGACCTCTAGAGCTCCTCATATTCTGCAACGAGGTCTGGCGCGTCCAGGTCATCGGTACTAAGGTCTCTCAAGGAACCCTTGGTTTCTCCATACGACCAATGCCAACCGTTCAAACTCGTTGGCTTGGATCTGGATCGGGCGAAGAATGCCGCGAACATCGGGCATCACCATGTCATCAATGGACAGGTCAAGTGGTGCTCCTATAACGACGTACCGGTTGTTCTCAAGGGTTACAGTGACAGTTGCCGTTTTCTGTGGTGAGAGCCGTCCTTGGACTCGGAAATCATGGCCATGTGTGGGAGGCCCGTTTTCCCACTTTTCTATCACGAGGTGAGGCCAGTCCCTGGTGATGGATAGAAGTAATGCGATCTTAACTTGACCTTGAGAGCGGCCGAGCCACCAACGGCTGTCGATCCTTAGCCGACCGAGTGTTTCACTCCAGCCGACTTCGAGAACCAGGGTGGGCCACTTCGAAACGCGATCGTTGATTTTTCGCGAGGGGTAACCGACCCCTCCGGAAACCTGCGGGATCGCGCCCTTAGCGCGATCCCGCCAGCCAAACGGCCAGACGGGCCATACGGCCAATTTTAATGCTTGAAGCTATTCAAACTCGAATATCTCAACGAATATTGAAGCTATTGAAATAAAAATAAATACAAATGAAACCTCTATTCCTCTGCTTTCCGACGCACTTTTCGAATTTTCTTTTGAATGATTCCTCGCTCCAAACACGCGTCAATAAGTTCGGGAAGCACTTGAGCATATTTTCGCTTCCACTTCTTTTTTTCATTGCTAATATCGATATTCATCTCTCGGCGCTTCATTGACTGCATAGAATGACTTGATACAACTCCTCCAGAGCGAAGACGACGTTTAGAAGCCTTTGCACGCTCTGCACGTTGTCTAGAGGGCTCTGTATAGCGTCGTACCTCTTCCTGCATGGTCTCTGCATACGAGACTAATTGAGTTGTTCCATTAATGATCTTATTCAGACCATCATGTAAGAATGAAGGCTCAATATCATGTAAATGAAGAATCTTATTCTGCAATATTTTGAAGCGCTCAACCGTTTTTGGTGTATTGCCAACTGACATGATATCATGACTGTTAGGCGTTGAAGGAGTTGCTGGCCGCGCAGGTTCAGCAAGATGATCAAGAACGATTGCTGGATTGAATGGCGATATTCCCGTTTCTTTGAAGCCATGCCGGATAGTCGTTTTCTTAAGAGTTTTGGTGCGAATCGTTGAAAGAGCATGTAAAAACTCATTTTTGTTGAAATGACCACATTCCGAATATGTTGCATTGAGTACTGCTTCGGAATGTTAGTGCTTCATTGCATGAAATACATCAACGTCAAGAGGCTGTAGAATATGGCTTGAATGAGGCGGAAGAAAGAATAGAATAATATTGTGATTCTCGCAGAATTCAACAAACTCTTTCTTACAATGAGATTCGAAGCCGTCACAAATAAGCAGTGTATATTGATCTTTTCGCTTATTTTTAATGTCACGCCAAAAGTTTTGAATCCATTGAAAGCCTAATTCATCTGTCATGAAGCCATTTTCGGACGTAGCGATATAATATTGACCTTCAATAGTGGTGACGTCAAACCATCCTTGAATGATACTATTCCCGCGTAGAATAATGAGTGGCGGAGCGCTCCATCCATCGGTTGAAATAGCTTCAACTACTGTGATCGATTCTCGCTCGGAAGAGATACCAATATAAGGCTTATCTCCAGGAAGATCTCGAGTAACTACCCATTGATCTCTGCTCATTCTTATACGGAAGTCTGTCTCATCAAAGTTCCATATATCATCTTGTATAATCCCGTTGATTTCGATGACCTTTTTCAACGATTCAAACCAAGCAGCGATATTGGTTTTATCTTGAGCTTGTTTTCGCTCGATTTCAATTGCTCGAAAGCGTTGTTTTTTGTATTGAGGATGGCGTTTAAGCCAGCGTTGAAGCCAGTGTTCTCCTACTACCGGCGGAGGAGTTGTTGAATCGGTATGAGACCTTTTTAGAATGACATTGGCTGCATTCACGATCATTCGAGGCAATGGACGAACGAGATAGCCTTCTAAAGTGTTTAAATATTGACAGAGAGCTTTATCTTCCTCTGAATTCAACTTCAAGTTGGTGGGTGCTCGCTGAACAAGAGAGACTCTACCCTTCCATCTTGCATCGAGAGTTCGTCGATTGAGGTTAAATTCTCGCGCAGTTTTTGAGACATTCGGTTTTTTTTGATTGCGTAACGCGCTGATAGCTGCGAGAATTCTATCTTCAACTTCCTGATTGAATTTGGCCATGTTGTGGTGGAATAATGACGCGTTGAAGTAGGAGGGTGCAATTATTGAAGAAATTGGCCGTATGGCCCGTCTGGCCGTTTGGCTGGCGGGATCGCGCTAAGGGCGCGATCCCGCAGGTTTCCGGAGGGGTCGGTTAGTAGGACAAATCCGGTTCTTTCGAGTAGGAGCTGTCCTTCACGCGCCCCGAGCCTCCAGGTTCCAACACGTCTTCCATGACGCCACACATACGCAGTTAGTCATAGATAATGCGTTCAAAGACGACCACGCCAGCTTCGTGTATATTAGAGGGGAGTTTTATGATCAGTTTCCGCAGATCTGCATCGTAAAACAGTTTCGATGCCTTCAGGCCACGTAGGCGAGGCGAATCGACCAGTCTTTCAACAATATCAGGGCTGACATACTCGATGAGAATATATGGCTTGTCGACATTTCGACGAACAGCAGACTGGATAGCCTTGATCGCACCCCCGACCAGACCAGGCTTTTCGGATGGTATCTCGGCGGTGAAGTCGAAGGAAAACATGTCTGAGTCCGATGCGGGAGATGGACTTGTTGAGGGGGAGCCCGGCGAGACGCAGTAAGAGGTTTGCTCGATTGCTATTTTCTTTATAACGATTGGTAGCCTTGAAAGGACTGATAAACATGAAAAGGTCCTTGATATGAGACGACCATATCGCAGTTGGAGATTCGGTAGGATTTTCAAAAGCTCCTGTTGCCCTTGGCGTAGTAGAATTGGTCCTATAAAAAGGCTCTGCAGAAACGATGTCAACACAATAGAGAGACTCTGCGACTAGAGACACACTGAATGCTCATAGAACTGGTGTAACTAGTGATCGAGCTCTGCGAGACAAGAAGTTATAGATGAGATCACGGAGGTTCTTTGGTTAAAATACGCTCTACAATCGAGTTGAACAAGATCAAAGTAAAAGAATCACTGCTCCACGACTATATCGAACGAGGTGAAAGTGAGAGAATCGCCTCGCTGCTGGTTGCAGCAATAAACGAAAAGATATAGAGATGTAAAACAGACCCAAAAGAGATACCTCGAAGCCGATATAAAATTACACGGCAGCGATATAGCAACGTTGCGAACGAAAATACGAAACGTCAAGGTTCTGAGAGATAATTCTGAGAGACAATAGTCGACAACGAGGCGGTGAGGCACCAAGGCAGCAAGGTATCGAGGCAGCGCGGTGTCAAGGTGTTGATGACTGAGGCAGCAAGGCGGCACGGCAACAAGGCAGCGAGGAGTCAAGGCAATAAACAGAGTGCCAAGGTCGTGTCGGGGTTGTTGCGGTGTGGTGAGGTCTCGATAGCGCGACCGTGGGCCGCGATCGGAGTCGCGACGCGAAGCGAGCCAGGCACCAAGGCAACGAGGCAACGAGGCAGCCGCACAACGCACAACAAAATGCGACTTGTCGAAAATCGAGAGGCAACCGGAACACTCAGGGGTCTAGAAAGAGGCTGTAGAACATTAGCCACGTAGTAGACACTCTAGAGAGGTAAAATCGGTGAAAAACCAATGAAGAATGATGAAAAGCAGCTAAAAACGATGAAAAACACCGATTCGCTGATAGTGGGGGGGTGGAGCGACACAAGGCAGACAGACACAGCGGAACCCGCGTAAGACAGTAAGAAAAACACAGAAAACGCCTAAAACAATGTAAAGACACGTAAAAAGGCTCAATATGATCGGAGGAACCCAGATCTCGATGAAAACAAGGAGATGCTACCAATATGGAGCAGCCGTGGAGAAAGCGTTGATAAACGATCGATTCGTTGGTATGGTAATGGTTGTTGAAGAAGAAGGAAAATGGCCAAGTCCGACCACTCTAAAGCGGCCGGGACCTAGGGTGGACCATACATACCCTAACTGCAGAAGCCCTAGGGTTGGCTGAACAGACCAAACCCGCATCCCACCAAACCGCAACATGACGATGGCCAATAGAAAACTTTTATTTGCTAACTAAGATTTTCTATTAGAATGTTCTCTTACAGGATTTTTTTTTAGACAGGCAGTTAAGTGGTCATGTGCTTGGCTGAGCCGCGGCGTGACAGTTGAAGAGGCTAAGTCCGACCAGGGTCTAGTAGGTTGGAGTTTAATTCCCCTGGTCCCGCTCAGCTGTGAGCTCCATATGCTGGTCTTGGCAATCAGCCACGGAGTTCGTTTGGATTGGGGTCGCACTAAGTTACGGAGTAAGCGCTGCTCTCCTGTGCCACCACCTTCTCCGTACCTACTCCGTAAGTGCCTACCAGAGTGCTGCATACTTCTGTGTCTTGATCCCTACTGCCATGGGTATATCGTATGTACACATCGCCTAGGAATACACTTACACTCACATGCACACACAATCTCTTGCTGAATAAATCTTTGGCTAGATCAATTACATTCATTGGACTTTCCACATTTTCGCAGCAGTTGCATCATACAGCGTTTACTTATTGGCGTTCGCCTAGATGAGAGGCTCTGAGAAATCGTTAATGCTCACATAGCAAGTGCGAAATTTTTCATCATGGACAACATTTCTGAAATTGTCGAAAGACTTGGCAGTGACGAAGACGCTGTCCGGAAAATGGCCGTCTTCAAATTGCAGAGTCTTATTGGGGATCCTTCATTTGCAGACGTCTTTATCATGGAAGGTGGGCTGGCCAAGCTACGATTCCTCACTTTACATACAAGTGGAAATACCCTGGCATATAGCCTAACCAGCTTGGCTAGACTGCTTGAGGTCGACAAAGGATGGGATTTCATAGATCAGGAGGTAGTCGAGAGGGTATGTGTTTTTAAGATAAATAGCAGTCGTCCAATCTGTCCTATGCATACTCATGTACTGACAAAATGCCTGATCGTCTCTAGATCGTCGAGCTCATCGTAACCCACCCACTCGTTAACATCCTGCGCGGCGCAATGTCTATACTGGTTTCGATTGTTTCACACCCTCATACTGGAAGCCGCCTATCACAAAGCGGCACCTTTGGCTTTCACGCTCTGAATCCTGCCATCGCCGCCTATCCGCAGTTTCTGGAAATGCTTGTCAGTCGATTATCGTCGGCGGACCATGCCCTGTGTGCTAATGCGCTTCAACTGATAAACTCGCTCATGCGCGATTCCATTACGAACGACTCAGAATTACAGTGGCCGAAGTTTATACAGAAACTACAAGATCTGGGTGTTATCAAGGCCGTTTATGCGCTCATGCAAGGCACAAGTTTGCAAGATCACGCCCACCCTCTAATAGAGTTTCAATCCCTCACCAAAGTCCTTCTGAGAAAGTGGCGAGATATTCCTCTGGATATGGAGAATGCCGAACACAGGAGAGCGCTAAAGGGGATACATCTGGCTAGTCAGCCAGAGAGGAACCTGGATAAAGGGGGTGATGGTGTAGTCGACATGCGGCGGTCCAAGAAGCACAACACGGACAAGTGGAGACGGCTTGGGTTTGAGTCGGAAAGTCCGGTCACGCAGTTCGAAAAAACAGGCTTCTTAGGAATGATGGATCTCGCCGATTACGTTAGAAGCCACCAGGATGAATTTCAGAAAATGCTCCTAGAGCAGTCGACCAAGCCAAATCAGGAACGGTGTCCGATTGCTCGAGCTTCTTTATCTGTCACCTCCATCTTGTACGAGCATTTTGAAGTGGACAAATCCGATATAGAAGATGCCAAAAGCTATCTGATTTTGGAATCTCGCTCAAACCTTGACAAGTTATTTAATCCTCTACTGCTGCATTGGACTCGACTTCATGTTGCGGGGGTACATGCATTTTTTCGATTATGGAAGGCCACTGGAGCGGAGGTCGAAGACTATGACAAAATCGTCGAACTTGTTCGTATTCTCGTCGAATCTGCTGTCGGTGGGGCGTCTCGAACAAAAGACGTGCAGGATGTTGAGGAGGAGCTTGCTGATTTTGAGTATAATCGTCTCCGTGAGCTGCAGATGGAGTTGTTGGAGCTCACTTATGAAGACGCGTGGGGCCAGCATCTACGACAGGTGCGGGAGGAATTGCACAATGAGGTTCTGCAATTCATCAAAGAACAAAGGATTCGGTGTCTGTTACAAGGCAATTGGTTCCCGAACGAGGTGGCCTCCAAGTCAGACATAAGTGTGCCGAAAGAGCACTCATGGAAATTCGTTCAACTCTCACATAATCGGCGGTTTTTACATTTTGGTGATTTCGACTCGAGAGGAAACAACAACCCAGAGCTTGATACTCTGCCTGAGAAGAGTAAGGCCCCTTGCATAGATACTCTAGCTGCCTCGTTCATCTTACTAACAAACGACTCGTCCTTACCAATAGTCGATCTGTCGGTTGTGTCTTCAGTGGTCTCCAACGTGTCAGCGTCATCCAACAACTCGTCATCTTCAACTATAAAGAGCATGTTGCAGCATCCTTCCACGAAAATCACCATTCATGGGTATATGCAATCTCATTCAATGCCGGGCGAATCTAAGAAAACAAGCAGCCACGATCGTTCCACCAGTAGAGCAACACAGGGCGAGGTTGTGTTACTGGGCCTGCGTCCTCAGTCCCCTAGTATCGCGTCTGAGTGGCTCGATGGCTTGCTCATGCTTCTCGGCCAACAGCCCATCACCTCAGAAACGGGCAAATTGGTGAAGTCAGTGAGTGATTATGGACTAAAAATTCGTCTATTGAATATCAGGTTCGACGACGCCGTATTTGCCGGCGAAGCTCCTAACGTTCCGTCTCGTGAAGGTCTAGATGACGACTATTACTATGACCTTTTCGGGGGCAGCTAATTCGTATCCGTTTGCTGTCCAAATCGCATGGACGGACTTGCTCGTCTATCATATATGTAATATAACGCACCTTTCTTATTTATGACAAGGCGGCAGAATATCACTCAGGCAGGCATGAGCCTGCTAAATTCTAATTATCTCAGTATCGCACGGTTAGGACGTCTAGAATCCATATAGGAACTGGGAATATTCCATCCAAGGCATGAAACCGAATCAAGGGCAATGCACCGTACGGAGTAAGGTACTCTGTAGATAAGGTACAGTCACCTACAATAAGTCACGAGCCACCTCGATCACCTGACCACATAACAAATTTAGACCTTTATTTCAATCATCGATTTCAACCACCACATCTTTTTTATCTTTCAAATGACCAATAAAAACAAGATTTTAAAAACTGAATATTCGTTTGATATAATCAAATTATTATTTCAACTTCGTCAATCGGATTTATTTGCAAATAAAATTAATCAACAAATTAAAATTTTCAAATTCACAATTACCCACATTTTTCGAGATCATCAAAATAAAAATGAAGAGATTTTAAAATTTAAAAAATATATAAATTAATTAACAAAATTCAATAAATGTATAAAAATAAATTTAATTCAACATATTATAAAAAAATTTTAATATTTTCATTTTTTTGTCAACATTTTTCAAATCAGACCATCACTTTCATTCAAATATTACACGATTATATTTTAAAAAAAACAAAATTTATACATTTTATTTATATCATAAACCTTTTCTTACAAAAAAACAACAAAAAATTCGCTTGAAATGAATTAAAAAACATTTAAAATAAATTTTAAAAAATTAAATATGTGTAAGGGGAAGCCCTGCAGAAGGGTGGATTCTTATTCGGGCACTTGATTTCCTTAATTAGAGATATCAGATACATCAAAACAACTTTGGATATATCACAATCTAAATATAAAAATAAATATAAATATATTAAAAAATATATTCATTAATTAAAAAGAATTAATCGCTTGATCTTTTGAACGATTAATTAATTAAATCATTATATAAAAAAAATATATAATTATTGATTTCATTATTTGAATCATTTAATTAAATTATAAAAATTTCAAAGATTTTGGCATTGTCATTTCGAAGATTTTTGATAACAAATTCATTTTTTTAACAAAATAATCATTTTTGATTGTTAATTAAACAATTACATTCATTTTAATATTCTGATATAAATATAAAATGTTTTATTAATTTTTTTAATTATAAATTTCAATCAATTTTAATTATTATACATTTTATAAGATTTCAAAAATTTTTTGAAATAATCATAAAATATGATTTTAAAAAAGTTAAAATACAACAAAAAAATCTAAATTTTTATATCGTTCAATAATAATAAATATAAATAAAACAATAATAATATAAATTTTTATATTTTGTATTGTTTGTGTTATTTTGTTTTTATTAAAAAAAATTAGAATTAAATCATTTTGATTATAAATAATGTTTTAAATCGTGTGTGAACATATTATATTAATTTAATTTGATTTAATTATTTTCAATTGTTTTCATTCATTGTTTTTTATTTAAAAAACAAAAATAATTTTCATTCAATATAAATTAATATATTTTAAAATAAAAATGTCGATAATCATTATAATTATAAATTTTTAATATAAAAAAATTTTGTGTAATTTGATATTAATTATTTAAAAAAAATATATTTAATATAAAATTTTTTGGTTTTTTTCGTAAAATACGGCGGTCAAATTTTTCATAAATATTTTTTTTATTATTTTTTTTAAAATTTGTTTTAATATTTTAATATTTTTTAAAAATTGAATCAACCTCAATTAAAAAATTAAAAAAATAACAACAACAAAATCTTTTTTAAAAAACAAATTATTGTTATTTTTGATTTTTAAATTTAAATTCGAAATTATATTTTTTTTATTTTAAAATTTTTTTCGATATATCGCCAGCGATTTTGTCAAATATTATAAAATAAATTTTGATATTTATTTAATAAATTATAATAAATTGTTTTTTTGTTTATCAAAAAAACATTGATAATGTTTCGTGAACAAAAAAATACTTAATAAAATATTTATTTGCGTTTTTGTTTTTAAATAAAATACAATTTTTTTTTCAATTTTTTTGATAAAAATCAAAATTATTTCAATACAGCTTCTCTATCATTAAAAAACGAAATTTTTAATTTTGTTTAAAATATTCGAAAGAATTATGAATTAAAATGATATCAAAAAACACAAATTTAATTTAATAAAAGATTTAAACATTTTTTTATTCAAAAAATTGTTTTTTGCATAAAAAATTTTAATTTTTTTGCAATGTCATTTTTTTCATTCAATTTTGAATTATTTTTGCAAAATTTAAAATGATATTGTAAATGTTTAAAAATGTTTTAAAAAAAATCTGAAATTTTATACATGCACAAATATGATTTTATTGTTTGCATATATTGTAAAAAAAATAAATATTTTATTTTTTTATTATTTTTGATAAAAAAATGAAATATTATTTTGAATATCAAACAAAAAAATTAAAAAAGATTTATAAAGATTTTTTACAAATTTATAAATTATAAAAATAATATTTATCAATTATAAAAAAATGTTTCGAATAATTAAATTACAAAATTATAATACGTTTCATTTAATTAATTTAAAATGTTTGAAATTAAATTTCGCGTTTTTGTTAAAAAAAAATAAAAATGTCATTTTTACAGAAAATTGATCATATTAATTTATTTTAGAAATGTATTTTTATTTGTTCATTTTTTTGTTTTAATTTAGAAAAAATTTTCAATGTAATTTTTGTTTCAATTATTAATATATTTATAATTTTAAATATATTATTAAAATTCCAATCTCGTGAACAATAAAAAAAATATATTATTATTTTAAAATCGATTTATAATCTTATTGTTTGTGATAAAAAAATCTATAAAAAAATATCATTTACAACATTTTTAATTTTGTTAGATTTTTATTGCAAAACAATAACTTTTTATATTTTTAAATTTTTGCAAAAACTTTGAAACATTTATAAAATTTAATTTCAATTTTTATAAATTTTTATATTTCGAATATTTTAATTATTTAATTAAATAATATAATTTCTTATAATGTGTTTTGTGATCAAAGATTTTTTTTATTTTTTATTTTTTATAATCATTAATTTTAATAATTTCATGCATTATCAGCTTTTTTATATCATTTTATTGATTTTACAGCTTTGAAAAAACATAAAATATTAAATATATTTGTTTTTAAAGAATTAACATATATAATTAATATATTTATTTTTTTACAATTTTAATTATTTCAAACAATTTGTCAAATTTCTTGTTTAATTTTTTGAGAAATTATCATGTTTTGAAATTTTTTTATTCAAAAAAATTTGTTAATCAACATAAAATTTGATCAATTTGTAATGACAATTATAATACTATATTTGAAAATTTATTATTTATTGCAAATATTTCTTCAATTTTTTTTAACATTATCAATTTTTTGACATTATTAAATTGATTCGCGTTTACTGTTATTTTTAAAATTTATAAATTACAAAACAGTAAAATCATATTTTATTAATATATAATTTGATGTTATCTTCAATAATGCTTGTAAAAAATTGTTATATATAAATTTTATTAACAACAATCAATTTGTTCGATCATTTCATTAATAAATAATGTAATATCGGAAATACATTTTTGTTATTTGATTTTAATATTTTGTTTGATTGTCAACTTAAAAATAAAAAACAATATTTATTTTATATTTAATTTAAAAGATTTGACAAAACTTTTTCTAATATTTATTAATAAAAAAAGATTTTCAATTATTAATAAAATATTTTAAACATTTTAAATTTGCAAACAATTTCTTTTATAAATATGTTAATTAATTATTCGATATTTATTATTTTTTATATTAAATATATTACATTATTTTTATAAAACAATTTATCATAATTAAAATTACATTTTGCACAAAATCACTTCAAAATAACAATAAAGGATTTATAATAAAATTCAAAATCATGATTTATTGAAATTTTTTTAACACAAATAAAAGATTTAATTATTTATATTTTCGATATCACAAAATTTTCATAAATTAACAAATTACATTTCTTTTAATATATTTATTCATATTATAATTAAATAAATCTTAATAAAATTGTTATCACATTAAAATCAACATTTTATTTTTGTTAAAATGTTTCGCAAAAAAATTATTGTACAATATTTTTAATATTTTTTATTATATCGTAACATCTTTAAAAATATACACAATTTTTTCAAATTGAAAAAATTTATCTTCATCAATTTTTCAATCTTTTTCAGAATTCTTCATTTGATCAAATGTATTAAAAATCAAATTAATTTTTTATTTCACATAAATATTTTCATATTAAATATACATGATTATATTTTTAAAATTGTCTAATATCCGATCAAAAATAATGTTTTGATATTTTCGCGCATTAATCAAATTTATTTATAAAACATTATCTTGATTTTTATTTCACACATTTTTTTAAATCTTATAAGGAATTTTTTCATCAAATAATTTTATTTATAAAAGATTTTTTTGTTGATTAATTGTGATTTGAAAAATTTTATTTTTTAAAATCAATCAAATATCATTTCGCAAAATCAAAAATATTGAATTATTTGTTTTTTTGGTAAACAATTTTTCAGAGTCTTTGAATTGCAATTTCTTTAAAATATTAAATATTTCAATCTTTTATTTATTTTAAATTCAAACAGTAATTTCATCATTTTAACAATGCATCAATAAAATTTCAATAATCTAACTTATATTTAATTATAAAATTATAAATTGTTAATAATTTTGTTCAATAAATTTAACAAACATTTAAAATTTTTATTATAAAAAAATATCAAAGATTCATGTGATCTATTTGTATTTAAATTAATTTTGAAATTTCTGTGAAATAATAATAAAAAATTTTAAAATTTTTTATAATAATTAATAATTTTTGATTATATATTTTTCATTTTAACTCGATATCTCTTAATTTCTTAAAAAAATGTGATAAATTTTTAAATGATTTTTTATCAAAATAACTCTAATCTTATCACAAATGAAAAAATAATGCTTATAATCGTATATTTTGATATATTAATGATCAAAAAATTGATTTATTAAAATTATAATGATTTAAAACAAACAATTTCATAAAAATCTTTTATAATTTTTTAAACACTTTCTCTGTTTATAAAATTAT